GTCAAAGCTGTCAAAGCAAGGACTACCCAATTTCCTAACGATTAACTATACCTAGGTATTAAAAGTAGCTCACTCCCACTTACCTCACATATTTTCATACCCTCATATCCTCACATCATCATACTCTTCTGCACTACATGTAGTGCTCCTGCCCAGAAATTCAATTTGTTTAGTTTCGGATATCACATCACGTCACTCTATTTTATCACTGCAGCACCGACGCCGGCCAACATATCAGTTGCGTTGCAGGTGAAATTTCACGTGTTGCCATTCCACCTTCTTAATTCTGGGTGTACACAGAAAGCTTCAACTTATATCTTCATTATCCTGATTCCAGGTATTAGCACCAAACAGCAAACAGCTCCCATTTCGACGACAAAGTTCACAGCCTCAACTCAGTGTCTTTTGGCGCCACATTTGACCCTGGACTTTTATCTCACTTTAAATATCACAATCCGGAACCGTTGTCGGTTTAAGAGTTTACTTTACTGCAGCACCGCTATCCTTCTTTACTACCGTGAAGTTTGATATCGCAGTCTAGGCCCTGGGAGCACCTCGATACAAAGACGTGACTCACGCAATATATCTCCTAGACGCCATCAGTTGAGGACGCAGACCAAGGAAGTTGTGCCACAGCGCGGCGATTCGGAGTCCGTTCCCAAATCCCCTGAGCGTCTGAAAGTTTAAAGACCGTCGGTGGTGCCACTCGGACCACCACTTGAGCTCACCTACCTAACTACGCATAGGTTGGGAGGGGTCATATATAGCCTCTGGTGCGGCAGCCACGAACCCAGTCGTGAGTCCGTTCCTGTTAGTCCGCAACAGCAACACACCTCTCGGAGATTTCCCTACCATCAAAAGAGGGCTCCAAGTATACAGCAAGACGTTCGTAGTAAACGGTCTACCTACCCTATCTCCCACATATATTAAGGTTCACTCGGCCTAGGGACACCATTATTCCACACTCAGGCTCGCATACCAACCCTTCGTTTTCCTTACTAGGCTCAGCCGAGGGTCATACTCTTTTCGATCTAAACTGGTCTTCCGGTCTAGACAACTATCCCGGTATCGAAGAGAATATATACCAATCCACGCATAGAAGTTAGTATCCTACGCTGTGTTATAAGGAAAGAGGAGTCAAATTTCTAGTTCAAGAACGAAGGGATTACACGAGATATATATCGGATCAAGTTCCTTAATCGCCAAGATTTCGTAACCCTTTCTACCGACCTAAGTTCACATGTCGGTCTCAGAGCAAAGCATAAATATTCAGGCGAAGTATGATTGAATTCTACTATACACTCTTACCCCTCTTCCCTTTCCATTCAAACTTGCGATTCTTCCCTGTTTCCCTATAAACGCTTCCACGGCCTACACCTTAACTCTCCAAGGCGACTGGGTCTCAAGGTGTAGACCACCGCTATCTTTTTTTTATCAAGACGACCTGCACCATAAACACTTCTTAGATCAAGCAACCCAAGTGCTAGAACATCTACAGAGATATGGTTTACTTTCACTTCTTGATACTGCTTTTGACTATTATACGAAAAGTTTTCCTCTATTAAGCTGCCACTTGCATTTCAGCTAACGAGACTCAAATCCTATTGCAGATTACGCCTGCTCTCAAAGGCAATGTCGTCTGGAGGCATCATGTCGGGAGCTGACCGCGTCGGTGGTGGGGGGAGCCCTCTACTCCCAACTTTCCATGGCTATATCGCAAGCACCATGGACGCCCTCATATTGTTTGAGGCGTGTCTTAGTGGACGTCTTAGCCACGTACCTAGACGACCCCATGACAGGGAGCGAACCGAACTCATCGCCAGTGGTAATGTTTTCATGTATGAGGAGCACTCATCTGGGATAAAACGCTGGACAGATGGCGTCCCATGGAGCCCTAGTCGCATCCTAGGCAACTTTCTCTTGTACCGCGAGCTCGACAAACCCTTCCAGCCAGGTGAGAAGAAACGAGCTATGAAGCGACAGAGGAACGATTCGATGATCACGAAAACCACTAGCCACTCAAGGGCGAGCTCAGTCGGCAACTATACCAGCGCTATGATCGGTGGAGGAGGCTCTGCTGCAAACCTTGAAAACACGACAAACGCGCGTAACGATGCTGAACGGGCTCTCGTCGGCTCTCTCATCGATTCGTATCAGTTCAGGCCCGATGGGCTCATCAAAAAGACCATTAGCGTCACTTATAATGGTATACAACACCACCTGGTTTCGTACTACAGCATCGACGACGTTATTCAGAACAAGCTTCGCACTCCGAGCCAAGATCCCACGCTGCGAGACATTGCTCCTCGCGCGCCCCTAATATCATCGAGCAGTTTTCGGGCCCCCGTAGACGACAACGAAATCATGCTGGCCGAACCGCATTTCCGGGGCATTATGAACCCATCCTATAACGGCTTCGGCATAAACGGAGGATCTAGATCGTTTTCGATGCCGAGCGTGCATACTTTTGACCAGGTACCTTGGACGGGCTCTAGTCAATATGCTCCACCGTACAGTGTAGGCCAAACGTTGCCACCCCCGGTGCCCTACACTTCGGCATCTTCATATAACTATGATCACAACGCGATTTCATATGGCATGGCCCCACGGCATACTTTTCCTCAGCAGTTAGCCATAGTACCCCGAAGACACTCGACCATGAACGGAACGAACGGAAGTATTGACTATTCCGGACTCTCCCATCTTGATAGAGCCCCAATGAGCGCAACCCAGCTCATCGGCAATGACGGTAGTCTCGGAGGCCAGAATATTCCAAACCAATCATCGTACTCAAACGGGACTATGTTCGAAACATCAGCTACTGCCGCCGCCGCTGCTGCCGCCGTTGCGACCACTTCTTCTAGTTACCACCGGGATGTGTATGATAACAATGGTAGCCAAAGTAGTAGTCTGTATAATAATGGTGTCGCCATGAATACATCTTCCGGAATAGACGCCCAAGTAGAGAACAGCTTCGATGCTAGAGGTACTCATCATGCCCCACAGGATTTCAGCACCTCGCTGCCGGAACCCCGTGGGCATAATTCGGTTACCGCCAGCCAGGATGATACATCCGCTGCCATGCAGCTTGGACTTGGGAATACAGATCCTGCATCGAATTCGATGACGGATGCCGACTGGGCTGCTGGATTTATGCCCAACGAAAATTATGAACAGTGAGTAGATCCGTAACAACATTCCACACGCAATTTTTCTAACGCCTTAAAAAGGGACGAGCAGGGTGAAGAGAATGCAGAAGAAACTCCTACCTTACAGTTAACGCTACGGCGAATGAACATGCCAGATGGAAATCGGAAACTGATGAACTAATTCATTAGGAGGCACACCACTCCTTACTAGTGAAAAGACACCTATGTTTCTATACTGCTTTCGAACCCCTTTCTATTCCGATTTCCTAGCATTATGTTATTACGACATTGCATTATTATGTACCTCAGCTCCAAGCAGCGGGGTTTTGAGTTTTGAAGGCAAGGTGTCAGCGACAATCTTGGGGCCCACGTCCAATCTGGAAGAATCATAGAGCGTTGGCGTCCGGCGCAGTCAGGGAACATCGTCTTTTCGATAATTGATACCTGTGGTTTTGTACCACTGCGATCGCATACCGCCATTACAATTTCCACCAGCACGACTCGCAAGCAGAAATTCATTTTTTATCGATTATACGAATCCAGCCAGTCTTGGTATGGAGGCGGCGATCCTTTTGATTTGATTGTTTTTATTTGATTTCTTTCCCCTCCTCACACTCCACTACCCACTTTCACCATCGGAATCGCACCATTCAAAGTCTTATTTACCATTGTCTTCATTGTTACTTTCTTCGTTGGAGCCTGAACTTGTTCATGGACCAACTGTGAGAAACTTGTGATATCTGTGTCGGGTTTGATTCTGCTAGAGTAAACCGGGAGTTTTTATTTGATGGTGGCAGCAGTGTTTCGGAAAGGAAAGTCTGGGCTTGTCGACACAAGAGGTGTCTATTCCTAGGCGGATATCACTAGATGGTACTCCTCCGTATCTAGAACATTGATTACCTACATAGCAATAAAAAACATTTATCTCGGCATATATTTTCTTAGTCATTGAGGTTGAGGGGCTTGCATATGGTTAATTACCTACTTAATATGTGATCTAATATGTGATAATGTCGGGATTCTAGATGAGTCCTAGAAAGTCTGACCTGGCCTGGGTATAGATCGTTATATTAAAGATCCATTCGAGCCGGGCTTGAATTCTTTTTCTCTTGTTAGCAGACAGGTAAAAAAGGGATCTATTTCATATACTTAGGGCAATATTATTGGCTCGTGGGTAGGCATGTGGTTTTATGAGGGCTTGAAGGCCAGTTTGACGATACGGCGAGGTAAACTTATTTTGCCAATATATTCAGTCTGGCCTGACCTATTGAATTCGCTGTCTGTGATATCAATAAACTTGTAGAAATTGACGAGATTGCATAGAACTAGACAATGGGAAAAAGATGGTTTATATATATGGCTTTTCCCTTTCATCTATTGATAAGTGTCCAGTACTCATCATTTTTGTGCCGGTTGAGTTAGGTTGCGATATTCTGTAGGGTAATAGAGTTGATTTCATACTTATTCGTGTTGCCAGGAGAGGTTAATTCATGATGCTTGGGTTGAATATGTCCTTGTTATTACGAAGTAGGACTACGAAGCGTGCAAATAATTTGATTGTTCTGCGAGGAATTCTGAAGACTAAACTTAACTATAAAAGCATGATTATACATATACATATGCATGGTAGAAATATCCTTCGTTCCTGATGTATCATCTAGAATTAAGTATAACATTCACATGAGCTCAAGTTAAGGGAGCTTTTTTTTTTGGTTTGGATTTCTATTAGCGTTTTATCTATCATCTTTACGTAGACGTAGACGTTGCACACTGTCTTATCAATTAGTTCTTATTACTAAGCCGCGGCTCTCTAGTGGGGACCTGCTGTGGAATATGAGTTCCTTGGCGCTTTGCAGCCAATGACGTCGGGGATAGCTTAACTCCAATTACACGGTGCCGGAATACAACTTTTTTTTTCAAACTGTGGGCTCCAACTTGTACCTTTCAACCTGCTGTTTCTCAAGCCGGGTTACGAGCCTGCGAATTACAACTAGGTACCTCCTCAGTGGTGCCATTTTATTTTCCGGTAAAAAAGGATATTGATTAGCGCGGCCGTTCCCGGGTTATTGAGTCGGCGGTTGTTAGTGCTATATCTCGATAGATTCATCACTGGTCTTCGCTCGCGTTGGATGAAACTGCGCGTCTTGTTGGCTGGTCGATTGGCTTGGTTTAGGTGTACTGTGGTTACGAGTAATATGATACGCTCGATATGACTTCACGGGCTCTATGCGGTGGCGCGCGCGCCTCTCGCAAGTGTCCGAGTTTGGGTTCGACGAGTCTAGGCGTGAGCCTGCTATGTGCCGATCTGGCCGCGACGTTTGGAAGACTTGGGGCGACTCCTGCTATACGGAGGTCTGCGCATATCATGCGTACTTCTCCGCTAAGACCGAATGAAGCTACGTGTTCGAGTTTCACCTTGGTTGGGGCTAGCAATGCTAGAGTTAACCTCTGGTTTGGGTCCGGGTGTAGGAGGTCTTTTTCGCGGACTAGCATGGTTCTTGAGGAGCACGATAAAGCTAAGAAGAAGGACCAGTACGTCTTTCTCGTTGTGTTATGGGCTCACTTCTTGTTGAATTCCATACATCCTCCATGATCTTCCCTCAATTCTCTAAACCGATGAGTCGGTCTGGTCATAGCGCGTGTTCGCTAATACCAGACACAGAGTTTCCCCCGAAACATCTCCAAAACCAGCCATTGAGAAACCTAGAGGAATCCGGAAGGTCATTCCCAAAGTAATACCCGCGCTGACGCAGCACGAGAATATCTATACGGTTCCCAACCTGCTGACGTTTTCGCGTCTTATCGCCGCGCCTTTCATCGGCTACGCCATCGTGCACGACGCGCATACTTTGGCCCTGGGCCTTTTTGCTTACGCGGGCGTCTCGGATCTCTTAGATGGCTGGATCGCTCGCAGGTGGAAGCTCCAGACTGTTGTTGGGAGTGTGGTGGATCCTATGGCGGATAAGATGCTTATGACGGTGTTGACTGTGTGCCTTGCTTACAAGGGGGCGCTGCCTGGTACGTGCTCAACTTTATTCTCTTTTGTCTTCCGTGCGAATTGTCATATGACTGGGTTACCTCTCTACTGTTGTTGAGTTTATCATGCCTATGTCATGTCGGGGTTAAGATGAGAACCAATATGCTAACATATGATCAATAAAGCATGGCTAGCCGTCATAATACTAGGGCGTGATGTCGGCCTAGGCATCGCTGCCATTTACTACCGGTGGATATCTCTCCCGCCTCCGAAGACCTTCACGCGCTACTGGGACTTCTCCTTACCGTCGGCCGAGGTTCGTCCTACTACTATTAGCAAGTACAATACATTCTTGCAGTTAGGGCTGATGGGAGCTACTATGGTGACGCCTATTTTAACCGCGGATGTTGGACTGGCCATGTCGGCGTTTCAGTAAGCAGCTTCCCCCTTATTTACTACGTTTATTGTTGGCAAAGAGTCGAGCATATAGGGGTGCCAATGGTTGTTTCGATTTCTAACAAAACATAGGTACTTGGTTGCCACCACGACTGTCTGGAGTGGTCTGAGCTATGTGTTCAGTAAGGATGCGGTCAGGATCCTGTCTGAGAACAAAATCAAGTCCAAAGGTAAGTAGCTTATTAAATACTACAACCGTTTATATGATATTTTGATCATCGTGAAGCTTCAAGGCAGTTTCCGCTACCTAAAGGAGAAGCCTACCCCCACTTGTGGTTTATAACGTGTACATTATGACGAGTCGTATCAGGCGGATAAGGGAATGTATCGGTATACGATTTTTGGATTAACATGAGTGCGTTGACCTATATGGCGTGGAAAGGAAAATAAATAATCTTATCATTCCCTGTACAATTTGACCCTCTCAATATTTTGACTTGTCCGGCTTTGTTTGCCAACAAGGAGCCAATATACGGAGCACGTGACACGAATAAAAGAATTCAAACTTAGAAAGCGTTGATTTAAGGTAGATTATTCATCCGGCAGGGGACCCATCGCCTGCTACAATCAGCCTCATGCCCCACACCGCCTGCTGATCTAAGCTTATTTTTCTTATCGCCATTTCTTATCGAGAAATTTTGAGTTCGAAGACGACGACGTGAAAGTGCAAAATTCACAAATTAAATTCGCTACTTAGCATATCGTATTATTACGAGTATGAGAAAAGCTTGGAGGCCCCGGGGCTTAAGCCGGCCCAATAGCGCGATCCGAAGACCTTTAGCCTCATTAGGTCTTCATCGGAGTAACTTTGCCACTGTCGCTCAGGACACGAGGTTTGTATATGAAGCCATTTTTGCATATGTAGATGAATGTAAGCTAATTTGATGTTTCAGACCATTTGACGTTGTAGTAGTCGGTGGAGGTCATGCTGGAACGGAGGCATGCGCTGCTGCTGCTCGAAGTGGCGCGCGAACAGCTCTGGTTACACCTAAACTTGACAACCTCGGCGTCTGCTCGTGTAATCCCAGTTTTGGCGGAATCGGAAAGGGAACGATAATACGCGAGGTCGATGCGCTGGATGGAGTTTCGGGACGTATCATCGATAAAGCTGGCGTCCAGTTCAAAGTCCTGAACCGGAAGAAAGGCCCGGCCGTGTGGGGACCACGAGCTCAGATTGACCGGGCGCTGTATAAAAAGCACATGCGTGAAGAGCTCCAGTCGTATCCGAACCTATCTATCATAACAGGAAGTGTATCAGATATTGTTCTGGGCGAAAGCGCAGAGCCTACCAGCGGTTCGCCCAAGAGCAAAATTACCGGCGTGCGCCTCGAGTCTGGCGAGGTGTTACCTACCAATGCCGTTGTTATTACCACCGGAACTTTCCTGGGTGGCGAAATACATATCGGGCTGGATGTCTACCCATCGGGGCGGATGGGCGAAAAGGCTACGTTTGGTCTTAGTAAATCCCTAAGAGATGCCGGTTTTAAGCTTGGTAGATTAAAGACCGGTACACCTCCCCGTTTACATAAAGGGAGTATCAATTTCGATGTTTTAGAAGAACAGCGAGGAGATAATCCACCGGAACCGTTCAGCTACCTTGATGACAGAGTATCTGTACAGGAACAGCTCCTCTGCTGGGCTACCTACACAAATGACAAATCACACGACATCGCACGCGCTAACTTGGACAAGACGGTTCATATCCGTGAGACGGTGAGGGGTCCACGGTATTGTCCGTCGCTGGAGTCCAAGGTTATTAAATTTGGCCATAAAGAGAGGCATATTGTCTGGTTAGAACCGGAGGGCTTCAACAATGATACTATCTACCCAAATGGTCTGTCCATGACGATCCCCGCCGAGGCACAGGAACAACTACTACGCACGATCCACGGACTTGAAAATGTTCAGATGACTCAGGCTGGCTACGGTGTCGAGTATGATTACGTAGACCCGCGCGGTCTCAGGTCGACTCTCGAAACCAAGGCTATCTCAGGTCTCTTTCTCGCTGGTCAAATCAACGGCACTACGGGCTACGAGGAGGCTGCCGGCCAGGGCGTCATCGCGGGTATTAATGCGGGGCGCACAGCTCAGGGGTTGGAACCGGTCTCAATTACGCGCGCCGACGGGTACATCGGCATCATGATTGATGATTTAATCACCAAAGGTGTATCGGAGCCGTACCGCATGTTCACTAGCCGCAGCGAGTACCGCATGAGCACGCGCGCCGACAATGCGGATCTCCGGCTTACAGCCAAGGGCCGCGAGTGGGGCGTCGTAACGGATATCCGATGGTCCCGGCACACGGACGAGAAAGCGCAGATAGACGACCTGACCCGCGCTCTGGAACAATACACGCTTACCGCACCAGCATGGAACGCAGCCGGTTTCGCTAACCGCAACGATAGCAGGAAGCGCAATGCGCTAGATATCCTATGCCTTCCGGGCGTTTCGATCGGGGATCTTACAGCACAAGTTCCGGAGATTCTACGGCATAGCGAGCGAGTCCGCACGCGCGTCGAGATCGAGGCGCGGTATGCCCCGTACGTCCATATACAAGCGGCTGAGCGTGCGGCGTTCTTGCGCGACGAAGGCGTTCGGTTACCGGCGGATTTGGACTACGACTCTGTGGCGGGGTTAAGCACGCATGAGAAAGCGGCATTGAACGAAGCAAAGCCCGAGAGCGTCGGTCAGGCTAGGCGGATTGAGGGCATGACGCCTGCAGGCTGTGTGCGGCTGCTTGCTTTTGCGCAGAAGAGACAGGAGTTTGCGTATGCGAGTAGCGGTGTAGTTGCGGATGAGGGTGTGGTGGAGGCGGCGGTGGCGGATATGGCGCCACTAGGGGGCGAAGTCGATACTCTGGATGCTGAGGCCCGGAGGGGGGAACTGTAAACCGGGGGATTGAGGCATGTATATGTGTATATGGGCTGTACTTATACTAAGCGACGCATAATAAGGGCGTTGGGGTTAGAAATATTAGCATTGTACATATCACTTGATTTATCTAGAAGTCTACTCATTTTAGGTAGAGCCTTGGTAAGCACTTAAGACCCTATCTACCCAGGCATCATCTGAACCCATGGAGTATATATCCCCATTACATCCCGCAAAGCTCGCCGAATAACCGACGTGGTCAGTTGGTACCTAACGCGAACACTCGCGCTGTGCTATCTAAAACTTGTATTGCTTATTTCTATCAGGTATCTATATAAGTTAGTTATGAAATACAAAAGACAGTTTGTATATTGAGCGAGCGGATGGATTATGTGGGTGTGAACAGTTTTGGGGCCTTTTGCTATTATAAGTTTTGCCTTGAACTCATATCTCCCTTCGTCTGGGTATGTCTGGCTTGTTATCTACTACCCCCGGTATTTCTTTCGATATAACTTCTTGTTGGCTTGCTGCGGGATATTCAAAATACCTTGCCTCGGAGGTGGGATATGAATAGTGGCTTGGGCCAAAACAGAGTTGACGGCAATCGCTTGTTGGATCGTGTTATTATCCCCGTATATGTTTGTGATGTTTCTCGTGCTCTCCGAGGTCTTCTCTCTAAGGAGTAGGATTTGTGGGAGAACAAGGATTGAACGGAAATCAATATCGATCTCTTCATCTCCTATATGAATAGAACTGATGCCACTAACTATGACAAGTAGAACAATAATCACTCTAGTCCGTAACTTTTTTGGAAACATTTTTTTATTTATTTAAGATAGACGCGACACCTGGCAATGAATATAATTGCGTATAGGGTTGGACCGAGGAACTTCGTTGTAGCGATTCGGCTATGAGGGGGTTGCCTTTGCCGTTGTTGATCTGTCAACAGTGCATTTTGAGAACAAGTAATGTATATTGGTAAAGAACGACTCCTCGGACTTTTTAACAAGATAGCTGGCATTCTTCCTGGTAAAGAGTCAGATAATAGAATGGTATGTTCAATCTCCTAGATGGTGGTTGTAGAACTTATGCGGTGTGCCAAGGTGAAGAAGGTGAAGGTACCTGTAGTGCAACACGAGCCAATTTCCTAGGGGGCAAAATGACGATACACGTGTAAAGACGAAGGTGAGGTTTATGTATGAAGGATCAACTTCCATAACCTGCGCCGTATAATGATAGAATGGGCATGGGGTGGCAAAGCTGAGTTACCTAGGTCATGCACTGCCCCGAATGTAAGTCACCGAATGCATTACCTGGTGTTTCAATTAGGCCTACATTCAGTAGGCGATCTTTATCTCTGAAAGTGAGGCTATATACTCCTAGGTACTGAAAAACTTCCATAGCTCGGTGTAGAGCCTATGGTCTAGCGCCCCCATGGTAATCTGCATGGTTTTGTTCCCATCCCCTAACGGCTTGGTCTCGTAAAAGGTCAGGATCTGAAATTTTTCAAGAAGTTGACGAAAGTCATCCGCGATCGTGTCTAGGAAGAAAACGGCTCCTCCTTTATAGCGCTCATGAAGCTATTTCTCGGGTTCCTCAGTAAGGAATGAGCAATTTTGGCCGCTACATCGCCTATTCCTACATTATTCCCTCCTTTGTGGTGGGTGCCGAAAAAGGCAATACCAAATGTGGATTTTCCAATCATTTCATAAGTCTTATCGATACTTGAATGGACGAGAGCCTGGCCATAGTTAGAAAAGATAAAAACCGAGAGAAACCTCAAGTTATTTAAACCAGATCTTCTCTTTGCATATCTTCGTCAACATAACTTACACGCTTCACGATGATGCCGCCCAGGCTATGACATAACATATAAACATCAACGGGCGATCATTGTCCATCTATTCTTAATAAGCTATTTGAAATCATCAGGTGGGAGATCATACTCACAACTCGGGCTGCTTTTAGCTGGTTCAGAAGATTCTCGGCTTGTTCCCTTACTCCTGCGGCCGCTGTTTGAATTGCCACCTGCGTGTCATCTATTCAAGGGCCTCGGGTGTGTGATAAGCTTATGTGAATAATTAATCAAGATGCCACTACAGTGTCTTATACGTCTTCATATATGGAGAAAATGTTCCATCAGAGCCTCATTCCAAGTTTTGACGAGGCTCCCTGTAGTAGTAGATCGGGACCCATTCAGCCATTTTTCGCTTCTTGTAGTTGAAATTACTTAAAGACGGCCAAAATTGAAAAGCTAAGTAACTGACTTTACAACCCTATCATGAATCACTTCCCCAGTCACAGATATACCTATATCACTTTACTGAGAAAATTAGTCGTAAGTGCTTTGCCCTATTTTATATTCTGTCAAGCATTATAACCTAGCACTATTTCCTAGTCCATCTCTCTAACAACGAAAATGGACTCTCAGCAGCACGGGCCGCCACCCCCCATATCGCGAAAATTCAGGAGCCTTGGGGAATAAAGCCAACAATCGCGGAAACAATAACAAGACGGCCCAAGCTGGTGAAAGTCACTCGGCTCTAAACGAAGGGGATGGGAATACGACAGGCCAAGCCGATGGTGGTAGACACTGGGGCCTGAATAGAGGGAATCAGAATCAAATTTGGCAACTTTCGAGTATTTCAACGATTGTTATTGCTCTTGCTGCTTTGTTTGTGGCACAAGTAATCTCGTCTTGAGTCTCTCGCTACTTCACCTCTTGAAGAAGAAACTATTGAAATATTGAGATCAGGTCGTGGCCAGACGACCTTGGTATATACGTTTCGTGGGCCAATTCAAACAGACTGAAATTGTATGCCATCTATCAGCTTGATAAATTTACCATTCTACCACATCTGACCACAGGCACTACTCGCCCACTTCTTTGCCAAACCCCACGCCCATGCCCATGAATCTACCCACCCCTGAATTTCCTGAATATTTCCTTCCTCGAAATGTTTCCCTCTGGAATTGGTCTCGCTATTATGCATGTGGCCAAGACCAAGCAGAGTAGATGAGTATCGGTCACGGCTGACATCGCTGTTGTTGCCCCTACCACATTGCAGTGTCAGGTCTTGGTTTCCGTCGATCTTGGTAATGTTTTCCATCCCGAACTGAACTGTTCCATTTCCATCCACTTTAACTTCACTGTCCTCACCCGAACCCTGCTGGGCGGTTTTATTAAAGTCCCCGTCGATATGACTCCTGTTCTTCTTCCTCATCCCTAGAATTCCTCCAATTTGGAACGATGCATTACCATTGCCATTATTTATGGCTTCGTGCCCCTCAGTCTTCGACCATTTGCGATAATAATCGATAACCTCTTCGAAGCTACTATAACCCAATGCCATGGCGCTTTCAGTTTGACTTTGTATAATTGCGAGTAAGCCTTAACTGTATAACAACCTAGTCTATTGTTGGTCAACCTGAATGTAACCTAGGAATCATGATGATACCTATCTCCCGAGAATTATCCGAATTTGGTGGCTGTTATTACCAAGACGTTTTCTGTATTGTATTTCGTATATGAATCTCTCGTCGTAAGCCCTGCTGTTTTGATGAGGGTGGTTATAAGGAAGCATTTCGCAGATACTTAAACATACTAACCTAGGTTAAAGCTTTATAGATTAGTCGCACTTAATAGTGTGTGTGTAGAAACAGGCAGCATCTATGTATTGGCGGGCTGCCTCAGTTGCCCATCTATCATGCTAGGTAATTATATGTTAGTTCGCGCAACGGTGCACGAGCCATTACGCCCGCTAGGTAGTATTGTATAAGTCGTGTTAGGTACATAGGACTCGGTCCCGGTCAAATCCAATTTTGGGAGATGAACGACAACGTTAACCATCTACGCCATGCCATTTGTCCACTCGAGACGCTCACCGGGGTCTCGGTGAGCCTCATCAAGAAAACGATCCGGATAGCATAATACAGCTGTACTTAGAAAGTAAGTGGCCTTATTTTAGTACTAACTTATATTATTATCATTCCCCAATTCTTCGTAGAACCTCAGTTCTCGCGCGCATAACAAGAATACCTACCACAGCCATGTTGTAATGTTACTTCAGCCTTATTGCCTACGTCTTACTAATGTGACAAATTCTCCTATGGTCTTCTTAAGGTAGTTCCTTGCGATACTATATTGCAGAACGAAATAGCGCCCTCCTAAACGCTATCATTTAATAGGTATATACTAACACCTTACATGCATCGACGTTCACAAACAAACAATTATATTGCAATAGGCCTATCACATCTGAAGTTCTAACAGGCTGGATTATTACAGGTAACTCAAGATGCGTAGATCAGAACCCACCGTTGGCTGGGACATTTGTTTGGAATTAACCCATCTGGAGATAAGATGGTGGTTCATTACAAAATGCCCGGTTAGCTTCCAGGAATTAGGCGCCAGCATCCAGTGTTCCAATAACGAATAGCATTCGCTTGCTGTGTGATAAATCGTCTAGCACAGTACCACACACACACACCCTGACGCCTTTGGGTTCATGCCAAGCCTTGTTCTACCGCATGAACATGCATCCCAAATGCGGGCTGTCCACAATGCACCATTAATCATGACATGTGACTTCGCCCAAATAGCCTGCAGAGCCCCAAAGTCTCTAAATGGGAAGAATCTTCATATTAACATAGGTAATTGGCCTATCTACCTTCTCCCAAGCTCCTTCCTCAACCTCCCCGCGGTTGTAGTCGGCGGCGGCTCCGGCCACGAGGACACTGCATCATCGACCTCCTCAAGGAACGTAGCTGCGTTATGGATATTAGTCCCACCCAAGACGACTCTGATGCCAGGCGACGAAGCGTTGATGCTGGCGACCGTCTTGGCCTCCTCGTACGTCGCCCCACCAATCACGAACACTATGATATCCTGGGGTTTATCCCGCGTCGTGCCGCCACCCTCTACAAACGGGTACTGCTGCTCGCGAAGCCGGCCCTTAATTAGATTTTGGAGCGTTGTCTCTAAGTGCGGCGAGTGCTGCGTGTACACGTTCTCGACGCCCTTTAACCCCTTTATGGCCCGTGCGCCCGAGAAGATACCCCCCGACTCGAAGATATCCGCGATGCCGCCGGCTGCCTGGGACTGCTGTAGGGAGTGGCGGTAGATTAGTAACTTCGCTACCATGTCTGCCTGTCGCGCAGGTACACCACCGGCCGCCGTCAATAAGTCTACTAGCATAGCCAGCGAATTTGATGGGTGCTTTTCATATCGTAGGGCATACAGCGCCACGAGTCCGACCTTGTTCTCGGGAGTTACGGACGGGGACTGTATTAACTTCTGGACATTCTATACAAAGTTAACTCATTATGTCTGTCTGTTAAGGAATTAGGTTACAATACCCGTAAGTCGGTAGCGTGATTGTCATTACAAGCCAAGCTTTGCTCGACCTCGCTGACCTCGAGCAAATTCTCGGCGCCCACTCTCCGACTAAGTTCCGAAACCAAGGTAACATGCTTGCTAACGTTTCCGGAAAGTTTCCTGAATTCTGGGTATTCCTCGATGAATCGTTTCATATCTGTGATTGACTCGATGTTGGCGTTGTTCTTCGTCTTAGACTGGTACTGCTCCACGTAATCTTTGATGTTCCCGCCGAGGTCACCAAAATTCAAGTACATATTCTTCTTGAAGAACGGATCTTGGTCTTGCGATAGTACTATCTCTTTAAGTTCTGGACGGACATCTGGAACCTCGTCCAGGTTAACCCGTCCGTTGTGAATCCCGAGCAGCTGATGTACCATGGCCTGGTATGTCCATTGATTGAGTAGTGGCGTAGCGGGATCCTCTCTCCGATCTAGAATAAGAAGTATGGGCGGTGTGTCTACTTTTCTAAAATCAAATAATTGCTCCTCCTGAGTAATATGATATCTCACTTCGGTAGCTAGTTTCTTAGCCAGCAAGCTATTCCTCTCATACCGGATGAGTGGTTTCTTCTTAAGCGACAGCAGGATAGCCATCAATCCATCGGTAGTCCGCTGCAGCGAATCAGGGTTCCATAAATCCGGATTGCCGCTCCATATTCTCTGCTGTGGTAAGGTAAGATTGAATGAAAAGAGGTCTGGGTTGATAACGAGGTAATCGGCAAAGTGCTCTTGAACCTGCTTGACGACCTCATGATCATCCGCTTCGGCCAATCTTTCTAATGACGACTTCTTCACAACGTTGCTGAAATACAAGTAGTATTCGCCGTACTTGGGGTCTCGTAGCTCATCAATTAGAAATTGGATGGAATCTGGAGATGGCCGGACAAAGCACAGACATCTCAGATGTCGCATCTTCTCTCGATTCTGGTTATCAAGTCGATCGGTAAGATAGACTTCGTGGTTGAGTAGAGACGATTGTGTGATGGCAGTAGATACGATTGGCACTGTGTCCTTATCTAATAAGAGTATCTTCATCTTTGCGGATGGAGTCCCCGATGCGCTGTCCCCGGCCGACACCATCTTAGAGATGTAGCCAGAGACGGCTTGAACAACATCCATCTTGGTCGGCTCCGCAAGATGTTGCAATAGAAAGTATTCCTGAATCTAGGCTTGTAGCAAAAGTGATTTCAAATAAGAATCAGATTTGCTTGTTCATCAGTAAATGAATATAGTTGCAAGATCGCAAGGTTTCTACTTGTCGCTTATAAGTTGTTGGTGGACGAATTAAAGGGAGGTTTAAGCTCATGCGGCTTAGAGAATAGATCGTCATTATAGCAGGGGTCTACTAGTGTACTATGTATGTGCGTTGCAAATGCTAAATGACGTTAACGTATCTAGTACTTGATTCCACCTATATATGCTTAGTAAGTTGGGGTAGCGAGTACCTTGCCGATAAGATAAAGACTCAAGCTTATGCAGGACAGCTCTGAAAGTTGTTAGATTAGAAAAGTTTAAAGCTTCCATCTTCCCGCTTCCCGCTTGAATCTCACTATTGCTTCATTTTTAGATTGTTCAAGGTTTTTGGAAGTTTCGCTCTAGATGTCATAAGCTAAGATGGCTGCGGCTACGGACGTGTGTCCGATGAAGCCTGAACCGACGTAGGTGAATTTATTGATTCCCGCTCATTGTTTATATTAGTTATATAATATGATAGTCTAACTTCATCACCTGGAAATAGCTTGTCGTTCACCCAAGGGCTCATCGTCGGCCAAATCTCCGTCGTACTCCTCCTAGCCGCATTTATAAAATTCTTTATATTCGGAGAAGCTCCATCGGCCGAAATAACGGCCTCTATGCGAGCTGCTGAACGTCGATCCCGTACCCTCGCCCACCGACAATCCATTCTTACTCTACGATCGACAACACCAACCGCGGCGAGGCCATCCCTACCGCCAACGCTGAATAAGAAGAAATCGAGTATACTCCGGAGCCCGCCTACGCTTACGATAGGTTCCATATTAAACAAGACGTATTACAACGTCGATAGCCACCAACCTGAGTCGTTGGATTGGTTTAATGTCCTTATCGCTCAAACAATCGCCCAGTTCCGCAGCGATGCCCAGCAGGACGACGCGATACTTACCTCCCTCACCAAAGCCCTCAACGGCACCTCGCGCCCAAGCTTTCTTGACGAGATCAAGGTCACCGAGTTGACTCTAGGCGAAGACTTTCCCATCTTTAGTAATTGCCGCATCATACCTGTAGACGAAGATGGTTTAAGTTTAAACACGGGCCCCAACGGGGAGAAGCGTTTCGATGCCAACAGTTCTCGGGCGAAGCGTGAAGGGTCGCGGCTGCAGGCCCGGATGGATGTCGATCTCAGCGATATGATTACACTGGCACTCGAGACCAAGATCCTTCTCAACTACCCAAAGCGGCTGACAGCTGTATTGCCTGTCGCTCTCGCCGTCAGCGTTGTGCGCTTTAGCGGCACCTTAAGCATCTCTTTCATTCCGTCAAACCCTTCGCAGTCAACTCCAACTATGATGGCATTCAGCTTCCTCGACGACTACCGCCTTGATTTCTCTGTGCGTAGCCTCGTAGGTAGCCGGTCGCGACTACAGGATGTTCCTAAGATTGCCCAGCTCGTCGAGTCCCGCTTACACCGCTGGTTCGACGAGCGTGCAGTCGAGCCCCGCTTCCAGGAGATTGCGTTACCTAGCCTCTGGCCGCGCAAAAAGAACACGCGTGGCGGTGACGACCCTCTAGAGGGAGTCTCGACGGCATCAAGCAGCATGAGCAAGGGCAAGGGCCGTGAAGCTGCTAAGGATGTCAGAGAGGAAGCCTTTAAGGAAGTTCAGGCCGAGGCCGCGGCAGGGCAGAGACGTGAGCTGAGCCCACCTGATAATCTAAGATACCGACGAGCTAGAGGTCGGGACGATGCCTCTAGTACGGGGGGATTTAGCATGCCGGGAAGTTTACCAGGAATGACACTTGATCTACCAACTTGAGCCCAGTTAATCTTGCTGTCACGGTTATAAAATCGACAACATAGTTGAGATATCGTACCGAACATCAGGGCTCCACGTAAACGACACTGGGCCATGAGCTCGTGAGAGGATGAGGCGACAGTGCCCCACAACCAAGACATTACGGTCAGATTGCAGCTATTCACTCCTTTGTCGCCTAGCAGGGCTGTCACCAAGTGCTGGGTAAACATTTCCCTGCGTGACCACTAGGAGGGGCGAGGCGAGGAGGCCGCTCGAGTTATGTAAGCTTTTAGGAAGCATCTTGTATGATCTATCCATGTATAAAATGTAGAGAATGCGGGTTCAATCCCATAATAGCTAGTTAGCCAGTAGCACTATATATATCCCGTAAGCTACCCAATAGGTAGCTATACGTGCTGTGTTAGATTGGTCGTTGCCAGATAGAGAGGCAATAATATCACAATGTATACCAAATATAATATATCTGAAGATACACCAAGCTTTTACAGTACCTTTGAACTTGTGTGATAAATATTTGAACGTGAGTAGCACACTATATACTTAGAAGACTTTTATACATTTTATACATTTTATATTATGTTTAACCCTGACATACATCTATGCAAATCTTCCCAGAGAGATTCCTAGAGAGATTCGACAACAAAATAAATACTACCTACTTCATAGACAAACTACCACCTACTCAGTTTATATCCTTAACTATACCTACAGAGACTTGGACGTAGGATATAACAACTTTGATCCATATTGATATAAGGTATAATATATAATATATAAAGGTACGTAAGTGATTTGAATATTTAAACATACGACGTTGATATAATACGGGCTATGCTAAACTTACGAGAAGGACTACACCACCTCATATCATTTTCCGACTGCTACCTTCTTTGTACTTTTTATTGGCCAGTTATGATAATAAGTCTCATAATTGAAGTCTGTAAATGCTCAATGTTACATATATAAGATACAGAGCTGTAAATCTCATTGTAATCAACTTTAGAAACTATCAACTAGAAATACTTATCAATGCCTGAAACGATCACGCCTTACCTGGGCTGAAAATGGATAGGTTGCTTTATAAGCAAATTTATTACCGATTTTGATATTCGAAAAAGAGTTGCAGGGTTAGAGGTTGGGTAGGGAGACTTCAAATTAGTTATCACATAGCCCAGCTAGTAATCTGTGTATAGATTTGGTAGTATTGCCTTTTGTATATCATTACATGCATAGATACCCATTTACTTATGACCAGTTATATACCACCAATTACCAAACCTAGTAAACTGGGTGATTTGAATCTGGGATTAGAATCGAGAGTGATAACTTCGATATGGACTGAGTTTTAAGGATATTGTTTGGTATAGGTCATATCAACGATTTCTTTGTGACATAGAAAGCACCACGACATGAACGGAATAAGAGTGGGTGTTGCATGAATATTTATTTTATTATGATATCATTGCGATATTGCAAACTACCTAGCCATACTATTACTGCGTAAGAACCGGAACTTGAAATGGTTTGATATCTGTGTCATATTCATCAAACTACGTAACTACCTACCTATCTAACCATTGTCATATATTAACGGGGACCAAGGCATTCGTACTCTCCGTCAACAAGCCTAGGTTTCTGTACCATCCCACTGCGCCAGCAACTAGAACTATATAGTAAACTACGGTCCACATAACAGAAGGTCGATACGACTGCCCTCCCTCACCAATGACGATAGCAGGATAGACACGGCCCCAGACGCGAGGCAGACCCAAGCAATTACAAAAAGCGTGGACTACGAAAACGGCCATTAGGCTACCGGAGCGCAGGAACAGAAACGTGGCATAAGCACCAAATAATGTTGTGTAGCCGAGCTGCATCAAGGAACGCAAAAGCCCGAACGTCACAGGTACTTGCGGATGCGTGATGCGGAATTCATAGAAGTGATGTAGATGCGCGAGCCCGAAGACTAGTGGTGAGAGGAAGACGGTGGTAGTCACAGAGGTCTGCGCCGCGAGCATAAGCGGCACGGAGGCCGAGCGGAAGAGAGCTTCTTCTGTGAAAGGTCCCTGCGATTATTAGAATTTGCTTATTTGGAGCTTTCTAAATAATAAATATGTGATGACTGGGATATAATCAGAGTTGCACAGAGTGCTATTGTATTGTCCTCACTGACAGGTCTTGAGTCTGCTCAGAAACACGGACCAATGTTTCTCATCATGATGTAAGGGGATGTGGCTTGGCCAGCTAAGTATTGTATGTAGCCTTTGGATTGTATGAGACAAGATATCAAACTTACCGCTACAATGTTACGCCAGGTCGTCAACTCACCGAAGAGATCAGACAACGGCTGTAAAGATAACCAATCTCGCCATCCTCCATCGACAATGAGACGTTCGTACAATGGCCCGGCAAAGAGGATGGCGGTGAGCAGGAAGCACTTCGCCGTCTCTACGAGGCCAAGGGGCCAGTAACCTAGCGTATGCAGGGCCTCAGCTGTCGTAGCCCGACCCTGCGACGTTAAGATCACAAAGGTAATAGTAGAGCACGCGATGCAGGTCAGTGAGACCGAGGCTATCCGCGCGCGGATCACAGACGGCGCGTCCCGCGATAGAGTACGAGATGGTCTGGTAGTGGGTGAAAGGTAAAATGGCACCACGTAGATGAGCGTGTAGATTACCTAGCTACCAGTCAATGACTCGAGCGCTTCTTTTTCTGCCCGATGCCAAACGCTCGTGGGAGAGCTGCGTCTAGCTGCATGCATAGTTGGGGACTTACAAGTAGGAAGACCGCGGTTCCGGTGCTGATTGGTGGTGGTTTTGCTGGCGCGGCTAAGTTAGAGAGAGGTAGTCGGTAAAATGGATTGGGCAGTACTTACGCTGTTCCTTAGCGAAGTAACGGGTTATAAAACCTGGTATCGAAGGCATCTTAAACTGGATACTGGTTTTGTCCCAGTGTTTTACCTGTAACCTGTTCGGGGTGGCTAGAGTGATGTTTATGAGATCAATAAGAAGCTCAATAATAGATGACAAGAAAACGACACCGAGGTCTGCAAAGCTGACAAAGCTTTCGACTACTCTCGCTTGCTCTTTTGCTCTTTGATAGCTTTAACAATGTCTTAACCTAGACAAGTCCTCAAGCATAAAATGAGATTCCCGTGAACACAAGGATGAATGAATCGTCGGGTCGCATGAAGGATATGACCATGCTCGATCGGATTATGCCTTAGAGAGTGGCTATAAAGAGTGTGGCATGCAGGAGATTGACTCTGCCTTACCCCCTTGACCTAGTCGAATTCTCCGACTGCCGGACTGAAGAAAAACTTACGACAGCTCAAAGGTCCAAGTCAATGCAGAATTAATGCAGAACGACGACATAGTTCGTTGTAATATCCGACCTTCTGCAGGAAATGAAACGGAGACTGGACAAAGGCTTGTTTACCTTATGTCATGAGAAAATATACGGCTGGTTGAGCTGCTTTCTCGGCACCTGTTGGCGCTTCAACCTGCAGGAAGCGTCTTGTCGACCTACGAGATGGTAGTGTAAGCGCGAGCGGCTCTTCAACCCGTTAAGCCATGGGTTTCACGGGCTTGAAGCCAAGACAGACGCCGTGTCAAGGATGGCTGCAGGAGGTCCTTATATGGATGAGAGGGAAAGAATCTCTGAAAATCTACTGCATGTTCGACGTGTGCATACATATTTGTTTGACCCTCTGAGAAAAAATGGGCGCTGGTAAAAAAAAAAAAAAAAAAAAAGAAATTTCAATTCAGGTACGTACATATGTAACCTAGTGTAGGTACATCACATCACATATCTTAGGTACATTATACATAACCTAGCTCAATGGATTAATCAGGGGTCCCTAGTTGGCTAGCCCGAGCCCACTTATTAGCCCCGTTAATTCGTTTATACAGTATATATATAGCGTAGTATAGCACTGTTAGGCACGGTCTTTCAGGTGGAGCTCTCCTATGGGGACAAGACGTAATCCATAGGCAGGTACATAGATACATCGTGCTGGTGGCTTGCAAGGACGATTCGTGGCTCCAGTACCTAAAGCATACAGCTTTCGAATTAAAACGTCGCATCGCTGCTATCTCTTTCATTCGTTGCTTGAATTCTAGAATGGTCGGCAGATGACTGAATACTAAAATAACCCTTTTCGTCGACGAATGGACTATTAAAGGGAAAACACGAAATGCACGCGCTTATCAGCTATTTCGCGCCAGCCTTTCTTATAGGCGGGCTACGAAATGCAAAACACATGTACCTAAGTACTGACCTAATCGCACCAGTAAAATGGGGCTACATGGACAAATGAAAGGACTTGAACTGGAAGTTGGAATTATGGGGTTCTGCAGGTTCCGTTGCTAAGCCACGTTCTTCTTTCTTTCTGGCCCATGCTTCCACTGTTTCCTTTTTAGCATTAGACCTGAGCTGCTTAACCGTCGGAATTTTTAGTTGGGTCTTGATCTTTGGTTTTACTAGGATTACATCCCCAGACTAACCAGATCTCGGCCAATTGCACCTTGCTGTGGCCAACGTCTAATTTGCTATGTACACAATCTCTTCACCGATCTTTTGCCCTTGCTCAAGATTATTGACCTTAGCTGTTTCGTACCTAGGTACCTACGCTGCTATGTTGGTATGGTAACAAGTGTCTCTGTCGGGATGGTATGGCCACGATGCGACCAAGATGTCGAAGATGAATGAGAGAGAAAAGAAAACTTCCGTCTGGGCTGTCTGGATGGAGAGTATTATGGCGGGCGTCTTCTGAGACAGATGCTAACTTCTTGGTTAGGTTTTAGTGACGAATGGCTGGTTGACGGATTGCAGATGATGGGTTGTAGTCCCCGGCCTCCGCAGTAGCCCTTCAGACTGCAACTGTGGTAGGCTTTGTCGACCGCCTTTGTCCACAATTCTTTTTAACCTCATTTCAACCTACATCCAGACGTGCATACATACGTACTGTACTACCATGTATGTATGTATATATGTACAAAAATGCTGCAGGCGGATGGATCCTACAAAGAAGCAACAGAGACCATAGTGGCCTTAGCGCTAGCTAGGTATCGTCTTTCTGGTAGTATCTTGTTATCATTTTCTATCGCAAGGACGGAATCTCAAGATGTACATACACATGGTGTACGAGGTGAGATGTCAAGCGATGCGGTACATGTGCGACTCCTTGTCCATGTCAGCCTTTTCTCCTAGGCCGGTTTTGGTACTAGGGTTCCGTGAAGCTTCTCCTTGGTCTTAGTCTTCTCCAGCGCTCCCCCTTCGGCTTCTATGCCCGCGCTGGCTCGATGGAACCCTGGACGCTCCCTTTCGGCTGCATTGCATAGCTTGCTGGGTAATATGCAGCCGCCTTTAGATAGATGACTCCAGCCGCTAGCCAATCGATCTCGACTCGGCACTCCGGGGCACCTTTCAAGAAATAATACCTCTCCTTGCCCGTCTTCTGACAGCTTCGCTGCTTTTTGCCATCCCGATCTCGTTTCTTCCCCGCGGATGCGTGTGTGTGTGTGGTCTGTATGTAGTGTAGGAATTATCTTTTGGGCCTCTCTTTGACGACCCGTCCCACTCCTTTCTATTATTATTTCTCTAAAGATCCAAACTAAAGCTTGTCTATGTGACGCTTGTCCATAACGTCCCTGTCTGGATTTTCTGTTACGCTATTTTCATAGCGATATAATATTTCTACGAACTTCACGTCTTTCTTTGACATCCTCGGCTACTCGTTAGTCCTTCGGTTTTCGTTATATTTTATTTATTAATGTTCTACACTACTCGCCCGTCATTAACCACGATCTCCGTACCGCTCGGAAAATACACTCGCTATTACAATCGCTTACATATAGTATACGCTACTCGAAACGAAGCTCTACGTCGAAATATACGTCGCCTGTTCCCGGATCTGCATATAGCATCGCCGTTTACGTAAATCGTTATGGCCTTTGTCGAAACACTCTTATAGCTGCTGGCCTTAGGTAACTTTTGATTTCCCGCGACTATTTCCCGCATCATCGGGCCACGCCCGTAGTTGAGGATGTCTTCGACTTCGTCATCGTCAACCCAGTTGCCGAGGACGCCGTTGCACGAGAGGTCGGATTCGGAAAACAACAAATTGCAAATTCGCATGGTCCCTTATTCACCACCTAGGCCTCTCGATGAAGGAGATAGCAGCAGGTTGTCTCACGCAGACGAACAAGTTGAGGAAGAAGAAGATGATGATGATGATGTTCAGAGCACAACCGACTCGGCAACTGTCGCAACACCAAGAACGCCAAAAGCCACGATCCATAGGAGGCAAGGCCATGGCGCCGACTCATCACGTTCGCCATCATTTTCGACACCTATTTCACCATTAGCTGGGATCATGGGTAGCGAGGTTTCAGGGTCGAAACTCGCTTCTGGCTCAAGTGGTGTTGAATACACTGCCCCACAAACCCCTGTCATTAATAGGCCATCATATGGAAGCAATATCAGGCGTAGTAATCCCCAATCGCAGCCATCACCATCGCGCCACGATGACGGACCTTCGCGGCCACGGAGAGGAACCGTATCTAGACGAGAAAATTACATTAGCGTACACTCAGACAAGACCTTTTCAATCGTACTCAAGTCAACGAACCCGAACTCACGCCGTTCAGACAGGTCGGGGTCGATTGTAAAATCGCTTCCGCTCTCTAACGTCTCTACCAACGTCTCCACTATCAGCTCGCATGAAGAAAGTTCCTTTGACGCATCTACCGAAGATCATCACGGATCTCCATTGAGCTCTGTGCTCGAGCGCAGCATCTCGCCTAATACATCAGGCTCCCCCTCCACAATCACAGCGTTACCAGAAGAATTGGTCCAACCTTCGCCCTGGAATTACCGCATGGTTGGTGGCTTGCGTAAAGTTCCAATTACCCCCGATCCCAAAGGCAAGGGTAAGCAGAGAGAACTTTCGGAATCTCCTTTACCACCATTGCCGGTAACGACCACCCCATCGCCGGAACCTTCATCTCCGCTCGTGACGAAGCAATCATTTAATTCCGAACAATCCGCATCGACGATCGAAGAGACTACGAACTACAAAGTCGTAGGTCGCAGTTCTCCGCCGCTACCAGACACGGCAAGCATTGAAGTGCCGTCTTCATCCAGCAGTGCGAACTACAAACTTCTCGGGCAATCATCCCCGGCCCGGACTCTTGCCTCGACCGTTGGCCCTGCAATCGCTGATACTCCAGGAAGCAAAAACTATATCGTATACGACGCCTCATCATTATCATCCTCGAGTACTCCTTTCCGTGGACACCGTTACCATCGTTCCGACGACAGTTCCCAACGTAAAGTACGCGAGAGGTATTCGCAAGAAAGCCTCCTCGTGCCTCCGCTTAGACCGCACAAGCGATCATCATCTGAAAGCATCGGCTATAACAAGCAGCAGTCGGGAGAAAATCTTCGAGGCCGAGCAAGCTCGTTCTCGTCTCTTTCGAGTATAGTTAGCCAGGATACCGGGTCCCTTTTCACTGGTTCCACCCCGAACGTCGTTCTTTTACACCACACGCCTTCCGCCTCGTCTATCCCGCAACCTACAAGAGCAGAATCGTCGAGTACGGCACAGCAAAGAGCACATATGGATACGCATCAATGGAGCTCACAGCTCTCGACTGTAATATCTGAATACGAAGGCAGCGATCCTGGCTCTCGTGGGGCTTCTGCCGGTTCTATGGCGAACCGAGTCAGCAGTCTTCTCGGAAGCAGGGACAGCAGGCACATACGCAGTATTTCGTCGTCGTTGGTTCTAGATAACTTGGAAACCCGATTGTCGCATTCGAGGTCGCATTCCCAAAGCGATTCCTTGGATCGCCCGGGGGCTGTTTATTCAAGGGGAAGAGAACTGCCTATTTCTTCGGCTCGTATGATTCGAGATCACGATGAGCACGGTGACGGATTAGCAGATCTTCAGCATCTTCAACACAGATCGTCCCGGACTCGCCTCGGCTTCTCCAGACAAGCTTCAGATAGAAGTCTCCGCTCCAGCGCGAGCTCGCGTGCCGGAAGCTTAGTGGCCTCCTCTTTCCCATCTTGGGCAAGGTAAGATATTCAAGTAAAATACTAAAAATACTGCAGTCCCTAATAATTATTCCAGACTCTACTACAGTAGTCCAGACAGACGTTGGCTCGCGCCGCTTTCTAGATCGCCTTCCGAAGTTAGCGATTCCGCACGGAGTCCCTGGGTAGGTAGTGGGTCGCCATCTCATAACCAGTACGCCCAGCCTATTTACAACCCACGTCGTCGACCGAGGGATGTATCAGATCCTCGGAGCTACCAATCAGAAGATTCGATGGAGATCGCACCGGTTTCTGAAGCCGGCGGCGTACAACGAGCTCCTAAGAAGAAGTCCTCAAGCCTATGGTCGCCACATCTTCGCCAGGATACCCGCGCCAGTAATTTTAGCATGTGGAATACGCCCTCCATCACCTGGTCTGCCGACAGCGGCATGTTTGGGAAGCGCAATCTCCAAGTAGCTCTCTTCGTAATGGGGTTTCTATTTCCCTTTGGTAAGTAAATTTTAGATGGGTGGGTTTTGCAATTGCTAACGAGGATAACAGCTTGGATGATCGCAGCTTTCTTGCCACTCCCCCCAAAGCCAACGCTCGCCATGGAAGAAAGTGCTTATAGTACAACTCAGTTTTCTACTTCAAACCATGTGGAACCTCCCCAAGGACGAATCATTCTTAACGACGATGCCCGATACCAGAGTGCGCGATGGTGGAGAAACATAAATCGTTTCTTAGCCGTCGCGGGACTCATAATTGTCGGCGCGGTTATCGCTCTCGTCGTGGTGGGCGTTCGGGAAAAATGGGGCCGATCATGACGACGACTCCTACGCGCTCAATTCATAACCTACAACCCCGATATCTTTCTCTATTTTTATCCTCGAAACGACGAACTATGATCCCTTTTTACGTAATATGTAATCACGATCTCACGAGCCATGCGGCTGCACAAAACTACCAACCATAAATGATTCCGACATCATCATTCTCACCACCTTTTTATATTCTCCGCCACCACATGTTCGTTCGTCTTCACGCTTTCTTCACGCTTTTTTCAATTTTACGAATTTTGTATACCTTACGATGAACTCTTAACGATATTTCCCTTCGATCGAAAAACACCCCCTTTTTTATATTTTAACTTGTACTTTTTGTAGAAAATTTTAGACGGGAGCAAACGGGACATGATACCCTCGAACCAAAATGTTTGCTTTGGAGTCGGGTCGTACGGAGTGTCTGGAGAACGAGACAGCCTCCTCTGGTACGCGTTGTTTTGTTGCTTTCTTGTTGGCGTGGTTGCTTGGCCGTTTGGCTAGCTAGCTACTGAGGTAGTTTTGGGGTTGGGAGTTGGCACGAGGGGTGAGGGAAATGAGGGTTTTACTTCTTGCTGAGGGAGGCGTTTGCCATGGTATGATACGAGGCGAGGAGGAAGACGAAGTTACAACGGTCTGCGGAATGGAGGAGGAGGAGCAAGATTCGCAGATGAATTGGGTTACGTTACGTTACGTTACGTTCGTGCCGGGTATCTACAAATATCCGAGCATTTCGAGTAGGGAAGGGAAGGGAAGGAAACTCACTAGGCACTGAAAAGTTCAGATTCGATGCCGTTACGGATATCTGCGTAATAATGTCTTTCACGCCTGGTTTTATTTTTAAAGCTAGATTGTTGTAGACGGAGACGTACGAAATCACGCCTGCGATGACAAGATCTTACGAATTGAAAAGTCAATTTTGAAAACTAAATCACTCTTCTGCCTATGCTTTTGAAATTGTGATTAAGTCGCTGTGAATTCATGTATAACTATATAACTATTGTATATATAACTGAGGTGATGGTAAATTACTGGTATTGCATTATGTATAAATGTCTCTATACCTCCCTCTTTCTCATGTTCAACTGTAGGCTTTCGCTAAAGGTATTACTGATGCTCTTGTCTCGTTCTATATCATCTCGTTGCATTCTTTCATCCGTTGGGTGACATACTTTCATATTAGCTGATCATTAGTATGCCGGCCTGCTTCCGGACTCCTTAGTATGTATGTAGAAAACAAGGATTATAGACCGCCAAATGTTGGTCATGCCACTTGAATTCCACTCTTACCAGTACCATGGTTGATATCTCCATTAGCCTCGAACCCACTCCACACCTAACCATTGATCGATCTCGGCATTAAATTTCTCGGGGGGTCGACCGTAAGAATAAGTCATAATTCCTTTTCCCCCTCGCGATTCCCGTTCTGACCCGTCTTCCTATCAACATCCTTCCTCACCCTCTCTACCTCCTCCCGCAATTCCTGCAACGCCTCATCAATATCCTTACCCGGATCCGCACTAAGTCCCAGTACTGGGCCGGCTGAACTATCTCTGCTTGTGGAGCGGGACGTCTTATCGCTGCTGGTGCCGCGGCCACGTGTGCGTTCCTCCAGCATTCGACGAAGCTGAGATTTAGCCGGAGATGCGAAGAATGCTAAGCTAGTGCCCGTGGTGATTATTGCGTAGAAGTACACGCGGCCCCAGGCGCGGAGGGAGTCGTCTAGGCGTAGGATGATGAAGGGGGACACTGCAAACGAGAAGGTTGTTTGCGTCGCTATCCACGACACTATGTCGTAGTATTTTTTGCTGGGAAGTGGCTTCTGCGTGGCCGGGTCAAGGAAGAAAGGTCGTAGGTGGCGGCGATAGTCTGAAAGGCTTCATTAGTCGAGTATCGCAGAGAGAATAGGAGTGGGAGATCAAGTTAAGAGTAAAAATGTGACGTACTCTTTGCGGCTGTTTGGATGAAGCTAGCAAGGACAAATGAGAGGTAGTACCCGGGGTAGAAACCATGCCAGAACGCACTGGTCACAAAAGTGGCCATGCTGGCGCGGAAGCCTGGTTTCTTATTTCGCGGTGTCACGCGGAGATAGATGTAGTAACGCAGCCACTTGTTAGTGTTCATATTCCAGTTCTCAAGGTAGGCGCGGCTGTTTTGTGCCAACTCCACACCCCACGGGTTGATATTCTGTAGTCGATTCCATGAGACCTTGCCCGTTACAGGATCTACACCATTAAACCCCAGGCCGGACAGAATACACGAACCCTCTGCTAGGGACCACACGCCGTAGTACTTACACCGGGCGGTGAAGCCTACCATATGCATAATCAAAACACGGCGTAGGAAGCCTGCTGCAGGAGAGCGGTCGTTGAGAAGGGCTTCAGGGCTGTACCACTTGCTCAAGTTCAAGAAGACCCAAATCCACCCGAGACCGCTCGCTAATTTCAACATGGCGGGCGTACCACTTCTTGGAATCTTGCGCTTCTTCCTGGTGGGTGGCTTCTTGGCGGGGTCGATAGTGGCCGGGACATCAAACATAGAACAGTCGATCCAGGCGTGGTACTCGTTGTAATCGAAGGCCGGACCAGTCAAAAGGCCCGGGAAGAACAGCACATATCCGGCATAGTCCAATAGGCTTGGAAGCTTGACTATTCTTCTGCTCTTCTGAAAGTCGCTGAGCTGGTCCTCGGGTAGGGTGCCGTCTGCTACGTTCCAAGCGAAAGCAGATAATTTCATAACAAGTACCATTTGTGCACCGGTAATGTCAACTCCAGAAGGGTTACTATTGAACTGGCGACTGAGTTGGTTTACAGCCATGTGGCCCATGAGGAACACGAAGGCCATCCATGGCATATAGGCGGACGTTCGTAAGTAGTAGGTGAGGCCATATGTGACGGCGGATGAGATGAAGAGGGTTCGAACGCCGACCCATAGCGAGAATAAGCCTACGAGGTAGAACAGCCCTCCGCTATTCACTAATAAGCAACTGGTCTCTTGATGACTCTCTTACGAGGTAGCGCACGATCGGGGAAGTATTCGTACCCTATATTGAATAGATTCTTGTATTCGGGGCGAGCATCTGGCACTCGCTTCAAGAGGCCAGCAAGCGGGTAGGAGGCGAGGAGGGAGAATATGAGTTTGACTATATAGGTATTCAGCAATCTTAGCAACCTGTGAATAGCAGATAGACATCGAGTCGGACATCGAGTCGGGTGGATGTAACCTACGCTCATCAGGAGAAGCCCCTACCACTCCAGACAACCACTCGAACGCTACATAAAGTCAGCGTAACTGATCTTCCAAGAGCAACAACACCTAGTCATACGTATATTAATGTAAGGAAGCATCCTGTATGTACGCAATCTGTCTATCTCGATAATTGATCATAACTCCAGGATATCGAGTACCGGGGGGGAGGGTGGAAGAGGGGAAGTCCCAGGTAGTCTTGAATAACAGAGGACAGGTACAGGTAGGAATAGAGTCGGAATTGGGAACGAGAAGTAAACTATGCTACGTGCGTAACGGCTACAAACATAATGCTGCAGTCTGCAGACCTCTAATAAACTCAGCTTAAGTGCCGGACGAGTGAAGTTAAAAAGAGAGTCCCACAACCATAACCGGACACTTGGAAAATACAAGGTTTTGAATGGGTCGCAGATCTGCGGTTTTGCAGGTTGCGAGTTTGGAGTTTGGAGTTTGGAGTTTGGAAGCTTTGCTAATGCTAAGAAAGCTAAGAAAGCTAAGAACCCTGAAAATGTTTAGGTGGAGGAAGGTGGAAGGTGGACAGCGTGGTGATGTCACCCGCCAAAATCACATGAGTGGGTCCCCTCGGCCATGTGCCAGTTGGCGTTGGTGCATGTGCTAGCTTCACTGGTTGTACATAGCTATTCTCAGCTTTGACTTATGTAAGTGGACAATTATACGACCCAATAGGTCGAATGTTGCTGATTCTTTAGTAACCCTTTTTTAATCCTAAGAGAATTAGTTCTCATTTATATTATTCATATTTATATCTAGGTTGTCAGCTAGGCAGCAATATCGTTATAACGTTGCTCCTGGCCTACATATAAACATCATCAAGCTGAGGCGTAGGTCTTTAATACATAGTAATCTTCACTCATAAGTCATACCCATGTCTTCAACTCCTACCTGCAAGCCACACCCCTCCCTTTAAATTCTCTGCAATACTCTCTCTTAACCACCCCTCTCCGTTCCAACTGAGTTCTTTCTTCTCGTTACTGTTATTTTTTACCTTGTCTTCCTTCGCTCTCTCTTCAGCTTGTGTTCTCCTAGCTCTCCATTCGAACCACTCAAATAGCCCCTTTAAACCCAGTAGGTCATCTCTGTTCCCGCTAGAGATCACGTCCTCTAGAACTAGGCGGGCGTCAACTGCGGTGGTAGCACTATTGCTCACGTCGGGACCACCCACGCCGCGGTCGAGCACGATGCCGCGTTCCGCGTGCGTGAGTTGTCGTAACCCCGGCACTGTGTCGAATAACCATTCGAGAGGTTGAGACGCCGCGTCTGTAGATAGAGGGCCGCCAAGCCCTCCTTGGTGTCCGAGCGCGAGCATAGTCGTTGCAAACGGACTGTCACTAACGGGCCGCCTACGGAGGTATAGCGCCTGTGAACACTTGAATGCTTCGGCGTATTCTGGGTGCGCCTCGAAGTTTAGATCGAGGTTCCAGAAGTCGGGTGATATGGTCCTGACCCTTTGCACATCGCTGAGCGGAGGTAGCAAGCATGGTGTCATGCGCACTTCTTCCTCCGTCGAATTCTCCAGACGGATGGCAATTGGAACACCGACAGGCGCGTTCGTGGAAACATCCTTTGTGACAAGGCACCTGGGATCGGTAGCTAATACCCAGAGATGTCGGAACGCTTGTAGATGGCTCTTGTTATCTTGCACCGAATCCGGGAAGACGGGATAGAATGCAACAAGCAACGAAGCGATGGCTAAGTTTGACGTGTTAAAAGTCTGTGTACCACAGCCAAGTGATAGCGCACCCATAGCCATATGTGTAGCCATGTGTGAACCATAGGTTGTATCTGGGTCGTTGCGACCATGGAGCGAGCGTAAGTAACGAAGGACTTCTAAGTCGCATGTGCCGGCCATAACAGTTGCACATGAGAGCCCAACTATGTCGAGACACATGCGTGCCGTTACCTGCACAGTTCTTTCGTCGAAGTTGGCTTTCGGGCTGGGATGACGGCATTGGCTATAGTATCTGCGAATGTAGGAGAGTAGAAGGTCGCGGACTTTCAGATTTCCCGACCCAGCAAACCGCAGCGCTATGGAGAAGCAAAGGCCAGCTAATATTGTGAGGAATGGTAAGTGTGTCGAGTTAAGCGGTCCGCGGGATGGATGATCTGAGGGGTATTGGGGTGGCTGTAATCTGGAATGGTATTGTCGTGGAATGTTCTTACGAACCCAATCCTGTGTCGGCTCGATTTCTGACCAGAGGATAAGGTGTTTAGCAACCGTACGCAGTAATAGAATGTCGGGGCGGATATAATCAAACTGTAAGGATGCGTCAGGGACGTCAATCTTCCTAGCTACTATATGGTCTTCTGACTTCATATAAATGAGCGCGATGGATACGACGGCAGCGGCAGTAGATCTATCCAAAATGTGCACATTCTCGGCCTTCTTCGTAGCTGAAGCTAGAGTTAACAATTTTTCGGTGATGCGCATGTCATGGAGACCTTTTAAGTCTGTCCCTTTTCCTAAGTTAATAAAACCGAGGGCGAAACCTGCAGCTAGCCTGTAGCATTCAGTACGTAACGGTTCTTCATCATCTTCCGATTCAATGTGTTCAATTTCGGACATCATGATTTCGCTCATGCGCCGGTGTTGGCTATTGCAATAAAGCAAGCCGATCCCCATGATTCCCGTTGTTTGCGTTAGAGGAGATAGATTCAACTCAGCAGCCCCCCGTGGGAGCATCCTCGTAACGTGGACGGACAATAGACGGGTGATGAGGGAGTCCATGGTTCCAATATAAGATGCGGCTAAACCCAAGAGTAAGCCTATAGACGTCATGGTATGCTTTGGCGTTAGATATTTGAAAGCAACCCATTTAGCTACACCTTTAAGATGCCCATTAAGACCTAATGCCAAAAGAAACCCGGCGTGCCTGTTACTTAGATCATTGCCGGGCTTGTTGTACAGAATCCATGAAGTGTCTATCCCCTTTGCCTGACGAGAGATGGATAGCCCGCCAGCAACACCAGAATGGAAGAAAGCCCACGCGATTCTCTCTTCTGTAAAGAGCGACTTATCTACACCTACCGTCACATTATTCGGCTGAACAGTGCAATTCAGAACAAAGCCATTGATGTGGAACTTCTGAGTTAGGAGAGGGAAGCGAAGTCCATAATTCATTAGACCACGGCCAGCTGGTATGGACAAAGTATTATTTGCGAGCCTCGTTACCATATCCTTTTGCTGCTCGAGATAGTAAGCTTCCGTCCATTCGGGTAGCGGATCTAGACGCATGATTCGCGGTTTTGTTGTGTTTAGCATCGATTTAGTTTCGTCAAGGCGTCGGTCATCCTTGAAAATAGCACGAATCACTGCCTGCTTATCGCTCTCTGCGATATCATCTGATGGGGCATCACTAAAATCCATAACGTTCTGGCAGAGAGAATTGAAATCCCACGAAGCAACATGAGTTGGTGCCTAAAAAATGTCAATATAATAAATCGCGGTAACTGATCAGAAAGACTCACAAGAACGCTAGTTGAACGGATGTGAAGGTTATTCGACTGCGTTAGCACTGAGCCGACGTCGCCTCTATTGACTAAATCAAGCATCCCCTTAGACCACTTTGACGGAGGAGCCGGTTGGCATTGAGCGATTGCATCTTGGAGGGGGACAAGGACGTGTTCTGGTAATGACTCCAAAATCGTTGGGGTGATACCGCTTTGGTGCATAGCTTCGACGAAATCCGCCGGTGATCTCCTTCGAAGAGAGAGGGTCTTAAAGAGATCTTCAAACATTTTCGTACGAGGGATTACCGAGTAAACCATGGTCGATCTTATCGGCGGCACGAACGCTGACGGGTTTGGTTGCGGTGATAAATTCGTTCGGATCCAGTCAGAAACGTTCCAGTAGGCTGGCTCTGGGGGTTTAAGTGATACAGAAATGCCCATAGACCCTGGCTGTTGCTCGGGCCAGTCCAGGGGCATTTCGAGTTCATAAGCATTTATCCATTCAAACCACTTCAAGCAACGAGCAACTTGGAGTAACACAGCTCGTAGGTTAATCGAGCCTGGGGATAGTAAGTGGCGAGATACAATGTCAAGTTTTTGTTCCTCTAGCAAAAGATGTAACGCAAGAAATATATCTTGAGCATACCGTGTCCTACTTAAGTAGTCATGACTAGCGGACGTTGGAAGATATCCGTCTGGACCGCAAGCAGCATCTCCGTTGCTGGAGGACAAATACGCCAAAGTATACTTTGTATGCGCAGAGAGAAAATCCGTGCTATTTCGCTCGGAGCTGGGTCGAAATATCGGTGGGGAAGAATCGTCTTCTTCCATCATCCACTGCCATGCTTTATTCTCGATCCAGGACGGATGTGTCAACGATCCGGGTGTTTCGTACCCGTTCATCGCGTCCCAGTCGCCGAGATCGATCTGTGCTCCGCTACTTGACCTTAAGTAGCCTCTAGATCTTCTCCGTGGTGTATTATCAGCTGGTAACGTAGCCTCGTCGAAATCAAGCGCAAGAAATATAGAAAAGATTTGAATAACAACAGCCGACCATTCAATATCGGTAACCTCGGTGTCTTGTTGCCGAAGCCATGCAATAATCTCCCACCAGTTGGAAACTAATCGTTCACCGAAAGAGGTTGGAAGAGCTGTTCGCAGGGCCTTCAAGACTTTCGAAACTCGCGGAGATGTGGGTTGGAGTTGAATACGTATTTGGTGATACTGTTGGGTATCTTCGTCTAGAAGGTCTACGACACCACGTAGTTTAGGGTGTCGTAGACTGGCAATCTCTCCGATCGCGGGAGTTACAGCTCTACTAATGCCAACATCCCGGTTGACAAGACTACCGTGGTAATCAAGACTGCGTAAATTTGCAAGTGATAGCTTCGACGGGAGGTTCACGGACGTCATCTGCGTCCATGGCGCTTGAATACTAAGCTCACGCTGACCTTCAGTAGATTGTGATAATACGAGGATCATTGAAAGCTTGCCGTCGACGATTTTGCACGAGTCTATGACATTTTGAGCCTTCCTAAGTTGTCCGAAAGTTACGACCGTTTTATCGGGTCCGGGGGGGGACACCGAATTAGAGCTGCTTGATTGTAGGTGAAGTGTTAGAAGTTGTAAGCGTTTCTCCATCGGGTCTTGAATCCCGACTAAGACTTGCTGGCGATTGTGGTCATCATCTATGGATCCTGGACCAACAAGACAGAATACTTTACATTGTGTTCTGGCCGGTTGTTTGGAGAGCGAGTACCGGACATTGCTATTGTCGATGGGAATGCTGTGTATCTTTGTAAACAGTATCTCCTGAGTAAGACCATCAAATTCATGATCATCTATACCCATGCTATGGAAGCCCTCGAAATCTCCACCTGCGCGTAGCTCCTCTAGTAAACTATCAACTGGTGCCTCTAGGAGGATATTCACCCCGTGGTTGGTAGTCCCGGTGAAACTCGGACCAGCAAATACGCCGCTAGCTCGACCTCGATGACTACCATGCGAAGTATCCCTTCTCGTATTGGGATGGTTAGAAGCTTGGGCCTGGTCGGAAAATGCTGTTCTATCCTGCGAAGCAGAGAGATCAGCTCTGGCAAGCATAGAGCTCACACGGCGAGAAGTGCGACGGGTCACGCCAGATTCCTTTTCTATACCCAGTGATGATTCAAGGTTCTGTAGATTCTTATCATTTCTCTCGATTCTCTCACTCTTACGCGACCGTTTTCCAGGTAAGGGAGCACCAAAACTCTCTCTAAAGGTTGGGTGCAGCGGTGTCGTGGCGCCGCTAGGTAAACCTGGTTGCATCGAGCTGCGTCGCCTGTCCGCCTTCGTTTTTGTGGGTTTTCGCCCGTTTATGAAGGGGTCTTCATTGGAGATATATGTGAGCTTCCAAACGGTGTACATGCAAGTCTCTTTGTTAACCGTCACTGCAAGGACCAATTTCCCTTTGCCTTTCTTATAGGTTTGGTGATGTGATACCTCTTCAATGTGAACTATCTCCTCTGCCCTATCAAGAAAATTGGGTGACTTTTCAGAGCCTGGACGGTTCTTGGGCTTAGTAGATTTATCTGTCTGCGTAACAACTAACCCAAGTTCTAGCATGGGGTCGGTGAGGGCAACTAGGCGTGGCCACTGGGAATCGGTTCTCGCTTCTGGGATGTCCCATAGGTTGTCAAGGTTGGCGTTCAACCTGAGAGGAAGTGCCTTGGGCTTGCCAAGAGTCTCGGTGGTGAAGGTACTCAGCTGAGAGGATCTTATAGACGCCGGGGAGAGTTGATTTGAGATAAATGAATTATGTGGAACTCGGGGAAATTTAAGACTCGCAGCTAGGTTAGTATCAGTTCGTTGCCTCCGTTGGATTATAACGCCCTGAGGAGCTGCGCAGGCGGATTCGACTTCAAAAGGCATATGTACTACATGACTAGTACCATCGAGGAAATAGACGTGAGCTTGGGTCTTAAGGAAGACGACCAAAGCTTTGGACAATGCTCGTTCATTTTTATTGGTGTTGGTGTCGGACTGAAAACGAACCCGCTTCTCCCCTGGCTTCTCATCTTGAGTGTCTTCTGTGAGTTCCGAATTTGGGAAATATGTTAAAAGAGCCTGGATAATAGGCTCATTTTCCAATTTGAAGCCAAAACACTTCCGAAAAATGCAACCCCTCGACCATACGACGGCATCTTTAGTAACTAAAAGCTCGTCCTCTCCTTCATCGTTGCCGTTATGGTTCACAGTGATGCTCCAATCGTATGAGGAAGGAGATGGATTTTCCGGCAAGAGTTGCTCTTGTATGGCATATTGAAGTGCTGTAGGCTCATGTAGCCCGAGCGATGTCACCGAAGCCATATTAAGCGTGTTAAATCCATTGAAGACAAATTAGAGTGTCTTGGTCTTCCTTGTTGAGAAGCCAAGCAGGGGAGGTGATTGGGTGAATTCGAGCCTATTCCCTGTCGACTAAAATTTTATAAGTTGTATGAGTTTTATGAGAGGTGCTTTCTCTGGGATTAGGATTAATTCATAAGAATCCGAGAAGCGCGCTACGAAAGGGAAGTACACGCGACGAGGCTAGGTTAGGTACTTGCAGTCAGTGTAATTGGAGATTTGGGGCTGAATTTTTGGAGGGGTTGAGGGAACAATAGTGATTGGCTAAGAAGTTTTAGCGGATCTTTTTAGGTATTGCGGGTACCGACGCGAAGGCTGCATTTCTATTTCGTACAATTTGATCTTGGAGCTTGTTGAGCTTGCCCCCAGGGCCCCCAGCTGCCAGCTGACGTAGCTTTCCTAGGTAGCTTCATCTTACCTAATACATTTCCCCCAATGACTGCTTGCTACGTAAGGTACCTAGGACAAAGTACCTACATAAACCAATCTATCGGTTATCGTCGACTCTAGCTTACTTCCATAGCTTTTACCTATACCTATACCCACCTCAAATCCATATCCAGGTAGTTACGGTCAAGAAATCGCAAATCTACAGCTTTGGATAGGTTCACGCGTAACCTTTAAGTTCTAAAGCTTGTAGTTATATCTGTAACTTGTCTTAGTTTGTCTGATATCATCTATTTGCCCACTTAGCCCCTAATGTCAGTGTCTTGGATTGATCGCCTGTCATGACAGAAGCACAGCCCAGCTTGGGCGACAATGATGCCAACGATGTCAACAACATCGACAACATCGACAACATCGACAATCGCGACGGCGCTATACTTGAGAACAGCCTTGACGAGCGGGGACATGAAAATGCACCCGATAACCTAGAGTCGCATCTTTCAGAAAAGAGTGGAGGTGCAACAGTAGATATAAAGGATACAAAGGTTACCGGCGAAACTAACGTCGAAGATGACGCCGAAGATGATGCTGAAGCTGACTCCAATGAAGATGGCGAAATGGAAGATGAAGAGGACGACGACGATGATGACGACGATGAAGATGACGAAGAGGACGAAGAGCCGGAATTAAAATATGCCCGCTTGACACAGCATATGGGCGCCGTCTATAAGAATGGCGATGCTACTAGTACATTTCTTGTCGCAGGAGACAAGATGATAGTCGGAACGCACAATGGAAATATCGTAAGCAGATTCTATAGCAGTGGTCTTTCTACGAGGCAGTTAATACTAAAGCGCATAAACAGCACGTTATCCAACTACCAGACTTCCAATCTTTACTTGTCTACCAAGCTCATACCGCCTCCGTTACGAGCATTTCGATATCCCCATACCCGCCTCCCTCTATCCCCGCGGTCCTTAAGCCTGAGGCTGTTAATAGGGTCGTGTCGCAAACCATTAACCGACCCTCCTCTAAGAATTCAGACTCTCCGCCAGGTAGCCAGCGGAAATCGCGCGAGTTACCACAAGTTCCCAACATCCCTTCGAACAATATCTTCATCGCGTCCTCTTCCATGGATGGAAATGTCCGTGTCCAACCCCTTATCGAGCTTCGAGATGTGCAACTGAGGAATTTTGCGCGACCAGTTCAAGCCGTAGCCTTGTCACCGGATTTTAGAAATGATAGAACATACTTGTCTGGTGGTCTTGCTGGCAACCTGGTTCTCACAGTCGGAGCACCTCAAGGGCGAAGTACATCGTCGACTACGGGAAGCGCTGCCGCCGCCGCATCTGGCTGGCTCGGTAGTATTGGGATAGGTGCAAATACTGGAAAGGACTCGGTGCTTCATTCGGGAGAGGGAACCATCAGCACGATTAAATGGTCCTTGTCGGGAAGATACGTTGCCTGGCTAAACGAGCATGGCATCAAGATCATGCGAACGAAGTTGCACCTGGACAGCGCAGACATAGAAGATGCCTGGAAGCGAGTAGGACATGTCGATAGGCCGCAGACGGACGAATGGGAAGAAATGGCTGGTGTGTGGAAGGGTAGGGCAGAATGGATTGACGACCAGGCCATCGCAAGCGACGAGGTAGAGAAGGCAAGCAATGCGTCAGGTGCTTTATCGCCAGCTGCCATCAAGTTAAGTCAGCAGGCGCAAAGGCATGATAAGAGCATCGAACGGCTGTTGGTTGGATGGGGAGGTACAATATGGATTATCCATGTCCATCCGGGCGGCGTTGGCGTAGGAAAGGATGCGGGTGAAAGGTCTATTGGGAGGGCTGAGATCGTGAAGAAGTACGTATGCTTATTCGAGTTTTCGCGATTTTTACTAACGTTCCTAGACTTCGTATGGACTGCATTATATCCGGTATTTCTTTGTATACCCAATCTTTACTTTTAGTCCTTGCATACTGTAAACCGGAGGACGAGGAAGAAGAACCTGGTAAATCAACAAATAAAGGCGAACCATCTGGTGGGATAAGACGCCGCCACAATGCCCAGCCTCCCGAGTTAAGGTTGATCGATCTCACATCTCAAGTCGAAATTGACAAGGATACCCTCTCTATCAGTCGGTTCGAACGGCTTTCTTCTAATGATTATCATTTGGGGGTATTGCCTGCGAGTAGAGCCGCTTCTGTCGTGGCTTCTCGAGGAGCCCTGGAGGCCTTGGCTGGTTTTGGCACTGATATGTGGAATGCTGCTATCAATCCGAAGTCTCTATTTAGTTCCGGTGCAAGTGTTAGAAGTAAAGAAAGCAACGATGCCGCGTCGAGTCCTAGAGCCACCAATACCGGGGGAAGTCTTCGAACCAGTCTGAGACCAATGTCACGGACGGTACATCCTAACCTAATCAAACCCGGAGCCAAGATATTCATTCATAGCCCTTATGACTGTTGTCTTGGAACTAAGAGAGATCTTGGTGATCACCTGGAGTGGCTGTTAGAACACAAAAAGTATCAAGATTCGTGGGAGTTATTGAACGATCATCCGGAGATTACGAATGCTTCGACTGAAAGACTTTCGGAGCTTATCCCATTGAGTCCCGAACGAAGGCCATCAACTACAGACGACTTTTACGAAGAAACATCGTCTCTAATTGACGACCATATTAGATTTATGAACACGTCAGCAGAAAAAGAGAAACGACGAATTGGCGAACTTTGGATTCAGGAGTTGGTAGAAAATAGGGATTGGGCCGGTGCTGCTCGAGTTGCAGCAAGAGTAATCAATACTCCTCACCAGTGGGAGAATTGGATATATATTTTCGCCGGCGCAAATAAATTTGACGAGATCGTCGATTATGTGCCGTCGGAACCAATGCGTCCACCCATTCCGGGAACAGTATACGAGGTCATGTTGGGCCATTACATTCAAACTGACAAACCCCGGTTTAAGGAATTACTCGATCGATGGGGGACCGAGCTCTTTGATGTCAGCGAGGTCACTATTGCTCTAGAAAATCAGCTCAATTTCCGTGATGTGAGAGAAGACAGCATCGAAGACGGAGAGAAAGGGCGTGACTGGAGAATTGTAACCGAAAGCTTAGCCAGACTTTACGAGGTAAACGGACGATACCGAGAAGCTCTAAAAGGATATATCAAACTTCAAGATGCGGATTCTGCCATGCGTCTAATAAGAGATAACCATCTTGCGGAGGCTGTCATTGACGACGTCCCTAGCTTCATCGCGCTTAGAGTACCAGAAGCAGAATTAGGTCGAATGAGTGTTTCGGAACTTGAAGACGCTACATCGGAAGCTATCGCGCTACTTGTTGATGAGGCAGCTCGAGGCCTCATCAAACCGGATGTTGTGGTCGAGCAACTAGAGCAGAAAGATTTAAATCTTTACCTCTATTTCTACTTCCGCGGTCTGTGGCAGGAATATCGAGAGCGGCCCGTCGACGAAAGCGTGTCTCTAGTAGACGATTTCGCCGATTTAGCCGTCCATATTTTCGTGACGTTCGACCGTGAGCTTTTAATGGATTTCTTAAAAGTCTCTACTTCGTACAAGTTCGAGAAGGCGGTCGAGGAATGCGAACAGGCCAATTTTATACCCGAACTCGTCTACCTATACTCTAAAACTGGGGAGATGAAAAGGGCACTGTATCTCATCATTGATCGTTTGGGCGATGTATCCCAGGCCATTAGTTTTGCAAAAGAACAAGACGACCCAGACCTATGGGAGGATCTCCTCGACTACAGTATGGATAAACCACGCTTCATCCGTGCGCTACTCGAGGAAGTTGGTACGGCTATTGATCCGATTACCCTAGTCCGACGCATTCCCGAGGGACTTGAGATCCCCGGTCTTCGAGAGGGCTTGAAGCATATCATGAAGGAACATGAAATCCAATACAGTATCTCGTCTGGTGTGGCGCGTGTCCTCAGATCCGAAGTAGCTGCCGCTCAGAACCAACTCCGTAGCGGACAAAGAAAGGGTATCAAATTTGAAGTGCTGGCTCATGCAGAAGATCACGTCGATGTTGAAGTCAAAGACGTATCTGTCCCACCAGCAACGGGAAAACGATCATCCCCGACCGCGACACCGCGTACAGATGGGACTAGGACTGGAACACCCAGCGAGATGGCGGATATTAACACGTTGATGGACAACAATTCTACGAGCAAAAAGCAACAGCAGCAGCAGGGACACGATCACCGGGAATTGAAGCCAGGCCATTGCGCAAGATGTCTCGAGCCGTTTACAGAGTGGGAGGTCGAGACACTCGTAGGATTTGCATGCGGCCATATATATCATATTACACATCTCCTAGAGTACCTACATCCAGGTCAGGACGTAGATGCCAGCGTGATTGGGAACGGCGGCGAGGATCGAACGAGAGGAGGTCGGTTTGTGGGCAGTAAAGTTACGCATGCGCGGTTATTAAGAGATCGTATCGAGGGCGGCTGCCCAGTGTGTAGGAATAAGAGGGAAGTCGTCGAAGGCGGCCACGGCTGATGATGAATATTAACCGTTGGTCCGTTTTTCATTCGATTATAGCTAAACCTGCATAGCTTGGAGTTTGGAGCACATGACAGATATCAATATCTGGGATTCTATACGAGATGGGCCAAAGGTTGAACTGTATTGTTGCCAAGATTAATCAGTCTAGGCTGATGGCGACAGCGCGAGTTACAGTTGGGACCAGAGCCACTCAACCGCGAGACTTACAAATGTAATCAAGACTCTTCAGCCATTGTTGTTAGCGAGGGAGCGAGAGTTATATAATCAACGAGCAATATAAGAAAAGACAATGCAACCTAGTGCTTTATTCGGGTATCTATACACGTATATCTGCAAGCAGTAGGGTCACGTGCAGCTTATACGAGCCAGGGAGCGAAAAACAAGGATACAATTCCATTGCATAAATCCGCTACGCTAAGTAAACCTCAGCATCACCACTCCTCTCCATCTCTAGATAACAATATGGGAGACCGTCCGAGATACAGTCATGACCAGCTCGAACAATATTTCAACCGAATTGCGCTACCTGAGCAAAACCGCTTGCACTCGGTAGCGGCAGTCCCAGACGATGTTAAGCTGAGCTACTTATCCCTCCTAAATAAGCATAACATAGTACGGATCCCGTTCGAGAACTTGACGCTGCACTATTCGTGGCATAGAACCATCAATGTTCGGCCGCAGCATTTATTCAATAAAATCGTGCCGCCGCCTAGCCGTCGCGGTGGGTACTGCATGGAGGCCAACTCTTTGTTCCACACCGTACTCTTGAGTCTTGGATTCCAGGTGTACATGGCGGGTGCCCGGGTCTATAGCAAGGAAGCCGGTAAATATGGCGGTTTCTCACACTGCGTGAATATTGTCATTATCGGCAAGGACCGGTTCATGGTGGACGTCGGCTTCGGCGCCAACGGCCCCACCGCCCCGGCCCGTCTGCGCCCCAACGAGCCGCGGCCGCATATCGAGGGCACGGAGGCGCTTATGCGGTTTGTCCACGAATCTATCCCGCAGCAAGTCGACCAAGGGCAGAAGGTGTGGATCTACCAACACCAGATCAGCAGCGACGCCGAGTGGGTACCCATGTACTGCTTCGTAGACATCGAGTTCCTGCTTGAGGACATCCGCGGGATGAACCTGAGCCCGTGGAAGAGCCCCAGCTCGTGGTTTACGCAGAAAGTCGTGCTGTCGCGGTTTACTACCGACGCGGAGGACGAGGCGCACGAGTCTGCGTTTATGAGCGACAAGGCAGTGGCTGATGGTAGGATCGACGGCGCGCTGATATTGTTCCAGGATACGCTGAAGTGGCGCCGCGAGGGGCAGACAGTGCAGATAGCGAGGTTTGAGACGGAGGAGCGGAGGCTTGATGCTATGAAGAAGTATTTTGGTATTGAGTTTGACGAGGAGGATCGGGAGGCTATTCGGGGTACGACGGGCGAGCTTAGTCAAGTTAATTTCGCCATCTAGGGTTATGTCATGGGTATTTATTATGGGGTAACACTTTTCTCTTTGACGTAAAATTAGATGGTGCCTATAAGTTTAAAGTGGTAGAATTGAACAGTGTATATGGCTACTTACTGTTCGTGGTAATTGAAACTCCTCCTTTTTTCAACTGCTACTAAGCTGCGAGATAACTACATAATAACCTCCTATAAACTATAAAAGTATTAGCATGATTCTGTGGCTTGGCCTTGATGAGTTAAGAGTCATGATACATAAAGCTAGATAAACTAGAGCTTAAGAGGTGCGGTCAGCCTTGGACTCTCACTTTTTCATATTCTGGTGTCACAGAAAAGGGGCTGAGTGGCACATCTGCCCTGCCATTCGGGCAAGGCTACGGCTTTACTAACTGCAATGCCGAATGTAACGCACTGCTTGCTATCTACTATCCGCCCATAACTCTTCCCCTCTTATACTCCATTTCTTACGAGAACACGACAAATATTGCAGTTATCGCGAGGCTTCTTTGCCACACTAATATGAAAACCAACCACTCTAACACGAGTTACTTAGGTTACTCTATTCGAATGAATTTACAAAGCAGCCCTTTAGTTCAAAATGCTCTGTGAAACTTGCCGGAGTTCGTATCAAGTCGCCTACAAAGTGCTCAGCACTATAGTTGACAACCCGTCGCCAGAGTTAAAATCAAATATTCTGCATCCTACGCCCCTAAGTCTCTATACATCAATTCTGACGGGATGCCTCGTCTGTCGAGAGCTCTGAACGTCGATTCTAAGATTTAAAGCTGGGGTTGAATTTGAAGGTTACTTCCGAAGGGCACTTGAAGGTGATGTGCCCAAGACGTACAAAGAATTCCGCTTCCAAAGTGGAATTCGAAAACGTGACATCGAGCAGCCATGGATAAGATGAGATATAAACCATATTCGTGAGGGTGATAAAATATTCATTTCACTACAAGAAGGCCTAGAAGATTTACTCACGGTTCGCTTCGATGAAGTCCTTTCAATGAAACATCCATGCAAAATCGGATGTCGCTCGACAACTGAGACGATCGGACTATAGCAATACTGGTATCGTACTTGCTTGAAATCCCACGCCAAATGCCGTGCACAAAGAGAAGACGATGAATCATTTACGCCTGATAGACTCATAGAAGTATGTGGCGACGATAACGGAAGTGGTTGTAAGTGGCGACTTGTTTGTCACGACCATGTTGGCACCGTGCCATATTTGACATTAAGCCACTTCTGGGGATCTTCTAACCACCTATGCTTAACCAAGAGCGATTTTTCAAAGTTCTTGGTAGTCTCGGCTGATTCACGTTTGCCTAAGACATATCGAGACGTGTTCTGAATTGCTATGTCATTAGGGTTCCAATTTATTTGGATCGACTCTCTAGGTATGTATCATTCAGGATGATGAAAAGGATTGGAAAACACAATCTTCTATGATGGGGTTGATATATAGCAGAGCTCATTGTAATATTGCCGCGACATGGGCTACCGACGGCACTTACGGCTGCTTTACTAATAGGGACCTATCAACAATGGACTATACTTCGATGCAATTGACTTCTAATAACGGTCAAACTGTCTAATACGCCTTTGCATGCTCCTACCCCAAACACCGTTTGATGGCACAGGTCCCATTGACCACGCGTGCATGGTTTATTCAAGAGCGATACCTATCGAAGAGACAGCTAAGCTTCCTGCATCAAGTTTGTTGGGAATTTCTGGAGCTTATTGCTTCTGAGCAATACCCTACGGGCGCTACATACAGTTTCATGCAAGAGATTGGACTCGGTGTGCATCGAAAGCCAACTGTAGAAATTCGAAATCATTCCGACTTTCAAAGGACCTGGTATACATTGGTGTACTCCTATTCGGGTTGTGCTATTACTCAACAATCTGATAGATTGATCGCGATTGCAGGGTTGGCTGGAGAAATGCGAAAAATTGTACCAGACGAATATCTCGCTAGCATATAGAAAACAAATCTCATTAGGTAGTCAACTTAGTTGGTACGTTATAGATGAAGGTGAATGGTTAACCCGCTTTAGAACCATAACCTACATTGCCCCGACATGGTCTTGGGCCAATAATATGCGCAAGTTACCCTGGGTTTCAATTATAGCTTTGAAGATACATCCACCCCGTTGGCAGAGACCATAGGAATTAATGCCGTCTCAGATGATCCTATGAAGCTACATAGCTTTACATCATCAGAACTGATACTAAAAGGGATCGCCGTATCAGCTCATGTGTCAGCGATGGGGCCAGAGTACAAGCTTCGACTTACAAGTCAGCTAAGAACGGAGAGGTATTTAATGCCGGTACATATTCAAGTCTCTATCACCTGGGACGAGAATGTCTCCGTTATGGCCGCTAATCCAGATGAATGGTTAAGACTTCAAGAAGAACGAAAACAGGAGCTTTTATTCATGGGCACAACTTATTCTCATATTAAGGAACCAAGATATATGTCTGATATTCAAGGACTGGTCCTTAGGAGAGTCTACTGTCTCACAAATCAAGATTCATTTGTTAGAATAGGACGGTTTTGTACAGATGATATGATCCCCTTTAAAAGATACATAGCTAGGTTAAAAGAGTTAATATAGCACCAATAACAAAGGACAAGGTCAAGAACGGAATAGTGGACAACCCATTTCGTGGGGAAACCATAGACCTGGAAAACCCTGAGCTTTCCGATTTGGTTCATACAGTTACTATTATTTAATACAGTTATTAGGATCCTATTATGACACTTCTCTCCTCTTTATAGACTAATTTGTACTGGGACCGGACTGGTAGTAAACCGACTGCTGTTGCGTCGCCCCGTATATCGGCACAACTTGTACATGGCCATCATGGGAGATATTAGCAATATTAGCGTGACAGGCCGAGCAGACAATACGAGTATTTTCAAACCACCCTCCTATAAGTCAAAACACCCTTACTGGGGCCACCCTAGTGGGGGCCACCCATTTCCCATACAAAATCAACGATTTCGCATATTTGTATTTAATTCAAGAAAATAGATAAAAATATATGGTCTTTGATTTTGAGTACGGTATTGAATTCTCACCAGGTATAAAATTTTGAAAAAATGGCAGGGCTAATATCTGTGGTAAAATGAATACAGGAGTATACACTAACAGTTATACATACAAATTTATATGTAAAGCTGTTAAGGGATATTATTGCTTATAACTTTACCAATTAATATGGTATAAATGTAAAATCTATATCGTTAAATAAGGGACATTTTAATACAACTTTTAAATCTAGGGCGAGTTATATAACTTATTTATCTGAGAAGTTATAAGCGTTTATAAGGTTTTATGGTAATTTGATGAAATTCCCATATAAAATTAAAATTTTTAAAATTTTTAAAATAACATTAAAAATACACTTTACTGTTTTACTATTAAAACATTAGATTTTAAATATGATAAAATGTACATAAGCTATTATAATGATCGGAAAGTAAAACATAAGAGATTTTATATTTTTATCTATTTCTTTAAATTAATTATAGACATGCGAAGTTGTTGATTTTGTATGGGAAATGGGTGGCCCCCACTAGGGTGGCCCCAGTAAGGGTGGTTTGACTTACATGGTAGACAAGCGAGACATGGGCAGACGCAACACAACAAGGCTCCTACTACTCTATAGGCGTAAATCTTAGCACGAGATCAAGACAAAATTCACGAGATGAGACCGTCACATACATTTGCATTCCACCTCCCTCCTCCGTGACATTCGTCCTGGTCCGCCGTTTACAAGCAGGACAGTCGATCCACTGAGGGTATTTATCGAGCCTGTCCAAAGGCGTTACCATTGGCGGATCCTGCCCCTGGATGACTTGAGGCGGTTTATCATCTCTTGCTGCCATATTTGGCGGCTTTGAGGGCCTACATGAATATTATCAGTATATATACTACGTAATCATAGCGTTCCAATGGTGGAAGATTACAGGTAATTACCTACTCTGCAACGATTATGCCAGGGATGGGCGGCCGAGTGTTGGTTTGTATAGTATCTTGCTTGTCTTCATATTTCGTTAGGTCCGGCTGTGATGCTACCCTTACGGGAGGGGGGGCTTGAATATGCGTGTCTATGACACCCTCAAATTGTGAGTTTCCGGCCATTTTTAATCTGTATTTAGGACTTGACAACTCCTTAATACATATAAACTTAACTATATAAGCGAGGGGGGAGGTCATTATATGCACATTCTCGCCAAGACACTGCGCCGCGCTCTAAGGCACGCATGTAACCATATTATTATACAGCATGTTGTAGTCTGCTGATGTATGTGTGGCACAGGATTTGTGCCACAATCCTTCTTCTGTTTATGGATTATCGGTATCCTCTTTCTATTCTCGAAATACCCCCTAAATCGGTACACGAGGTGAACATCGATCAGCAAAATTGAAACATAGCCTATATGGTACGCCCTATTACCCAGGAATCAGAGGCGTAAAGCTGACACGAAGTACTATAGTTCGATAGAGTCACCAGTAGATTCCGGTTCTAGGACTCTATTGTACCCTTGTCTAACTCGCACCTGAAATTACATTCAAACCTTTACATAGTACCAACAAAGGAAGAAGAAAGGCTACCAGATGAAATGCGCCTCTTAGAAGCCCGCACTGCCAAATATACCGGTATTCTAAAGCTCGTAGAGAAGAGAGCGAATGAGTTATTCAGATATGCTATACTATCGCATACCTGGGAAGATGATGAAATAACTTTCAACGATATTGAAAATGACAAGGCGTCTTATACCTCAGCCAACACGGCTGCAGCCCACGCATCACTATCCAAAATTCTAGGCGCGTGTAGCCAAGCTGCTGCTGATGGCTACGAATACATCCGGATTGATTCGTGCTGCATCGATAAACGTAGTAGTTCTGAGTTATCCGAAGCCATCAATTCTATGTTTGCGTGGTATCGCGATGCTGATGTCTGTTATGCCTTCTTGCTTAAGGCACCGAATGAGCTCGTTACGGCAGAATCCAAGGCAGAATTTGCTACGAATAAGTGGTTCACTCGTGGCTGGACGCTGCAGGAGCTTCTCGCCCCAAAAGATATGATATTCTTCTCCGGCGATTGGGTTCCGATTGGTGAAAAGAAATTTCTATGCTTGCAGCTCGCCGAAACCACGAGAGTCGATTACAAGATATTGCTTGGTGACGAACCTCTGGAATCAGCGAGTATTGCGAGACGAATGTCGTGGGCTGCACAAAGGGTAACTACACGACCGGAGGACAAAGCCTATTGTCTGATGGGTATCTTCTCTGTTAGCATGCCCATGCTATACGGCGAGGGTGCAGAGAAGGCATTTATACGACTTCAGGAGGAAATTATGAAGCAATCTGACGACGAGTCGTTGTTCGCCTGGGTTAACCCTAACTCACCACCAGATGCGATGGAAGGCCTCCTGGCGGCGGATCCATCGTACTTCTTAAACTCAGATAATATAATTCCGTATCAGGATTGGGAACCTCGTGAGCCCTATACCTTAACTAATCGTGGCCTTAAAATTAGCCTTCATCTTACGGCACTCGATGACGATAAAAATATAGCAGCCCTCGACTGTCCCGTGCCGCCTGACTATACGGACCTAACCTTCTTGGCTATATATCTACAGAAGCTGTCAAAATACAATGACAAGTACGCACGTATTCGGACAGAAAAACTCACTAGAATCCATACACGTGGAAACCTTCAAACTGTCTACGTCCCTCAGAAGCCTCCATTATTAAGCGGCGCCTTTCTTCATTACGTATTAATGTTAAGGGAAGGCCCCCCTCCGACGATCTATCAGCTTGTACGCCTCCAAAGGGCACGTTTAAGGTTTCCAATCCCCGAGTCAATGGTAACAAAGAGTAGAGCCACGAGATGGGTCACAGACAAGTGGTCCCCCATCTATCCTCTACACTATGAGCCGAAACAGCTTTCCGTGGCTCTGATATTCCAGCATGCAGACGGTGCGAAGATAACCGTGTTGATTGGCACACTTAACGGGTTCGACGTTGCTTTTAGCGCATGTGAACTCGACGCCGGGGTCGATCCTGATCGTGTACAGCTCGATGAAATGGAAGCTCTTTTCAAGCCCACCGCACTAGAAAGATCTGAGCTATCATCTCATATCGTCCGTGTGTCTGCCACGCCCGTGATAAGACCACCAGATAAATATTACATGGTTGATATTGGAATCGAAGCATTTGATGCTGCTACTGGGTTAGGCCATGGTAACAATGCAAGTATACCAGTACCTAAAAAGGAGGTCGCAGAAAGATCAAAGGAAAACAATAAGCAACTGTCGTTTTGGAAGCATCTCAAACGCTAAAATGACTTTCATACATTTTACGCTCTTATATCGACTGCTGTGAGCTTCGGGGTCTCTGATCTAAACTCAACGAGCCTTTTTTAACGTACTATACCTTTTACTACAAAAACAAAGCACCGACTGTATTAGTAGCTGTTGGGATATAACAGGGCTATCCTGTATGATAGTCGCCAGATAATGGGTCTATGTATCAGGAGCCTATTCGCCACCAACCCCACTCCCTTTCCAGCCCCTATTTCTGGGAGGGCAGGGGTCAATACAGTCACCAATATACCACTATAAATCCCTCTCTCTCACCCCGTGCTATACGATATCCTGACAACTCCATTTATAAACCAGAAATATGACTCGATATTTACATGTACCATGCTAACGATGTTAAGATTCTAAATAAATCAGATCTATACCTAGGTAGATAATAAATTGCTGCTTTGTAGGAGCCCCCTTCAGAACTTTTATTCGTAGTTTGCTCCTATTAATTTTAGCCGACGTCGGTAGGGCTTGATAGTAATTTCATGGCTTAATAGAATATGTACTTTTAGCTTATAATTTTCTAGCATTCCGACGACTATAAATGAAGCTGATGAAGGCGCGGGATGAACGAAAGGTTTAAAGGGGACTACAATATGAGGTATCTTAGTAAGAACGTGTATACAAGTCAGGCTCCCCTTTTCGCTCATGAAGCAGCTCAGTTAGTAAATTGAATCGTTCACACTGTCCATCTACCGTATCTTTCAGTACTCGATAAAAAGCTACGAACTGCATTCAGTTGTAAAATCTAAGTACACCGATATGAAAAGAAGAAACGCATGTGACTTATTCTTTAACTACCAGGTAGGCATACATCAACACCCGTAGTACAGAGCTTCCTCTCTGTTCAATGAGAAGTGGTAGATGGTCTGCATTCTCTTCTGTTCTTGCAACGTATGACAGTTCTTGTCATCCGACTCCCTCTAGTAAGATGATGACGGATCATATCCAGGAGGGTACTCGCAAGCTTCGAGGTATTCTTCCCAGCTCATTACCTCGTAAGAGTCGTAAAAAGAACGATTAGCTTTCGTTTTCTCCCTTTCCTTTCCCTTCTCCCTCTGCTCCTTTAACGCCAGCTCTTGGGCCTTCGCTCGTTGGCGCTCTTCTCTCTTCTGCTTCTCAATCTCGTACTTGACTAAGGCGTCCTTAGCCCAGGCCGCCAGTTTCTCGCGCTCTCTAAAACACCACAGCACAATCTCTCGAGACGCAAGCGTATCCTCCAAGCAGTCGTGGCCACGTTTGGACGACTGTATTGTGATACCCAGCAGTTCTTGACACAGCACTTTCAGCCCCCATCGGCGACATAGTCTATTGCCCCTTCCGAAAACGGCTTCTGCAACTAGGATACCAGAATCGACTACTTTGTTATGAATGACATGTATAGCCTGCAAGTCATGGTTGAGCGCGTGTCCTATGAGTATCGTATCCGCGTCAGCAAGCTCGAAAAGCTTAGTCCTCGCGGTCGGCCACCCGTTCAGAGCCGTTCCATCAGCCCGAGCCTGAGCAATCATAGCTGGGGTTATTCCGCTGTACTTTGTCCGCCAGTCTCCGACGATCTCGGTGGGGATCACAAGGGAGTCGACAAGGACTTCTCTCGTGAAAAGGTCGACAATGCAAATACGGGCAAGTTCGCCTCTTCCTCCCGAGATCCCAACCATCTCGCAGTCGATGACAAGAGCCTTACGTTTTGCCATCCCTTTTACTTTCATAGGAGTCGGGAGGAATCTTCCGATATTGATGTGCTTCCATTTCCGTCCCGTCCAAGTGCCTGTGTAATAGTTCTCGTCTATCAAGCACGCTTCATCGTGACAACAGGGCGTTAAAGACTTGATCAAGGCTGGTGATTGCTTCTCTGATGACCACGGATAATTAATTGCAATGGGATCCAGCGGCACGGTCGGGGCTGGCTTTGGGGATGCATATACACCTGCCGCTGAGCTCTGCATTGTTTGGCTTTTATTCGAGATGCCGGCTGGATAAGTTAGCATATATGGTTTGCTATATAAGAGAATGTATGGGGTAATATTTGGTGTAGCTTAGGTACCTTTAAGACCCTCGGGGAGATTCTTTCCTTTGGCGCTCTGAGATGGCTTAGGAGGGTTAGGAGAGGTAGTGATGGTAGTGGTAGTTCCTGCCGGTTTGCTTGTGGGTTTATTTGCGGGCTTGCTGGAAGCGACGGTAGGTTTATCTATCTGAGGTTTATTATAGGAAGTATTGGGCTTAGCCCCAGCCTTGGCCTTAGCGTTAGTCTTGGGTATGGCAGTTGCGGTGACAGTTGTGGTGACAGTCGCGGGAGCAGTTGCAGTCGTATTGCCCTTGTGTTTTGCGGCAGTCGCCCTATGCTGTGCAAGTGCACCCTTAGAGTGGAATAAACGAGAGCATTCCGTGCACCATTTCGTCACCATATGTCCCGTGTCCTTGATATGAGCCTCTATTGATTGCACATCTTTGAAAATTCGTGCGCAATCGCACCGTCCCTTGTAGGATCCCGTAGCCTGCGACATGATTATTCCAGTTTATAAATGAAATGATATGGTATTATATTATCCAAATAATAATATATCGGAGTGATAAGTAATAATAAACAGGAAGTTGTAGGAGCCGCGAGCTTTTTAAATGGCATACGTGGATCTGGAGGCCTACAGACTCGGCCTGACTTAGGTAGTGAGATGGCTGGCTGAAGGGCTGGAACGACCACAACTACGGACCACAAGCTGCAAATTGCGGACTACCTGATATGTCGCATCCGAAGCTGGTCAGCAAATCAGACACGAAGCTTCTACGCATTTTTATACCGAAACAATTCGTCCACACGAGCTGACATTGTTTGACATTGTGTCACAGAACCACTTTTATTCTATTGTGTATTATGTGCTACGACGGCGAAGTCGTTGGATGCCTTACCATCTCATTTACCAACACCGTTTGTCGCTCAAACATGGGGTAACCAACCAACATAGACTTGTCATAAGCACCTACTTTGTCAAGTACTTTTTCGAATAACTAGACCGGCTTGGCCTTCTCCCGAGGCAAATTTTAGACGCTCTATAGTACATATTGTTTAAGCTGTCGTCGATTGAGTTGAGAAATGAGCGGGACGCAACCGAATTGGTTAAGGCGCAGCGGCAAACGGGAATGTCAACAACCGTCCTGTAAAAACATGGGGTCGACTTTCTAATGTAAAAACCACCCCAGAAGACCCATCGTTTAATTGTTCCATTGCTTGCAGGGTAACACATACGAAAGGTTTACGCCCAGAACAGAGACAATGGAACAATTAGAATATAATCCAATCCAGTAAGATGAAAGAAAGAAATCTAGTTGACAAAACTCTTTCTCGATAATTCTGGAAAAGAGCATGAGATGGAATCAGAGAAAATCATAGGAGCGAATAGTCGAATCTTATACCTCTAGACTATTGAGATTGAGACAACAATTAAAACTCATATACTTTCCACGGGAATAAGCTTACTCACTTATTCTATATAAACAAGAAATGAGAACATAAAGCAGACATTGCATAAAGAATCATGAACCTGTTTTAGCATTCAGAACTATCCAACTACTAACATGGCTACTAGCATGCTGTCTTGGATTCTTCAGTAGCCTAGAATTTAATAAGCAACTTTGCTTGGCCCCAAATATCGGAAATATTAAGGAATATCAAAAAAGTCTATATTACAAAGTGCAATTAGAAGATATGTGTCACACAACTAATACGTACTGAATAGGCGTTATATAAGGTTTAATTTATTATATTTCTAATAATTTAATTGATTAAGGTAAAATTGTGGGAACGCGTATTATACCGCTATTTTATATAAGATTAAAGATTTTTAAGTTACTTAATATAGTTAATTAATTTAATATACTTTTTCAAATATAACCGATAAGTTAATTTAATTTAAAATATTTTAATATCCTTTTATTATTTAAATTATTAACAATTTAATTTTAACTTGGAAAAAATCTCTAATTGCTTTTAATTACTATTAATACGCATTTTTTATTTTATAATTATTTTATTATTTAATTTTTATAATTATTTTACTTATAAAAAGTTCTTAATATTTATTAAGGTTAATTAAATTTTAAATTGTTTATATAAATTTTTTGTAAAAGTTTTAATAAATTTATTTGCAATTATATTTTTTAAAATAACATAATTTACTTTAATATAACTTTATTAAACCTTTTAACGCAATTAATAATTATATATATTCATATATTTTAATTTAATCTTTAATTTTTTAATATTTTTATTAATTAATTTAATTATTTATTTATTATTATAATTAATTTTAATAATAAATTAATTTAAATTAATTTTAAAAATATAAATTAATTTTATAATAAATATAACCTTTTTTATTACTTATAATAAAGTTAACAATTTAACCTTCGTAATAAATATAATTATTATATTTTACTTATTAACCTTTTAATTTATTATACCTTTAAATAACCTTATTATATATACTTAAAAACTTTTTTAATTATAAATATTATTGGTAAATAAAGTATCATTTATAATTTTAAAAATATTACCCCTTTTTAATTACAACGTATATTTCCATATATACTTAAAATATAAAATTACTTAATTTAATATATTATAATATTTTAAACCAAAATTATAATTAAATTATAAAAACTATAAAATTATAAAAATTATATCTAAATATATAATCACCGCAACATATAAAATAAATCTTATACATTATTAATAATAGTAAATATTTTTAAATAAAATTATTTTTTTATAAAGAAATAATTTTTCTTTAATTATTAAAATATTTAAAATTTAATTTAAAAATTTTATAAAATTAACTATTTTATTAATATATATAAATTAATTTAATTAAATAAATTACCTTTCCCAATCCTTTATTATTTTAATATTTAAAAACCATTATAAATCATTACCTTTAATAAATTAATAATATTATTTAAAACCTTTAATAAAATATATTACTTCTTTTTTTTTAGCTTTAAAATATATTATAATAATATTATTAATATAAATAAATAATAAAATCCTTTTTTTAATAAATATATAAAATTCTTTAAAAATAGGTTTAAAATCTAAGATTCTTAAAATCTTAATTAATTTTTTTATTATAATAAAAAAGATTTTTATAATTTATATAACGTTTTAAATAATTTAAAAATATTACCTCTTTTTTAATAGTTTAATAATATTTTCATAAACATATTTTTTTTAAATTTTGCATTTATAAACATATTTATAACGTTATATTAAATTAATTTGAAATTAAATTTTATAATTATTATTATTAAAATTTTAAAAGATTTTTTGGTTAATATTAAGGTATATATTTCTTTAATCCTTAAAACTTATTAATTTCCTTAAATTATTAATTTTGTTTTAACCTTTTATAAATAATTATATTTATTAATTTTATATATATATACTTATATATAATTAAGGATTTATTTTTTAAAATATTTAAAATTAAATTGTAAAATTTTTTTTTAAATTTTTATTTAACAATAGCTTTTTAAATATACTTTTTTAGCTTTTTTAAATAATACCTTATAAAAATAATTTTTAATATTACCGTGTTTCTTAAAAGGTTTTAAGAGGTCTTTTTAATATATATTGTTAGAATAATTAAATTATATTAAAAAGATTTATAAAATAACTTTATTTCTCTTATTTTATTAATTACTTACCTTTAATAAATTTTTATTCAATCTTTTAATTTATTTATATTAAATATAACTTATTAAATTTTAACTTATAAATATCTTTTATTAAATAAAATATTAAAATAATCTATTGGGATAACAGTTACGTAACCTCGTCACATGACCAGGGTTATGCCTACACACATCGCCCACGCACAGCCCACGTATTTATATAATAAATATCTTTCTTTACTTGGGAAAATCCCTCCTTTTTTACTTTAGTATAATTAATTAAAATATAATTGTTATTTATATTTCCTTTTATATTATTATATAATATATAGTTAATTTAATATTAATTAATAATTAACCAACTAATTAATTATAAAATAGTAAAGAAAAAAAATAATATTATTTTTTTTGTACAATAGTAAAAATTTTTAAAATTATTAAAAAAGTAAAAATGTTAAACTTTATCCCTTTACAAGTAATAGCGGAAAGTATTATGTTATTTTAAAGGTTTTAAACGTTCTTAATAAAATAAAACCTATATTTATTATATATTTAAAAATAATATAACAAAAATTATAGCAATTATAAATAATATAATTTAATAATAATTAAAATATATTATAAATAATAAAAAAGGTATCGAATTTAACCTTTTCAAACTTATTAAAACTATAAAAAATAATATTAATATGTATTATATAGAAAATTTTATAATATATTAATATAATATTGAACTGGTGCTGGTGTATCAGGTGACTTTGATCCTGATCATGTGATCATATTCTTAGTATAAGTACCATTTATGGTCGCACACACCCATTTTACATAGTATCATCCACTTTTAATACAAGTCATTCCTTTTCATCATCAGTTTCATCATCTAAAAGTCCTTGATATCAGGTCTAATAGGGCTTGATCCAAGGCCAAGACGTCTAAGTCTTGTTCAATATCAAGGACTTTTAAATGATAATGATGAAGGAAAAGGAATGACTTGTATTAAAAGTGGATGATATTATATAAAATGGGTGTGTGCGACCATAAATGGTACTTATACTAAGAATATAATCACATGATCAAGGTTAAAGTCACCTAATACATTAACACCAGTTTAATAAATTTAATATCTTATAATATTTTAAAATTTATAATATTAAATTTATTAATTATTTTAAATTAACTTTTTTAATAAATATATTTAAAAAATAAATGTTATAATTTAACGAAATAATTTATTAAAAAATAAAATATATTAAATTAAAAAATAAATATATAAAATGGTTATTAAAAAAAATTAAACAATAATAAAAATAAGTTTTAAGTAAATTTTATTATATAAAAAAGTTAAAATTAAATTATATTATAAATATTCCTTTTATTTCATTTGTTTTAATAATAAAAGCATTATTTTCTTTATTTATTTTAAAGGTATTATTATATAACTTAAAGTTATTAAATTTATTTAATATATATATAAGTATATATATCTTATAAATATTACATATTCTTTTTAAATACTTCATAATATAAGAATAACAAGGATAATATGACACACCATTACACCAGCCCTAGTAGTAGAAAAAATATTAACTTTAGGCTGACTCATAAATTCGGCCCGCACAAACGTTTAGAAGACTGAGAGTATATAAAACATCATCCCGCCTACTTTTTGAGTCGTTTTTACCCACATCTATCCACCGTGTTCAGTGCCCAATTATACAATTCTATACAAACGAACAATTCAAGATGTCTAAGGGTCGTGTCTGTCTGTGAGTAGTTACCCCTTATTAAACAATTAATTACTGCTAGTTATTCGAACCTTAACTAACTGTCTACATAGCGCCTACTCCGGAGGTCAGTATCTCCAATTATGTCCGCTTTATCTATTCTCTGTTCGAGCCAAAATAGAGCTATTTTATGGCTACGATGGCCTACGGGTGAGGTCATCGTTAGTATAACGGCGATGGTCATTCTGTCAATGTCTAGAATTAAACAGTCCTTACTAACATCATATATATAGGCCTTGATACCTCAACCATCCTAGTATGGCTGATTTCTGAGGGCTACACCGTCGTCGTAAGTTCCCTATATTGCGTACCCTAACTAAAGCTCGAGTCTAATATATGATCAGTGCTTTTTAGCGGATGTTGGCCAGGAAGAAGACTGGGCTGCCGTCGAGAAGAAGGCTCTAAGCTTGGGTGCTGAGCGCATGATAATCGACGTATTTATATCCCTTTTTTTCACCCCCTTTTTCACTACAATGCTGCCCCGTAGTTATACGCCCCATTGAGATCGAAATTACTAACATTAGATCATTCAGAATCTCCAAGAGGAATTCGTGGAGAAGGTCATCCACAGAGCAATCCAATGCAATGCCATCTATGAGGATCGATGTGCGTAGCCCTTCTCTAACCTGAAGTATAAGCATTAACCCCTTTCCAGACCTCTTGGGTACTTCTCTAGCTCGCCCAATCATTGCGAAAGCCCAGGTTAAGGCAGCCATTGAGCACAACTGCGACGTACGTTAAAACTCCAATGTTCTATTCCGTAAGAGATCTAGAGCGGAGGACCTTTATTTGGTCGTTTTAGCCTCGTACATCCGCCGCTATCCTCTTCCGAAGAGTCTGACAGAAAGCACGCTGACCTATCATGATACGTATAGTTTGTTTCGCACGGATGCACTGTAAGTACACTACTTCAATACCCTATACCGCTTTTATTCCATAGAGCCAAAACACTAATTTTCGACGTAGGGCAAAGGGTATTTCCTCTCTATTTATCCACGTCCATTTTGTCCTAGCTAATAAGCATAGCAACGATCAAGTTCGCTTCGAGCTAGCCTTCGCGGCCTTGAGGCCCTCTCTGAAGGTCATCGCCCCTTGGCGGCTACCAGAATTCTGCGCAAAATTCCGTATGCACCATCGTCTCTCTTAAAATTAAAATAGGTATACTTTCTAACAATCATTATAGAGTTAGTCTCCCAGTACCACCCACTCTGTTCTATACTTGATCAGCCACGTCCGGAATTGAGGTTTTTCCTGTCTCAGCAATCCAGGACATGAATGCTGCATCTACGGTGGAACCTGAACATGAGATACTGATACTCGTTTATAGGGGCCGCGCGGACCTACTTCGCTACGCAGCTGAGAAGAAGATCCCTGTCGTATGTATTCCTCATCAGGCAAAAATATCCAGCTACCAGATGACGCTAACATACAACAGAGCTCGACCCCGAAGACGCCCTGGTCCATGGACGGTAAGAGTCACTTTGGCTTCAGTTCCCTTACCGTTCAGATTATCCACAATGCAGCTTCCATAAAATACAACTTGGCAAACCACTCTGTAGTTTCAGGAAGCTAACCGTATCACATAGACAACCTAGTACATTGCTCATACGAAGCTGGTATCCTCGAAGATCCCGACCACACCCCTCCGTAAGTTCATCTTCACCCCGGCTAGTTATCTTGTGATCATGTTTGATATCTAAGCGAAACTTGTTGAGGGAAAGCTTTATTTATGCCTATCGACGTTACTGGTACCATCCTAAGCCGAAATTTATCTTTAAACGGTCCGAGCATATGTGGCACTGCTAACATTCTTATCATAGTAAGGAGCTATGGACCCGAACCGTGGATCCGCTTGATGCCCCCAACGAGCCAACTGACTTCTCTATTCACTTCGAAGCGGGTATCCCGGTCAAGGTCACCGTTGCAGGCCAGGAGACTACCGGCAGTGTGGCTGTATTCAAACTCTTGAACAAGATAGGCCACGACAATGGTGTAGGCCGAATCGACATTGTTGAGAACCGCTTCAGTTAGTATTAAATCAGAAGGTGGGTAGTTATAGATATGCTAACCTTGCCTATCTCAGTCGGACTCAAGAGCCGTGGTTGCTACGATACACCAGGACTGTGAGTTCTCCTTATCCCAGCTCTAAGACCTTACCCTTAAACTCCCTCCTAGTCAACACTTACTAAATCTTGGTTTGCAGCACTATTGCGCGACTTGCGCATCTTGATCTTGAAGGTTTGGTCCTCGACGGCCGAGTTCGCGAATTGCGTGACCAGTTCGTGACGCACTCGTGGAGCCGCATTCTCTACAACGGTCTCTACTTCAGCCCCGAGAGGGAATTCCTTGACAATTCTATCCTCTTCTCATCCCAAAACACAACCGGTATTGTGCGATTGAGAGCGTACAAAGGACATGTGAGTCTCGTCTATGACTAGTCTTTGCCAAATAACTAATCTGGGCCATTAGGTATACGTGCTTGGCCGCTCCAGCAGCGTCAGCAACCTTTACTCTGAAGAGTAAGCTACTCCAAACACCTCCCCTTCCTTCACTCTAGAGACCAGAATCGCCTAGACTTTCGTACTCCCATGATAGACTTAGCAGAATTGCGTTCTACCTATGTTCTCCCTACGGAATACCATAAGAAAGTTACTTACTTCAATCGTTTAGGGCTGCATCTATGGACTCTCTAGAGGGCTTTTCGCCCCAAGACACAACCGGCTTTATTGCTATCCAAGGTTAGTCACGTTATCAAATCTCTGTTCTTGAAGATAAAGTTACATAGAACAATCCCTGACATCCTTTCTACAGCTATCCGCCTCAAGAAGTACGGCGAGCAGCGCGATAAGGAAGGCAACTCCCTAACTCAGTCTTAGGTTAGATAGCGGGTTGCTTTAGCTTGACAGCTAGCGATACTAGCGTCTACTTCAAAAGATGCAGATAAGCTACTATTACTAGATAGTGTCTATAGTGCGCGCATGTCTAATCTCAGACATTTGATGAATTGAAAATAAATAAAATCCATATCCAATGCTTTGCCGTTCCATGCATATTAATTATGTTCCTTCCTCTATAGAAGATTAATGCTAAATCTATTAAAATTGAATCGTATGGTTCATGCATAATAGGTGGAGATAACTGTGATCTGCCCCTGGTATTGATGTTACGATTGCCAATAAGCTTGTGATATGTAAGCCATAGGGCTTATGTAATGGTATGTTATATTATCCTTATTGTTGTTGTATTATGAAATATTTAGGAAAAATATCTAATATTTATAATATAATTTAATTTTAACTTTTTTATATAATAAAATTTATTAAAAAATCGTTTTTATTATTATTTAATTTTTTAACAATTATTTTATATATTTATTTCTTAATTTAATATATTTTATAAAATATTTATTATTTTATTTTTTAATAATTCATTTTTAATAAATCTTTAAAATTATTTTCGTAAATTATAATAATTATTTTCCAAATATATCTGTTGGAATATAAGGAATAGCCAATTATGTAATCTAGTCACGTGCCACCACGTGCGTGGGGCTAAGCCTAAAAGGTAAACCCTTTTAGGCTAACCCACTGTCACACAACTAATACGTACTGAATAGGCGATATATGAGGTCTAATTGATGATATTCCTGATGATCTGATTCATTAAGGTAAAATCGTGGGAACGCGTGTTACACCGCTATTTTACATGGGACTAGGGATTTTCAGGTCACCTGACATGGCTGACTAATCTGACATGACCTTAGGTCATGTGACAGCTTAGGCCTTATGTATAACGTAAGAAGCTTCAGGGAACATCGTGATACATGAGGTACCTGTATTCCAAGGTTCACATTGGTGTACATTAGGTACCTAGGTACCTGGTACTACATGTATGCTGGTAGCAGGAGTGACTGCCTTGAGATCAACATCAGTGTCGTACCTGTTATAACCTGACAAGAACAATCAGTAGGTACCACAGTATACAGTTAGTTTCCTAAGCTGCAGTATAAGTGGCTAATAGAACTGAAATGTCCTCATTTATATCACGTTTTGTCACAATGGACAGGCAACTAAATAACATCGTCACGATTGGTGGAGATGCTACACGAAATGCGCAAGCCGGAGCTGTTATGGTTAAGATTGAAGATATTCTAGAAAGAGTTATTGACGCGCTTAGCGAGAATCGAGTTCTCGATATTCCTCTACGTAATCGCCGGACAGGAAATGAAAGTCTCCTCCGGTTCCCAGCAAGTACGGAAGCAGAGGCAAAAAGATTTAGTAAGTTCATACCGCGCAAGGAGTCTTGCCTCTTGCTTATAGGTTAACTGAAGATGTTAATTCCTTATTTCCAGCATGCGTTCTTCAAATTCTTCATTTGTGTTATGAAGCACTCATCTCCGACCACGTCATTACCAAAAGGTCTGTTTATTTCCTTGCCTAAAGTCCGCTGTCCTTTAAATCAGTCTCACGTACCAGGTATATTTTCTAAATGATTATAGAAATATATACTATCAGAATCCAGATCTTTTCGGCAGCCAGCAGTATGTTGATAATCTTGTCGACGATATCGCCTTTACATTCGGAGTTGGTAGAGACGCGTTGAGTGTTGTATGTATCCTTCAAGTGAAGCAAGTTTAAGGGTTAAGTATCGAAGTAGGTTGCTGCATATAAAGGTCTTATTGCAGGAGGCGTTATTATCACGTTAAAGAACCACTCCGTTCTTGACTGTAGTTCTGATAATAATGTGAGGATCGAATTATACTACAAGGAATGTGGTGACCAGGTAGCTAATGGGTCTTACTAGGGCACCTTAATTCCACATGCTGAAGCCATTCGTCGAATTGATATTGGTGAAACGAAATGGATTATGGTTATCGAAAAGGAGGCAAGTCCCCTCATCTGAATATTCGCAGGTTATTCTCTGATGTTTCTACTAGGCCACCTTTCGTGGACTGGCCGCGTCTGAATACTACGGGCTATCTGACGCAGGTATAGGGGTTATTATTACAGTAAGGCATCATATTCATAACACAGAATTTCCTAGCTTTTGCTCATGTTATTGCTCTCAGGGGAAAGGTTATCCGGACCTGGTGACACGACAATTCCTTCACCTTCTGCACTCATCCTTTCCGCAAATTCCCATTTACGCTCTTGTCGACTTCGACCCTAGCGGTATTGCCATCATGCTTACCTACAAATGCGGCAGCCAGGGGCTTGGTCATGAAGAAAACGTGACAATCCCGGAGATCTCATGGCTTGGACCAAAGAGCTGCGACATTCTAAGCCACACTCGCTACCTATCTTCGTCTCATACAAGTCCATCTGATGATCTCACTCCCCAGCCCAGTCAGGATTCATCTTCACCCGCTTCACCTAATATTTCTGTTTCCGCGATTCCGGTCGAAGTCACTGCTCACCTCAGTACTTCTGACCGACGGAAAGCGGTTGGTCTCTTACGCAGACTTGATAGCCACCCTGTTGAAAGTGCGAATGAGCCGAGCTTGGCGCACGAGCTACAGCTAATGCTCATGCTGAATATTAAAGCCGAGATACAAGCAGTAGATGATTCAGGAGACATGACAGGCTGGTTGGATGTGAAGCTATCAAACTGTCACCTCTAAACCCAACAATACCTGATCTGACTGGCACTAAAGGTCACCACATTAGACTTCAAATCCACCGCGCGTCTTTCAGTCAGATATCAAACATAAGGGATTTTAGATGGGCTCTATGTTGTGGTAATAAAGGAGCTTTTCAGGAAGGATCTATTGTACCCCCTAATGTCGGCTGTACTCCTAAGTTTTTAGAGCATCACGTGACCCCAAGACCCAAATTGGGAGGTAAAACGCCCAACTCAACGCTATCATGAAAAAGATATTGCTACTAGAAATCCACCCAAGTCTTAAATCTTTGACCAATTTACGATACAGAATTCAAAAGCCTTTTTTTTTTTTGAAAATGCTCAAGTTCTAAATTTATCTAATTTGGCCCACAGAAGTATCAGTGCTAAAGCAACTAAAAATTTTCATTTCGCTCTCCAATTCCACCACTCATATCAAGAGCACGGACCAGGACAAAATACCCGGACATCGATGCTGGTTTGGGGTTAAAATAAAATATTCAGAAAATTACAGAAGGGAAAATCAAAAGAAGCGGAATGGCACCTCAGTTATCAGAAGATGAGATTGATGACCTCATCTATTTAGCTCGTACTGGCGACGATGCAGAGTTCACGGGGATGGTTCAGGAGCTTGCTGACCGAGAGGGTGCTACACGGGCCGAGATCATAGCGGCGGCCAGGGATGACGGCAAGGCGACCTGCTTGCATATGGCAGCAGCAAATGGTCATGCGAGTAAGTTGACGATTATACATTTCAATATTTATATATCACCCATTTATTATAATCATTTACAGAGGACTTTTATTAATATCAGACTAGAAACTGTCACTTTGATACTCTCACACTTCCCTGCTCCTTCTAAGCCGTCCAGAGAAGCAGCACCTCCGTCATCTTCCGATGAAGTGCCACCATCTACAAGCACGGAAACGGAGGTACCTTATATCAATTTACAGAACTCGTTTGGAAACACAGCCCTGCATTGGGCTTGTTTAGGTGGTCACCTTGACGTTGTCAAACTTCTCCTATCGCGAGGCGCTTCACCTACTGCGGCTAACGACAAGGACCAGATTCCGCTGGACTTGGCAGCCTTCAATAACCATATGCACGTTGTTGATTACTTCCTATCGCAGAGCAAAGATCTTGAGGGTGATAATGCTAAGAAAGGTGGGCTAGAGAAGGGCACACAAGATGTGCAGATGGCGGATGATGATGGTGCAGCAGGGGGTGGAAAAACAGGGGGTTCAACAGATGATCCTAGCAGGTAGCTAGGCTCTGGCTAGGACTGCGAAGTCTGAATTACATCAAAAGGTTCTAATAACGTGAAATTCGGCGCGGAGTTTCTTTAAGGGCATAAGGTAATGCCTGCCCGTCTTGAACTCGGGCAATAGGTCTAATCTGAGTACCTAGTCAGCGTTAGAGTATAGATACAGGAATAAAAGCGTTATCCATGCATAGGTAGTAATTGTTATACTCAGTATCACCTACAGGCTGGATTGTAGTACCCACGATCATATCCCCCTCTTTCATGGTGTTTTTCCTTAGCACCAAGTTCACACTAATGTAGAAACAGGTGAGAGTAGGAATATGCATAAAGACTCGACGGTATTCTCAATAGTCCGGCTTAGTAACCTATCTTGTCGCTCTTGTCGCTCTTGTCGCTCTTGTCTTAATATCTTTTAAAAAGTAAGACGTTAAAGGAGTATGATTCGCCAAGATGGTGGATCGCCGTGTTCCTGTCAGACAGGCGATAAGATAATGTAAAAAGCGCGATTACCTATCGTTTCTTACAGCTTACTAATTTTAGATACCGCTAAGGAAAAACATTAACAGGCGGCGGGAATCCCAATAATATTTAAGAAGTAGCGCTGCACATAATTTGGAGCTGTTTGTATGCAAGATTGCGGGAGATGGCTCTTGCGTTGCCGGGGCATTTATAGCTAAATATTCTATTACTTCAATTCAACAGGTACCTAGTTATCCAATATTTTGCAAGTCAAGTCGTCATTCCCGAATCATCTCCGAACCTATGAAAACCAAACTTGATTGAATTTACCAGTTGAACAGTTTGCGACATATCAAATATCTCCATTAAGAAAATCTCAGGGTCATCTCATTCTATTAGAGATCTAAATCTTACGAGGAAACATGTCAGACCCAGCTTTTGATGCCAAGTCCGCATCGTTTTTGGAGTGGTTTAGGACCTGGCCTGGAGCGACTTTCCATCCTAATATCAAGATTGAAGATCTACGCGCAAACGGCGCCGGAAGAGGAATTGGTGCGGGATAAGCAGAACCAACCATGTGTTTTAGCGAGCACATCCAAATCGCTAACCAGTGACTTTTCTTAGTTACCACTGCGGACATCCCTGAGGATACCGTACTGTTCTCCATTCCGAGAATAGCAATCATCAACGCGGAGACTTCTGACCTCCCTAAATGCATACCCCAAGTCTTCGAGACGACGGGCTTAGAGGACACTGATAATGAAGCCGACGAAGATGGGAGCGAAACCAGCGGCCCTCCCGATAACTGGATCTCACTTATTCTCATCATGATGTATGAGTATCTTCAAGGTGACAGGTCTCGATGGAAACCCTACTTCGACGTGCTTCCTGACCAATTTGAGACCTTGATGTGGTGGTCGAATCAAGAGCTGAGCGAGCTGCAAGCAAGTTCAATTGTGTCCAAGATAGGTAAAGACGAGGCGGATGGCATATTCCGTACTCGAGTACTGCCAATAATCAATGAGCATGCCGATGTCTTCTATCCAGAAGGATCCGGTAGGCTTAGCGAGGATCAGTTGATGCTTCTAGCGCATCGCATGGGCAGTACCATTATGGCATACGCTTTCGACTTGGAGAACGAAGACGAAGAAGCTGACCCTGAGAATGGCGAGGAATGGGTTGAAGATAAAGAAGGCACCCTCATGATGGGCATGGTGCCGATGGCCGATATCTTGAATGCAGATGCCGAATTCAACGTAAGCATACTTTATTTTATGAATACGATAGCAAATCCTACATGATGTTACGAGCTCGTACTGATAAGCAACAGGCTCACGTCAATCACGGCGAAGACAGCTTGACCGTCACTACCCTGCGGCCGATTGTTGCCGGAACCGAGGTACTCAACTACTATGGGCCTCTCGGAAATGGCGACTTATTAAGACGCTACGGATACGTAACGAAAAGCCATTCCCGATATGATGTGACGGAAGTATCATGGGACTTAGTATTGTCTGTATTAAAGGACACGCTCGGATTGGATGAAGCTGCCTGGGGTAAAGTAGTAAGCAACGGGAAGTAGCACCTTCACTCTCTTTAGGATACTAAACGTTTGCAGGTTAATGAGCTAGACCTGGAGGAAATGGAGGACGCTTTTGTCATAGAACGTGATTCAGGGGAGCCGAATTCCAATGGCGAACTTTGGGATGAGCCGGCCTTTAAGGAGCTTCCCTCGGATCTGGTTGAGCAGCTCCATGGGGTACTCAAAGCGATCAGGAAGATCAGCCCAGCCACTATTCCAGATAAGACGATACGGGACGAAATCTCATCGTTGGTTATACATCGCGCCCTCGAACTAAGACTGGCGCAATATACTACGAACCAAGTGTACGATTTGGATCTACTGTCCGGCAATAAGGTTTCAGGCCGGCAGAGGATGGCCGTAACTGTGCGATGGGGCGAGAAAGTTCTACTACAAGAAGCTATCAACTTCGTGCAAGAAAGAGTGCATAAGTTGAAGGCCAGAACAAACACAGAGTCCGAACCATACGCGAAAAGGCAAAGAACTAGGTGAAGGATGAGCACGAGCATCTACATGGAAAGGTTAATGTAGATTGGGATGCTGTCTCCCTATGTTTTCCCCGACAACGTTCAGCCACGCGTGCCCACCCGATAACCTCACCTTTACGTAGGCAGCTCAGAAAATAAATTAAGGGGGCATTGGCCGCCCATAGGGCCTGGCTGTTCCTGTTAAACGCAGGCTGGGGCGGGGTCGATCTCATGTCTTACTTTCCGGCCAGCCTATCAGGTTACCAGCTATGTCGTGTTAAATATGCGCGAAAATGCAGGGACTAGGTTAGAAAATAAGGTGCGACCTGGGCGAGAAGAGTTTAGAGAGCTTGCAGGTAACCTGCTATGTAAGGTAATTAGATAATGAATGAAGACCTCACGGCGAACTATTTACCAATGCTGCATGCGAAGGTGGAGTTTGGGATATCAGTTTCATAGGTAATCCCTAATTTTATAGTTTCTGGTATGTTTCCTTCGTAGAATTTTTATATTAAATCTTCGTGCAATACTTTTGCTTGGGACCTTGGTATCGGTTTCCATCACCACTTGTTAGCTCACCTGGGTTCCAGCGTGTTAAGACCCAGCTCGTTGCCAATCTATTGATATACGCAATACAATAGACAAAGCAAGGGATAACCAAGTCAGACTTATATTTTGCTTTACGTAGCTAACGCGTGTAACCAGCTGTATGGTTGCTGGTCACTCTGTCAGAACAGGGAGTATGTGTAGAATTCGGACCGGAGTTCTGTCTCGTCTCTTCAAGACATTCGATGGTTGCCGAAACTTAAGGTTTCTGTACTCACCGAGCTGTGGAATGTGTGCCCCCCCGCTCGAAACATCTCGAAATCGACTGCTACTCTCACTGTGCTACTCGCCATTTACTTAACTCGACCTCAGTATGTAAGGCGGCAAAATGGATATTACCTGGAAGTCCATTGTCATATTCATCCTAGCATTCCTAGGGGCAATAGTCGTCGCAGCGCTGTAAGCTGACACTCTGATAATTTCTTGACTTCTCGATCTCTCTACATGTTAAAGCGTATTGACAATCTTCATCGGACAGGATCACTCGATGGCTCGATCTGCATGGGAAGCTAGCTCGCCTATGGACTAGGAACAGAAAACGCTCGAAACCTGGCTTGCCAGATTCAATTCGACAGGCGCTAATACAGCTAGAGGGCGCAACTGAGAAGAGACATGCTCGTAATTCATTGACAGAGCCGGAGGATGCTGAATGGTAAGGCTGCCCCCAAAATCTATTTTGCACTCGTCCCGCACGTCTAATACCGCGGACAGTCCAATTTGCCTTGCGCACCTCTACTCTAACGACACTCGCCCATCCACATCAGCAACCGGCCACGATACGGATCTAGAGATTGGAGACGGTATATCGAGATCTGCCACGATAATCACAGTAGCTTCGGACGCAGCTGCAAAGAAAGATCAGCCTACACAACCCATCGATGACGAAGTCTTGAAGATGAAGAGGTGTAGACATGTATTCCACGCCAAGTGTCTAGCGACATGGTTTCTGCGGAAAGAGTACAGGTGTCCGGTCTGCAGGGTTCCGTATTACGAGGCGGAAGAGGAGACGAGGGAAGAAGACTATCGTATACCGGCTCTGCTACCTGCGGTAGTTTGGTAATCAGTCTTAGTTGTAGTGGGATATCATCACCCGTAACGCATGAAGAGAAGGCATAGGGTCAGGCACCTATGCAGAATAAAATAGAGCGGTACATTGGGTATCGAAGAAGAATGAGTTCCGTTGACAGATAGGTACATGACTAATAAGCTGAGACCTAATTGGGGCCATGCTCAGTTAGGAATATACGATGATGACTACCTATTGTTATAGCATTGTATTCTTTGCGCGGTCATGATAAATGTAGTTCAACGTTCCAAGCTGTTGGTGGCCACTTACATATTGTGCACACTTACTCCACTCCACTTACACCGCGTACTCCACTTATTACAGCTTGCGACGTAGCTTACCTAACGTTAGCTGGTTAGGTGCCTTTTACAGGTATGTACATACCTTAGGTACCTAATATCATTATTCACGTGACCATCATGACCCTACCGCGACACATTTAAAAGTTAGCTTAGCTTAGCTTAGCTTCTTAGCTTTGACCCTAGAAGCTGCCATCTCGCATCTCGATCGGCATCAAGATGATTTCATCGATCATCGCTCGCTTTTAAATGACCTCACCCTAACTTAAATCTAAGATTGGAATACCTACATTCCAATCCGTTTTATTGATTTATTGATTTCTATTGCTATGGCCAACTCAAACAGGAAGCAGTCGCAAGAAATGGTCCGGCCCGCTGCCGCAACATGAGGATGGCCATATGTTCATGTTCGAGAAATATCCAAGACGGAGCAAAGGTTCCCCCAAGCCTCCCCTTTGCGCCTCGTGGTCTCGTGGCTAGACTCAATTCATGACGCACATCATCGCCTCTCGCTTCGCTAATATAGTGATTACATAGTAAACTCTGTTAATCTCTACTGTCGTACTAACGATGGAGAAGAAAAGGATTTTGGCGCTGTCTAGGATAGCGGCTCCGCCCAGCTTGCTTCTTTCATAGCATATAGCAGATGATCTCATCCATATTGGTTTTTCTTGTAAACGTCTGAGTTGTATCTCACATTGCTCAGACACCCTACATGCCCAAATCTTAGGTCAATAGATCAAAATCATACAAGTTCACTTAATAGCTCTCTTACCCGCCACCCGTCTTTGCATGTCCATCTTCCCACGTCTGATTCGCTGCTCTAGAGCTGAATCTAAACACTCTCTCGGCCCCTTTAAGCCAATCCATCGCATACCCACGTATTCCCCAGTATATTATAACCTCTCCTCGACGATGGTGGCTAAAAGACAGAAATCAACTGTATTTCTACAGCAAGATGACAAGTCGGACAAGCACATCCAACAGGAGCAACCTGGTGTCATTCCCAGAAGATCGGGGCGTAATATCAAGAAACAGAGCGATATATCACAGCTTGATGCAGCAACCACCAACGGAGGAAGTCCGCCCTCGGCGTCGACTCAGCCAAAGAAGAAGTCGATGCAAAGGCCGAATGTTACAGGGGCTATTGGTGGCCTTCGTGAAATGGAGGATACCTTTCGAGATGATACTAAGCGGCAGAAGACAGCAATTGATGCAAGCTCAATCCCAAGTGATTCCTCCGGACGGATCGCAGATCCAGCTTTCCTTTCGAGACCTGAAAATGGTAAACAGGATTGCATTCCAGCGGAACTTGCAAGGGATAGCTTAAGAGACAACAACGACAAGAGAAAGAGGAACGTAACAAAAAAGAAGGAGAAGAATGGTGAGAAGAACAGCGTCGACGAGGAAATCGAAGCTTACGAGGACGAGGAACCAGGCGATAGAGAGCAGGGTGGTAACGGATCCCCGGAGGAGGCCGATGCCAACGCCTTCAAGCTGGAAGGGTCCCGGGCACCCCCGGTTAACAGTGACTATCTGCCGTTACCATGGAAAGGTAGACTGGGTTATGTGAATCCCCCCGAGCATGATTAAGTGTATGTAATTGTGCAATATACAATCTCTAACATCGGTCAGGCGTGCCTCAATACCTATTTGCGACTTTCAAACCCACCGGTATTCAGTTCGAGAACATGCCGAATAGCTTCCATTCTAGAACATCGTCATCCCCTCCAAGATTCGTCTCAGCCTGCCCATCCGACAAAGAATCGCCCGGACAAAAATCAACCGGCTGATGTAACCAGAGGCCAGAAATATGTTGAAGCACTTGGCCTCGCCAATGCCCGTGATATTGTAAAGATGATCCGCTGGAATGATAAGTATGGTATCAAATTCATGCGCTTAAGCTCGGAAATGTTCCCTTTTGCCAGCCACGAAGAATACGGCTATAAGCTAGCGCCGTTCGCTTCGAAAGTACTTGCTGAAGCCGGAAGAGTCGCAGCTGAGTTAGGCCATCGGCTCACCACTCATCCTGGACAGGTGTGTTAAGCTACCTTATTATACGGGAGGGACTACGTTAATTTAATTCATTGAAAGTTCACACAACTCGGTTCGCCACGGCCCGAGGTTGTTAGAAATTCGATTCGCGATCTTGAATACCACAACGAGATGCTAACACTTCTGCGGTTGCCCGAGCAGATCGATAAGGATGCCGTCATGATCCTGCACATGGGTGGCGTATTTGGAGATAAGGAGGCTACCCTAGATCGGTTCAGGGAAAATTATGCCAAAGTCTCGCAAGGTGTTAAGGCAAGGTTGGTATTAGAAAACGACGACGTATCGTGGACGGTGCACGACCTACTTCCGATATGTGAAGAATTGAATATCCCACTCGTTTTGGACTTCCATCATCACAACATCATGTTTGACAAAGGCAAAATCCGCGAGGGGACCAAGGATATTATAGAACTTTACCCAAGGATCAGAGCAACCTGGGATAGAAAAGGTATCACGCAAAAGATGCATTACAGCGAGCCTTGTTCGGAAGCCATCACTCCACGCCAGCGGCGGAAGCATCGTCCTCGTGTCATGACCCTTCCGCCGTGTCCAAATGACATAGATCTCATGATTGAGGCGAAAGACAAGGAACAGGCGGTGTTCGATCTGATGAGAAACTTCAAACTACCTGGGTGGGACCGTTTTAACGACGTTATCCCGTACGAGCGCGAAGATGAAAATAGACCGATACCCAAACCTCCCAAGAAGAAGCGCAGGACTAAGAAAGGTGCAGACGGTGCAGACGCAGATATCGAGGCTGGAGAGGATGCGGAGGAGGAGCTGAAACCACCGCCCAAGATACGGGAGTCGGAACTTGGGATGGGCGGCCCTAACAACCGAGTATACTGGCCTCTTGGGATGGAGGAATGGCTCCGCCCTAAGAAAAGGGAGGTTAAGAAGAAGAGAGTTAATGACGAAATGGATGGCGATGAGTAGCTCCGTTTTCGGATTTGGGTAGCAGCATGCCGTGTTACAGCACGTTTGCATACCGGTCTATAGTCAGATACCACGGGATAAACTCGGTAAGGTGTAACATCGAAAGGACCCCGTCGTCGCCCAGCGGTCTGGATTCTCCGTAGATAGGTATACACTTAGATCCACATAAAATAATCACTTCTCATGTTTTCAAAATGTACAACAAGATTTCTACACACCTACATCTTATCTGACAGCAGATACGAAATTTATCATTTGTAGTGGTCGTATTTACTACAGCTACTCATTATCTATGGTTGGGTATGATTCGACAGATACGACAGATACGACAGATACGACTATGTAAATAAGCAATGTAAGCTTTTATATGAGCTGAAATTGTCGACGCTGCTTACTTTCTCTAAATTAGGAATAGCTCCGCAACTGGAAGAAGGCTGAAAGAATGCATATGGCTGTGGTCGATATTACTCCGGGGTATAAATGATGTGAGGCTGTTAGGCAATTTGGAGTAACTATGGGAGGATAACAGGTATTAATGACAGCAGAGCCGTGCTGAATATATCGTCTTATATGCAGGGACTTCGCATTTCATGTGGGACTGGTAGCTATGTAGCTATGGATGCTACTACTCCTTTTCCTCCTTTTCCTCATGTAATATCTAGCAAAGGCCTCGACTATCCGAACTAGGAGTGATTGGTTCCGGTACATGTATGTTCCATAACGGCCATACATTATCTCATTTACAGCACGCGATGAGCCACAAGCAAGACGGGCAGAAAGCCGACAGTGCCAAATCGCTTATCTGAAGAATAGTCTTCTAGCCTCTTTCAACTACTACACCACTTTGTATGTAAGGGTATATTTATCAGCCGTGTCCGACATACTAACGCCGATCCCGTTCGTGTAGTTATTGTAGTTATTGTTCATTGGGCTAGTAGATATGTTCCCGAACCCATATAGAAGATCCTGTAGACCTAACAAAACGATAAATAATTATCATAAGGGTTAAGCTGGAACAAGCGAAAAAAAAAAGAGAATAGGTATTGCAAGTACATCTTCCTCCTAGCTCACTGTGTATACCTTATACCTCCTTCTTATCACGATGAAATAGGGGTCTTCGGGAATTTGACGCACATATAACACTCGAAACCATTGGCCAACCATGTCGTCAAACCACCATCGACCCATGCAGAGAGTAGTGTGCAATCCACTGGTTCTCATCTCGTAAATATAATGGCACTGTCGTATCTACCATAGTATAAGGCTTATACATCCCATATCAGAGTTCGGCAACTGGTTCGCCGCCGGAAGCACAAACCAACAACCCAAGACATCAGGATCGCCCAACGTGTACATCTAGATAGTGGGCAGAAGATAAGATCCCCGGGTCGATATCAACGGCCTACCATGGTCGGTTGCTTTGCGGAGCTGCCGTCGTATCTACTGCTGTGCTATGTGAGACCCCTGAACTGCCGCCAGTGTAGCGTTCAAGCTGGCTGGCCCACCTACTATTTTGAGGTGATAGGGGTCTTGTTCGTGCATTATCGGCAAAGCATTAGGGGTGCTTGGTACGTCTCTCTTCTCGAGCCTCAAAAATTTCCGGATAAGCATGTGCTGGCGACCGGTGTTTCTACTCGTCCTTGGACATCTGCGATCGCCCTACTCCCGTACGTGCCGCCACGTTGCGCCAGGTATACCTACCTACCTACCTACGTATAACCACGCATATATCAGTCTCACCCTGCGACAAAGGGTCCAGGGGTAGGACGGGACGGGTGCGCTAATTATGTAGTATGCGCAGAGATAGACAGTCACCCTTTGGACCCTGACTTATATACATATTCTTTTAGGTGGGAGAGGTTCCGGGCGTGTACAGCGGCAGAAAAAAAAAATAAAACATCGTATTAGAGGACGAGACGGTGCGATGGTAAAATTATCGTCTCGTAAAAAGGGGGACGAGGAAATTTAGGAGATATGAGTTCCGTACACCCGGCTCAATGGAAAGGGTCGTGGTCGCAAGTAGAAGATGAAGAAACAAGGCAATTCGTGGATTGGTGCATTCGTACGCATGTCAGTATGTACATCAATTATAGGGGAGGGTTATATATTGACGATAATGATGAATGCTTGATATCTGGTTATTTGAATTGGCAGTGATTTAGTTGGGACAGGCTTGAAGGTCCTTTAATATTATATATTATATTGCATCTGACATGAAGTTGAGGTCGGTCGGAGTGGACCCGAAAGGGTTCTTTGGACTCGACGTCGTGACGCCGTGACGCCGTGACGCCTCGCACGAGGTCCGACAAAGTGGATAAAGGAACATTGAAATGAGTGAATATAGCTTAGGTAACGCTGTTATAGGCTGGCGACGCCGACCAAAGTAACGATAAGAAAACAAAAGTATCATGAGGTCACTTACACTAGAAACGGGGCGTCAGGAAGATATGATGTCAGGTTTACCGCTTTAAAGGGTTTTCGGGAAGCATCCGTGGATCTCGAAAGAAGCTCGAGCCTTAAGGTGAGCAAGAGGAGGCTTGGCAAGCAGGGGTTGCAGATTTTCACAGAATACATGTAAGAAGTATAATATACTTGGAATGGTCTGTTGAGTACTTTAGAGTTTAGTAGATATGCGTAGGAAGATTCCGTACCTAGAGATTCAAAATGTTGAAATAGTGACATCAAGTTCTCGTAAGATGATGGGATGATCACTCCCTTATTAAGCTGCTCTCCGTAGTGGCGGCTCGTGCTTCAATGTTCCCTTAGGTACGAAATACCTACGTACATATGTACATGTATGTAAGTACCTAAGGTACATGTAGTTACCGCGAAATATTGTACCCACATCGTACATAGTGAGAATAGGTAGGTACCCACCTAGCCACCCACTCATCCCACCTTCTGCACCTTCTGTACATAGCAGGGCATCAAGGAAGCAAGCATCCAGCAAGGCTAATAATACGACTTGACCCCAATGCTGTAACAGCTGCAGCAGTAGTAGCGACGGCGATAGCGTTATTAGGTTAGCATGTTATACGTTTATGTATCTTCTTTTTCTTTTCACCAGAGCAACCCAACCAGACTAACATAACAACCTGAACTAACTAAATTCATTCCTCGAGTAACAGATCGTCACATCATCCTCACCTTGTTTTTACACTCGACTCGACAACCCCTCGTCGACACGATAGCCTCGGATTCTTTTTCTGTTTCTCATCATTTTCGTGTTCGATCTTTTATAACAAAATTCGCATCTTTTCCCTCAATCACAAGATCTCCCCGCCAAGTAAGACAGTTAGACACACGACATAGCGACAACACCATCACAGGAACTATAGGGGAACTATAGGCCAATACGATAATACGATAATACGCTACCTGCATTTCTCTCACCCTCCATTATAGGAAAGAAAAAGCCACACATCCCATACTTTAGGTAACACATGCCCTACCATCCATAAGTCAAAAAAAATCCACCTACATAGAACATACATCGACTGCATAGTCCAGAACCCCAAACCCCACCAGCACGATAGTCGCAATACTCGAGTATCATCATCATAAGAACGATCAGCATACCGAGCAATATCCCAGGCAAAGTTCCAGCAGTCAAATCGCATCAAATCACAAGAACAGGAGAGCCCGAAAGAATCCACTATTTTGTACTGCAGGGTCCCAAACTCCCTGGCCACTTTTCTTCCCCGCGTCCGGCCGCCAGTTTTCCAACTTTAACCTCCACAAATCTGCCACTGCCAACCCGCCAACCCGCCAACCTTCTTTAGCCCTTGCTATTGTCCCTCCAGCCTTCTTACCGTCCTTACTACTACCTACTTTCCGCCTACTTCCACCTACTTTTCCATCCCACATACTCCAGATTTTACCCCCAGGCCGTTACATACCAAACAACTTTACTATTTCCATCCTCCATCCTCCATATACTCTGCTTTCTCATCCAACTATCAACGGCTACCTAAACATACATACTTACCAAAACTCTTCTCTTCCTACAGTCCCAAAATGGCGACCGTGGAGTTGAGCTCCAAGGCCATGCATATTCCTCCGAACCATGAGATCAAGCGCCCCAGAGGTACGTCATACCTTTCCGTCTGACCCTTATCCTACGATTTTGCATATTTTCTGGATTAGCCTTCATCGTACTAATTGGATCTCCTCCCGTTAGGTATTCTAAAGAACTCATATCAAAAATCGCCACCTCCCGCTTCTCCCATTAAGGAACAGGACCTGTCTGAAAAGGAGCTCACCATCATAAATACTCAAACAAATGCCGGCCATCGTCGCTCGTCGAGCGCGGCTAGCCGTCCTCCCGGTTCGCGGCGCCAATCGTCGCGTACCCCTTCGCACGGTCCAGACCAGGAGATGTTTGATAACAATCAACGCCTGAAATGGGACGAAGCGAATCTCTATTTGACGGAACAGGAGCGTACCTCCACAATGAAGATTACTGAACCCAAAACCCCGTATGCCAAACATTACGAGCCGTCGGAAGACGATGACGACGACGAGATGCTCGATGGGGAGCTTTCGCGAAAGGAGGAAATTCCCGGGCTGTCGTTAGGAGAGCCCGAAGAGGACATCCCCGAAGATGAATTTGGAGCCGGGCGCAAACAAAGTAAGGTTCATGTTAATGACGAGGATGCCACACCGCAACACGATGCCGAGAATGAGTTCTTCGGCCTGACCCCCGAAGAACAAGAAAAGCATCGCAAGTTTGAGGAGCTGCGGAAGAAGCACTACGAGATGAAGGACGTCGCCAAGTTCCTCGGCCACCCCGAGTCTATCGACGAGCTCGAGGACGAGGAGGAAATTCCTCCGATGCCTACCATTAACGGCGCTATCGTCGGAGCTGGCGACTAGGAATACGGGATATGCAACTCTTCTCTTAAGAGGAACGCCACCAGCTTTGGCGAGGGAAGGGCAAGCAAATTACAAAGACGGGTATGGATGCGATGACGGGACATGCATGACGGACGGAGTTAATGGCAAGGTGGACTGCCTCTTGATTTTATCATATTGTCAGAGGCACAATAGATGTGTTTTAGGTGTTGGAGGGGCGAGCGACATACTACCTACTATTAGGCTGGGCGAGAGATGGTTATTTCCGGTTGATCATGGTTGTAGTTATAGATGCTCTACCTGCGCGGGCTTAGACCTCGGACTCGATGAAATAACATTCATTCGTATTCTCATCGTCTTAGCGGAACGGGACGAAACTCGATTAAGACATGTCTTGAAGTACTCGACCATGTGGCTTAGACAATACGGTCTCATCCTAAGTAGAACTAGACAAACTCTGTGCCCTATTCTCAGAAACAATGCGCCAGCCGTTGAGCTCGACGAATTAAATCATAGCAGTCCCTTCCGAGCGAGCTCGACCTTTCTTCCAGCCTCCCCAGGCTTAAATCCTCCCTTAGATGCGCATATTCGGTGGCCATCTCCCATCTCGAACTTGTCTTCGTGGGCGGGCCACGGGCAGGGGCAGTGGTGAGGGAAGTGCACGCAAGCTGTTTATCATTGAGTAGTTAGCACAGATGAGCTCATAATTACAAGCCAATGCTCGTTCCGCTGAAGGATCTATAAAACTGTACAAGTCACGATAGGAGAAAAGGGAGCTCACCAAGAGTATCAGGGCAAAGGTAGTTGTCGCAATGCATGCGGTCGAAGTTAGAGCGGTAGATGGTCGAGTCGCTGGGCACGTTCTGCGGTTGTTGGCGCTGCTGCTGCTGCTGCTGTTGCCCGCCGCCGCCGAACATCTGGTCGAAGAAGCCGAATTGGGCGTGAGCGACGGAGGAGAGCAGAGCGAGAAGGATGATTTGTAAAGGGGAGGAAAGGAGTTGCATCGTGATGGGTTATGTGGTTTAGTTTATACAATTAACTAAGAAATTAGCTGTTAACCAGACACCTAACCTGCTATCATGAGGTGTAAGTGGTTTTATGGACCTACGTAAGGCGTAAGGCGTAAGGCGTAAGGCAAGCTCGAATTGGTATTGCTGGCAACTTTAACTTTCCACTAGTGTTAACTAGATACTTATCGTTATCGGCATCGGCTACTTAGGTACCTATCGTAGCTGACTAAGTCGAAATTTTGTGGGTGCGAACCCGAGCTTTTTGCATGAACCAAAAGCGCTGCCAAAACTTCCCCGGGAGAAGGACAACGGTCTAAACGGCGGTCCAACGACGTCTATAGCCATGAGGATCGCTCAATTGCAGCGGCCCATAGTAGCGGCTGCTTCCAATATATCGAGAGCAGCACCTGGTACTACAATACGACAACTGCGAGACGTATTCGGACAGCTAAGGATAGGTGCCAACAATGCGGCGGTAGAAGGTCGAAGAAATGCTGCGGTCAAGTCGCAGGGAGCATACAAGTTACGAGACTCGAGCACGATTCCGAAGAAGCTAGGCGCGAAGAAGAGCGGTGGTACGTTTTGGATATATTCCCTACTTTGTCTATCTCCGATCTCGACTTTCGACCAGGAAGAACGCGGGGCAGCACTCAAAGACAAAAATATACATGGATATCTTGATGTGGGAACAGAAAATCAAACATAACTAACATCTGAGGCCACAGACTCCTATGTGATCACCGGAAATATCATCTACAAACAGCGCGGCACGATATGGTTCGCAGGCGAGAACTGCGGCATGGGTCGAGATCACACCATCTTCGCCCTGACTTCGGGCTACGTCAAGTATTACCGAGATCCCGCGCGGCACCCGAAGCGACAGTATATCGGAGTTGTATTCAACAAAGAGGATACCCTACCCTACCCCACACATGCGATGCGCCGTCGCCGGCTCAACATGATCGCAGCCCCTATTCCACCTCCGCAACCAGAGCCCGCTCTCTCCGCCTCCGGTATCCCGACACAAGTCGTACGCCAGGGCTACGGACGCAAGCCCCATCCGCGTGACGAGCGCGTGATCAAGTTGAGGGACGACGGTAGCTACGCCTACGCCGAAGAGAGTTGGCGTCTGGGTACGCTAGTTCGTACCGAGAAGCGCAAGATGGGCAGCCGAAGAGTAGCCATGAAACATCGTCGCAGACGGACCAAGGCTATCGCTCTCGAGATGCGGGCCGAGCGCGAGGATAAGATTGCGCGACGCAAGGAGGCGCTAGATGCGCAGCGTGCCGCGAAGGCGAAGCGTATGAGGGAATATAGGGCTCGTAAGGCGGCGGAGGCGGCGAATAAGGCATCTGGGTCGGGTGGTCAGATGCCGCCTCCGGGAGCGGGAGGAAAGACGGATCCTCCTAGGGTAGAAGCATAGATGAGGAGAGACTTGGAAGTATATAATTTACTTGAGGTCTTCCGTCATGTTTTAGTGGAAAAGCAAGGCGGGTAGGTGTTTTCTGCTCCTTTATCAAATGAATAGGTAGCCATATAGGAGGCAGATCACTACGAGTCTGGCCTCACTCTAGCTCTACTATCCTCTTGCCATGCAAGCCAGCGCCATGATGTATTATTATTAAGTATATAAGCACATTTACGAAGCATCATTGTACGAGAAACAGAGATGATGACAGGTAATATCAAATACGTCAAATGTACCGAGACGTTTCTAATGCGTAGTCCGACTAGATGAAGCGTCTAACCTAGTCCGTCCCCGTCGGGTCATGTAGTTCTCTCGGATCCGTGTCCGTTTCCTGGCTCTAGATTCCCATACACTAGATGGCCGGCCACCTCAGATTCTTATCTCCGGAGGTAACAATGGTATGATTCATCCTTATGTCCATCAATGATTAACGCAAGTAACGCCCTTGTCGGGATTCGGATTCCGGTTCCTGGTCGGAAGCGGATACTTGCGCCAGGCACGGAGTCCGGATTCCGTCCGAGTATTACTACGTCCGCCGGTATTTCTGTTTTCTTCGGAATTAGTCTCTTCTAGTCCTATCAAGTGTTACCTTCTTTGATTTTGCCCTCAAATGGGTTAGGAACGGGTTAGAGTTATCGAGTCCATCAATTAGTAGACCATCTACCTGGCATTTATGCTGACCATAGTCCACGAAAGCTTCATTCGTGAACTAAAGCGACGCAGTATCCCGAGCGTTTGCATTTATCGGTTGGCTTATACACGTACTATACAGGCCACTATATAGGCTCTTATCACAGAGTTTCGAAACTTACGTCTTAGACACGTTCAATGACCACAAGTTAACTATATTAATATTATAGATAGAATCAAACCCATTATCCTTTGTTTCATTCAAATCTACATAGACATTCTAAACCTCTGATAAAACACCATCGGAGTCATCCTAAAATGTACGTGTGTGCTATATCTACTTTAGGCCCGCTTGGCAATATCTTCTGCCGCAATGAGCCCATTCTGAATAAGCCATTCCGTCCTGATAGCTAAGACCTTCTGTACGGTAGGCCTCTCGAGCAACTTCTTATACCAGATATCATAGTGCGGGTACTTACCTTCCAGATTGATGTCCATCAAACCAATAAAGAAAGTTGCAATTTGCTCCCACATAATCCAGCTGAGATCCGCAACTGTCATTTTACCACCGACGAGCCACCCGGATGACGACTTAGAGAGATGCATGTCGAGGACACTCCTTACGCGCTCGATCTCTTTGACGTATCGATCAATTGCGGACTGGAGCTTCTCATGGTGGAACCGGTAGAACCATACGGCTTGACCGTAGTAGGGCCCCTGTCCTATTTGAGATTTTAGTACGACTTAGTGAGGACGTGAAGCATCTCTCTAGAAACCTTACCTGAGATCTGGAAGGCGATCCATTGTTGGATCAAGTACTTCTCGGGAGAAGTACCGTAGCTTAGCTTGTGCTCTTTATCGTAGTTGTCGATGATGTATTCAATAATAGCACCCGACTAGACAGAAACCTGATTAGTCTCGTTGATAGTAGATGTTTGAAGCAAGAATTAAAGTACCTCCCATAGAGTGATCCCGGTGTTCGGGTCTTCAATTGCTGGTACTCTTCCGTTCGGGTTGATATTGATGAAAGGCTCTTTTTTCATTTCTTCCCATACAATTATCTTATGCTCAAAGGGGATATCAAGTTCCTCGAGGATAATATGGATTTTTAAGGGGTTGGGACCCGAGTTATGTCCCCAGAGGATAATTGGCTTGAGTGATGACATGTTGAGCGACGGGTAGTTATTATTTTAATAAATTGTTTATGTCTTTAAGAATAATCATACGCATTAGATCAAGATCTAGGAAGCCTGTTTATATATCTGTCGGGATTCTGGGACACGTGCCTTATCGTTTAACCAGCCCATTATTTCATACCAAACTGTTTCGTCCGAAATCTGTTCTAACGAAATCCGTATTTCCTAATCTGTCAACCGGAGATAGTTAACTACGGAGATAGTTGAATGCCCGATGTGTCAATGGCAATGCTCGTAAGGACTTTCGTAATGATTCTCGTATGAGATGTAAATTCTACATCAGCAAGGGCTTGAGAAATTGTCAGAACAACTACATAAGAGTCCTGCTAAATCCGCCAACGCCGTAATTCCATACCGTTGACGATACTTGCCATATGGTAGTTTAATAGGGGAATACATTATTCAGCGATTAATAATGGAAAAATAAATATAGCGAGCGTGCAAGTTTATTATATTTGTACGCCTTGACACAGACCTGTCGGCTTATAAATCAACTGATCCCGCAGCACCTACTTCAGGCTGCTCTTACGTATTTCATGTGGGGGTTTACATTGATGTCTCAAAATCGAAGGTGATATTTCTTGTTTAAGTGTCCGGATGAGCCATTTAAATATGGTACCACTGGTGAAATACATCCGTCTTCATATGCACTCCAAGGTATCAAATTCTGGTCTACCCACCCCGAGTTACCCCTATAATGCTCATATTGCCGTTATTCAAACTAGGTCATGGTCCTTCACTATGCCAAGCTTGTCGTAGATGATATGAAAGGGAATATACTCCGATAATACATCGGCATTACTTTCAGACGATATCATAACGTCGTTCGCTTCCATAGGCGGGATGCGGAATAAACGCCAAGACCGGCGACAGAGAAGATACCGGCCCAGACTTGTAACACTCTTAGCAGAACTTTCGTAGCGTACGCATCCGCTGCTTGACCGTCGTTAGATTTAGGGAATGGCTCATCTGGAACCGGCACGCCTAAGAATTGGCAAAGAGGTTCCCAGCCCTCGCTCAGATCCATCTCTAGCAGCTGTTCCTTAGGGACAATAGATCTAACTTTCTCATGGTGAGCTTCTAAAATGTCTACAAACAAAGAGTTATTAGTAGTTGACTACCTAAGGTTAGTGACGGGAGGCTTACGAGGGCCACCCTTCTCGATTAGTTCCGTTGGACTGACATTTTTGGTGTCTAGGCCTGCAAGTCGTAATGTTGATCGACTGTACACGCTTGCGAATGTCGGAATATATCTCCATCCAGGAAAGGGTGCCACTACAATGCCAAGCCACCATGGCGTAGTCCTACTGGTCAAAGTTGCTATGCTGTTCCACCACTTGACCGGATCCCTACGGACTAACACGACCTTCGCCTCCGGATACAGCTCCACCATTTCAGGAATGAAGTCCGACGGCGGGAGATCCGCAGTTGCAGCAAAGCCGGCGGTCGCTTTTCGAACAAGCTTCAAGGTCTGTTCCTTATCACCAGCCTCCCTAGCCTCGTACGCTTTGATCCACGTTGAACAATAACCTGAGCCGATGTTAGTGCCGTCAATACCTAATCGCATCGAACCTACCGTCATCGCGTGTTAAGATCTGTGTCCCGCCGTGGAGTACTGGTCCATCAACTAGCTTTGCTAAGGCCATGGACATGGACACGGTCCCGGTTCGCGAGTATCCTGCCGAGATGACTTGGACCTTTCGCGAAGGATCCGTCGGTATAGAAGCAACACCACCCATGATGGCTGTGAATTAACAGGTCGAGATATGATATTTTGTTTAGAAGCGTGCATTCACGCGCGCTCTTACGCTTTGAATATATAGGCCTATAGCGGGACTGTTGGAATTTTGCAATTCAGAAATCGTGCATGTTGGAGCTGACGTGATACGTTTAACCATATCTGTACTGAATAGTTACTGAAATAAATAGCTTTTGGCTCCATATTGCTATACATCTACCTATTAAAAGATGGCGTTGTGCCGCTTGTCTTCTAAATTTGGTATAGGTATTATAGAATATTGCCATGGATCCTGGATTCCACTCGTACGGGGAAGGACAGCTAGCTGCATCGAAGTCGGCAAGAATCCAACGATGCAGAAATGGTCATGTATTCCTACGGCACAGCAACCTACCTTAGGTAGATAGTGTCAAGTGAGAGGAATGCATAGGTAAAGACTCAGTGCGTAATTCTCCGTCTAGCGAATAGCCTTGGATGTATATAGACACCTAGTATTCGTGGTTAAGAGGTTACTGTGAGCCTTTTGGCTAATGGCTTCATTTTAATGGTTTAGTAGGTCTCACATGTGCAAAGACTAGATCTTACTCATCTTACCTTATTATAAGGCTCCCTGACAGGCGATCATGCCAAACTGGTAAAAGATATCTCATACTATTCGTCAGAGGGTTACGTGATATAAGCATGCCGATCTACAATGAATCGTTGTCGACATAATATGACTTGTTGCGGTTATCTTCATTAATAGCAACGCCATTCGGAATTCCGCTAGTTCTAAATACCCACGATGCCCTAGTTTCGATATCATACTTGATTTATATGCTTATTTTAAGTGGAAGATTTCATTATTATCTGTTTTCAGTCACCTTGGTCTATTGATCATGGTCTATGCAATTAGTAGGTCGTATTGCTGGAAGATCTATCCATGCTTGCTCGAGTATATGCGTAAAAAGGGTTAGCTGCCGTATAACCGCCTGGGCCGCCAGCCGCATCGAACCCCCGCCGTCAGCTGAGGATCTTCATCTTACGGTTACGCCCGAAGCCACCATGTCTTCCTTGTCAACCAATCAAAGATCCACCTACTCTATGACTCCGGGGAAATCTCGATGGAGAAGAGCCGCAGCCAGAGCAGCTGACGGGGTTTGCGTATGGAGGGTAGGCAGTAATGAATGCAAGGCTGACTCTGGCATCGCTATTTTATAAGATTTCTGGTCATCCTTTCAAACGAAATATCGCAGCTAGTTTGAATTATCAGCGACTTTGAGCGATCGCGCATAGTTTGATGTGGCATCTGTAACGCGCGACTAGAAAACCAGCGTCCAACATGATCGTATCGTGAAGGTTAATATTAAAGCAGAGTCGAGATCACTCAAATCAAAATGGCGGAAGCCGGTCGCGAAGACTCGGGCGGCTTGGGTCTTGAAGCCGAGCTGGAGTTGCAAGATGCGACAACACGTTCTACCACTAACGCTCCTGATATTAATAACAGAACTAGCGAACACGCAGCATCACATAGCGACGGCTCAGAATATGGTGATGATCCTGATAATAAGAGATCTATCGATAGTAGCTACTCGCATTGGGATCCGGAGCCAGGATTCGCGCACATCGACGGAGACATTGACGGGCATGGCTACAATCAGACTATGGTCGATATCATCGCCGTACCCTGCGTCGGCGCGTCTCCCGTCGACACCTGGGCTAGAGATCCCCTCACGGAGGACTACTTTGGATTCCCTATGTCGAATGAGCCGCACCACTACTCAACTGTCAAGGAGCTACCAGGAAGCAGCATTCTCTCACCTACAATCAACCGTCCCCTACCCAAGGCGAGTCAGATGTGGATCAGGCAGGGCATCCGTAAGGAAGTTAGCACGGCGCGAGTGATGCTTTACCGCCACCGCGAATTATCAGAGGGTATGACGCTCGACCAGGCTGCCGATGATCTGCTTGACCAAATTTCGAAGATCCGCGCGAGTCAGTCAAAATCAAGACCTATCTTTTTTATATGCCATAGCATTGGTGGTCTTGTTGCGAAACTGGCCTTGGTTAAGGCCAATCAGAAGCCCGAGTTTCGGTCTCTGATCTTCGATTGTCATGGCATCGCGTTCTTTGGTAAGCCTACTTTGGTTCCGTTTGCCTAATCTTGGTGTATGTTATTAGCATGTAGTTACTGACCCGCGTTAGCTACGCCGCATCGTGGCTCGAGCTACATGTCGATGCCCCATCTACGAGACAGCATCCAACAACTAATGTTCCTGCAAAGTCCGCTTCCCAGATCCATCGCTCGCGAGTTGAAGTTGGGGAACAAGTCGTTGCTGCGGATACACGATCAGTTCATGGATCTTGCTAGTGAGTTACGTATATGGACATTCTACGAGACAGTCGATTCGCAGTTATCCGGCCTCGGTAGTTCTGACGTTGACGAAGTCCACTTCAGCGCTCCGTTAACATCCATTAAATCAGGGCTGCTTGGGAATCGAGGAGAGCAAGCCTTATCTCTCGAGAGCGATCACGCCCACTGTGCTTCGTTCGGACTTGGTAACATCCGAACGATGCACTCATTTTTAGCTGATTTAGGAGCCGCGGTCCGGAAGGCGGAAGAGCTAAGCGCCAATTTCGAACATACGCCGCTGAGGTTAAGCGAAAACATCAAGCTCGAACTGATCGGATTTTACGGAGACCCTGAAGGTGAATCTGGCCAGGAAATCAGGCTTTATATCTCGAAACATATCTTGAAAAACTTTCTTGAGAAAGGACCCGAGAAGTGCCTCCAGGAACGTATGAACACTGTAGCAGCTAGGCGGCATCGGGGTCTATTACGACCACGGCGTCCATTGTCGGGCCCGTCACCAATTGCAGGTGCATTGGGGATCGTACAAGACCTTGGCCAGATGCTTCTGGGCTCGGTGCGGCCGAATAGCTCACCCGAACACTCTGAGGATGGGCCCAAGACCGGCCAGTCACCCGAGATCGTCGTGACAAGTCATGCTTCTTTGCGACCGTCAATATCGGGCGCATCAACGGAGCCTACCCCAGCCTTCTCGTCGAGGAGAAGCCGTGGGCTAACAGTTCCTGCCCTTGCGACCCCGGGGTTTCATCGTCCATCCTCTAGGGGTAGTACCGAGACGGCCAAAACTACCAGTTCTGAGCCCCAGGGGGCTGACATTTCTCCAAGGACAATAGGGGCTGGTTTCACCACTAGCAAAGAGGATTCTTTTGAGTCGAAGGGTGGTGTTAGCCATGCTTCCACATTGCAGAGTATGGGAGCAGGCTTTTCTCGACCGGACCCTGCTAGAAGAAAGTTTATGTGGATTCATCTGCCGTTCAATAATCCCCACTGGGTCAAGGTTAGCCATTCTCCTGTCTCATTGTTGAGTTTTGCTAAATATGCTCCAGAAAATCTTCGATAAGCTCTCCGAGACGCAGAATCGAAATTTTGAAAAACTCCTTAGCAACGAAAATTGGGCTAATCGACATGTGCAAGGGCGACACGCGAATCTGCATGCTTCGTATGTCAAGCCTGGGTGTGCTTTTGTTCCTTCGGAGGCCGGTAGGGAATCAACAACTTATCTTGTAGCAATATATAAGAGCTAGACCGACCTTACTAATTTTCTTAACAGGCTCGCCCCGTCCGCCATCTCCAGGACGATCTGGTAGGAGCCCTAGCCCCGCGATCACTCCGACGCACCTGTACCTCTATCTCCCGTATCTTCACTTTGATACATATGTAAATATCGTGCGGCGTCGTAATATCATCAGGCGGAGAATGGATCAAGGTAGAGCAAGACCTGTTCCGAGAGATGTTGCCAAGCTTGAGTCGCTCGACTCGCGGGTGATTTGGCAGTATATTGGACACGACCCACCCCTTAATACGCGTAGGACCCTAGATCAATATGGTCACCCGGCTCTCGGGGATACTTACGCACGAGACGACGATCAAATGTTGTACAAGCTTACCAAAGAGAGGATTGCGATCCCATTTAAGCGAAAGCGAGACATGTATCATGTAGGTGACGGCAAAGAACCCTTAAGCGCACTTTCACCTGGAAGCCGGTTGATGTCGACTGTGGACACATTAAAAACTGCAGATACAGCGACTCATGAGGAGGAGAGTGATTCGGAACTTGAGAACGACATTATCGATGGTAATGTCCTCATGGTCGACCAGCTATGGCTTTGGGCGGTTGATACGAGTAAGTTGTTCTGGAGGGTAGTCATGGTAATTGTGTACGATTCGCTAACATTTCTGAAAGCGACTTTGACGACCTTCTTCCCGAAGCGCGAATCTTACCCGACGGAAGGTCCGTTATTCCAGCAGGCAGATTTGAGAAACAGTGTGTATAATGAGTTGAATGGAGACCTTAGCGGTCGCTGCGAGAATGCGCTGGATCTCGCTGCATTCATAACTTTACACGCAGTTACAGTATTACTCGATAGGACTTCCCACCCGGACCTAGAAATATTTCGCATATTTGAAGAGGCCATTGGGATACTTGTACGTGACTCTTGCATTTGAATATTTGCGAGAGCAATTACTGATAATCAACAGACCGAAAAGATGACTTCATCGCTCAAACGATTCCGAATGCAGACATTTCGAGATAGGATCTTTGAAGATTCTGATTCCGACGAGCCCGAGGACAACCGGTCCGAGAGCATAAAGCAACGCCACAGGCGAGAACTAGAGCAATCGGAACGGGAAAACCGCGAAAACACATCCGCCTTACTTGAGCTTCGGGATATGGACGATGAACTCAACACAATGATGAACCTCTTCTCAGAACAAGAGGCTGCGATCAATGCGATGAAGGAGAGCTACGAGAGACCTGAACTCCTATCATTTACCGAGAATGGTCGAGGGTTCCTGGATGAAGCCTTGAAACGGTTGCAGGAGTATCAGAAACAGGTACACGAGATGATCAAGCGAGTGGACAACACAAAGAAAGATGTAAGGGCCATCCGACCTAAGCGTATGCGACGGGGACATTGGAATGGTTGCTAACAAGTTATTTGTAGTACGAAAAACTCCAAGAGATGATACAACGCCAAGCTCAAGTAGATGAAGTACGGTGGTCGCGGTTACAGACTGAACTAGCGAGTTCCCAAAACCTCTCAGTCATGATCTTCACGACGTTTACGGTGTTGTTCTTGCCGTTGAGCTTCTTTACCAGTCTGTTCGGTATGAATACTAAGGAGTGGGGAGGTGAAGACGATAATTTTGTCAGTCTTGGGTTTATTGGCGCCATCTCACGTAGGTCATTTTCCTCCTCTTGGACACAAACAGTAGACTACGGAGTGTGTTACTGACCGGTATCGTTATAGTCCCCGTATCCGTAGCACTCATCGGCGGCACACTCCTAGCAGCATTTAGCGGTCGTGTGCAAGCCGTCTTTAAGGGGTGTTTTAAGCTGGCAAAGAAATGGATGAAGCAGAGCACAGCCAAGCTCGCGAAACTAGAACCAGAAGCGTCGCGACAGGCGAAACAGCGACGCAAGCAGCAACGAGAGCAGCGCGAGCAGAGAGCAGAACGACGTCGCGAGCGCGGCTACGACTTCTGGGAGACGGTACGGGCAGAGAGGCCTGGCGAATACGTCATTCCGGACCTGAACCGTAAGACGGCGACTAGGAGGAGACTGGCGGGTCGTGGGACGTGGAAGAAGATTATTAAAGATGGGTATTAAGAAGGAGATCTGCATGTAGATTGAGTGTTGGCTTTTGAAGAGCAGATGATACCCAACTGAGTTGTCCATCGAAGACGAGAATCATAATAATAGCATTATTGTTATAGGTCAGTTACCTTAGGTACCTAGGTAATTACTGCAATTGTTAATATTGTATTTGGGATAATATAACCAATTCTGATCCATTATTCGACTGGTATAAGTTGCTAGGTTAGGTTAAATGGTTAACCTGGTGGTGTTAGTAGTCGCTATTATTCTATTATTCTATTATTCTATTATTCTATTATTCCCACCCCCCCGCAACTAACCGTGGCCTACCGCTGTTACATGTTGATGTCATCGTGCTGATGCTTCATGTAACTAACTTTCACTTATCATTCAAACTTCTTACATCCTCAAGCTTCTGATGAGGGGCCAGTCAATAAGCACCATCCACCGAGTGCTGCTCATACGTCACCGACCACGATCATTCCAATCTCATCACTTTGCCCAATTTAACTCAGGTTTTAAGAAACAGAAAAGCACCATGCCGGCGACAGTGGATACCTCGCTACCGGGAAATGCCACCGGCGCCGCAGCTGGATTCGCAGCTGATCACGCCGCTGAACATCCCCTCAAATTATACGGAGGTTGGTTCTGTCCGTTCGTCCAACGGACCTGGATCGTGTTGCACGAGAAGCGCATTCCGCATCAATATGTCGAGATCAATCCGTACGCTAAAGCGCCTGAGTTCCTAGCGCTCAACCCGCGCGGACTTGTGCCTACGTTAGCTATTCCCGTAGATACAGAACGTAAGGGAAACAAGCGGAAGCCATTATACGAAAGTGCTGTTGTGTGCGAATATCTTGATGAGGCGTATGCTGACGAGAAGGAAAATGGGCCTGGATTATTACCCGGCGACCCATACGAGCGCGCCAGGTGCAGACTCTGGATTGATCACATTAGCGGCAAGATCGTACCGGGCTTCTATCGGGTGCTGCAACACACTTCCGACAAGGGATATAGCATCGAAGAGGCGCGACAAGGTTTCCTAGGCCAAATCAAGACTCTAGTAAAAGAGATTCTAGACAACGAGAAAGATGGCGAAGATAGCGGGCCGTGGTTTCTCGGCCGTACGTTCAGCTTGGTGGATGTTATGCTTGCACCCTGGGCGAAGCGCCTCTTCCTCGTTGATCATTACAAGCCCGGCGGGGTGGGTATCCCGGCTCCGGGACAGGCCGGCGACGAGGAAGAAGAGAAAATATGGACAAGATGGAGGAAGTGGTATGACGCGATAGTTGCGCGCCAGAGCATCAAGGATACTTGGAGCGCGGATGAGCAGTATGTCGCTGCGTATAAGAGATATGCGGAAGATACGACGCAGTCTGAGGTCGCGCAGGCCACGAGAAAGGGCGAAAGGCTTCCATGAGGCGATGGCACCATTCGATTGCAAGTAGGTTATTGCAATTAGGTTAGGCATTCACATCTCTTCAAATCGGTTCACCTACTTAATCTGGTCTATTCGAAACGAAGATGGCGATTTTCTATGAGGCACAAGCTCCCACCTGAATCAATGGCTTCGGTTGGAATCGTTCGCGATCCTTTAGCGGGGATTCCATATCTTAATTCTTAGCTTCTACCTGCGCGATTCTATAATTATCTCTGTTTCCTTGTAGGTACTTGAGGGCTTATATCAATAACCAATAACAAGCATGACATCCCGGAGAGAGTAGATGGAAGAGATACTCTATAATGTGGAAACATAAAAATTCATTATCGACGCCAACATTCGCAATAGCCTTTTAGACTTCCCCGTTTTGTTCACAGGTCGTCCCATGCCGTAGGTCTGGCCTGGAAGCTCTGTTATTTGTGAGCCCCGCCATCAGAAGTTGGAAGGATTCTCTCGATCCAGAAAGCCATGTTTCGAAATAATAAATCCTTCTGCATCCTCATTTCTTTTGTCCTTCTTATTTTCATTCCTCCGCAGGATAAGTCATAATGTGACAGGCAATGATTATATGTTATCTCCGTCGTGTGGTTGGAAGTTAATTAGGTTGATCGAGTTCACAAGTCATAGAAGACCTTCTCACTGTCCGCTGAAGACGCATTCAACATACAAAGTAACAATCGTAATTGAAAATTATTATTTTTTTCTAGCAGCCTTTATTGAATCTTACCATTAATGTTGTGTTAGTTCTGCCCTTCTAATTCTATTTCTAGCTCGATGCAGCGTCGGCCATCAAATTGAAGCAAGTCAACATGAGGCTGTGTGAGCCGGTTGTCCTATATAGGCAGTTCCCGGCGTCGCAGGTGGTCCACCATATATCGAGATTCCCGTTTGGGGGTCCAAGCTGTACTTCTACTCCCCTTAATACCTACCGCCAAGATGCGTGCCCTCCTAGTCAGGCACGGGAATCAACGATGATTAGATCTTCCCCAGATCACCTTACTCGATGGTCAAGCGATTGCTTGGTAGGTAATAGCGATAGCCTATCCTGACCTAGTACCCGTGTTACACCCTAGACGGCGAAGTTATTTTTGCCATCCAGCACGCTACGCTACGTTACTTTCCTTACCAGTCTTCTCGGCGTTAGAATCCTATAGACCTCTAACAATGAATTCTGAGCTGGCTATACCCTGCCCTACATCCATAGGCGGCCCAGCAGCAAGGTCAAACGGCTTGGCGTAGCCCCGTCTTCCCATCGTCAAGTCCGTATATAACACCAAGGCAGACAGCCGTGTCGATGATCGGCGGATAGTTCAACTTGTGTTTCTTCATAGGGTTTTTTTTTTCTTTTTCCGTCTTAGACACTCATTTCATAGTCATTCGGCTGCATTGGTTTTACGTTCATTATTAGAGATCCGGAATCCTTTCTTTCTTTTCTTTTCGCTGTTTACATCGCAAACATGAAGACATCATCAGTTCTCTCTTTAGCGGCTCTGTCCGCAACGGGCGTCATGGCTAAGCCGATGCCTGTGTGGACGAACAAGGTAGCTCCGCGGGATATCGACGGTATAAAATCGATTGTTGGGAAGGTCTCTGATGCCATCGCGAAACTCGATGGATCCGTTAAAGCCTTCGATGGCTCTGACATTAAAGGCGTAGAGAACGACGCGAAGGACCTCGTCAAATTCCTCACAGAGGGCGGAAAGGAGCTAACTAGCGGCGACGGCGAGCTCTCGTTGGTCGACGCGGTAGGATTGACGGAAGTCGTGACACCGCTAGGCCCCGCGGCCGAGGGCCTGCTCAATGATGTGACGGATAAGAAGAAGGAGTTCGAGAAGTGGGCGCTATGCTCTGTTGTTGGTGGTTCCGTTCAGGACATTGGGGGTGCTGCTAAGTCTCTCGTCGACGGCATCGTTAGCCAGGTTCCAGAGGAGGGACGTGACATCGCACAGGGCGTTGCCGACCAGGTCGTGAACAAGCTCTCCAGCCTAGTCGGCGAATTCGCCCCTGACAAGTGCAAGGATGCGAAGGAAACCCCAAAGCCTTATGACGACAGCAATGTCACCATAGAGACTACTATCACGACCACCACTCCTTGCTCAACTCATCCTACAGAGACTCCTACCGAGACTCCCTCTACTACGCCGTGCGACGAAAACACAACCGTGGAGATCACCATAACCACCACGACACCTTGCAGTTCTACCGAAACCCCCAAAGAGACTCCCCCGCCGAAGGACACTCCTAAGGAGACAACAACTCCTAAGGACACCCCGAAGGAGACTCCGCCACCGAAAGAGACCCCTAAAGAAAGCAGCACTTCATCAGAGCAGACCTCCACGTCGACCTCTACGCCCTGTACGTCGACCTCCGAGACTCCTAAGGAAACGCCGAAGGAAAGCACCCCCCCGAAGGATACTCCTAAGGAGACCCCACCGCCCGAGGAAACCCCCAAGGAGACCCCGCCGCCCAAGGACACTCCTAAGGAGACTCCCCCTGCCGTCATCAAGAGCACCGTCACCGAGACCGCACCCTGCCCATGCGAGACCGAGTCTACCACCACCCCCGTCGAGATGGTAACCGTCACAACCACGCCGCCCTGCTCGACTTCTTCCATGGTCACTTCTTCCATGGTCACCCCGCCTCCGCCACCCCCAGCACCGGTCACCACCCCGATCGTCAGCGCAAACACAACCACCACGCCCAGCCCCACCGGCTCAGTCTCTAAGCCGGCCATCCCCATCGCCACCGGCGGCGCCGTCGCTCAAGTAGCCAGCACGGGCGCTACCAGCTTATTCGCCGTTCTCGCCGCCATCTTCATGCTATAAACTCCATCTATCCATCCATCCATCCATTGCATAAACGCATGAACATATGTACATATACATACATACCCAGCTCGTTTCCTTTTGTCCCATCTAAAAAAAAGTTGGCGGGTGCGGTTAGGATGAACGAGTTAGCGGCAAGGCAGGGGGGGAAGAACGAGTAATGGCTGGTTGATTCTATAGACGAACGGACGTAAATGGCGGATTTGGTTATATCACGGCTGCATGAAGCTGCATCTTGTTATTGTCTGTTATATTTACCTCGGTTTTTGGTTTGTTTCCTTGCTATTCTTCTCCCGGTGTTTTGCGGGGCTGGCGGACCCGGCTAGTATTGATCAACTTATTATTATTCTCCGTGTATATAGTGTAAATATAGGGTTTTATGTATATAATGCGCCTGATGTGGTTTCTTTAGGAGTGAATCGTTGCCTGATGTGAGTTGTGTATGTGAGATGTTATGAGAAAATCTGACATTGTATCGCAACTAGTGTGGTTGACTCTTGGGATACCTGATATACATTCCTCCCTTTACGTCTGCTTCATCGTGTATTGTAGTTTCAAGATATCACCAAGGTTGGCCATATTCAACGTAAATCCAATAAATTGAACTAACTCAAACCAATCGTTTTTACATGCAAGCCATTTTTTCTAAACCAAGTCTGTCAGACCCAACATGCCTCTATCCAACACCAAACATACGTTAAGCAGAGCGAAATTAAGACAATTTTCACGAATATCCTTGATCTTTCGACTAGCAAGAAACGACCGTCATATCTCATCTATTATAATTTTCGTAATTTCATTCAGCTGACGTTTCGGTTGGCTCTGGGCATGGCGGTGGTGAGAAAGTCGGCGTAGGGCCACAGGCTGGGTAGCACCTTTATAAGTGTTAGATTGACATGTACTCTTCTTTTATTACTGGCAGTTACATACCCTCCATAGGTGAGGATAGCAGTAGGAGGCGATCCGCAGCTCCTAAGATAATCGATACAGGCAGTTCCTGTGCTAGTACAGGGCGAGGCAGTTGATGTTACCGGCGGCAACGTAGTCGGGGCCGATGTAATCTCTGGGCATGGAGGAGGAGGAGGCTGAGAATGCGTGCACATATCGTAACAATGGCCGTACTTGATTCCTGTAGCAAAGTTAATTTTCATCCCATGGCTTAATAGAGTGATGGCATTTCATGGAGGGCTACCAACCACATTCGTTAACAGCATCTATACATCTAATGCGAGGACAATCGGCCTTTTCCGGCAAAGCGATAGCTGCAGCCCCAAGGGCCAAGAAAATGATGTTAAATAGCATTGTAAAAAACTTATATCTTAACATTTACTTTAGGTATGTTTAGTTAATAGAAATGGTGCAGTTATGGAGGTTGTGACCGAGCAGGCTTTTATGTAGCCTGAGATATGCCATTTCAATCCCGGAACGTACCTACATCACGTATGTCGATACGAAGTCAGATGCCTTGGCATATACTAAAATCTCAAGGGGTATCTCGTCCCGCTGGAAATTTATTACTCCATCCGGTAGATGTGGCCCCGGGATCTGGAGTTGGAAGACGCAGGATAGAGCCGGTACTAGAAGCATTGAAATTAACCTAGGAAGGGGTCATAGGCTATTGCCATATTGTTAGCTAAGTAGGGTTCATGTTGCGATGAACAACGCCATCGTATCGTATCTTAGACTACTCGTTCCTGCATATGCAGACTTTATTGCAAAAAATCGGGCTCCAGGCGAGTGAGATCCTAGCCACGTTATGGACATAGGATCGTCTGTTTGACTGCTGACATCTTCAGATCGGCGCATTGCATTCGTATTGAACTGGTCTAATCCAACTCAGTATAGCGTAGGACTGGCCGTAACTCTGAAATTTTTGTTTGGGTGTTCTAGAAAAGCTAACGACAAGTGTATATGTAGATTGATATGGGGTGAAATTAACCGGACTGTTGTATTAGCTTTTCTTCCGCACTTGGCACCGCAACCTCTATTATAAACATATTTCGGGAGATGTATTGCCGCTAATTATAGGTACCTAATTAGATACTCTATCTATTTAAGTCTTGGAGATATGTGTGTATATGACTTGGATGCTGAAGTTTTGACGATGTATAGCTCTGCATGGACTGTGTAAATCAGCAGAGTTATGGAGGGGCCAGACTTGATGAAGTTGTTTATATGAGACTATGGAAAGTCTTGCTTCATATCCTTATAAAGTCTTATTCATTTAGACTGAAATAATCTTGTGTTGGTGTCAATATGTTTATAGTGTTAGGCTAGATCGTAATACTCATAGCTTACCAAACGGTTGTTTCTTTAAGATCAAGGTCTCTCTGTTGCTAGGCTGCCTACCTCTGAGCTACTAATGTCATGTTGCATTAATCATGGGATTTGACATTTCGTTTTCATGCTTTTTCTTCTTCGCAAGTCCACCTATTAACTAATCGAGAGATTATTATGTTGATGGCAACATAGAGCCAACTGATCTCATCATGTTGATTCGTAAATGATGGCGTTCTAGACGATGTTAGATTGAATTTGACGGAATCGGTTTAACTATTAAGCGTAAAGGAAACTGAGGTCAGGGGTCTGGAGTCGGGTGGGTAGATCCGGGGTCGTGTGTGGCTTTTTTGATCAAGCCATGTTGTACGCGTTATTTTGAATTTAATTATCAAGTCAGTTATATCCTTCAATTCCTACGACGCGGGCTCTTCTATACTAGAAAATACCGAATCTTAACAAGAATGTGTCGAGGACAGTGAACCAATTGCAACACTTACAACTAACTCAAGACGGGCCTATGCATACGTGATATAATCGTACTGGTCTTGTCACGTTTCGATAATTGTCACGAGATATCGTTTCCATCGCACATTGTATGACCTTGTCGTTGTGACAGTTTTCAACGGTCCAGCTTGGCTTGTGTTGCCTATCATCATATGTCCAATACCAGGTGCAGGTGTCAGATGCCGCCGCATATTGAACATTGAGCGGACCTCACCGAACGACTAGCGTTATTTGCAGCCGCAGGTTTTCGAGAAAGGACTCTAAAGCTTGCTTTCTATTTGCTTGGCAAGCATTAGCACGAATTTCATCAAGATGGATGAATCTATTCCGAAATTTCTATCCTTACTTGGGTCAACTCGAGTGAAAGAAAAACTATCCGTTATTTTTTGTTATTTCCAGCAGTTAAGGGGAAACCCGTCTCGTCACTCGCCAGCTGTGTCTATGTGTTGGCCCACGCAAAGAAGCACTATGAGATCATGCGGGGGAATGCATCATTCATCGTCCGTCGTTTAAAGTGGCAACATATTCGTCTCTAGCGTGCTCGACAGCTCCAGCAATCATACGCAAGCTAGAAGTCTAGGCTGGCCTACCTGCTAAACATACATGATTGGCGTCTGCATGTGTGTAATAGGCCTCCCATTCTATTCCCATCCAAGCCATCCCACTCGACCCTCACTGCCCCCTGCAAATAGTAGAAGAGCTGTAATCCCAGTTGACATCACCTCTTATGCAATCCTCTAATAGCTTTTCCATGCTCACTACAGTTATTCGCTACACCGCTGGTCTCTGACAGCAATATCGACAACGTTGTAATTTCCTGAGGTCATCACCAGCCAGTAAACATCGACTTGCTGCAGACAATACGTCGAGGCGCAGTTTTGCGTAATAAGTCCCTACCTGCAGCCCCTCGGGAGGTCTCCTAGTGTTCTTCTACATAATACATTGCATACATTGCATACATTGCTTGTGCTTTAAAAGCCGCACATCACTGCGCTGCATTTTGTAGCTTACGGCTTGCTTTTCTTCGAAGCTGGTACTTAACGACCACACCTACTCAACATTCCCCGTGAGACCTTGTTACGCAAACACCCAACCATGGCGTCTCGATCGCGCAACCATCACAATCGCTACGACGATCCTTATGTCTTTGACGACCCGTATCGTCATTCGAATTCGCCTATCAATGACACCGGGTACGAATACGTTGGTACTGAAGAAGCCTCCATCGCTCCCAAATCTCATCGCGGTACATCCCCAGGTCCTGAACCACGTCGACGACAAAGTCCCTCTAGGAGAAACTCCAGAACCACCAGCCCTCCTCGGTATAAACGCGATAGAGCACATACCCTACCATTAAGACCTGATCGACGCTCATCACCCCATAGAACTTCTCGACATGCCTCGCCACCTCACACCGACAGGAGGGCATCTCGAAGTAAACAGCATGAAGATCAAGGCTTCCTTCAACGGCCGGGTGTTAAACGTACCAAGTCTATAGGCCAGAAAGGCTTAAAATTCCTTAGCGAAGCGGCTGCATTATACGCTGCAACACAGGGCGGACCAGGTGACCGAGACCGAGACCGCTCGCAGAGTCGCGATAATTCTCGCCGTAGCTCCCATTATGATTCGGAACCAAGACACCGTCCTCGTCATCGGCACCACTCTCCTACCCCTTCCCCGTCGCCCCACAGGAGGCGTTCACGGGCATATAGCGATAGTAGACATCGGAGACGCAGATCTCCGTCTGTAAGTGACGAGTCAGATTATGAACGCGATCGAGGTCGACACCACCGACGATCCCGAGCCAATTCATACACTCAGAGTCCGTCACCGTCTCCTCCGCGTCACCGGAGCCGTAAATCTAAATCAGTGTCGGCCGGCGTCGGATCTTCCAAGGTACCTGACGAAGTTGTTGCCCATAGATGGCAAATGGCTGCTCGAGCAGCTCTTGAAGCGGGTGGCCTCACTGCCTTCAGACTTCGCAAGGACCCAGGCAGCTGGACAGGCGAGAAGGGCGCCAAAATAGCCACAGCTGCTTTGGGAGCAGCAGCGATCGACGCCTTTATCGACAAGGACCCAAGACGAGTAAAATCCAACGGGGTCATGGGGTTCGCTGAAAACACGATTAGCAGCATGATCGCATCGAAACTGATGGGTGTCAAGGGCCCTGGTAAAAACGGGGGTAAATCGAAACACTGATATGTGATCGAATCGAACCGCTTTCTTCGCCGCTCGTGGATTTATCATACCACTATTATACCAAATTGGCAATTTTCATTTGATATTCAAGGGTATCATGACATGTTAGCGCTGAAGGGAAATATGATACAATGAATGAGAGAAACCTAACGATGTTATGACTATACTTTCCTAGAAAGGCAACGATTTAACCTAGACGAACAGCATGCAAGGCGTTAGGGGTTGGTGGCTCGACTTAGCATAAGAGTATATAAACTTCTTTATTTGAATAGAGAATCGTAGATACATCTTCCTGATTGTTCATCTAACACTGCAATCCACATAAAAGACTTCAGTATGTCTTGCATTTCTCTCCATGTTTTAATTTGACATCTACCCACATGTCTGAGCGGATTGTCCGTCGAGTTTGGATCCTGAGATCGACGAACAGGCAGAATCTCCTCAAGACCCTCCAAGCCGTTGCTAGCTCATCCTCGCACCTCTAGGATTATGGAGTGCAGTATGTAGATGTTCGAGCATGCCGATTAGTCTAAGGAAGAGTTGACAGAAGCACTACGTCGTTGTGAAAGAAACTCGAGAAGGAGATGACCACGAATGAAGGGTATCTGAGGATCATCGAGAACAGCATTAGCCGAAGAGATCGATAAGGACAAGGTATCGTGATTAGTTACATACCGATTAGATTCCAATATTATATGAATTCAAACTTGAGGTACCTGTAAGGACTCGAGTCTGGTAAATTTGATAACATCTAAATAGTTTCACAATCCCCTAGTTATTAGATAATAACCATGTCGATATAACCATCTATTTTTAGCCTACTCCTGCACTCTTCGAGCAGAGGCAGCCTAGTACTGAATTAATTATTCTCGGTAGACGAATCTCATGTCAGGCCTTGGTAGCTAGTCAGCATTGAACTGGTACTGCTTGCTCGATCCTCATATTACTTCTCTGGTTCTCGTGCCGATAGCTACCTAGTTATCGAATAGGTCATGATGATCTCGATACCCGATCCTAGACCAGCGCTCAATATTCTCAAGTAGAGCGTAGTCCCTGTCAACTCTAGACATACCTCTATATAAAGGTGAATCGTGCCAGTTCACAAGTCCATTCTCGTAGACGAACGCTCGAGCAGCCTCGATCACGTTATACCCACATTGCCAAATCCCACTCTGTAATGGTAGCGCTATCATGATAGCTTGCAAAATCCCAGGATCATCGATGCCATTGTTCATAAGGAAGTGTCTCAAGTTTATGGCTATCGTATTAGCCGTCTTCGTCTTGGTGGAGCAGCATGAGTCTCCGTAGTATACAGTCTTCGACTGTTTAGAATAAATCACCAACTGCCAATGTTCGCCCTCATTAGATCCTGACTCGCTATTGCATGGAAGAATCATCCAGCCGTGAGAGTAGTAGTCATTCCTCTGATCCCCATCCCATTTCAAACTACCATGATCGCAGGGGCTTGACCAGAATCTAGAACCGAATGGGACCCATACGTCAGTATGCAATGTTGCGAGACGGAGACCTTGCTCAAGTTCAGACCGTGGGAGCCATCTATCTTCTTCGGCCCACTCTAGGCCATTGATACAGATTTTTGCTCTTAAATTTAAGCTACGAGAAGCTATTACAGCGTCCCAGTCTCGACGACTTGAGATATCTTCTGCTGGATTCTTTAACCCCAAGCGGGAGAAAGCGTTGGCGTATAATTCATAGCTGTCGTTGTTGTCGAACAGGTATGGAAACGCCGACCTCTCCTCCTCAGTATATTGGATAGGTGCGGTAAGAGCTTGCGGCTCTAGATGGTCCTCCGAGAAACCAGGCCGCGGGTAAATGTAACCTGCAGTGGAAAGAACAACCTTAACCGGTTTATTATACTGGAGGGTTTCAAATCTTCTATCAATATAACTCTCTACTTTTCTCTCTCCTATAATTTGGATGTCATCGGATGACGAATTGTAGACTGCCATAGGTACTACATATAGCCCTTTTAAACTAGTATTACTTCTTAAAAGTGCGATATATGAGTCTTGAGGCATCTGGAGGTAGTGCATTAATATTTGTCGTTGCAGTAAAACTAGGGAGAACTTTTATATAATTATTAAATGATGAAACCTTGAAAGTATGTCGATATAGAAATAGTAACTATTGAGCTTTACCTACAGGATATATTTCGAGGCGCAGGCATTATCTCGGGATGATAAGTGATTAAAGAGGCAAAGATCATGTACAGAATAGTACTAGAACAATGTTTCGTACAAAGAAGAGAAAAGAGTCTAATCTGAGATCATATCTGAGTATACTGGTACCAAGAAAGAACCCTTTGATGCGTTCTAAGACAAATTTGTGGCGGCTGAACTCACTTGCCGTATCTGCACGTCTTTTTTCCCTTCCGGATATTTGAGTGATCGTTAAATTTGTTATAGTATTTCCGAAGTGTTAGATGATATTTAGAAGCGCGCCGGGCAGATACAGCAGGTTGCATGGTGGAGTGGCATAGTTGTGGTTGCCTAGGGGATTTGTAGGAACCGAAGTAGGCCTTATAATTGTAAAAAGCAGCACCAAATTTCGAAGCACTAAAGCGAAATACCCCCAGTTTGTACCTTGTGTACTCTCTGAATCGTAGGTTAGAGGGTAATCCCTCGATGATATCTATTGGGATGACAAAACACCGGGTTTTGGTACGGGTCCGTAAAGCCTACTGCCTCTGGCTACCCACGTCTCCGGATGGAATTTGTGCTTCATTCCGTCGGCTTCTGGAGTCAAGTATTTTTTTGTCATTTGCGAAGTCCTTATTGTGGTCTATGGAGATAGTTGTGTGGGTGAGTGATGGCATAGCAAGAGGCGATTCTGGGAGGCTTGGACGTGGGCTCGACACAAGGTACATGTCCCATGGTCGCATTCGAATTCGTTGTTTGGTGCAGTGGTTAAAACTGCGAGAAGACAATTTCAAGGTTCGCGATTCGAACTGAGGTTTGAAATGTCCTCCCTCAATTTTTTTCAACTCCTCACAGGCTACTTTGCTACATAATTACACGCCGCCAACAACAACATAATTTCGGTATTGCCTACTACGTAAACAAATAGGTAAATAAATAGCTGGTATGGAATGTATTTTATACGTCGATTGCACTTGATATTGTCATGTAGGTAATTCATATCTTTGGCAGCCGGCCACTAGATGACCAGCCACCAGATGATACCACGAGACAGATAGCCAAGCTCTGGTTCAGCGTTATACTGTACTTGACCATACAAAACAGGTGGTTGGCCATTTCGATTAGACACTATATCTTACGAAGCGAGGTTATCCATGCCCGTAGCTAGGTTTGTGAAATGACTAGAAAATAGCGAATGTTGGGATTTGATGTAGACAAAGTGTTGATGCTGTTGTAGATGGTATCTCAACTTTACGATTGCGCTGGCGGGGTCCACTATGGACTGCCCGTAATATGGTACGTACTTCGCACACGCTAAGATGTAAGTACCTATGTATGTAGCTTTTCTGATTAAGCTTTTCTGATTAAGCTTGTACTTTTAAGCTTGTACTTTCAACTTTCAACCAATGGAGGGATGGCTCCACTACACTTTTCGACCGCTCGCCTGGTTCAAGGCTGAGAAGCTCCTTTACTTTCATCATTTCATCACTTTCTCCAACATTGAACTCATGTAGCCTTGTTCATTTCATCCAATTCAATTTCATCGGCTTCTCCTCTGCTAAGTACCTTGAAGCATAGTGAGTACTCCCTCACATTAATAGGCCAAATACGCGTCAAATGGGCATTTAATTAGCTCTGGGCCACATACTAGTTGTTGATTGTGGGGTTGTATCTTCGCCTTGAGGTTGATCTATCGTCTGGCATCTCGTATGCGTTGCTCGGGCTGATTCTAAGTTTCGCAAAGCCTGGCACATCTTTAAGCATCGTATCTGAATCGTTTACGAAAGTCTCACTTGATAATCAAATCAACTATCGCATTAAAGTCGCTGCACAGACTTATCGTCGAGGAGGAATAAACCCGGTACCCAAGGGTGCTACTATTAAGGCTGGTCGAGGTGTCAGGTGGTTAGCCGTTTCCCAACCACCTGTATTACTTCAGAACTATATAAACAGCCATCTTCTCTCCCAAATCCTCACTCTTTCTGGTGTCGCCATCCCGCCATCAACCAACTCGTACAACCCGCGCATAACTCGCTAGAATACTCTCTTAAAAACCATCATCAACGCAAGCCGTTGATCACCTCTCGGGTCAGTTTACGTATTTATATCGTCTTCAAACCTCGATATATAGGAACAATTAAGGTGATTATCTTTACTATCGAAGAATCCGCTAGCCGCCATGTCGACGAATAGAGATGCCCGTGGCTCTGTTCAAGATGCTTCAAGCAAAGGACCCGCCCAAGAGCAAAGACTCCTATGGAATCAAGAGAGCGTCAGGGATGTTGCAGAATCAGTCGGTATTCTCAAGTTGAGCGATGAAGGACTACGAACACTTTCTCAGGACGTCGAGTATCGGGTTGGCCAAGTCATCGTCGAGGCCCTGCGATTTATGCGACTTGCAAAGCGTACCACATTAACCGTCCAAGATGTCTCTCAGGCGTTACGAGTTCTTGATGTGGAGCCATTGTATGGCTATGACTCTGCACGAGCCCTTAGATACGGCGAGGCCAGTCTGGGTCCACAAGCTTTGTTCTACGTGGAAGATGAAGAGGTCGACTTCGAGAAGCTGATCAATGCACCGTTACCAAAGATCCCCCGAGACACAACATTTACTAGTAAGTTCTCTGGAAGCTAGATGCTATCACCACAGCTTCGCAATGAATTTTAATAAGTACTAACTGCGTACCTATAGAGCATTGGTTATCTGTCGAAGGCGTGCAGCCTAACTCCCTAGAAAATCCCACATCAGCGGAGTCGCGGGCCCAAGATCTTCTATCTAAAGGTCCCGGCGCTAATCCTGCCCTTGCCGCTCTTTCTGGCCAGGACAATCCTAACTTCAAACCTTCAGTCAAACATATCCTGTCTCAAGAACTCGTCCTATACTTTGAGAAGATACAGGCTGCTCTGATGGATGATAGCCCGGATATTGAAGTGCAGCGATTGCGCGAAGCTGCCTTGGAGTCTGTGGCTTCCGAGCCAAGCATCCACCAGCTTGTTCCATACTTTGTCAACTTTGTCTCCACCCAAGTCACACATCACCTAGATGACATCTTTGTCTTACGACAGATGATGGAACTTACTAACGCCTTGATAAATAACGATCGACTTTTCCTCTCGCCATATGCTAGCCCTCTCTGTGCGCCGGTGCTCACATGCATACTGGGCCGCAAGATCGGAGCCGAGAATGGCGTTGACGCACTTAAGGAACAGTACAGTCTAAGAGAATTCGCTGCTACACTTGTCGGACAGCTTTCTCGGAAATATTCCGACACCAATAAGATGCTACGTCCAAAGCTGGTTCGCACATGTCTCAAAAACTTCCTTAACCCGTCACTCCCACCGTCTGTTTGGTACGGCGCGGTATGCGGCCTTGGGGCGGCAGGTGGTGCCGATGTGGTCAAGGTTCTTCTACTACGCAACCTTAAAGAATTTGAGACCTCGATGCTCATCCCCCTACGGCAGAAGAACGAGCTGGTTCCTAATGCAGAGTTTGAAGCGTTAGTTGGTGTCATCACAAAGGTCATTCAGCTTTTAACCGAAGAGGATGTTCCTCTGGCTAATGGCATGAATGGATTTTCTAGCGAGAACGAGGCTAGCCAGATTAAGGCATTCTTGGGCGACATCATTGGCCAGCGCGTTGCGGCCCTAGGCGATCACAAGCTGAATCAAGCCATCTTGGATGCACGCGACTTTCAGTAGGGTGGTCTCGCCTGGTGATCTTGAAGAATGCTATGAGCACAATCTCGGTTTATCAGTAGTCCTACACTACAGTACAATTTTGGGGATCAGGTGTCTGGATTGATACCCTTTTTAAGAGGTGAATGGCGTTTCGGCACAGGTTGTTTGGGATAGGCGGCGGAAATTGCAACACTTGCATGGCTGGCTGAGTTGGCCGTGAGTAACACTGTTCTATTTAAATACTCAACGTGTGGCCTGTGAATAGAGGCAAACACACCACGTAGACAAAAGGAATATACATATTGTATTCCAGTCAACATTCACACATCAGTGATCCGCACAGGGTTCCAATCCATGGGGTTTTCATCAGGTTCAACCGGTAACTAATAGACTAACCCTAATGACCCTTCGTAGTCTACATAACCAACCTAACGCCCCCAATTCGAGCACACCAGCTGCTGTCCGTACCGGCATATCCCGTAACCTTTATTCTTGTGGCACTTCGAATGGATCAAAGGAGGAAAACAGCACCTAGGGTAGCGACAAGGCTAGCACCTAAGACTGTATAGCTGGTCTGCTGGATAGTCGCCTTCTTGAAGCCATAGGTCATGTCCCAGGTGAGATGGCGGAACCCGTTTGCGAAGTGGAAGAAGAAGGGCCAGGCGACAATAGTCTTGAGGCCGGCAAGAACGGCGGGAGAAAGAGAGGCGGCCGTCGAGGCTAGAGTAGCAGATTCGATGTGCCAACCGGTCAAAGGAGCAACTAAGTAGGCTAGCGAGAAGGCGTACAAGGATACGCTAAGAGATTGCCCGGTGATACGAGTCCAAATCGAGGCACCGAACCACGTCTGGCGGTAGTCGTAGGCTGTTAGGTGAGGAGATACAGGGCGCTGGCGTCGTTGCGCCGCGAGTAGGGACTGGGCGTCGGTCTCGGAAAGCTTTTGAGTTGATGCGCTTCTGTATTATTGGGATCGTTAGCAAGAGGTTTGAATTTATAAGAGTGTGTTCTCTATAGCTTCTCCAAGGTCGCAACTAATAGGTTTCTCTTTTATAATGCGACTTGGGAATTTATGACTGGCAAATGGGTAGTTTGCGCGGAGCATGTGAAGCAATTGGTGGGGTATTGAAGATAGTATTCGGAATAGACGGGATGTACCTGATCTGTAGGTTTGCGGCATTCGTACTCAGGGCAAGGCGAGGGAGGTTCTCGAAGAAGAGGGCATTGGGCTTCTTGAGGGCGGCTGTTTAAGTGATTACTAGTCAGCAAAGTTGATCTATGACGTTTTTATATGACTGACTAGAGGGACAAATTGGCAAGTTATCGCAAGTCACAACCGCACCAGGACGAAGACTCTAGATGAAGCTCAAGTATATGAGATAGGACTGTGGTACGGTACCTTGCCGTAGAGCCCGGAGGCCAACTCGTTGTGTGTTCATGGTTCCAGGATATTAGGATATTGGTATGCGACCGAAATTCTCCAACTCGCTATAGATTCGGATGGTGCTAGAGGCTGCATAAGTAAAGGTATTGTGTTACAATAGATTGAGTAGGGTCCTTATGCTTACCAGTATAGTCACATTCGACCAAAGACTTGAGACCAGCGTTTATGCCCTCACCAGAGGTTTACAATAGCAAAAGGTTGAATGGATGATAATTGATTCTCGGACGAGGAAGTCTAAAACCAATTGCGGCCAATCCCACGTCTATCCTCGGCTCTTAGTTTGACCAATCAAATAGCACATGATCTATGTATGATGACTACGGCAACTAAAAGAAGTAGCGAAGTACCAAAGTGCCTCACATCCTTCCATAGTCCATATGCACGTGATTTACGGGTCCGTGCACACAAACGTCCCGCAAAGTAAAATTCATCGCGAAATGAACGCGGCTCTTTTTCCTTCCTTCTTTTTCTTTCCTCAGATAGCCAGAGCATCCAGACCGCTGATGTCTTTCCAACTTTGGGATATCGTGCAATGGTCACAGCGGCTTTATGTCGCTATGGGTGTCTCTCAGAGTAAACATTCTTGGGAAAGAAGGATCCGTCGTTAATCTCGGCCTCGAGTTGCTCCCCGTCTCGACGTCGTTTCATTTTGAGATCTACATCTTTGGTACTGTTTAGCATTACTAGTTTTAGTACATATATATAATAAGATGAGGATGCTATTATTAATTATTGTCATTGTCTCTATCTTGTAGTGCAGATGTCTTGTCATCCCTAGGGATCTAACGTAATTAAGTCGAACGTAATTAAGTCGACCAAGGCCAAACTGCACTATTGCTAACCATCCAACAACAACAGCACTTCAGTTTCGATAGCTAGGTAATTACCTGTAACAACTCATAATACGTACATGATCCTCTGTAAATCTAAATGAGTATCCTGGTGTTTTCCATGTGTGCCCTACATGTAGGTCACTTTCACCTGATGTAGACCTACAAGGTAACTTTGAGATAACCCCTATGCACATACCTCATCATTATCAATGGCAAAGGTGTTTGTCAACAAATTAGGAAGTCGTGAGGTGTTGCCCTAGTGTTATCTAACGAACTACATGTAGGTACATGTACTATGTAGGTAGGTACGTGAAGCCCACCGAATGCACCTGCCTTGCTATTAGGTACATGTAGGTATTCCGGTAAGTAAGGTAGGTGCGATCAATTGCAGTGCTTGCTGTTGTAGTTACGTCGCTTCCTTAGGTACGGACATACACAACGTACCTCATATCGAGATTTCACCTTTTCAACCAATTCAGCCTTTCTCTTTCTCTCTTTAATTACCTACCTAGGTAGGTATCTATTCTACAACCACCAGTTCTGTGGTCACTATCCATTCTCTCTTCCCTCTCCCTTCTCAGGAGTTGCAGCTGTATTTTGCCAATCGTAGTTCTTTCTATCCCATCAGTTCCCTTCGACAAGCACTATCGCCGATCTTCCTGTCGTCAACATTTGCGCGCCTTTGATTCTCTGCTATTTCAGTACCCCTGAGAACGCGATAGAAACCTCTCTACCTAGGCGATACTGAGCTTTCAGCTACCCACGTTCTCCAGCAGCTTGCATTTCCCCCCCTTCAGGTTCACTATTGAGGAACAAGATCATCTTAAAGTAAGTTATAAGCTATACATATGCTAGGGTGTATACATCAACGGCCCTCTCTTTAACATTGTGAACACATCAATATCACTTTGCCTACGTTGGCTAACATTCCTTCATATTTTCTGCAATCCTTGGTTCTATTTTGCTAACCTCTGCAGCTGCTGCCTTATCCGTCTTGCGCATTTTGCCTACGCAAAACCTACAGTAGTCCAGAATCATCCCTTCAATCGTTTCATGTTTTAATCTCCTCTTTGACGGTAAGCTGGTATAATAAACTGCACTTGCCCTGTCAAAAACTAACAATTCTTAGGTACTGCCATTCTATAGTTCACTCAACTATGGATAGTGCGCCCGGTTCCCGTGCCTCATCATGGGCAAATGTGGTGAAGAACCGGCGTCAGAACGACACCTTTTGTGACGCGGCTCATGATTCTTCATCAGTAAATAGAAAGATGATGTTCAAAGCCAAAGGTGATAACAACAATAAGCAAATCACCCGACCAGTCCAGAGCGAACATCAAACGACGCCACCAGTCCATTCCGCCCAATCTTCGGTATCTGCGCCTTTTACCTTCAAAGCTCACTACCTTCAGAAAGTTCAAGCTGCGAAACAGCTAGTGAATCAGAAGCCCGATTTACAACAGCAAGACATGGTTCTGACCAGAGGCGTCCAAGATATGACTAATTTCAATGCTGAACTCGCTTCCATGAGAGCTACTATCTCGACCTTGCAGGAGGATCTGTCCCGCAAAAATGGCGATCTGATTCAAGCAAGGGCGGCTCTAGCTGGAAAAGACATCCAGATTGAAGATCTTCAGAATTCTGTTGCGATGTTAAGGGAGAACATTCGCTCTATCACCGTTGCTACCCAGGCAGATGAGGACGGCTTGGCTGCTAAGGATGAGTTAATTGAACAGCTTGAGTATGAAAATGCCGAATTGCGAGACTCTATTCATTCGGGACTCATCTCTATTAGCGAAGTCTATGGCCCTGGAAGTGATCAAGCCTTTACCCGTATGGCTACGAAGCAAGCAGAATCTTCTGGGTCTACTATTATGGACTGTCCAAATGATCGTCGTCCTGACCCTAAAGGTTTTGTGCAGGCGCCGGATATGCAATCACCTTTCTATCCTCCGCAGGCATTGAAACAGACTGGTGTACTCCAAGGTCAGCCTATACACCCAGCAGATGATAGTCAGAAATCCGAACCTCAGAAAGACAATCAGTCTTCTAAACAGGCATACCGGCCTCCTAAGGGCAATCGTCCTATCAAAGGAATGAATCAGCCTAATACTACGACCCGCCTACCTATGAGCCAAGCTGATAATTTTGTCACTGATGTTAACCATCCTATCACGGACAACCACCGTGTGAAGCTTGATGACACCACGAAGAATCCTGAGGGACTTGTTGAGTGCGTTAAAGAGCAAAAAGAGGATCACCCGAAGCCGGTCAACGATGCCCAGGAGGCTAAGGAGAATGGTCCTTCTATCGATTCCAAGCAATCCACCGATTCCATTTGTAGCCCGACCCAAGAGGACACTGATGCTGCCTCAAATACCAAGAACCTGTCAGAGCTTGATCCTTCTATCATCAGACTTTCTCCTACTTCACCCCGTGAAAACAAAGCTGGTGGTATAGCGCATACTATTACCCAGGAACACTTGACTTCTAGCGTGGAGAAAGATGAGATTTCCAATCCGAGCGGGGGTCAGCATCAAAGAACCGAAGAAGAGTCCAAGGGAGGAAAGGTTGACGGCAAGTACCGCTCCAAAGGAATACATGAGTCGGTGGATATCATGGAAGGCGCCACCTTAGCTAAGGTAGTAGATGAACACCCCAAACCCGTGAATCTTCCAGTTGTTAAGCAACAGAGCCAAGTTCGAACTCAGATGATTTTTTGGAAAAGCCGAAGCCCCGAACTAGGAGATAACCGTGCTACTCTTTCCAGTATCGTGTCTTCGCCGCAAATCAATTCTCCAGAACCCGCAGTCCTTCCCACCCGAGAAGATGGATACACGCCGGAAAGCAGCCTTGAAGATAGTGCTGGATGGGTGGACGTTACAACCAAGAACAAGCTTAATAGAAATTCTAAGAGCAAGACTAAGAGCAAGCTAAAGAATAGTCCTACACCCGCAGAAGATGAGAAATTGGTCACGGAGCAGAAACTTACAAACAAGTCGACCAAGCCGATACCCAGGGAGAAGGGTATCCCAGCAAGTCTTCAAAAGCGAAGAGGTAAGAAGCGCCCCAGCGGCACAATCATCGGATCAAATTCTGTCTTTTCTCGCGCAGCCAAGGGACAGCAAAGTGACGATGAGGCCGGCATCGATGAGAGTTCCACCGACAGTAAGGAGCTGAAGATTTGCACACCTGAATCATCCGGGCCTCTAAGCTGGGCTGACGAAGTAGAGGAAGAAGAAGCACGACGCAATTCTTAAAAGTATCAGCATTAGGTATCTACTTATGAGTGATTGCTTCAAAGTAGCATCTCGAGGAAAGTTCCATGGACCATGATAGACTAATTTCGGTGGAACTATTGGTTTAAAATTGGATCAAGGGGCCGATCTAATTACTTTAGGTCAGATAGGTCAGATAGGTCAGATGAACTGAGCTTTCCTTGCTTTGTAGATCAATAATACTTCGTCTATAATCTGTTGTGTGTCTTTGTGATTTGTCTTGACGCTTTACGCACAATGGTTAAGCCCTCTTTAAAAGTTGGCGACTTAGGTTATTTTTTCATCTGATGTATTCTGCATTATTCACTTAATCCTGACTTTTTAGTAGTTATTGATATCCATAATCAATAGTAACGTGGTTTACTTTAACTACTGCTTAAAGGAGGTTGGTGTAAACCACAGGCCGTGATGTGGATTCCAGCTTTCCCATAGGAATGGTATAGCTTATTGTACCGGCGTCGTTAATATGTAGGTAGGTAGTTAGTATATGAAAGTTGCAATCTATCTACACCGATATTCCCTTGTTTTTGAAAGCGCAAGAACTAAGAGGTTAGTTGAGTAGATCTAGGCTGACGTATCTAAGAGATATAATCAAGTTCGTCTTCTTGTCTCACACGCTACTCTTATATATTGGTGGCCATAAGTTAGATTATCACCATATAGATAGCTATTTGATGCGTACTTTAGCGAAAATCATATTTATAAAAAGTGTGATAACCCAACACATCATTATAGTCTTTGTAATTGTATGTGCTATTCGTTCCTTTGTTACTTATGCTGGCTTCGTGAGATGGAAGTAGCATGAATGCGCCGAATGCGGTACTTGTAATTAGACAATGCATTTAATTAAAGCTATTAACATCCCCTTTTATCATTTTCATAAGGCTCCTTTTTGATGCCTGCTATGTTTGGTTTGAAAGTGTGAATCCAAAGTATGGGAATTCTTTCTTCCTCACTTGAGACAATTCACAGCATCACTGATTTACTGGATAGAAAATGCCATATTTTCTAATTTATTTAATCTTATCCCTACTGGTTTGCGCTGGTGCTGGATTCACATCTTCCAACCCTTCGACCTCAATTGGATCAAGATGGCCAGGAAAGGAGAGATGGGAAGACGGTAGGGTGCGGCCTTACTACGCCGTGGACCACGTAAAAGTCAAGGAGGAGATTGTGTCCCCAAAGACGATCGTAGAAGTACTCGACCAATATATGCATATTGTGCAGAACCCGGCGATCCGAGCTAATTATTATCTCCGCGCGGCTAAGGCGACAGAAGGAAACTCAGCTTTGCTGTCACCCTTCTACGGTGCTACGTTTAGAGAGTGGTGGACACATCGGCGAGCCTCTGCTGTGCCGGAGAACCCGGTATGGTTTGACGGTACGGTTGTAGAGGGCTTACTTGAGGCTATCAATATCACTGTCAACTACCACCTGCCGCAGTTGCTATCAGTTCGGCCGGGGTGGCATTACGAAAATGAAAGTGAAGTTTATCAAGAGGAATTACCGACCTACTTTGCCTCCTCATTGTTCCCAGATGATGTAGAGAGTTACGTTCAGGATGGAAGGTGGGAAGGCGTCCGAACTCACATTGCCGCCCGATATAACACACTTATGCACCTACATCGTAAATCTAGACTGGCGGGAAGGTATCTACGTACGGCTGCTAAGGGGCAAAAGCTGGATGTGCTCGCTGCGACTGGGAAGGCGGTAGATATGGCTATCACACGCGCGAGAAAAATAGCAGCAGAGCTCGACGAACTTGATAATATGTACGAATCATTCAGTAAAAGACCAGAGAGAGCGGACTGGCTCGGAACTGCCGCATTAAACTCTCAGGATCTCCGATCTTCTAGCTCCCTTTCACGGTTCTATCGGAAGATACGATATAACGTCTTTACCACTAACAGGTCGAAAAGGCAAGATGTCGAAAACTATCACCGTGCATTGCGCGGCAATGTTGCTCGGGCTTGCGCCGAATATTATGTGAAGTTTCTCCGCGACGAGAACGAGACTACTAACGGTACGATGGTTCGCCAGGACATTCACCAGACGTACGAGGCTCTCCATTATGGAACAACAATAAGCAGGAAGGACATAGAGTCGATAATTGACGGGGTGTTATGGGAATTTAAAAGGTACCACAGGTTGCAGCATAACCCGCAGAAAGAGTTACAGAACAGATTACGGGAGGATCGCGTGCAACAGACTATCAAAGAGCTGAGCAAAATACAACAGATTCGCCAGTTTGCCGAGGACATGGTAGCTGCGGCGAATAATTTGACACGAGATCTAGACAATGTAGGAAGGTATCGGCGGATAGAGACCGAGAAGGCCCAGGCTCGCTCGCAAGGTCAAGGCTGGTTGAATTCCCATGGAAAGCTCCTAGACGTAAGATTAGAAAAGGTAATAGATGAGAAGACCGGGGAGGAGATCACAATATTCTATGACTACGAGTACCAGATCGATAGGCCAAAGACGATGGGGTCGGTCATCCGAAGCAAGGCCGACGAGCTCGAGTACGTATGGCACTCGGTACAATATTGCGAGAACGACCTGGCGTACCTGAACATCTGCGAGGTGACAAGATGGAACTCGACACAGAAGGCGCAGAAGCTTAGGGACGAGTTCAGAGAGCGTGCTAATGCGCTGGACCGTAAGCCACCGACTTGCGATGAGCTGGGGAATCTGGTACATCTGAGAAGTGTTTGCAAAGAGAAATATCTTGATTATTAAGTCACGAATGATAGAATCTGTTGGGTGAGGATACGAGTAGGGTGTCTCGCGTGGTGGAATAGGGGATGGAGAATACGGACTTGTATTGTAACCTTGGATACTGTATATAGTGGCGTTAGGGGACAACTATCAGTACTCTTTGCTTGATGGGTTTACTTAGCGGAGGGAGTTTATTCGGGCCCTAGAACATTAGATTCAGCTCATATTAGAGAATTCTCAATTAGTAAAGTTGTAGCTAGTAGGTCCTTCTATCTTTCCATATGAGCCTCTGAGTGAAAGCAGGTCGGTAGTTATTGCGACTTGTTAAAAGAGGTATGGGCTCAACACCGCACAAAATCTATGCTTTGATATCCTATGACTGAAGTACAAGTTATGGTCATCTTACCTTCACTATTAAATCTATCGGATTTGAAACTAGTTAAAGGGTCCCGGTAAATTGCACAGATATTTCTATACTTGGCCAATACTTGATGTAATAGAACGAATGAATAGGGGTTACTTGAAGAAGGCCACCAATACAATGATCTCTCAATAGTTGCATATAAATTACCCCTATATGCATCAATCGTACAATATGGCCATATGCATAATACCGGTTCCCTCGGCGCATTCTTTTTTTTTCGATAGCATCACTGAACGAAATATAACATACTCAAGATAATAAAATGGCATGGGAGAGCATGTACACGTAAGTGATATGGGTGAATAGCCTAACATTAAATTTCTTATAATGCTGCCTACTACCGTTTGTCCGCTCCGCCTCAGCTGGAATCTACTCCGGACAGCTCCGGATCGACATGCCGTCCAGCTTGGCATCTATATTACCCTATCTGGGGTTAGTGCATACGTGCTGCCATTGTGGAGATCTACAGATCCCATTTCTTGGCATTTCTATTATCCTATTTGGGTTAAGCGCCGTGCTTCTCAAAGTGACGATGGCTACGTCCTAGTAGATGTTAGATGAGGCTGCGAGGGGCGCCATTAATGCTTTTTCTAATTATTTCTCTTAGATTCTTGAGTTTAATCGTACTTAATAAAGCTGTCTATTTCTCTTCGTTTTAGAATGACCGTTTTGTGTTCATTGAAAGTAAGTAATTACGAGGTTAGACACTGGGCAAATAAGTCGACAAGGAGGATCTATCCCATACCCTCGACATATAGATCTTCATCTGTCATTCATTTCTATCTGCTTCTACTACCGCTATCTGAAATTTTCAAATTTCAAGATGGCAGCTGGAGAACCTAGTGAGAATTGTTCATCCCTAATCAAGGGTATACCACTAATACAACTTCATCTAGTCTTATACAGCTTGTATGTCTATGCTCCCGACAAAGGTGCTCCGATCTTTTTCGCCATTGCATATGCCCTCTCAGCCATATTCCATATTTGGCAATGCTAGTTAGTATACTCACCTAAAACAGACTCGATCACCCCCTAACAGCTATAATAGTCGTTACGAAGCTTGGAAGTTGATCGGCCTACACCCCGTTTGCGCAGTGCTATTCACTGTCGGTTACGCGATGCGTGAATACGGAGCCTATAATTACATTTATAGCGCGACTACGAAAGTGCCTCTGATGGCATTTATCCTTAGTCAGGTCTTTATCTTCGTATGCCCGTAAGTTTATTGGTGTTGTTGATACATCACTTATGGTTTTTACTGATTGGTTGTTATAGTCCACTCCTGGAACTTGCCAACTACCACGTCCTCGGCCGTATATTTTCTTATGTGCCATGGTGTGCACCCATCCCCCCTGCTAGAGTTTTATCTGTATTTGGTGGTCTCATGGGCCTTGTCGAAGCACTGAACTCTCTGGGTGTAGCACTATCCGCGAACCCGTCGTCCTCAAGTTCGACGCAATCTCTCGGTAATAATTTGACAATAGCAGCCCTCATAATCCAGCTCTGTCTCATTGCTGTATTTATCTGCCTTGCCGGTCTCTTCCACCGGAGATGTTCAAGAGGAAATGTACAAGTCAAGAGTGTTGGGATTCTCCTTCGAACGTTATACGTGAGTATGGCGTTGATCCTCGTACGGTGCATCTACCGACTAGTGGAGCATACGGGAAATACTAACATAGACCTCGATAATATCGAAGCTCTTCGAAACCTGAGTCCGATCCTGCGGTATGAGATCTTCTTCTACATATTCGAGGCAACCCTCATGGTCATCAACTCGGTTCTATGGAACGTGTGGAATCCCTGTCGCTTTCTGCCGAAGGAACGTCGTATCTATCTTTCACGCGACGGGACCGAAGTCTATGGAGAAGAAGACTCGGATGATCGGCCGCTTCTGGCCAAGACGGCGAATTTATTGACGTTCGGCATCTTATTCCGCAAAAAGAAGCAGACTCGAGGATTCGAAGAGCTGAACCAATACCCCGGCTCTGGACACTAGAGGCCAGAGATGTATCCCCAGTTGGTGTAATCTGTTCATGAAATGTTTTGGGTGGTGATAATTAAATTCAACGTTTGGCCTAAGGAGTTGCCTTGGTAGCTTGCATTGGGAGAGCTAAATATAGGCGACATACTATCCGGAGGCTAACTACCTATGTACTATAGCATGTTTCTAATAAATGCCCATGGCTGGCTCAGGGGAATTTGACTGGGACCGGGATTCTCGAATTAGGAGACAGACAAGGCTGGCCTGAGAGTTGTGGCTTTTATTTCGGCATATAGTTTACTTACAGTTCTCCAGTTCCAATTGTGCAGAACCCCATATATAGAATAAATATAGATCCGACTTCTGCAGGTGTTTTATTACCCCTAACCTATTATCCTAGTAGTATGGGACAAGCCGTTGGTATCGACTGCAATTTGCATCGTAAATATATACGGTTTATTAAAGCAAGAATCCCAGCGACTCTCACCCGAGTCCCAAAATGATTCGAGCACATATTTAACCATCAACGGCACGGAGGTGCCAAGATCACGACTGAGCTCCGGCAGTCGGCTTACAACGAATGCACGCATTGCTGGACTGCCACGAGCAGCATATACTCCCAAGACGATTAGCGGCCAAAGCATAAATCGTTGGGTTCTCGGAGACGATAGCCCATCGCTTATAAGAACTTGTAGAAGCTCGCCATGCTTGGCACAACAAGCGCTCAGCTCAGATGTCACATAGAGGACGGATAAACTCTGAAGAGACAAGATAAGATAAATCGCCACAGCAGCCTGGTATATATTACCAATGAGCACCCAGTCTTCAGATGAGCGTTTGGAATCAGCCCATTGTTCTGGCAGGAAATCGTGAATACGCTGTAGTATTTTACACGCCTCGTGCGAAAGCTCCTCGGCTCCGGTGCTGATGTGTTCAGCGGCCCGCATTCGAAGATGGTTAACCTTGATAATCTCGGCGAATAGAGGTAAAGGGCACATATGAAAAGGGGACATTGCTGTACTAAATTCTTCTAGTAGGAAATCAGTTGTATCAAGCTGCGAACCTATCATTGAGAGATCTGATGCAGGACAGGTTGTGTTCCCAATCACAGCAAGACTGTTTAAGATTAGTGTTCGTATTGCTGCCATTTATAGTGGTTATTGGGACCACATACACCCAGAGGCAACGCAATAGTGGCTTTAAGACCTTCGATCTAGCCATTGCCTGAAACCCGCCACGCAGCATCATTAATTCATAGACTCCCTCGAGGTGACACCTCCAATTGAGTGAAGTGCCGAGTTGAACCTGTAATGATATAGTTTAACATCGCACGTTACTAATATTATAACATAGATAATCAACTCACGTCGACGAGAAGAAGTGTCAGTACTCCAGCTACGATGGTATCGCCGTTCCGCTTATCTTCTATGTCGAGATGATCTCTAAGAGAGCGGATGGCAAGGCCCCAGTAAAGATAGAACTTCTCAATAAACCTCTTGGACTCGGGACTACCCCTCGTACGATTGATTCGGTGGCCTAGTATCATGCAGATCATGCCAAGCCGTAGATAATCTGGTGCCCAAGAGGCCCTCTGAAGGTGCTTGGTCGAAAGAGGGTATATATGAGGATTATCTCCGAGTTCACGGAGGGGGAGTAGATCTTGGTATATGCAAGAATTAACTAACCGATTCACGTCAGTCTATCAACATCGATTTACTTCAATTGGTGAGGTAGCTACTTGCAGTACTCGACACACTCAGCTAAAGCATAGGCTTCAGTCTTTATCTTAACTCGTGGGATCAATACACGAGTATTTGATATCGTTTCGCCGGGTACCCGTTTTGTTACAGTCTTAGTTATTCCATTTTCGGTTTCGCTAGATGGTGTTTTGTCCCGCTTCCGACCCCGAGATATGACCCTTCCGGGCGCGAGCCACTTGAGTTTTACTGGTTTCACATCACTATATCCCGGGCATTCGATCCCCGATGCGGAACACCTTTGGCACATGGGTTCTGTGAAATCACAGACCAAGCAGCGTCGACGACACTCCCAGCAGTGCCGCCTACTATTCTGTTGGTTCTCCATCTCTGGGTCTTTATTGTCTTAGAGACAAAGAGGTATTAGGGAGCATGGTGAATTTTTCGAAGTTGTTAACTTCTGCCTTGGGTCAATATAATACGTCAGCTTTGTGCACGGACCTTATATTCGGAGATATCCCCAATCCTAATATCACCAATCCTACAAGTTAATTAAATCCGAACCCCTTTATATTTGTCAAGTTTCACTCCTACGTCCCAACTCGAAGTCGCTTCACGTACTACGTCTTATATAAAACTATACCTAATGTTATCGGTAAATTTAAGCCTCTCTAACCTTTCAGTTTCCAGACGCTAAACATATCGGTGCCCTTCCCATCCTCATACGATCGTGGTGGTTTGAAGTAGACCACTCTTTGAAACAGCCCCTTTAGTGACCCAGTCTCTTGTATTGAGTTTTCAGAGGTGATACCATCACCACCTTCAGCTAGGATGTTCCAGTAGACGCCTTTTAACCCCCAAGGCGGGCCAAGAGCTCTTAAATCCTTATATAAAGGAAACTCGAGACAGGCAAGTACCCCGGTTGGGGAGATAAGCTCACCCATGCGACGAGCCCAGTCCTTTCGTAGATCAGGTGGGAGGGCACATAAGAACTATCATATATCAACATCACGGTTGCATCCATTATTCTAACGAATGTTCCACCGTTTCATCTGCTTAGTGGACCGATTGGTAATTCTGCACTGGGTTAAAAATAACTTACAGTATAATCATAAATTAAGTCGAAGCCCTGAAAGTCCTCGGTCACTACCTTTTCCCAGCCTGCCTCAAAAAAGTCTCCTTGGATGAACTTCACATTGCCTCGGCATGTAGTTGATCGACTTGCTGCTGACGAGCCAAAGTTATAGCTGGATGGCTCGCAAAACTGGGCTGCCGCATTGACTTCTGCTATTTCAATAGCCTTCTGTGAGATCTCCAAGCCATATACATCGAACCCATGGAGAGCTAGCATAACAACATCGTAGCCTTTCCCACAGCCCTGTTCCGTTCCGACCATTGTAAATGTCAACGAATGAGTGATGATACATGGCATCTCGTTATTTTCTTACGGGATTCACTTACGGGGATGAGGGCAATTGGTCGAGAATTGGTAGAAGATTGTGATATTTCGGGCTGTGACTCTATCCAGTCGATGAGAGCGGGCGATGGGCCCATACGGTCCCAGAAACCGCTCTTGTCATTGTTCCAAAGCTCAGTCCACCCCGAGGTTTGATTGTTTCGTGAACTTGACAGTTATATCAGTATAGTAGATTTATCAGTATAGTAGATTGGGATGTAAAGATTTAGTAAAGCAAGTAAAGCATACCGGTTAATAAAATGAGAGACTAGTTGAGTAAGCGGCTGGGGTGATGTATCCATAGTGGCAAGCAGATGAATTACTCGAATATCCAGAAACCAAGATGCAATTACCTAACTTCTTATGAGTATTTGTTTGGGTGCATCAGAAGTAGGACGAATGATGCTATATTTTGATGCCCCGAGGAAAAGGTAAAGAGAGGTAGTGACGCTAAATACCCCGCTGACTGATTCAATGCCATGCTACGTCCTATCTCGACGTTGACTGATTCGTGGCTCAATACCCACAAATAATAGTATCCGTAGTTAGGTAGGTAGGTAGGTAGGAGAAATATAAAATGATGTCTGTTGCCAAATCTATTTAGATACCTTCTAGGCTACTTAGGCACACAAAAAATACTATAGGACCAGCTAAAGCCCCTTAATTATGAGCTTCAAGAGGAGTCACCTTTTTCACAACCCGTGCAGGCGCACCCATCGCGACACTCCATGCTGGAATATTCTTCGTTACCACAGAGCTAGCGGCAATAGTGCACCCCTGGCCAATTACGACACCAGGCAAGATCACGACATTACCACCTATCCAACAGTCGTCTTCGATAGTTATGGGTTTGGCATACTCGATATCGTCCCTACGACTTTGCACCTCAGTTTCGTGAGTAGCCGTTAGAATCGACACGTTCGGGCCGAACATAACACGATCGCCTATGGTGACAAGCGCGCAATCCAAAATGGTCAGATTGAAGTTAGAATAGAATCGATCCCCAAGGCGAATGTTGCATCCGTAGTCCACGGCGAACGATGGCTCAATAAAAACGCCATCTCCAACATGGCCCAAGAACTGCTTAAGCATATTCTTCCGAACTTCCGTTAAGGATTCGAAGTCCGCTTCCGGGTCATCAGGGAAGTAGTTGTTATACTTGTGCATCCATCTCCGAGCGTTGAAGCGTATTTTCGTCAGCTCGGGATCATGGGCATCATAGCTAAGTGGTGAAGTATTATTAGCATTAGCGAAAATAATCATTAGGTTCTCCGTACTTCAGACTTGGCTAAATCGAATGAAAGACGACGACGTCATCTGGCCACTAGGGAAGCACTCACAGCATCCCAGAGATCATCTTGTCAAATTCTTCGGACCTTGGTACATGAGCTAAAGCAGTGGCCTTTTCAAGCTCAGCTGGGTTCTTTTCTTGGGCAGCCATAGTACCTTAAAGCTTGTGGCAGAAGTCAGTCTTAGAAAATAGGGGTCGACGGAATGGCTCACGACAAGATTGCGCAACAACGATGAGTGGTTCCTTATATTTACTATCGGAGATCTTAACGGAACGAGAGAAAACGATGTCTAATTCGGTATCTCCGACTCTTGAATTACGAACATGTCGGTAAAAGAAGTTGCTGTCTAACCTTTCAGTAAATGCATATAAAGTGGCTTTCATTTACTTGAGCACCGCCACAGACCAGAATGGCTTAGTTTCTAATAAGCCAGAAAGAAATGTTCAGATAGTCTGAATATCAAGAAATTCATCGATCCTATAAAATACGGTTAGAATATAGTATACAAGTACGGCCATATCTCTTCATGCACTACCTATCCCCGGAAGAATTTATATCCCCCTATTAAAAGTAAGAAGAACTTAGAATTGGTATAGACGCCCATCGCGAAAACTTAGGAGACGGCGGTGGAGATTACGTGGCGTTAAGACTCTTCAATTTTTACAGTCTCAGTAAATATATATAAACCTAAGTGTCGATAATAGGTAACAATGTCGAAATAATAATTAAATGTGTCATAACCATTATCTACTAGTGCTAAGTCTCCATGTTGCTATTCAAGACACCCGGCCCCTATTAGGGGCTTTAGTTCGGATGCTACCATTATTTTATATAAAGGGCCGAGGACTATTGCCAACTCAGTGTTGCATTAGACTATAATTTACCAGGACCAGCCCCGGGTGCGGAGTGTGAAGTTGAGGTGAAGGCCGCGTAGATATCGGGATATAGTCGATGGTCAATTCCAGGGGCCGAATGACGTGCTTACCCGCGCATACGTATTGTTCCACGACTATCAAAATGAGCAAATCAGTCATTGTCCTTGGCGATCTGTGCGATAAATGCTTATCTAACTATCTTTGGATCTACATAGCATCACGCGTTAGCCCGAAGGTAAGGCGCGATTTGTTCGGTAGGGATTCTATGAAGTCTCTTCGGGGGTGTTAGTGGATCAGAATCAGGTTGGACAGGTTCAGATAATAAATACTTAATAAGCCTTGTTCCGTCAGGAACTTGCACGATTGTTCAACTGTCTAGCTAGATACCTAGGTACCTAGGTACTTATTCATTATATTGTCAACATGGCGGATATAGCAGATACGACGGCTCAAGGTCCTGAGAATACTGAACAAAAACCTATCAAAGGTCGGTATGAAACTATCACAATCATGATATGCTTGCTAATATCTGCTAGTCAAATGGTATCGATCAGTCTTTTACAATGCCACAATCCTTGGGCTCTGCAGCTTTGCAGCACCGGGGCTATGGGGAGCGATGAACTCTCTCGGGGCTGGTGGTTCCCAATCGCCTTACCTCGTCAACACTGGGAATGCACTCACGTTCTGCCTTATGGTAGTATCTTGCTGGTTGACTAGTAGTGCTGTCAAGTATATTGGAATCACCGGTGCCCTATTTATCGGCACCATCGGTTATGCTCCGTACAGCGCCGGACTCTATCTGAATAACCGATATGGTGTCGAATGGCTTGTTATTGTCGGGGCTGCCTTCTGCGGCATATCAGCTGGAATCTTCTGGGCGGCAGAAGCAGCAATTGCCATTTCCTATCCCGAGCCGCGCAATCGGGCGAGAATGGTCGCCTACTGGTTAACGTGGACTCGAATTGGTCAGATCTTGGGAGGAGCCGTGAACTTAGGGCTCAATATAGATCGTAATCAGGCCGGGAAAGTCTCTTATACGGTATACATTATATTCATCGCCCTTCAGGCAAGTGGCACGCTGATCGCTCTACTCCTTAATAAACCATCGAAGGTCCAACGTCGAGATGGTACTCCTGTCCAACTTGTTATCTACGACAACCCCTGGCAAGAGATCAAAACCACGACAAGCACGTTTCTCACCAAGAAGTTTCTCTTGCTTGTTCTGTGGATAGGCCAAGGGGTCTACTCGGAATCCGTCTTTTTCACCTATAACGCTCTGTGGTTTAGCGTGCGCGCAAGAGCTCTCGGGTCATTCCTATCCGGAATTGTAGCAGTTATATGCGGAAACCTCCTCGGATTGTGGCTAGACCAGCACCAGATCTCTCTCAAGACAAGGTCCCGCCGCGCTTTCGCAGTCATCATGACGTTACAAGGTGCTTGGTGGTTGTGGCTCACGATCAACGTTACTGAGTATAACCGGACCCAGCCTATCTTCGACTGGAACGATCCCGGATTTGGAAGGGCATTCGGCGTTTTCGTCTTCCTCGTTTCTGGCTTCCAGCTTAACTATAATTTCTCATACTTCATTATTAGTCAAATATCGTCCAGTCCGCAAGAAACGATTCGTCTTTCGGCGTTGCTACGTGGAACAGAATCGGCTTGGCAAGCCGTCAGCTACGGATTAAATGCAGTTCCTATCATCGCAGCCGTTGGCGGCCCTTACATAAACTTTGGTTTATGGGGTGTTTCCATAATACCGGCTTGGCTGGTGATCAGAGATTTTGGTACCGAAGGCGATAAATCCGACTTGGAGAGTCATCTTGAGATTCAGGCGGAAGATCTACGAAAAGATGAAGGTTCAAACTAAATTCACTGATAGTATTCACTACCTAGGTGCTTAAGGTAGATACTTCAGTCTAGTACTGCGGATAGGGATTTTCAGAAATTTAGTGATCGGAAAGTCAACATTCTATTATGATGGACTAGTTATGTTTTATAGTACCTAGTTATGCTTGAGTCACATGTTTGTTTTCCATATATAGACAGTCGTTACATCAAATTCTCAGTGTTCCATCGCTGTAAAATTCTCGATCGGGAGTTTTAGTGGTTTGCGGCTCGACGAAGGGGGAGAATAAAGGTTGATGTGATCCTAGGCGTGCCTAACGCCATCGATGGACGCAACCTCGCGGTAAGCTATCTATTGATCTATCGTCAATCTTTCATTTGATAGGTGGGATGTGTCACGCACGTCATATCGGTATCCAACTCCACCCGGAGAGCTGAAATACATATAAGCAACAGTTGGTAGAGTATATTATGTTGATATACCCATCGAGGCTTACAACAAAAAATATTGGGTTTTTACCGTAACTTTGCAATGTCGGCTGGACTTGAAGCTCTGAAGCATATATCCAAGGACTCTGGGTTCCCGATTACTATCCATCCGCACTTTTCCGAGAAAATTAAGAACCATGTTCCGCCAGAGCCCGTCCGAGAAGAAATAATCCCGGAGAAGGACCGTGCTACATTTGCGGACCCCGAGAAGAAAGCTCTTTTCTCGGTCGCCAAACCTGTCGACTTGACAGAATCGGTCGGCACCGTCCTAGAGAACGTGCAGCTTTCCCAATTAACCCCACAACAGCTAGATGAGCTTGCGCTGCTTGTAAATGAGCGCGGAGTCGTCTTCTTCCGCAACCAAGATTTGACTACTGATGGGCAAGTAAAACTTTTTGAACATTATGGTACCTTGGACCGACATCCTGCCCAAAAGGATGTTCGACACGTCGTGATCCGAGGCAGCCGAGAGGACCACCGTGAGTTGCTCAAGTATACTCCGTGGCCTTCGGGAGACTGGCACGCCGATACTTCATTTGAGGTTAACCCACCTTCGTATTCTCTTCTCCGAATGGAAGAGCATCCTCCCGTGGGAGGAGACACAGCCTGGGTCTCCGGTTATGGTCTCTATGACACATTGAGTGATGCGATGAAACGATTTGTCGAAGGCCTACATGCGGTGCACACTTCAAGACTGCAGTACGACACAATTTTGGACCTGTGGGGCGTTGGGCCGAACCGCCCCCCTATCGACTCGCATCATCCGGCCGTTAGGACCCACCCGGTTACGGGATTGAAGGCGTTGAACATAAACGCCGGGTTCGTCACCGGGTTCGCTGAGCTGAAGAAGTATGAGTCCGACAAGCTTCTCGACTTCTTCCAGTACCACCTTCATTCCGCGGATGACCACTCTGTCCGATGGAAGTGGGAGGTTGGCAGTGTGGCGATGTGGGACAACAGATGTGTACTCCATCGGGTTATCCCTGGCTCGTATGAAGCGCCTCGAAGGGGAATTCGCACGACGGTCTTCGGGGAGAAACGTAGGTTAAATATAATCAAATATTTACTGGGCTTTATTTGTATTATGTGGCTGACGGCGTATAGCGTACTATGATCCTGCAAGTGAAGGGAGAGCTGAAAGGGAGCGGAGACTCAAAGAGGAGACAGCTAAAGGGTTGTCTCGAGAGACGAATACCAAGGAAAACCCCGTAAATACACCCGCTTAAATATACCGGGAACTCCGTTTCAGGTTAATATTTAATGAAATGCTTATAACATCTCTAATTTATATGACTTATAATTGAAACTGATAATGGGAGGAACTCTGGAAAGGACTCTTCGGGTTTGTTACTACTTGCTGTAGCATTAAAATGTAATTGATGCCGAACAGAAATTTAAACGGCCTTCATACGCATAGCATACTACCTTGAAACCTGAATTATATCGTCAAATTGGTGGTTGGGGGACTACTATCAATACAGTAATACTTGAGGCTTGATTGTTGGGTTAACTACTTCCTTGGTAATCATCCGAAGTTGGGTTCTTATTAGTAAGACTATGGTGTAAGTGGACAACTATGTATTGTTACGTATGTGACTTTATTGGTCAATGAATATAACAACTTGGCTAATGATAAATGCATTTGACTGATAAGATCTTAAATATATACAGTAGCTACCTGTTAACCTAGTACCTTATAATATTTAGTTCTCTTTTAACCCCCTTTAAGGTCGTCTTAATTACCTCTAATCGCTTTGACTTGATGTTACACGATAAGTGCTACAGGGCTGACGAGGCTCTCTTAGGGCTTGGTGAGATGATCGTGTACTATCTCTAGCCTCAACTGGAAAGCAGCTCCAGAAATAGGATCGAGCTAGTATCAATAATGGAATCCTAGCCTTCTCAGAAGAATAGAATTGATTAAATATGAAAACTTGGGCTCCACCGGCCCTCGGTTGTCGGTCCGGTTATCGGTGCTTGGAGGTTTAGATGACACACTATTGATCCCGTTTGACGTGCGTGCCATTAAGTATGATTGGGTGATTTAAGATGATGGAGGGCGCGTTTTTTTTGATCCCTTTGTCTAATTATACCAATACCTTCCTGGGAATTTCGCGCAAGATATTCCCCGGAACCATAGAGAGCCAAAGGGATGAATATCCTCGGTCGTAAATCTTAGTCACCGCTCTATTAGAGCAACACTAATGTATGCAAACCCCAGAAAATGGGTTTGAAGCTAAAACGACGCCAAGAAGGGTTGGGCATAGTGAAACGCATACATAGCTGAAGAGATCGTGAGTTCCCGTCTGCGTTGACGTCTCGCACGTGGATCTGATTAGGGTATATTCTACATAGTAGTTACGTGTAGGTTCCTGGGGTTTAATTTGATTAAAACTGTGAATATAAGGTAGAAAGGCTGTTGCCGCCGACTTATATAACGGCTGATGGCTTTGACTTTAAACTGTCTGTTCATTGACTAATACGGAAGAAGATATAGTTGCCACATGCTAAAGACCCGAACGTGTCTCGACGCTCGAAAATAATAAAAACAAAACGATCAGATGTTTAATAAATATAATTACCTACCTAAATTACTCTTAAGTACCTATTTCCTATTTATCTTTTGTATGTAGGTAGACAAGAGTTGAGCCTCTATCTGATGACGTATTTATTTGACTAACATGAGCCGGAGCCGGTTTATAGGGAGTCTAGTGAGTTGACTTGCTGGAACCGCCTAGACATTCCACTGAGGCGGCCCACTATGATTGGGAGCGAGTGGTCTGACAGGCCAGCCAGGCCAGCAAGGCCTAATCCCTAATCGCTAGGTTAATATCATAGGCTGTCTGGCCGCTTTCGCCGGGTCCCCGCCACTTGCCATTTTTGCAATTTACTACCAGAGCCGAATTTCCCAACGTGAAATTCCCTCCAATCTTAACCACCAACATTCCGTGACTCTGATAGGTGTAACATGTCCACAATCTGTAATAACGCAATACCGCCATTTCACATTCATTCTGAAACCGGAATCTGTGAAGAAGCTAGCTATTCCTATTTCATTCTAATTCCGAATTATCAACACTCATGTCCAGGTTAAAGATCTGGGAGAATGGATCTGGAAGATATGAGCGTGCAGATGGTGGCCGCGGACACAGCAGCTGAGGTCGCAGCAGACGTTGCTGCGGCCGACCCTACGAACAGAAATCCTAAGAAGTCGAGTCAGACCTGCATTCCGTGCAGAGTACGCAAAGTCCGCTGTGATGGTCGTCGCGACGTTTGCCAGAATTGCGAGCGATTAGGATTCACGTGCTCATTTCAAGACGCCGCCTCTCCCAGCCAGGATTCCGAGGGTTTGACAAATTTCACCCTTCCGCGAAGACGTGTTAGACTAGCTTGTGCCAATTGCCATTCCAGGAAAGCTAGATGTAGTGGTGAAACCCCGAAATGCGCAAGATGTCAAGCTCAAGGCATCGAGTGCGTCTACAAACCGACGAAGCGATCTGGAGGCGTCGGCGGCGTCTCCCAGCAATCTCATCAGGGCGCTACTGATTCCGAGCTTGAGTCTGTCTCGTCCGAACCGCCGGAGAAAAGAGTAATGATGAGTAAGGATAATCAGGGTTCTCACCATGGTCCGCAAGGGCCCGATAGGAATAGCTTCGAACCAAATGGGGCCTCGACACGTATAGCATCCAGCAACGAACCGTACGCATTCGATAGCTCATCTCTTCCTCTTGCGCGTATAAACTAACAATCCACTTAGGTTTGTTTTCCCGGATGAAGGTATCATACAGCGGACGTTTAGTAATTTCTTTCGTCAAATTCACCACGTTCCTATCTTTTCGTTCCTTCATCGTGCTTCGCTCATGCAACGCTATCATGCTGGCATGATGGATAAAGCTTTGCTTCTTGCTTTGGTGGGCATCACTTCACTTATCATAAACCTGGGCCCTGGTACTCGAGAGTATGGGGCTAGATGTATCGACGAATGTCAGAAGATGGTGCTTGAGGATCTCGAGAACCCGTCGACTATTAAGATACAGGCCCTCGTCCTCATTATGAAGCACCGTATGATGTCGCGCAAATTTACTACTGCCTTCATGTTGGCGGCAACGGCTACTCGTTTTGCCTATGCTCTCCGCCTAAATTATGAGAATCCAAATCTATGCTTCCTAGCACGAGAATCACGGAGGAGACTAATGTGGGCGCTTATGACTATCGACTCCGGTATCAACGGCGGCTGCTCAGATTTTACATTGATGCCGTCCGAATCTATGCACATTCAACTTCCTTGCACCGAGCGCAACTTCGAATTTGATCTACCACAAGTAACTGAATACCTCCGCCCCGTCCCCACGCGGCCTTTTCCGGATGACGTTGGTTCGCTCGCGCTCCACGTGCGACTCCTATGGATGAGAAGCAGAGTCCTATACTGCACCAAGAATGTGCTAGGTATGCCCGAGTCTGAACTGGCGCAACTGCCAGAGTTGGTCAAGGTATTATCAGAAGAGCTAGCTGGCTTCAACGATCATTTACCGGCGTCTTTCAAGTTCTCAGAAAGCAACCTTCAATTACGAGCTTACTCGCCACGATTATGTGTTTATATTATGATACATGTCTGGTGGCGACAGTGCTACTGTGATCTCTACCGAATGTTCCTTGTAGGACTTAAAGAGGCATTGCCACAGTCAGGTTTAAATCAATTAGACCCCCAATTCGTGTCATATTGCATGCGTCAATGTTATGAGCACGCTTTGGCTATGTCGGATATTTTTAAACTTATCATGTCCCTTGACGGAGGCCTTCCGGTTACCGATGTTGATCTACCCGGTTGCGCTTATCAGTGTGCTCGGATTATATACTTTGCTCACCAAACGAATCAGGGAGAGATCAGTTTAACATCAAACCAAGTTCACGAGCTTGGTACGAGATGCCTAACGATTGCGAAATCGATGGACCATGTCCCAGCCGGCGCTGCCATTGTAAGTTATCGCATCTCATAATATAACATGATAGTTTACTGAGTATAGATGTAACTCTAGGTCGCTGATCTCGAAAAACTGGTCGCCCGCGGCTTCACTGCAAATGCGGCTCCGAATCACCCAGGGAGCCCTAGTGCCAACGGTTCCAATCTTGTATCCCAACATGCCCTGTCACGCCACAACCCTATTCAACAGATGCAAGTTGTCGATGAAAGTGGATTTACTAACATCCCTATTATGTCTCCTTCAGCTCACATAACCTCACCGCAAGGCAGTTCAATGCCGACCCCAATTCAGCGTTCGACTCCCCGTCCACCACAGGAGCATACCCGTGGATCTTCGCTACCAGGAACGCCTATTGGTGATTTTAACATAGCGAAGTCGAATTTACCGCCTGTGATGTCACCGGATGGAATAGATAATAATAACGCTTTTGAGGGTGCGATGGATGGCTTTGACTTCGATCTCGAGTCATTCGGAAATAACGGCCTTGAATCTGCATCATGGCTCTCGAACGACTGGCTTAATAACGAATACTCACAAACGACGGTTTGAACTTTATGAACAAGTTGCTATATCTACTGGTTGGTTAACGAGAACTACGTTACCATCCCTCTAGTTTGGCTTGGCAATTTAATGGTTACTACCACCTTGAATTAGCCAAAGGGGCTAATACGAGAAGACTGCATTGCTTCTCCAAGAAACCCGGCATAGCTGTGCTAGTCTTCCGTGGAGTCGTCAATCCTATTCCTAGCAAGAAAGCCTACTTGACTAATACCACGAGCAAGACAAACCCCCGGCGCCCTGGCATTATTCTCTCGATTAATAGAACTGCCCCCTAAAGCAGTAGGGTAGACCGGGCATTTTGGAGGCCACGGTATCAATAAGCCCTATAATTAGGGATTACTGACATTTTGTCGATACTACATATTAGCTAAGCTCTGGGAAAGCGACCAGGATTCAGATCAACTGCCTATCTTGCAGCGTATCTTGCAATACCCTACGTTTTTTCGGTCTTAAAGACGGACTTGGCGAGAATCATACACGTTCTAGGCTCCTAGTCCTAATTCCCTGGAAGCCAAGAGTTTACAGTGGCGTAACCGAGGCACGATTCCTAACAAATTCAAGCCATTCAATGCTTAGTTGCTTGATTCGACGATTAGGATTCCGCACGAATCTACGAAAATTAGACGAACCTAACAAGTCCTGAGATGAACCTACCTGTCGTATAGCGTGGAAGTAGTCGGTCGATTGAGTTTAGGCGTAGGCGTTGCTTTTCGGCTCTTGGATTGTTTTTACCTACCACGAAGACTATCGAAATCGCACACCACGGCGGGGTACCAGTTGGCCAACCATGCAATATCTATAGCCTATGGCTATGAAGTTCTTTTTCAGGACGCCCGAGTCCTTAGCGGTTCAAAGAGCCAGCAGAGATGTTCTTAAGGGATAGTTTGCTCGTATACCCATCAGTACGTTGATTGGGAGAAAGGATCCTCAAATCCTCGGGAAATGTATATGTCCACACCTGCCTAACATATGGTGTGATGAATCGAAAGATAAAGTCTATAGAACGGATTTATATGCAACCATCATTGAGGATTACTCCGATAGCGAGGTACGTGATCACAGCAATGGTTTGAAGTTGAATTTATCCCCATATTAAGAGAATAACCGTACTGCTTTAACTACAGCCAGGCTATTGACATTGATAGCCTCAGTTATTAAATGTCTTCAAGGGGTGTAGCTCATACGAGTTGAAGTGTTCTTTTTTGGATAGGATCTCAATCCTCAATACGGAGGATAGGTTTTTTTTCGTGAATATAATGTTTACAACTAGTGGACATAGATGAAGCTACACAAGCATACAAGGTAGCTTCCTTTGTATAATTGTCTTATACTAGAACGATGAAATAATGATAGAAACGATACTGCAATGGTCTTATATCAAGTACACAAGTACATGTATTTAGACCCTGAGGTACATAGGTAGGTACCTAGGTACATACCTACATACACATAGGTACCTACGTACCTATTATGCAGGGCTTTCAAGGTTGAATGCCGGGCATTAAATGCAAAATTCTGCCCGATGTCCCCGCCAAAACTTTTCAAGGCCCCACGCCGCCCACCACCAAATTCACAAGACGAAATCGCAACCCCACCATCTTCGTATCAACTTAGACATACGCTGGAAAGTGGAAAGTGGAAAGATGGCAACGACAGAACTTCAACAAGCGGAAAAAGCCGTAGAGGCTGTAAATACGCCGACAGACACAGAATCTACACCCTCAAAACCCATCCATTCCCTCGTTCTCGACACAGGCCCTCTGATCAAGAACGATCCTCCCGTCAGCACCCTCCTTGCTCAAGCCTACGAACTATACACACTTCCGTCTGTCATATCCGAAATTCGAGACGCTGCAACGAGAGCGCGAGTCGAGACAACATTAATTCCTTTCATAAAGTTGCGCAGTCCGCGCCCCGAAAGCGTCAAGTTCATTACCGATTTTGCGCGGCGCACTGGAGACCTCGAGGTCTTGAGCAGACCCGATTTACACCTGATCGCATTAACATACGAACTAGAATGCGAAAGGAATGGCGGCAATTGGCGTCTAAGAAAGACACCTGGACAGAAAGGGTTGAATGGAAAGGCACCCACGCAGCAGGCGAAAGAGAGTGGGACCGCAGAACAAAACGATGGCGAGAATTCTGAGGTTAAGGAACTGGAAAAAGTTGATAGCCAAAACGAGGCAGGCCAACCCGAAATAGAAGGAGGTAAACCAGACGAGAACTCGAACGTCCAATCCGAGATACAGGAGCAGCCGACTATTCAACAAGAGACCGTCACTCAAGCCCTTGATTCTCTTAGCTTAGAATCATCCGCTTTATCTACAGTTGATACCATACCAGATGATGCCGCAGTATCAAAACCAAAAGTTGCCGACCAGCAAGAAGAGGATGGGGGTGACGACGAAGACGGCTGGATCACGCCATCGAACCTCAAGACACACCAAGCCAAAGACCAGCTCTCGGCACCAGAACAACCGATCCAAAAGTTCTTGCAGGTAGCACTCCTCACATCAGATTACGCGATGCAGAACGTGGCGCTGCGGATAAATCTCAACCTAGTGTCGCCAAGCTTAGCGCGCATCACGCGCGTCAAGACATGGGTATTACGGTGTCACGGATGCTTCGCGATTTCGCGGGATATGGGAAAGCAGTTCTGTCCACGATGCGGGCAACCTACCTTGACACGGGTGAGCTGCTCCACAAACGCAGCGGGGGAGTTTACGGTGCACCTCAAGCGCAACTTCCAGTGGAACAACCGCGGCAACGTATACAGCGTGCCGAAGCCGGTACACGGCTCTTCAAACGGAAAGGCACGTGGCCCGGGAGGTGGAAAGGGAGGCTGGGGAAGGGAGCTTATCTTTGCTGAGGATCAAAAGGAATATCTTAAGAAGTCCACGGACCAGAAGAAAACAAAGCAGAGGGATATTATGGACGAGGATTATCTCCCAGGCATCTTAACGGGCGATAGAAGCGGAGGAGCACCCGGCAGGATACGTGTCGGGGCGGGAAGGAATGTCAATTCGCGGAAAAGATAGACACGAATGGCATGTGATATAGCATGCAGGTGTTATTGGGGTTCGGTATTCAAAACGGGATTGATGGTACGGCTTCATACGGACTACGCACTTGGGAAATACAGCTTAAGCAATGCTAAAATAATTCAGTAAGACAAGTTGGCTTGACTATCGTCTCTGGTGTCCTTGTCATGTCCTTGCTGGCGTAGGTTAGATTGCCATATTCATTCACAAACCTCCAAATATCCATCAGATACGAAGAAATTGGGTTAAGACTCCATATTGAGAACACCAACTGGTTTAATAGAATTTGCAAAGCCCGGCTACTCATATGCAAGACGGCATCAAGCGGATGGCTTGTCGTCGGTAGTCCATAATCCTGAAGGTCGATTGCCTTTCTTTCCGATTCACACGCCATGAACGCCAGTCCGATGCAGGACTATATTTGCAACCTCGAATATCCGAACCAAGTCTTTTCGATCCCAGTTTGCCAATTCTGATATTTTATTCACACCACTATAGGGGATGTACAGTGCTTCACCGCGAGTTCTCAGCAACCTTGTTCTCTGTGGTGAAGACCTTCGTTAGCACATGTATTCTTCTTTTCTAGAATCCGCCACCGTCTATATTTTAAAGAACGGATAAGAGTGTCTATATAGGGCAAGTGTAGGACTCACTCTGCTGCGTCAGTAGCAGGCCGAAGCGCCTCTTGAGGGTGACGCGCTGGCGCGACCACTTATCGTCGGGAGAGAATCGTGCCGGGTGCGCCGACTTGGTGACCTCGCCGTGCAATACCTTCTTCAGGGTGTAGATGCGCTTGCCGCTCTCGTCCATGGTGTACATGAGATGCATTTTGACGGTTGTGTATTTTTTCCCTTTCCTTTTTACAGCTCTGCTCGGTCCGTTTGGCCCTTGGAATGGATAGGCAAGGTGACTTGCGCTTTAGATAAAGTATAGCAGGTTGTTCTAGAGGTTATAGCTGTTGCGAATGTATAAGAGACCTGTGTCGGTTCGTTGCGAGCGCTATTATACGGTGTGGTCGTCGTATTTTGGAATCTGATTGAAAATTGAGAAGCTCCGAAATTATTTTTTTCAACCTTCAATTGCTGCATGTATTAAAGTGGATCCTTACCAAGTGGATCCTTACCAGAATTATTGCTATCCAGTCTTGGTATCTTATCGATAGAGAAAGTGCCCAGCCGAGGTTTAGTCCTCTAATAGTCCTTCAACTCTTTTAAGTTACAATGATCAAAGATACATAATAAGAATCAAGATGATAAAATGATACCTATTTTATGGAACAATACCCTACGATACATCGTTTAGAACTTGGCTAAATTATCAAGGATGTAAAGTGATGTCGACACCATACGAAACCCAGCTCTTCCAAGGCTTCAACACCACTAAACTGGACTTACAAGTCTTGATAATAACAAACGCACAACTATTGCTCAGTTCTCATGTCTCAAAACTGCCGAATAATCTTGGCTTCATTCAATTATTAAAACAAAAATCAAAGATATCCGCTGTTACCTACCTCCTAAGTCCATATGTATACGCCAACGCCATGCATTTATCCTCAAATATCAATCTACCCATTGCTTCTCCGGCCCCAATCCTCTAACCAAATTTTTCAAGTTCAACCGCGTGCTATATAATATGTTCTCCGTGAATCCCACCTCGCGCATCTCATTCTCGTTTCCCTTATTAATGTCCGAGTCGCCGCTGATCCTACCCTTCGGACGGTGATGCACGAATAAACTTGGCACTATGCTCACGCACCGCATACCGTTTATGCGCAACCGGCACAGATCGCTGAGGTGATTATCAAAGGGTTTATGCTGTCCCTCAAGTCCCATATGCTGCAACGCCTTTTGCGCTCCAGCTGCACTCAGCGCGTATGCGAAGCTGCATACATTATCGCCGGGTACATATACTATTCGGGTGCGCGGAGGGTAATCGTCCCAGCTGAAAGAGCCGTTGCCCAGAATATGCCCCGGTGGTGGTACTGTCGGGTCATCGTGGACGAAGACCTTACGGGAGTCGCGCTCCTCGGGCGGGGTCTGGAGGTGTTCGGGGAGGTCTTCATCGAACGTTGTTACGCATGAACCTAACCACAGCATATCCCAATCTTGACCGTACGGGCTTGGCGTTTCTAGCGTTTGGTTTCTGTGGAATCCGTTCTGCAAGGAACGAGCCGCCGCGGCGAATTGAGCTAGCTGTTCCTTAATATGCACATCCCAGTCCATATCGTCCTCCATAATCAGCGCCGACGATATTCCATCTTCGATTATGCGTCGCATTGCGTTTACGTGGCCGCGCCAGGAACCTAGGTTACTATCCCGCATCGTTTCTCGATCCCATCCCTAGGCCAAGTTTATTAATTATCTCGTAGCCAGTATCGGTCAGAAGTGTAGAGCTTACGAAGGGCAGAGCCTTGTTTGGAATGGTGTTACCAGCAACACCGTCAATCCAATTTATCCTGAATCCCGTGAGCGAAGACATTAGAGCTAATGCATCGCGCTTATCCGAACGCTCGGGGAGTCCTATGACAAAGATCTTCTCAAACTTCGGCATATAATCGTTAGCTAGCTAATAACGCCCGCGTCGGGCGGGACAAGACTCACGCCGAGCGTTCTATTAAACACGTCCGATTTACCTTGGCTTGCCGGTGACGAGGTCCATTTCACGGGACTCGGAGTCGAGCCCCATTGATTTCGAGCAGACCCGGAGCCCAGATATGTAAGGAGAATACACGCAAAAAGTACCGTACCCAGCACCAGGCAGGTACTAGGCCGTCCACCAATCATGGCCAATATCCAAGTAATAAGATAGGAAGCGTTCAGCAAAATTCCATCAGCAGCAAAGGGGGTTAAGAACGCCGTCACGTTAGAATATGAGCTGAAAATATTCGATTTTGTTTATTTCAGGTACAGGATGGAGACAAGGCTCCAGCTAACTATGACATCAGATAGACATATTACCGAAATACATAGCGATGAGTACGAAATAGGAACGGTTGGGAGTTGCTCATTCACAGCGCACTCGCATCGTACAGTTCGGCCAATCAGTCTCTTAGCCCGCGCCAGACACATCCGGCCATCGATGTCTGGTCGCAAGAAATTTCCTAACTTGGCATGAGATAGCTAGGGTCGAATAAGGCCGCCTACGTAGAGTAGCATTCTTCCCAGTCAATCACCGCGATCGTTACTAGATGTAAGGTCTCCCACCGGGCCACCGGGCGACCACCGTTCGACCAATTCGTGATCCGGCCGAGTACGTACGTACATAGGCAGATTACATAAAGCAGCTAATACGACAATTTCGAGCAAGGCTTATCACGACCTCGTATCGTCAACGTTCTTTGATCATTTTGTGTTCAACCAATTTTATCCCTAATTGGCCATGTGAGGGGATTGATAGCATCATATCAAGTTTCTTCCACCACGACATGAAGCCAGCAAACATGAGAATACAATATCCAGCGGACGTGACCTAAACGACTTGACTGATTACGTTGAAGATAACCACCTTATTAACTCTCTTAGGTTAGGAGCTGCTGTGCGATGGTTTGCTTTTAAAAGCAACTAATCAGCTGGTAAGTAAGCTGACTTAAGTCTCAAGAAGCCTTGCAGTTCAAGTTGAGCAAATAACTCGAGTGTCCAGATTTATAGCAGAATGTTCTTAGTAATGAAGCTCGGTGGAAACTGGGCACTTACATACACAATTGCCTACAGGTGTAGAGAGTCGAGAGAATAATATAGTACTTCACTTAGGTTGTGGAGCAAGGCGAGGAAGCCGAGTTACGAAACACCGTACTTAAAGGTTGGGCTTCTTGCCAGTCAGCCAGTTTGGCTTCTATTAATATTCACATAAACGCCTACCTACCAGTTAGGTACCTAATCACGAGAATAGCATATTTATGGCCCAGTATCGCTCTATCGTGTCGGCATCAAACACTGTGAAATCCATTTGAAAGAAACGGTGAAAGAAACGGATAGATTTTTCACAGTAGAAGGATCAAATAAATGCATAACCTTCGACGAGGACGCCAAGGGCCGAAACATACAGGACGAAGAACCTTGAAAGTCTTGCATTGAAGTTGTGCTAGGTTTATGATGGCCAATAATAGTCTATGACGTTGTGGTTGCGAAGGCCAAGGATACCTTTACCTAAGTCACTTGTCAACTAACAACCTGACAACTTGATTCTTCAACATCATCCACCTTCAAAACTATTTGCCTCTCACTCATCTACCAATTTTAACTATTTACGATTTAAAAATGTATATTCCATCAGCGCAAAGCGTCTTAACCGCGGGACTGGCTCTAACCGGCAGTCTCAAAGAACGTATGTCTACTATCTATCTCATCTGCGCCTTTGCCCGGCTCCTTTCTTTTACATCAATTGATTCATAATTCTCGCTAACAATTTTCGATCAACACAGCGAGCACCGTTGCCGAAGGATCGGTACTGGACTACGCGGTCGAGAAATGCAGAGACTCGGAAGGCAATACGAGATGCTCAAAGCCGTTCCTCGTCTCCAAGTCGACTTGCTATCAGCTCGAATGGAGTACAGAGGGAACGCTCACGCATACCACCGCCGAGATTCGTGACATAAAGTCAGGCGAGCTAGTTTTCTACCGCGATACCGACGGCAATTGGACTCCAGAAAAGGGAGAGGTACGTAACCCTTCATATTATGCTTGTCTGGAGTGTAGACAAAAGACGTATTTGCTAATGGTATTTTGTGATGTGTGAAGCTCGTTTATCTCGATTTCAAGCCTAAGGTCCCAGCAACAGGAAACCAGACTGTGGATTATATAGTCAAGACTTGTGAATAGGCGGATATATCGATGGCAATAAATATCCTTACCCTTTCCAGAAATTGTAGAATAGGCGAGGATTGCGTACAACCCATGAGAGGCATACAAGGTGTTATAAAATTTGTATTAATATTTTGACTAGTAAATAAGATGCAGCTTTAATTTCATCATGTCATATATATTATCATCGAAATAGGGGCCGATGCTGATCTTCGATGGTAGATAACTATGTTTTAACATAGAGGAAAACCCATAATTGATAAGCTAATGGATACTTGACTGTAAAATGCTAGATAATGAACCATATTTTCGCTTGTAAAACTTTTAACTGTATTGATTGGCTATCATAATGCGATCATAATTCATTTCCATACGGCACGAGGTACCTGTTCTGTTGCGGACCCATCCAAACCTCGGGCTTTGATTCTTGAAGGCCCTGGTTGAGGATCAACCCAATCAAGGTCCTTTGTCCAGATACCAGCCTTGGTATAATCTCCACTTGTTGTACCTGACATGAAACCAAATCGGAAGTACTCGTTATAATCAGACCCGTTGTCGCGAGACCATACGAAGCGGTCTGAGCCTTCGTCGGCAAAGAAACCACGGTATCTTTCAACATCGTTGACCAGCACGCTGATACCATCGTATCGCAATCCCGGCGGAGGTTGCCACTGGAATGTGATTGTTGAAAGAGTGGCGTTGATGATAGGTGCGAGGAGGGCAGGAAGAGGGGACCCCAGCTGAGCATCACCTTGCAAAGCTACCGAGGTTTGTAAGATAGAATCAAATCCCCAGCGAGCTATACCGTTGATGAATAACCCTATCAGAATACCTTGGTAAAGAAGAGATGGCCTTGTTTGTATGCTGGTACCTGGTACTAGAAGCAATGCTAAGACGTAATGATGAATGCGCAAGCTGAGGCTAGGTAGCACGAGACAGATGATAATCCCCAAGATGAACAGCGCGTACAGCTTGAGAATCCGTATCAATCTCCCTTCTTGTCGGAAGCACCAGACTTGGCCAACAGCGATGATAAATAGTACGATGACGATGATAGCGAGAGCTGCCTTGGCACCAGGTTGCTGCTCGAGGTCATGTCCTGTCAGGCGTTGGATAGGTATGAAGTCGAAAGTGTAATTTGTAAGTGCTCCAACCCAGCAGCCACCTAGCCATAAAACAGTCTTCTCAACCTGGGCCGTCAAGCCTCGTAAAGTCCGTCGCACACCCATCTTGTCATAAAATACCCACGCGCAGAACATGGCGGGAAGAAACTTGCCCAGAATGTTGGAAAACAATGCGGAGATCGATGTGTAGGACGGCGGGTCGGAAGCCATACCTACTTGCCAAAATATACCAACAAAGACGGTAAAGAAAAATACTGATGACGAAGCAGTAAATAACGACAGGACGGAGGTGAAGACTACGGAAACCGCTAGTAGCGACCACCTTACGTCTCTAGCCTTGCATTCGATCCCCGGTTCAAAGGTAATGGACAGCGGGAAGTACGAATCGAAGGCAACGCTATTGATGCCATGTCTATCCGTGCCGATGTAGTTCTGCTGCCGTCCTACTAGGTTGACGACACCACAACCACCCAGGGAATTGGAGATGAGACCAGCATGAACGGCAGATCCGCAAATAAAAGAATCGCCCCGGTAGACAGGATTCTCCTCGTTGGCGGGATCGGGCGGTCCACCGACGACCAACGGGGCGTAGACTACTTCCTGGCTTCCTACTGCTCGAGGGTTGAGAACCCGGTAGCTGGCGCAGTTGGAGGGGCAGCGAAAGGCAAAGCCGCTGCCGTTGAACGGCCTACAGTTGACACCATCAAGACCACAGTCGTTATTGCGGCTCCAATATGCGACACCGCATCCTATGTCCATAGGGGTGCCATAACTCGCAACTTCTGAAGCAACTTGACCCCGCCACATAACGATAGCAAATATAATAATCCATACGGCAATATAGCCCATATACAACAATATCTGGTGCGTCTTGTTGGGAAGGAGTTTGTCGAGCAGACGAAGTGGCGCCTCTTGGACGGTAGGAAAGAGTGGTTCAATCCTCCAGATCTTGGGGTTCTGCGGACCCCTCATCCATTTAAAGGCGGCTTTCCCATACTTTCGGACGGGATACGGAACCCATTTCCAATTCTTCCAAGCGCCTTGTTCCTGCATAAAGCGAGGGGTCGGAGGGTCGTCGTCCTCGTTGAACTCGAGATGCTGCGGGCCGCTGAGCGGATCGTCCGGATGTGCCGGTGAAGCGTTGCGCGGCCGTTGCTGTTCAATGTCAGGAGAGACTGACCGAGTTTCTAACTGATTGCTACTCATGATATGAGGCTACTCTTGATGCGCCATAACGTCTATTAGTGACCTAAGAAATCACTCCCGATGGTGCATGAAGGAGGTTGTTGAAGAGCTAGCTTACATATAACGGTTGGGATATAATACAGTAGGAACCAGGTTAACCAAAAGGTTACGAGTTCTAGATGTATAATAGAACAAACGTTAAAGGATACATGAGATGAGATATCGAAGACGATGGGGTAGGCGATATAATAAATTGCCAGACCGAGAGCCTGCTCAGCCTTTAGAAAGTTGCCGTTGCGTAACAGAGGAGTTGGCAGTTGATGAGTTGATGAGTTGATAAGTTGATAAGTTGATGGTCGGCCAAGGAATGGAACTTTGGTTGGATTCAGCGCTGAGAACGCGAAACAAAAAGGCCGCGCGAAGGAAGTGGCTTAAAGCTTAGGGCCCAGCCCATTGGGCAGGTGGGTTGGTGATAGGCAACGATTGGATCTCAGCTGTTTCTTTGAAAGGAACAAGTGGATCTCATGCGCTCTGTTTCCGCCAAGTGATCCAATCGGAATATGACGTCTCCAAGTTCTAGGCTGTTATCGATACAGCACCTACATGCATAATGCATACATGCATGTGCTTCCACTTATTGCTTACCATAGTGGGAAAAGAAATAGAAAAAGAAATAAGAAAAATAGAATACATATTAAGATCTGGCCGATCAGAAGCCTTCCTTTTTGCGGTGCACGAGCCACAAAATGATTGTTTCCCATGTGATGATCGTGTATGCAGATAGTCCCGCTGTAGTATATCTCTTTACTACATCAGCGCCGGGGCGTATTTACATCATATCTCGATGCCTTACGAGAACTCGCTAAACGGCGCTACCATAACAAATTCAGAGCTCACGAGTTGAAATTTTCGACTCAGAAAGGGCTATTCTAGAAAGACGCAGGTCAACAGTTTATTCCTATTTCTATTAAAGAATGGCCGAGTCATCTTCGGAACACGCTATGTTCAACGTGCTGAAAAGTGCAGTGGTCGAAGGGGGCACACCTAGAGCAGGCCGTCTAACGCTCCCGAAACGAAAACCAATAGATACGCCCAACTATATCGGTCTTTCATCACGAGGAGCGATCCCACATATGACACCAGATGTCATCTCCAAGCATGTAGAGCTCGATGGCTCATATATGGCTTTAGAAGACTGTGAGTCCAGTGAGCTTGTGATTATATTTCTACCATTAGACTAACATATTTCCCAGTTATAGAAAAGTCTCAGAGGAGGGCCCAACCCGCCGTCTTTAACATAGATGTTGATGGTAAAGAGGCTCTGCATGCGTATACCGCTACACCTACACCGCTGGCCATAGTGCTTGGTGCCCGACGGCATCCTGCAGTAATTGCGCCTATGGGGAACGGAAAAGACTATGTCTCAGTTTACACATCGACTGGCTTCCAGAAGTTGAAAAATAGCGAACATTACCAAGCTATCGAGAAGCTGCAGCCAGACATTGCAATACCCCTTGCGGATCTGACGTTTGGAAATTCACATATTAGAACTAAGCTTCCAAATCCGAAAAGGCAACTCCGAATGGTGGAGAGAACAGAAGACTGGCTGTCCGAATTCATAAAACTAAGAAATACTAATGGTGATAATGAGACTACTAAACCCTCTTTATTTGCGCCGCTGTTGCCGGTTGCCTATCCGACGCAATGGGAATACTTAAACCGCCTATCTCAGGACCATATCCAGCATTTGTCTGGGCTTGCGGTGTACGATGCGGATATCCTTCCGGACCTTAGCAATCACGAGTCCCTTGGTTCGCTGCCTCGTATTTCTATGGACTTTATAGCGTCGCCACAAGAGATCCTCCGGCAAACTCGCTTAGGGATTGATATATTCACTGTAACATTTCTTAACGCAGCCTCGGATGCTGGAATTGCCCTTACCTTCTCGTTCCCACCACCACCACCGGTAAAAACGGGTGCATATCCGCTGGGAATAGACATGTGGTCGCCAGATCATCAGGTATCATTGACGCCTCTCGCAAATGGATGCGAATGCTACGCTTGCACCAGGCATCATCGCGCCTACCTCCAGCATCTCCTAAACGCCAAGGAAATGCTTGGATGGACACTCCTCCAAATCCACAATTACCATATCTTGGGTGAGTTTTTCAAGGGTATCCGAGCTGCGCTTATCGCAGAACCCTTGACGTTCGAACGCGACTGTGATATCTTTTCCGAGGTTTATGAACCCGTGCTTCCTAAAGGTACCGGTGAGAGGCCTCGAGCTCGAGGATATCATTTTAAGACCGAAGGGGGACAGTCCAAGATTAATCAACCAGCTTGGGAGAAGTACGGCGAAGGTGGAACTGAAGACTCGACACTCGCCGGAGAGATAGCAGGTCTGGCTGTAACAGGAGCCACCGCAGAGGGAGGAGAAACCCCACTCGTTCCCGATGCTGAAACTGATGCCGATGAGTTGGATAGGAAGGGGTTCGCTGAAATTGACAAGTGAGCTCCTGTCTATAGGTGATGACTTCAACTTCTGCTACAATTGATGATAGACTACGCGCTACGATTATGATGCACCGTCATTCGATGATAAGTATAGCTACTCAAGTTGTGGGATTCGGTTGCCGAGGTCGTTATTCGGTGACCTCCGCCTCCTTGCCACACAATTACTGGGGTTTGTTCCCGAGAACCTGGAACCGAGATTCACATCTGCATGTAATGAATTGACATCCTTATTGGCCTATTATGTAGTATCTATAAAGGTATTAATAACCGCAGATCAAACAATTTAGGTTAAGCACTTTGGAAGAGGCATACTATATGGCAGAGAAGTTATCATCCCTAGCGATGCGCTTACAGGCGCCAATCGTCTCCCGAGTAGTAAACTGCGTCTAAAATAAAGGCAATTGAGCATTGCCCAGTAATTTTTTGTATGTATGGCATTGATTAACTATATCTACATAATACAATTAGTAATACAATCAGCCTATCTCACGATCAGAACAGCCTATGTAAGTGCCAATGTGGCGGGAGGCGTTGGCTAAGCTAACCCACGTCTTCCCGGTGAAGAAAGGAGCCAATCATAGCAGGCAATTCAACCCACGTTTTCCAAACCCTTGTTCCCTCGAGATATCCCTTGATCAGGAAAGCTACTCATGAGCACTGTTTATTCGCCAGGTCAAACTCAGCTCAAGCTGAAGAGGGCTCACCATATCGGCACATAGTACGTCACAATAGCAACATAGCTGCTGCATACCTTCTTGTTGGCTAACCATATCTAGGACTGCTATCTAGCTCGTCTGAAGCTCGTAAAGGCTTATAAGAACAACTAGTTTAAAAATCCAGGAACCAGGAACCAGGAACCAAGAAACCAATAAGAAAATTCTAGCCACCAAGTCCTCATGCATACAAGCTATCATCGATACACGAACTGGCTTGCTAGTCGAACACGTGCGATGAATTACCTTTACGATTCCTACGCGATCAATGCTTCGACGGCAGCACCGCCGCTATTATTTACCATCGGAGATTCTTAGAACACGAATGGCCAATTACAATCAGGTCTCTCTCGTTGCCAAGAGCTCACCACTGGACTTTTACGGCCTTGGAAATAGCCAAGGCCTCGACTACCTTCCAATGCAGGATCAGTGGCATCGTGGAGCTTCAACGGCCAAGCTCATAGTACAGTTGCACTGCATAATCATAGAAAGCTCAGCTTGGCTTGTATTAGGTATATAACTCTGGAGCTTCCCAGACCTCCGAGACCGACATGATGTCTTGCTGCCCTAACTTTTAGCTTGCGAATATTCGAGAGCTATCATGGGTAAACTAAGCTCCCTTGCTGTGGCGGCAGTGGCCGTTTCTGCTGTCACTGCCCAGACGTTCCAGCGGCTCGGTGCTTGCCCGGATCTAGGCTGCGTTCTACCGCCTGATCAATCGGACTTCCTGCCGGGACAATACTTCGACCTTCGCCTCGAAGTACATGCGCCAGTCAATGGCTCGGAAACTTTCAACAACGGCGAGCCGGATGAGAAGTTCTCCGTCATTATCACCAAGGAAGGTGGCGAGTCTAAGAGCATCGCCGAGTTCTTCGACGTTGCCGAACCGGGGCTCGAGAAGTGGGACTTCCACTGGTACGAAGATCTCTTTGCCAAGGACGCGGGAACACCTTCTATCGTCAATGTCGCGTCTAAGATCTATCGGAAGCTCGCCATCTACGAGCCGGGAAACTACGTCGTCACGCTGAGCTATTACGACGGCCAGACGACGACAGCTAACTGGGTTGTGCGACCACTAGCTACACAGAAGAAGGCCAAGAATGTTATTCTCTTTATTGGTATGGTTATTGAGACTCGAGAAAAACGGTTGATGTTGACAATATATAGGTGATGGTATGACCACGAATATGATCACGGCCGCACGCCTACTTGGTCACAAGAGTATCAACGGAAAATACCAGTCTCTATTGCAGATGGACAAATTCCCCGTTGTAGGACATCAGATGGTATGATACCAATCGGATTACATATAGAGTCCCCTAACTAACAACTATCATTAGACTCATTCCATCGATAGTTTCATCACCGATAGTGCTAACTCGGCATCTGCCCTTTACACTGGACACAAGAGCACTGTCGACGCTATGGGGTAAGTCGAGGCATGAATTCCCTAATACGATTCTAGCCTAGATGCTGATCTTCTTTTTCTTAAGAGTCTACGCCGATTCGTCCGCCAATTTATTTGACGACCCGAAAGTTGAGACCATTGTTGAGCTATTGAAGCGTACTTGGGTAAATAGGCGCTGGTCACTTGCATGCATCCGTGGACTAATAAGTCATTAGGATTCTGCTTGGGGTGCCGTCTCAACTGCAGCTATCGCAGATGCGACTCCTATTGCTCTTACTGGCCATAGCCGATCACGAAATGCTTATGGTTCCCTCGTCGACCAAGGATTGAATTCGGTTACCAACTATTCCTGGACAAATCAGGGTGGCCCTGACGTTTGGTTCGGCGGAGGTGCCGAGCAGTTTTATCCGAATTCTAACAGCTACGAGGGAAAAGATTATTACGAAGAATTCTCCAAGGCCGGCTATGAAATTAGCTTGAACAAGACTTCGTTGTTAGAACTTGGTAATAGCAGCAGGGCTCTTGGAATTTTCTGCCAGTCTCATTTTCCCGTCTGGTTAGACCGCAACATCTTCACGGAAAACTTGGAGAGCTTTGAGAACGACCCCCTAGGTTCGGATAATCCTGCTCTTGATCTTCCCGGTCTAAAGGATATGACTTTGAAGGCTATCGATATTCTACACGCCCGCGGTGGCGATAAGGGGTTTTTCCTCATGTCCGAGGGCGCGTCCATCGATAAGCAGATGCACGCTTTAGACTATGACCGTGCTCTTGGCGATCTCCTCGAGCTTGACGACACAGTGCGCGCGGCCATTGACCACCTAAAAGCGATAGGCGAACTAGAGAATACCCTGGTCATCGTCACTGCCGACCATGGCCATGGGTTTGATGTCTTCGGAGGCGTTGATAACAAATACCTTTCCGCGCAGGAGACCGATCGTGACAAACGTCGCGCCGTAGGTGTCTACCAACTGTCCGGGCTGTCACAGTATACTGTCCCGGTTGAGGGGGTTTCGTATGGGACTGGCCCTAACTTCCCTGTCAACTGGGATCCAAGGTACAGTATAGCAGCAGGTCTCGGCGCCAACCCCGACCATCGCGAGAATTACCGCATACACAAGACACCGCGCAAGGTTGTTAGCAACACGCCGGGCTTCGATAACGACGACCTATTCGTCAACGCCAATGACAGCCCTGACGGATTTGTTGTCAACGGCACACTGCCCGTTTCCGAGTCATCGGGCGTTCACTCGCTCACAGATGTAGCCGTTTTCGCTATGGGGCCTTGCCAAACCGATTTCGGTGGCACATATGGTAATATTGATATATTCTATAAGATTGCGAGTTGCTTAGGTCTAGGGCGGCCAGATAACAAACCCCCTACCAGCCCCGGAAGCGGATGCAAGAAACATTAGGGCTGGAGGTCGGGGCGTATAGTGATTACGACGTAACGGATAGGAACGGCGTATGAAGAAGAATATGAAGAAGAAAAGCATTGAAGTCGAATGATAAATCTTCATGTAAATAGTTTAATGATAATGTAAACTCGGGCATCAACTACGCCCAACCAGAGCCCCCGCATCCGTCAGTAAAGCCACCAGCGCCTATGGCAACCTTGTTGTTTTTAAAACAGCGATTGTTCACAAAGATAGGCGTGTGGAAAGTGGCTTTCCACTCCATACCGTCGCTATCCGGCTTGTCGAAATATTCGAACTTCCAAGACGTGATACCCAGTCCTAAACACCCCTTCATCTTGGGGATAATTGTGTCCTGGCCGCTGTCCCAACTGCTCCATCCAGCACCTGTAAAATATTAGCTTTGCTCATGGGTTCTATGTTTGAACCGACTAGGGAACATCGAAACTTACCGTACATGGTGTAATCACTGTATACTACGTGATATCCGCCATCACATTTACCATACGCCTTCGTAATCGGGGGCCAGGGACGGTTATCCCGCTTCACGTTGACAGTGTACCTATATTCGCCGCGCTTCCATGTACCCCCAAACTTCCAGTTCATCGGATTGTTGGGATCATTACCATCACACCCGTTGATGATCCGTTCCATACTCTCGATACATTCGTCGTGGTTATACTCGCTAGCAAGCTCCGACGTCTCGATTACAAACTCATGCTCGTCCGGCGTTCCCTCGTGGAACTTTCGGCTATCCTGCCACCCCGTTACGCCGCCGCCCGGTGCCTTAACACCGTCGCAGTACGTCTTGTAGTTCTCGTTTAGCCGATCTGCAGTGGCGTAGCCCTTGCGACCTTCTTTTTGCCAACACTTGAACTCGTCTGTGACGGTGCAGACTTCTGGGTTGATACCTAGCACCTCAGCTCGCAGATCGATAGCTCTTTGAATGGCAAACGATGCGATAGCGTTGTGTCCGGCTTCGTTTGGGTGGAAGATGCGCCCGAAGTAATCTGGTAGGAACCAGCCAACATTAGGGAGATACGGGTACGGATCTCCGGGGCAGCCGGGTGTGGCCGGGGCTCGTTTGTCAAGGGCTTTAAGTGCTGCCGCCGGGGGGTTCACTGAATTCCACAGGATGGAGCGGTAAACAGCTCTGTCTACGCCATTGCTATCGAGATCTCTCTTCGGTAGAGGAGGCAGAGATGAACGTAGGGCTTCACGTTGTTCGTCGGTGGGTGGAACAGATGTATCCCACTCTCCAACTACCTCGCCGTCAACCGTATTGTCTAAATCCACGTAAACAACTTCCGTTCCATTGGCCGAACGCTTCCTCTTTAGTGGAAATCGCCAGATGGATTTGCTCGTGTCTGGTTTGAAGAATAGCAAGTCTGGCTGCTTAGGGTCCGGATACGCGCCAGTGGACGAGGGATCGCACATTTGGCCTTTGACGCCATCGATGCCCCAGAGGTCCCAAGATGCATAGCCAATTTTGTAACTGACCTCGTCCGCGACGTCGTGAACCACGTCGCGCAATGCGTCGTTCAACGCCGTTGTCAACTTGTTGAAACTCTTACGGCGATCGACCGTCAGGGGTAAGGGGCTTGCGCTACCTTGTAGATAGCGGTACCAATAGAACGGAGCCCAGTCTTGCTTGGTGGCGCAATCCTCATTATCTTCGTTAAAGAAACGTGCGTAGCCATTATACACGACCACTCCGTCTTTAGCCATCTTGCTATCAAGTGCCTTAAGGATCTGCTTTACGTTGTCCTTGACAATGCTGTCGAGGTTTTCCTGCGCCTTATCCAGGATGGCATTGCAAGTGGCATCACCATCAAATGCTAGGATGACGCAGCTCTTGATAATGTCAGAAAGACATAAGTCATTTCCGCCAGCCGTTATTGTAAGAAGGTCGATGTTGTTTTTCAGCGCTGTGGCTTGATTGTATATCTGCCACGTCTGGTCCCCGAAGCAAGCTGGGAACTGAAAATCCTCTATTTCAGACCCGACAAACTCCTTCATCAAGACTGGATACGACTGGTCATACCGCGAACACCACCACGAACCTATGTCGAAGATACTTCCAAGCCTGGAGCCTGAGCCCACGCCGGCTGTATAACTGTCTCCGATAGCCGCAAAGCGTTGTACCCATGTGAAAGCAGTCGGGTCATCAATAGAATCTCGTTGAATCCTTAGATTTTGGGGTATAGTGCCAGATGGATTATATGCACTGGAGACATTCCGGGGAATGACATGAGCTCTGGCCTGGTCCGCAACGGACAGCAGTAGCCCAAAACCACATGCGGAAACCAACCGCATAGTGAAAGATGCAACTTGAAATCTCTCAACAGCGTCGAAAGAGCGACCGGAGAAATATGGTAAAGGATTGTGAAAGCTCAAGAAAACACCCCTCGACGAGGTAGCCTGTCGCGAGAATATTCCTCTACGGCTAAGAACACGGAGAGCTCCGGTAGGTTTAACATCCTCACTTATCACTTATCGGATCCTGTCCAATATGCCAAGCTTAATACTATACTCATCATATCATATCATGAACCGGTCTAACTAAAGATCACGATGCGATAGAATGAATAGGGGGCTAGAATCACTCACGTCTTACAGATGGGAGTCAGCAGAATCTTGGCACTCACGGGAGTAAAGTATCAGTACAATGGATCTCAACGTGATATTTGTAAGACGGCCGCGGTGACCTAATGTGGAATTGGTGGTCTAAATGGAGCTCTCGGATTGGACAACCAGTACCGTGACAACCCGAATACAACTTCAATTATACAATAGATCCAAACCCCCTGATCCCGTGTTATAGGTTATAGTCTGACCACATCGTGACAATTACTCATAGATATCGGTAACAGGGTATGTCACACCGCTATTCGTTGCCTTACGATAATCGTCACATAATTGCAATTTCTCATGGTGTAGTATAATCAATAATTGTGTAATCCGGTAGCATCGGGGGTCGTTGAGCGTTGAGGGGTCCCTCTATGCTCAATCACTTGCTCAGACCCTCGCACTCGTCTTGCTATAGTGGTTCTCCTTTCAAACACATTCGAGCCTTCTACTCATAGCTTGTGATAGGGACCTCCTTGAATATACTCACTGCGAGTGCTTTCGACTTATCCAATTCTAATTCTAAGTATTAGACTCGCGAATAGATTGGTTCCTTCATACCGCGAGTATGGTATCCAGAGGCATGGCCCTCAGGGGAAAGGCGCTATGTGCTGCCATCGTCCTTCTGTTATCCAACCTTTTGCTGCATACAGTCTCTGCCCAGCTGGATACGAATGAAATGGAGGTCCAGTCAAATCAGCTCACAGCCTTTGCACTAGAGGCAGGTCTTCAAGCAGCAGATGAAGATCCAGACTACACGTGCACTGCATCCAACCCGTGCAAACTAGGCTGCTGCGGCTCAGTGTAAGTTATCAAGACGAATTCCATTCCAAGCTTCCATGCTTACAGGATAATAGAGACCCAACAACAGGCAAAGGTACTTGCGGCATGGGTCCGGACTTCTGCGGTGAAGGCTGCATTTCGACTTGTGACCAGAAGTCCGAGTGCGATCCGGGCTGGGGCATGCAGTGGTCTAACGCGAGCGCCTGTCCGCTAAACGTCTGCTGCTCCAAATTTGGGTTCTGCGGCACGACGCAGGACTTTTGCGCGGGCAAGACGGTTGCAAGTCCGCAGTGTCCAGGGGGAACAAGCGCCGACCAGAAGCTCATCGGGTACTACGAGGGCTGGAACCTGGCAAGGCCTTGCGGGAGTAGGTTCTCAATCTTTTCTTGCGCACTTCCTCAGTGTCTACCTGTAATAATGGGACGAGGAAGCTCGATCCTTTAAACATGTCCTGAACCAAAAGCGCAAAGTCTAACCAACACTTTTAGCCATGAAGCCTGAAGAAATCCCTCTGGGTTGGTACACGCATATCAACTTCGCCTTCGCGCTAGTCAATCCTACCACATTCCGGATCGACCCCATGGACGCCAACACAGCATCTCTCTACAAGCGCGTCACTGCTATAAAGGAGAAACAGGCCGACCTGAAGGTCTGGATTGCCATCGGCGGCTGGGCCATGAATGATCCCGGGCCGTACCGCACTACATTTTCCGACCTGGCGGCAAGCGAGGCACACCAAGACGCCTTTTTCGAGTCCCTTCTCACGTTTATGCAGCAGAACGGGTTCGATGGAGTGGATATCGACTGGGAATATCCTGTTGCTGATGATCGCGGTGGTGTGGCGGCGGACTTCGATCATTACCCGAATTTCATGAAAAGATTGAGAGAAAGACTGAATGCATCAGGCAAGGAGTATGGATTATCTATCACTCTGGTAAGACACTGATCCAAGAACTCCCCTGCACTCATAACTTCTGAAGAATTAATCGCATCTCTAGCCCGCATCTTACTGGTATCTCCGTGGCTTTGATCTCAAGGAGCTGGAGCCACATCTTGATTGGTTCAACATCATGACTTACGATATTCGTGAGTATTCTGTCTCTTACCTTTCATTCGGTTCAATGCATTTCTAGCGGCTTTTATATGTAGTTGTGTCCAGCAAGCTAATACCGTATAGACGGTGTCTGGGACCGCACGGTTGATTCCATCGGTCCCTACGCTTACGCTCACACCAACTTGACGGAGATACAACTAGGATTGGAGCTCCTCTGGCGCAACAACATCAACCCAGGCCGCGTCGTCATGGGACTAGGCTTCTACGGTCGCTCATTCACCATGAAAGACCCTAACTGCATGCACTCAGGATGCGAGTTCAGTGACGGTGCCCACGGTGGTGAGTGTACTGGGACGCCTGGTGTACTTTCGGCAGCGGAAATTGTAAAGATCATTGACAATGGCGCGACCATCACGTTTGACGAGGAGGCAGCTGTCAAGATAGTTACTTGGGACACCAACCAGTGGGTCAGTTGGGATGATGCTGAGACGATGAAGATTAAAATGGACTATGCGAATCAACGGTGTTTGGGAGGGTAAGTCCTGTTTTTACTTATTCATTTTCCACTAGCCCAATCCTCACCCCCTCTAACGGGTTTATAGATGTATGGTCTGGGCAATCGACCTAGATGATGGTACGCTGCTGGATGCGCTAGGTAGTGTCTCGTCACGGCCGAAGCAGCGCACCCTGAAGGATCTCCCAGACATCCTGCCTGATTTTGAGTCGCCGTGGCCGGATACAGATGAGTTGTGATTGTATTAGTTGATAAGAGATGATTATACTGCTGTATAAGGTAGATTGAAACTCGAGTTAATATCAAAGAGTCCAATACTTAATCAATCATGGAAATCACTTTATATTCGAGTACAAATGATGATACTTGATTATCATAAATCTACCTCGAACTCACTAAGCAGGTACTCAATAAATTACTCAATAAATCAAGATAAACAACCCGCATCCGGGTCCTTCTTTAAAACGTTCTTAAACGTATTAAAGTACGCACTCCCCTTTTTATTAAGCAGCTGCCCAATGGTCTTTTTAGGTGACCCGTACATCTTGCGCAAGCCTTCGATATCGAGAGAACTGGGCCTGGTTACGGGCTTGATGACATCTCCGTTTGGCTTGGTGAGTAAAATTGCCTGGTCTGTCCCTTCGCCCGCATTACCGTTACCAGCCGTGCTGGGGTAGATCATAATGGAAGTCCAGTCAGGCTGTTTTTTCTTGTCCCATTGCCCACCCGACAGCACGGGTAGGTAATTGAGACCGCCGGCGAAATTCCAATCAGATGCGATATTGCGACTGTGGCATAATTTGACCTTTTCCCTGTCTTTTTCGCTGGCGGGTACAAGGGTGCTCTCATCAATACGGGCAGTAGCAGCGGCGTAGTCAGCCAGCCGCTCACAAAAGAAGCTCCCGTCGCCGAAAAAGTAATCGTCGCGTGGCTCGCCACTCCAGGCCTCAGCCCACCAATCTGGATTCTGGTGTTCGTGGTGGAATCCCCAGGAGTGTCCCATCTCATGCGCGTAATTGGCGACAACGTTTCGGTGGCCCATGGTCAGTACATCGCTAAGCACCATTCGCGGACCGAGCTTCTCGTACGTGTTGGCCGGGTTGTCTGGACTTAGATTGGGGCCCATCCCGGGTGTCGTTGCCATGTTAGATACTCCGGGCCCGGCGTATATTACTAGCAAGAAGTTGGGCCGGTTGTAACGGTCGCTACACCACGTTTTATCGTCCTGTACATCCCACTTGAACCAGCCTTCGTCGTCGTCAAGCCCCTTGTCTCTCCAGAGCCCGCGAGCCTCTTCCAAGGGGCCGCGTAGAATGTCTTCAGTGGATTTAGAGTCGGATCCCCACACAGCCTGCTCGAAGCACACCTTGATATTACCCTGAGGCCAAAGACGTTGCGTTACGCCGTCCTGCTCAATACCAAACCAACGCCTGTGAATTGACTGGGAGCTACCATTGTGATAATGGTATTCGGCATTGGGTAATGGCTCGTGCTTGCTAATACCACGACTCTTAATGGCGTCTGTATTATTGCCATAAACTTGAAAGGAAAGGTCGCGAGCCTGGGTAGCTTCGTGCTGCACAGCACGCGAGTACCTGATGTTGGACTCCCAGGCTCGACTACCTGCATGTACGCCTGGAACCACAAGGGCTACAAGGCCCAGGCCAGATGCTAGGAGGGGAAACATCTCTGCTGCTACTAATGTCGCTCTCGTTGCTTCGATAAAGGAAAGGTGTAATAGCAAAAAAAGATATCGACGACTGAAGGGAGATGAAAGCGGCTGGCTGCCTACGTTCGATATGATGAATAATTTCAATCACCGACTCAAGCCCTCCCTGTTAAGTGGAAACTAGTCTCGTCAAAGGGCCAGAACATGCGATCCTAATTTTGGATGCAACTAAGCAACAAGTACTGGTACCTGCCATGTGTAGGAGGGTGTCAGTCAGAGCCCCGAGAATGATAGCTTGATACCCGAATAGGAAGGTTTGACCGTAAGCTGTCAGCCGCTTGAGCCTCCGATCGTGAGAAGTCCTTTATAGCCTGATTAATAATGATCGGATTACATATACTCCTATCTTTGAAAAGCAAGGTTCTCAATGTCGATAGCGAACCACTAGGATATCTTCATCTCCTGATCTCTGGTGACGGGGTAGCATTTACGCTGACTATTGATTCCTTGGCATGTAAAGGTGAGAATAGAGTCGGATACTGAGTCGCGTGGTGCTATGATCGAGACCGGTCAGCCTGCACTTAATGTAAGACTGCGTGATGCAGAAGTCTTGGCAATATAATATGCAGGGATCTGTCATATCTGTGATACCGAAAAAGAGGGCGACGATGTCGAACGAGTATAGAGTAATGACTGTGACGAGTTTGCCGCCGTCTTTGAAAGCTAGCACTTCAAGCGTGCTGTTGGTTTTGATTCCGACCCCGAGACTGTTCTACAGCTCTTCCACTCATTCAACAGCTCCCCCTTAGCGTTTTGAACCCTTCCCAGTCTCTTGCGATACGTAACACGCAAGTAGGAGAATGTTGTCTCTAAGAAAAATCTGTGCTCTAGGGTTATCATGGCTCGCCCAGAAAGCCTATGCTCAAGACTCATCACCTTCAGGGCCGACGATGCCCAATATCGTCAAGAACTGCAATGCATTTTATACGGTCCTTGAAGGGTCTGGCGACTCGTGCTGGTCCATCACACAAAAGTTCAGCATCACGCTTGACCAATTCTACACCTGGAATCCAGATGTGACGGACGATTGTGGTACCAACTTCTGGCCTGGCTACTCATACTGCGTTGGTATAGATCCCAGTATACCAACGACTTCATCTTCGTCTTCATCTTCATCTTCATCTTCATCTTCCACCATATCGAGCACCAGTAGCAGTAGCGTGACATCTAGCAGCACTACAACGACCAGTGTACCACCCAACACGGAGCCGTATACAACTAACTGGCCCATCACGAATTGGACTATCACCCCGACCACGATAGAAACGAACTTCCCGCCGCAGCGAACCCAACCAGGGCAGCCCCCGGCTTGCAACAACTGGTACTATGTCAACCCAACTGATACATGCGACAGCATCGTATCTACCAACTCGTGGCTGACCCTCGAGAACTTGTGAGTCCCCTTGCATATTCGGGATATTGCCTTTATGTGTTTTCTGAATCCTGACTTTCGAGAAGGCATGCTTGGAACCCAGTCCTCGACAGCGACTGCTCAGGACTATATGCCGGCTGGTGGCTCTGCATTGGTATCCCAACAACCTCGACAGCCGAGTTTGGCTGGACCACGACGGATGCACCACCTGATATACCTACATTCACAGGTAATTATACCTTTACACCACTCCCGGAAGTCAACTCGACCTTCGTAGCCGAGCCCACACAAACGGGGATAGTCGGCGGTTGCCTGGCTTTCTATCAAGCTCAGAGTGGCGATACCTGCCGCAACATCGTAGACGGCCACTATTTGACTGAGGAGGACTTCATGGCGATGAATCCAGCTCTTAATGGCAATTGCGACGGTCTCTGGACGGGATATTACTACTGCGTCGTCGGACCTAGCGGTATCACTGCTATGCCCCCTACCGCTACGTCGCCGCCGGCTACAATTCCATCTGGCCAAACTAGCGATTGTCTTCATTGGTACCAGCGCGATGGAGAATCCTGTGCCGATATCGTCACCATGTTTGGTATCTTCTCCCTATCCGACTTTCGAGCATGGAACCCCAGTCTTGGGGGAGAGTCATGCGAAGGTATCGTTGATGGTGCTTGGTATTGCGTAGGCATTCCAGGAACGCCCACGACGAGGACGAGTCCTATACCGACTACTACGGACCAGCCGCTAACACCCACGCAAAGTGGAATGGTAACCGGATGTACCAAGCTTTGGCTTGTCTCTTCGTCGGTACCCATATCCACCAGTGCCTTATAATAGTGCTAACATGGCTTCAATCATAGTACCGACACCTGCGACTCAATAATTTCGGCGAATGGCATAAGCCCCGATGTCTTCTACCAGTGGAACCCAGCAGTTGGATCAGGAACTTGCGATAACTTGGCACCAGACTTCTACGTCTGCGTCGCGGTAGGCGATTCCGCGTCGTTGCCTCCAAGTACGACAAGTTCGTCGCCAACTACCACTACTACCTCAGCCATCACGACACCAACCCCAGTCCAGGTAAGCAGATGATGGATAAATATTGAATTTTACAGTTAAAGATAACTGCTAACGGAACGATAGGCGGGTATGGTATCCGGCTGTAGGAGATTCTACAAGGCGCAGACGGGTGACGGATGCTGGGCCATTGCTAATTCGGCGGGAATTAGTCTCGAGTAAGTATAATTTAGCGCTTAAGAAGCCTTGGATGTGTGCTAATGAAGTAACCGTAGCGACTTTTACGCTTGGAACCCTGCGCTGGGAACAGACTGCGGGGGTCTTTGGCTGGATACTTGGTATTGTATCGGAATTGAAGGGCCTGTAACAACTATTTCTAGCGGGCCACCAGTGCCAACGTCGTCGTAAATATAGCATTGCTCTTGATAAATAGCGAATAATTCTACTATTTATGTAATTCACTACTACCGTCCATATCTCAAGCTTCAAACCGCTTCAGGGAGTGGCGGCGGGTACATATCCTCGACACCATGGACGATCCAATAACCGTTGATGGACTGATTCACGGTAGTGAGGTCAGTAGGTGCATCAGAAGTTGAAGTTGGGATATTTCTCCATAGAGTCTCGGGGTCTAGGTCTGTTCCGCGACGCCAATCGATATCTCGACCCTTTTCCACGAGCTTGCGCGTAGAGTACAGGGACAAAGGTAAGGCCACGCGGCACTCCTGAAGCTGCGACATTCGTACAATCATAGCGTCAACTTTTCGTAGAACCTCTTCTATCTCTTCATACATTTCATGTCCTCCAATTGCTAGCATAGGTTGCCGCATGCGTAGAACATCTTGAAGAGAGAGGTATAGATAGCGTAGGTTAGGTAAGATTTGTGGCAGACGTGCCAAGAGTGCGAGTCGATCACAGCTTTGTAGCCCATCTTTATCGTCAGCATCCCACCGGAAATATTCACTGGGTGGTAAAGTTAGATTCCATGATAACTCAGCCGCTGTGATAGCCGATAAATGCTGCATCGGCAGAAGCCGCGGAAGACAAATAGCGAGCTCGGCATAGGCGATATGAAATCGATTCGTGGAGTATAACACATCGACGCCTTCGATATATGCCTGTCTACAAACCAACAGCCAGCCTTGAACACCAATGAAGCACTTGGCTGGTGCATGGCCAGGATAGAGGACGCAGAGGCATCGTGGTAGCATAAAAGGGTCGCGACAGCCATCTTTCGCTGGCTCCTCGCCAAATATTTTAACTCCAGGGGGATCCTGATTAAAATTCCAGTTCGGGAAGCGGGAATGGCAGACGCAGCTCCACCACGTCCATTCCTGTGCTTTAGTAGTATCACGTAACGATGGGTGGAACAGGTGCGCGTTTGCGTGTCGCTCAGGACGCGGTTTGACAAGTTCACGATCTTTCTTTGAGTATTTCTTTAACGGGTGCTCCAAGCGTAAATCTAGGTGTAGTATACGTTCGCCGAATGCTTCGATGAGAATGCGACGTCGAATCTCGGATGGTAGAGATTTAAAGAACTTGCTGTTTGCCGTGGCGGTTGGCAATGGTGATATTGCTGCGAGGGGCTGTGGCCGATCATCTGGAAGGGATGGCATCGCTGGTAGCTTTCGCTCTTTAGATCGGCCGTTCAGCGTGAGCCTTTCGAGGTACCCACGGAATCGTTCCATCGAGCTTGATTTGATTCCCCAATAATGTGAAATGAGAGGAAATGGGTGCGACAATCTCAATTACATGCGTTCTTAAATTCTCCAAGTTGATAAGGTCCAACTATTATTATACACGTCTTCTTTTCATTGCTTACGTACTTTTTTACCGTACGATAGTATCAAATAATAGAGTAAAACGATCGGGAATAATTACCTAGTAATTTACTTGCTTTAAGATAAATTCGTTTTTCTAACCATGCTCATATACGTGAAAGACACCTTCTGATTTCAAATGGAAGTCTTTTCTAGGAGTAGAAAAGTAATGTTCATGTCAACCATTAGTGAATCCAAGCACTACAGCAATGAACGGGAGCCGAAATTTACATTCTCTTCAAGCTTCCTTCTGTTTCTCCAAAGGCCCATGTCTATCCGCTAGGTTAATGAGTTCATAGCTTTCAGGTGCTTCGTAATGGATGACATCTTTCCTCTACTTTCTAAATGCACTACATCTTCCTCGGTTACACAATTCAACACTATAACAGGAATTTATTATCTTTCTAAGTGAGATGCCATTTATGATCTCATACCGACGCCGTTCCGTTGATCACCGTTCCCCAGCCGTTATTTGTGGGCCATTGCCGTAATACTGATCCACTCTGTACAGCAACCCATTGAGTTGAAGGATACCTACCTTACCTTACCTTACCTTACCTTACATAGACAATTAAATTCCTAGTCGTGTTATATCAGAGCGATTCTCTAATATATTTACGAGTGGTCATTTTATTGACTTTATACTTGAGTAGTTGTCACTGACAACTTGTTAGTCCTGTTAGCACCATGTCTCCATTAGGACTGTTATACGAGGTCCGCTATCTCATGTCTTATGTTCTCGATAAAATGATAACCCTACCCCTACATATGTTCTGCCACAAAATCCACGGTCAATATGGAAATCATCCCCGAAGTTTGAGAGTTAGAGTCCCTCATAACCTGTTCTTTACTTGCTATGAATCTATGCCGGTGTAGTAGCTTAAGCATACTAACCTCGTATTACACAATGGGTTACTTCTTGAGACTTTATATTTATAAATCAAATATCACGTAGGGTGGAAAAGACTTACAGCGATGAATAAATTCTCAGCTCTACATCGTCCATTTTCAGACCTTCGTTCATGATAAGGGTTAGCCTACTAGTTGGACATAGAAGTTAGGAATTAATGGTATTAGTATGAAACCTCATGAAAAGCCGTAGCAATGCTTATCAAGCATGCATCATTTATATTTAGACAGCATTCAATGAATCTAGAATGAAATATATGGGGCTATTGGATTTCGGCAGTTGTATTTGCTTGTAGTATTTGCTTGTACATATATTACCCGGATTCCCAAATTCTAGATATCGTCGAACACGATAGGCTGATTAATATCATTGCAATTTACCAACATACCGTATATGGGAGACAAGGCCTACATCACTACCTGAACATATAAGCCTAATTATCCTAGCGCTGTATCTTGGACTAATGGGTGGCGGTGAGATCTTATATCGTAGATTGTAGGTTGTAGGTTGTATTTGAAATAAGTCGATCGTGCACGGAAATACTTATTTCAACGGCTGTCTGTTACTTTGAGATCATTGGAGTTGACTACCTAACTCAACTTCTCTATGTGGTAGACATCGGCCGACTCTAAAGATGAAGTGGATTTCACTCTTGCTTCAGGCAGGACTTTCCCGGGCCGCTCTTCGATTCGGATGCTCAACTGTGTCTATCCAACGTTTAGATCCGCTTGTTGAGCCCGGCGCTATTCCTTCAGCTCACGTACATCAGATTGTCGGCGGAAATGCCTTTAACGCAACTATGACAGGAGACATTGGCGAGCAGGGCAGTTGTACGACATGCGCCTACACTGAAGATTTCTCCAACTACTGGACTGCGGTGCTATATTTTAAGCATGAGAATGGCTCCTACAAGCGTGTACCGCAGTACGCAAACGCTCAATTAGGTACCGAGGGTCGTGATGCTCCTGATATTAAGGGTGGCATGACCATCTACTATACTCAGAAGGACTTCGATGGAAATGGAGACCAATACATTACCGCATTCCAGCCCGTGAGTTGTGAACCAAAGACTCTACAATGATACTTATCCGAAGGACTGCTTTAATTAATGTACTCCTAGGGTTTCCGTATGACAGTTGGCAATCCTACCACAAACACCCTCGAGGCTGCAAAGGCCAACAAAGGCCTTCGATACACCTGCCTACAGACAATCTTAACCCGAGGTAGCGAGACTCCAGACTTTCCAAAGCAGCCATGCCCTGCTGGTATAATGGTAATTCACCACTTTCCGAGTTGTTGGGATGGAAAGAACCTTGATAGTCCCGACCACCAGTCTCATATGGTACGTATAAGGCTGATCTGTTCTCAAATGCGAGATTTCTCATCTGGGAATGTCCCCGGGTTCATTTCAATATATTTGGGATTTGCTAATCTTTCGTAGTACAATACCAACCCGGGAGCCTTCCGAGAAGCGGGCCCATGCCCAGCCTCGCACCCCGTGCGTATGCCTCAGGTCGCGTACGAGACCATATGGAATACGACTCAATTTGATGGCATGTGGCCCAAAGACGGATCGCAACCTTTTGTCTGGTCGTATTCGGACAGCCTAGGATACGGAACGCATGCCGACTATGTGTTTGGATGGAAAGGCGATTCTTTGCAGCGTGCTATGAATGATTCCTGCATGTTCCATGCATGCGGTAGCCCCGGAGTGCAGGGAATACTAAAGACACAGACTGTTGAGGAAATGAATAAGTGTGCGGTTCAGAACACGGTTACCGAGGATACCGAGGGTTGGCTCTCTGAGCTTCCGGGACAGAAGATGCCGATGAAGTTCACGGCGTGATTAGGCGAAACTTCACACGAACTGATGTATTAGATATCTATGGGTATGGCTAGAAACTTGGATTTACGTGTATAGAATGCAACCGTTGAATAATCGCTTACCCCTAATAGGGGACTGTGCTTTTTAGGCGACCAGCGCATTTCGATAATTCTTCATTAGACTGTGGCTTATTTTAAGGCATATCTACAGACCACCATGTCGTTTTTCAATGTCTACACAATTGTAAGCCCAGATTTGGCTGTGTGTTGTGCTTTGCCGATATTGGCCGACATGGGGCCTTGTATCGCCGAGTTTGTCGACTAGCCGCGCCGGGAGCCAGGAGTCGTTACCCATTTCGGCTCCGAGAACTATCCAGTAATTGTATTTTGGCCATCTGTCTAGTCTATCAGCATCGCCCCTTTGATCAAGTCCCAACACTATCGACAACCAACATGACTTCCTTGCCCAGTCAACTTCCAATGGATCCAGAAGGGCCAACAGGAAGATTATGCACCTGGGTAGAAAGCTTGAAGTATGAGGATATCCCAACAGAGATTCTAACAAGAGCAAAATATCTCATCTTGGATGGTCTAGCATGCGGCCTCGTAGGCGCTCACTTGCCATCGTCTGAGAAAGCCGCTGCAGCAATCCTAGACCTAGAAACGATAAGCGGTAGCGCATGTGTTTTTGGCTGGGAGCGTAAAGTCAGCCCGCTCTCTGCTGCCTTGCTTAACGGCACATTTATACAGGGCTTCGAATTGGACGATTGGCACCGCGATGCTCCTATCCATTCTAACTCTGTATTGCTGCCTGCCTTACTAGCGGCAGCTGAGCACTACAGCCGTAGTGCGGGGGATAACACAGAATTACGTTACTCTGGCAAAGACCTGCTGCTTGCCTATGTTATAGGCTGCGAGATAGGCCCGCGAGTCGGGCTAGGCCTCTGGGGGACGCACGTTCTTTCTAAGGGCTGGCATTCGGGCGCAATCTTTGGCCCGTCAGCGGTCGCCGCTGCAGTAGCAAAACTTTTTGGTCTCTCGGCAGCTGCCATAGAAGATGCCCTAGGTATCGCATGCACGCAGGCCGGTGGGTTGATGTCTGCCCAATTTGAAAGCGAGGTTAAGCGAATGCAGCATGCCTTTGCCTCAAGAAACGGACTTTTGGCGGCAGTGCTTGCTAAGGGTGGATATATCGGGATCAAGAAGGTCTATGAGCGAGAATACGGTGGCTTCTTAGCCATGTTCAGCTCCGGCAATGGAATGGAACCGCAGTTTAAGCCTGAAGAGGTGGCGAAGGATTTGGGGGTGAAATGGGAGATCGAGGGAATCATGGTGAAGCCATACGCGTCGATGGCTGGGACGCATTGCACGGTCGACTGTATGGCCGCGCTCCGCAGGTTGTACCCTGCACGGACACGAGACTTCTCTAACTTTGAGAGCATTCGTATTGAGATGAGCGAGCCCGCATATCACCACGGCGGCTGGAAAGCTGTGCGGCCGCTAACCTCGACGGGCGCACAGATGAGCAATGCGTATATCGGCGCCGTATACTTAGTAGACGAGCAAGTTACACCGGCACAGTTCCGGAACGATAAGCTAGACCGAGACGAGGTCTGGAGGCTGGTCGATATCACTACCTGCGAGCATAATTTAGAATACTCCAAGTCTTCACGGGACAAAGGCAAAACCAAGGTCACCATCACTTTTAGGGACGGATCGGCGCCGTTAAGTTATGAGCAAGGTGCCCCGCGAGGTGTCCAGCCGCCGCTCAGCAATGATGAGGTGCTAGAGAAATGGCGCGTCGTGACTAAAGGTATCGTTGACGAGGAAAGAAGGTCTAGAATTGAGCGGGTCATACTCACGCTGGACGAATGTGATGACATCGCCACTATCAGTCAGCTCATGGTAGGCCTTACAGCTAACCCTCTAGCGTAGGAGCTATATAATGTAGGCGAAAGCTATATAGGTCTGTAATGTTTGCAATTCGGATTGTCTGCAGTAAAATAAATAAGCAATTTTAGATTCGTCTTTATCGGCACCGCTCTGGTCATTCTAGTTTTGGTCTAAAAACTCGAAGTTGACAGCCCAGTCAAAGTCGGGGAAGGGTTCATCTAATGGCGTGATGTCCGTGTTACCGTCAAGGGGGAAAGCTATAGCTTGTGTTGTTATGGACGCTTCAGGTCCTCGAGACACGTTAGAACCCGCTGCGGTATCTATCTGCGCTGTTACCAGTCAGTATGAAATGATCCACACGTGTCCGTATTGCTATAGTTCAATACATACTAGGCGAAATCTGGTTCTGCTCCGGATAAGGGCTTGTCTGTCCATTAAATTCAACCCGCCACCACCAGAAGCTGTCAAAGACAATACTCATGGATAGCCGACTCCGGATACGAGTATTTAGGCTGTCGACGCGCCCGTCCGGTTGCCGGTACATATTCTTGCTCGTCCACATCTGTCCGAGGATAGTGACGCCTCGGGCGCCGAGGTCATTGCTCTGAAAAGATGCCCTCTGGCACAGGTAGATGGCCGAAAAGTAAGCTTTTTCGCCCGAGGCAGAGTTAACATGACGCACGAGTTCGCTTTTTTGGATTTTAAGAATAGACATGGCAGCGAGGAGTGTTGTCTTGTAGACGAACTCCGGGCACGCCCTGGAAAATCCGGTGGACTCATCTTGGAAAGTCAAAGACTCAAATAGTCTGCAGGACATGGTATAAAGGTTGATTAAACCTTCATGATTTAGACCAGGGTAATCCAGGAAATGATATGCCAGAAGATGGATGCGATAGCAGTAAAGGTATATCGTATCTAGTGGCATTAGTGTGAGTTTGTAACGAGTTTGTAACGAAGTGAATTAGCTCGAGCCATATACCTACTTATGGTAGACCTGATATCCGCTGCTATTTGTTGAAATTGTGCGTCATAGAGGCTGATAAAGGGGCTCAGTTCCGACTGGGAGTTGGATCCAACTAATGGGATTAGTCTCACTAAAGAGCCAGTCGCCGCCATCAAGATGTTGTGCATCTGTCGTTGTGTCCTGAAATCATCTGGAAGCTGCATAGCGAGATCTACGTCTGAGAGCCTCACTTGGGGAGAGTTTAGAAGAATCAGTGGTAGGATTCCCTGACACAAACTCGTGCTATTATACGTAAGCATGCTGACCCCTTCAATGGATGATGTGTGCTTCGCTCACCTGTGGTATGTAATAAGACATCTAGTCCACAGTTGGGCTCTAAAGGCCCTGGAAGAATGATCGGCATTCGAGGGCAAGACAGTACGAGCGAAGTCTTGACCAGTACCTACAACATGAAGACCAATCTGCATAGCTAGATGCAGAGCAGCGCCGCTCAGCATTTGGGTCATGTCCTTGTACATGGAGCTTGTAGGTACGGGCCAATGGCATAAGAGAATGATGCCTTGAATGGTCTCCATGGGGCTGTTTGTATCCTCCAACGCGAGGAGGGCCATTTTGTTCATGCGTGGTGCTAGGAAATCCATGATAGCCGGGTCATCGGTATATCGCCTGCTGCCGATGAAAACGACAGTCCAGAATAGAAAGTTAGATTTGCTGTAATAATCATCTGGATTGCAACCTCGTTGGTCTAACATTGGTAAGATGGGGTTATAGTTCTTGAAAAACCTGCCAGCTTGGTTAAAACTACAGGAACCATATAAACGACAGTCGGCAATTTCCCTACAGCCTGAAGCAATCGTTAATCTTTACGCTGCTCAATTCCCATATGTCAAGAACTCGGGGTAAACATGGACTGTCTAGGGAAGAAACGATTATCAGTTCATTGGGTAAACCTGGCGAGGATCCTGTAAAGGTTGGTGCATCGCCGTTTGCCTGATCCTGGCTTGGTATATACGCGGCTGTCGAGGTACGATCCTCTACCGGTTGAGAGGTAGGCTGGTTGGCAAGACCTTTCAATGCTTCTAGCTCACGTCGTAATTGCGCCTTAGTCTGCCGGGAACATGCATCCGAGGTGAGAACACAGGGGAGTCCCAGACGCCGACACCTGGAACATATTTCGGGTGGCTCTGAAGAACATTTTATCTGGTTGTCAAAGTTAACGTTGGCTATTTAATAAGTGGTTGGGCTGAGCACGACCTTATGAGTTCGGCATTCTTTGCATGCTTTCTTTCGACGTTGAGACTGCATGATACCGTCCTATCTTACGCCCACTTGGACTATGTACGGATTCCCTGATTCTTATGTTGTGGTGATTTATTGATTCATGTCATCCATGGCCCGAGCTTCCCGAGTTAACCAGAGGATAGAGATTTCAGTTATGGTGTTCGGTAAAACCGTGTTATACATATGAGTTATAAAGAAGCCAGTATATGACATATATTTTATACATCTCAAGTATTTCTCGTAGTTATCCTGACAGAAATAGAATACGCGTAGCAGTATGTGCTAACCTAACCGACAGTAATCGAGTTACCCCACACTCCAAATTCAGGGGTCTTATTTCGGCTTTCCCGTCTCGGCTCCGACGGTTTTTGTGGCCAAGTTCATCAGAACATAGATCTACCATTGTAACCCGCCGCTTACTTCCTTGTGCCTTTGACTAGATCTCGCGGTACCAGTGACACCGGAGCATAGTGCTTCGAATAGCTGCTTACCAAACTTCTGGAAAGCTGGCGTAATTCCGCCCAAGTTCATGAGCTGTTTCTCCATAGGGCTCAGCTGGAATGGGAATTCTTTACCGTTAACATACACCACATTGGTGTCTAGGTCGACGCCTATCTCAGCACCGTCTTGTGCAAGATTATAGAAGGTATCATCGCTGATGGTGATACCGAGAAGGCCCAGACTGGGCTGGTTACGGCTGTAGATAAACGCGAAGGATCGTGCTATCACACATTTCACCCCACATCCTGGAATTTTACTTAGCAAAGTCCGGACTCATTCTTAAAGGGTGTGAAAGAACAAGACCCTAGATACCTAGCAATGCCGAGACTGCCTGTTGACGCGACGAGCCACAGCCGAATGCCTTACCAGCGACTACGATATCGTAACCCTCTTTGACCCTCCGACGGAAGTCTGGATGTGTAAACTCGAGACAGTGCGCGCCGAGCGCTTCGTCGGTTTTGGATTCAACTAAGAATTGAGCCGGTGCCAACTATAATTCGCGTCAGTAAAATAAACGCGTTCGAGCACCAGGAACCGAGGACTCGTTATCATAAGGAATATACGCACAGCATCTGTGTCGACAAAGTCGCCTAGTTTCTGGATTTTTCCCTTTATTTTATTTCCATGCAATTCAAACGTAGTCTCTGTCATATTGTTGCTCATTTGGACGTTGTCGTTAAAGACTACGTCGTTCGGTTGCGAATCACGCGTATGATCGACAGAAGCTGGCTCGACATAACCCGGCGGAGTCATTGATATTGTCTGTAACGAACCCCGTCCCTTAAGCGCATCGAATCTTGCTGGGTCTATGGCATCTAATAGAGCCTGAGGGTCCGTGATGACCATTTCGAATGATGATGCTGCTACTGTTGCAGCAGATGCCAGGTTTCCGATAGAATCTATCTTCGTTATCAAAGCGTTCGCAGTAATAGGACGAGAGTAAAACTCACCCTTACCCATTCTATTCTCGAAATTGCGGTTTTGAGAGGATAGCCATACTTCCCCAGGACCTGCTTGATCTGCAGACATGCCGACACAATAACTACATCCGGGAACACCCACCTTGAAGCCCGCCTCTCTGTAAATGTCTGCCAGGCCACTCTTTTCAAGTCTGTCTATGATTGGCCTCGAACCTGGGACGACCTTTCTCTTGCCATTTGGTACAGGTATTTTACCTGCCCTCAGACCCTGTTCTAAGATTAGTGCGCCCATGATGATATCCTCCTCGGCCGTCGTGCATGCGCCGATAAAGCAGCCATCAAGCCTCTGGCCTTGTACTTCCGACACGGGGACAACATCATCGGGACGGGGATACTTCGCGACGAAAGATTGCACTTTCGATAAGTCGATGGTAGCTGTCTCGGCATAGCTGGCGCCATCATCGGGTCGCATGAAGTAGGACGAATTTCTGTGTCGTGCGATCTTCCTTGAGTCAATGAACAACTTGGTAACATCATCGGGTACGAAGATGCCGCTGATTCCCCCAAATTCCTACACAAGGTTAGCAATACGTAAGGTGAAGCTGAATTAGGCCTGCCCCCTTACGGTAGTCATATTCGCAATAGCAAATCGAGCATCCGGTGATAAGTAGCTCAGGCCTGGTCCAGTGTACTCCACTACTCTGTCCGCGGCCACGGTGTTCCTCTTGAGCTGCTGCAAAACGTAGAGTATCACATCCTTTCCGCTGATCCCCTTTGGCGGCTGTCCTACAAACTGGATTTGAACAACTTCTGGTACCTTGAACCAAATTTCACCGATAACAAGAGCCATTGTCACATCTGCCGCGCCTAATCCTACAGCCAGACTCCCTACTGCGCCGGCAGAACAAGTATGAGAGTCGGACCCTATGACGAGCATTCCAGGCTGTGCACGCTCCCTAAAAAATTCGGTGTGCATGATTGTATACTAGTAATATGTTAGCAGAATTCATCGTAGGGTCTATCCTGCCTTGAATCGAGTGCCTACATTCATTCCTTGGTACTCTGTCATCTTGAAGACCTTTCTAGCCCTTTCGGATGCTTCGATGAGAGGCTTGATTTTGGGATGAGAGTTGACCCTAGGGTCAACGACATGGTCACCGGCAAGCCAAAACCGATCATTCCGGAATATGCCCGGGGATCCTAGCTGATTGTAGGTCGCTTCCATACTCTAGTATCTTGTTATTAGGTTCTATGGTCTAAAGAGGAACCTCGCTCGAGTTAACTTACGCCCCATGACGCTTCTGATGCCATGATCCAATCAACTGCAACACGGATAGTATCTCCTACTCTTACATACCCCTTCGAGTCTACATCATGCATAGCAAAGATCTTTTCGGTTAAGTTCATCGGAGGTCGGTCTGCTGGTCTAAAACTCATAACTCTGCTACTGACTCCTCTCTCTCGATCGGCAGAGTTCAGCGCCTCGAGCCCTACTTCCTTTCAGTCCAGTTACAAGCAATGTGCTTGAGATTATATTTCACTTACAAGCTGTGATTAATAGCAAAAGTTCAGATGCTACATCTCCGGCTATCGGCGTGCTGGGGGTAAGACCTAAACCGCCATAGTTCGGCGACGTCAGACAAATGCTTGCCACGTGCTGTAAGATGTCGCCTTCCCGCTGGTATCCAGCACTCCACACTTTGAGTGCCAAAGTCTCCAAGTCTCGTATAAACTCTACTGAAGCTACACGATACGTCTTATTAGATTATATTCCGCCGAAGGAAATAAATGTATAGCCCTAATGGGACGTACCTCGAGACCCATCGTCTCTCCTTATGTGGACATTTCGCGACGTGCGGAGCAAGTCGTTAATCTGGCTAGTAACTGCCATGCTAAAGAGCATCTGATCTAGGATAGGCGTTACTTCGTTATATACAACTAGCAAGAACGAGATTTAAATACGATTGTCCTCCTCAAGGTGAACTTCGGGGCTGCTAGAGATATAATGTTTAAGATAGTAACGGTATGGAACTACCTTTCTAGTACGCTAGGTCGTGCTAATAACATCTACATAAACAGGGAGCCGTTTTGGATACGAACAGGTCGGATATTAACCAATAATCCAGCCCAGGAAGACAGGCTTACCAGCCGATCGGTTACGAATACAAGCGAGTCTATATGGTGCATGCATCAGCGTAATGGATAATCGTATCAGGGTAATCGTAGTTAAGCGGGTTCATTTGGCAACATCTAGGATCGGCTTCGCGTCTAATATGGCCGTTTAGTGTGTTGGGTTTGGACGTCATGTAAGTGGCCGGCGATATCACCGAACCCATCTCGGTAAAAATCGGCAAGACATCGGTCAACTCGGCAAACTGCGTAACCAGCTGTCCGTTGACATCGTAAACGGATATGAGCTAGGCAGATCTGTACATCGTATCTGAAATGTCATCTAGTTTACTCTTGGCTTTTTGTCCAGACCGGAGCCAGAGCGGCTGTGGCTTAGTTGATAAAGGGGTATGAGGTTTCTACAGTAGTAAAGGCTAAAATATACTAACACAAGCTACAATCGCAATGGCCAATACCTTACAAACCCCCGTATCAAGGCTACGCGCTGCTCTTTCAACACCTGGGCATATTGTCGTCAGTCCGGGGGTATATGATGGCCTTACTGCAAGAATAGCCTTAGGGGTTGGTTTTGACTGTTTATATATGGTGAGACTGCAAAGCGCTTGAGACAGGTTTTCAAGATACTAATAACGTGAATAGACAGGAGCTGGAACGACAATGTCTCGACTTGGGATGCCAGATTTGGGCATAGCTACTTTGAACGATATGAGGGATAATGCAGCCATGATAGCCTCATTAGATCCATCCGTTCCACTAGTAGCGGATTCCGACACAGGCTTTGGAGGTATATTAGCCTTAAACTTCTATGAGTTTCCAGTACGACTAACGTAATAGGTACATAGGTCCCCTGATGGTCGGAAGAACAGTTTCGCAGTATATAAGAGCCGGGGTCGCCGCTCTCCATCTTGAGGATCAAGTGCAGTCGAAGCGATGTGGACATCTGATGAACAAGGAACTTGTCTCGGAAACCGAGTTCATCTCTCGGATTCGAGCGGCGGTCCTAGCACGTGAACAGGAAAAGGAGGACATTGTCATCATCGCTAGAACAGACGCATTAGACTCGTTAGGCTATGAAGCTGCTAGAGACCGGCTAAGGAAGGCCGTCGAGACGGGAGCAGATTTAGTTTTCCTCGAGGGCATCAAGACCGAAGATCAAGGCAGACAAATCTGCGAGGATATGGCCCCTACGCCGTGTCTTTTCAACTGCGTACCTGGTGGTGTTTCTCCCGTCTTGTCCGTGCAAGAAGCAAAGGATTTAGGCTATCGAATGATAATACTTCCCGCCTTTGCCTTAGGACCTGTCTACGAGGCGGTAACGGAAGCAGCTAAAGCCTTGAAGGATACTGGTATCTCTGTCGAATATAAGACCAGAGCCAGTCCCAGAGATGTCTTTATTGCGTGTGGGTTGAAAGAGTGTATCGCTTTTGATGCTGCGGCGGGTGGCAAGTCGTTCTCTAAGGGAATTTAACATATCTTTCAAAACACTACAGCTGTGCATCGGACCTTTAAAAGTAGGGTAGTTATCATGAGACTTTATCATTAATTATCGATAAATTTCCCACTCCTGTTTCGCTTTTCTATGATAGGTACAAGTTTAGTATTACGCTCGCTCTAGGGCTTTTGGTCTTCCTGTGAAGATGAATGCCCCTCGACCTGATCTTAGACTTACCACAAACCTACATCCATCTAGAAAAACCTAAGAAATTGTATGGGGTTCTAGGTTTTCTTTGTCCGTTATGTTCCGCCAGGCCAGGGTTTTCGAAGAAACCTTTAGGCAAGCCGTTGTATGGATCCATCTCTATAGAACCATCATTGCCCTTCCTCTTCCACCACGCAAGTACTTTGTATTCGTTTAGTATATACCACAAAGCGAAGATGAGAAGTGTCGTGGGCAGTGTGAACGCCCAATATACCCAGAAGTTATTCGTGATTACTTGTGGTTGATCCCACGCAAGTGTAGGAAGATCAAAGAGCGCGGCGAAGAACGTCGCAGGAAGGAATGCCATTGTCATGATCGCAATCACTTTCATGTCGGAGCTATCCTTCCTGGTCGCTTCCGCGAGCTCCTTGCTGGCCTCTGCTAGACGGTGGCCCGTCACGGCATCTTCGCGGCGGATAAGAGCTGCGATCTGGAAATAGGTGAATAAATACGCTGAGAAGGTTCAGATAGTTCATACCACATTAGACTGCGCCTTGGCTCGTTCGTCCATGACACGACCGGATTGTTTAATCGTTTTTATACGCAGCTTCAGCAACCCTACAGCCGAGTTGAAAGACGCAGTGCAGTATTCGAAGTTCGCCAACGACTCGGTATCATCTCTGCCATACCATTCTTTCCACGTTTTCTTGTCCTGTAGGGACTCGATCATGGTGTGTGTGACTTCCACGCTCTTGAACAGGTTAGCAAATATGCCGATGATCCTTGCAATGTTTCTCGAAGCAACCATGAGGGTTTCCAAGCTAAAGTCCAGGGTCTGGGTTTCGTCCTCCACCCATAACCCATGGCCAGTATTCTTCTCGATGTAGCCGATAGTATACCCCTCATCAACGATGAGCTTGTCAAAGTAGAACACGAAATCAGTGAGGCATAGACAGGCGAGAGAGAGCGGATGGTATAAATGCGCGGCCCGAAGCCCTGGCAAGTGAAAATCTCCATCTTTGTTTTTCAGACTAGATCGCTTCTTATAGTCACTCCGAGCGACGAGCATAGCACGCGTCTCTAGCGTAGTCGGATCGAAGGTCCATGCAAGCATATAAAGGTAGTCCTTAATCATGAAGTTGTATCGTCTATCACTGGCCACATGGTACCAGCCCGACCTCGAAGACATGAGATAAGCTAATAGCGCATCGTCCAGCCGCAGGTAGCTGCAAAGTTGGTCACGCAAGGTTTTATCTTTGGTGACAGGTTTCCACTTCGTATCTGGGAAGAATATTATATTCAAACTTGGTTTTGGTGGGATGGATTGGGGGAATAGCTGGTCGTTGCGAATTTTATCAAATAGGATCGCTTGGCTAATTCTCTCAAGAGGATCGAACTCTAGATTCGCATCAGGCTCCGGTTGAGACGGTGGGTAGGCTCGTAAAACGCATATTTCGGATGGCGAGATATCCTCGATGCGGCCGTCCACAGACAAGCGTGAAATCTCTCGTAGAATTTCCATTGGTCTAAATATAATGTTTATATCACTGGCAACTCTTCGGATATCTAGATGCCCCCGACAAAATAATGGGGAAATGCCAAGTAATTCTAGCTAGGTATCTAGTTATTTCTATACCAAAACACTCATAATGAAGTTTCCAAGAAAAATAATAGGAAAATGGTAACTTAAAGAGCAATTCGTGCAGAGCCTCATAAAAATGAAAGAATTCTATTGATACAGCGCATCGATACCGCGTCGAGACCCATCCTGCAGCTGGGGGCCATTTCGAAGGGCAATACAGGGCACACTACAGACGCTGCCTCGGTAAGATAGAGGGTATAGTCCAATCAAATTGAGGGGCGCTGAAATAACCCCTGACGATTCGAGCGAAGAAATGGGGCAGTGCATACGCCGACTCTACATATTGCTTTTCCCTTGGTGTTATGTGATAGATGACTAACGTTTCTCATGGGTCGCGCGTAGCTCAATATCCATTCCGGATGATCAAGAAGCTGAACTTTCTGTAGCAACTTTTTCTGCCTTTTCTGCCTTGTCTGCCTTGACGAATAACGCCACAATTGTCCCCTCGTTCACCATGAATTTAGGATACCCGATTACCGCCAGGAGCGCCGTAATGGTATAGGAATGAGTTGTTAGCGAGATAATAGGAGAAGTATCATGCGCGAAAATGTCGTCGAGAAGTTGCTGTATCCTTTTTACATGCTGCTCGAGCGACTCCGATTTATCAGCCTTCCAACTTGTGTCTAGCTCTGAAAAGCCCTCTTCAATAATGTAACTGGGGTAATTTTGCTTTATCCACGATCGGGAACTTCGTCTATCGCATGTATGGTCTGTGATTCGCTCTCTGAGGTTTTCCTTTATGACAGGCCTAAGAGGCTTCCCGTGCATGTTCATGACGGGTGCATAGACAAGCTTCGTTGTGTCAAGACATCGCGCAAGGGGGCTAGTATAAATAGTTCCGGGTAAAGGCAGAACATCTCTCTGATCTTCGTCTAGCCATAACTTGGAGAGGTTTTTTGCTTCTGTGATTCCCTCATCCACAAGTTGGGCATCAGCCCATGTTACCTTGTCGTCTCCATCCTTGTGAGACCAGTGATTCTGATAGAATTAGCCTTTTTCATAAGTGAATACCTGAGAATATAAATGATAATAAGAGATATATTGCCATACTTTCCAGTTTAATGGGATTCCATCTACTAGTTCGATCTGCCCAGTCTCTTCAGATATCTTAAGTTCGTCCATTTTCACATTGTGAATTCCTCGTCCATGTCTTATTACATACATCAGTTTGTACGATATACCGTCATCTATATGCTGGTGGTTAAGATATTGGATGTACTTCTCAAATCGAACCCACTGAGGAGCCCCTTTATTGAATTGCAAGTCTGCACCCAAACTATCATAATCTCGTGATAAGATTCCCAGAGCAGGCTGGGTTGAGATTTTGCCATCGGGCAATGCGTTTGCAATCTGGGCGTAATCCTCGAAGAAGCCGGGGACAAACGAGAACTTATGAGTCCCGCCGATTACAGAGTCACCCATACTATCTTTTTCTTGTGGTGCTGACTTGGATATATAGTTTTGTTCGTGTGAAGCCTCATCATTCGGGATCCCTTTTCCTAAAGCCTTTTCCCCGTGCGGATGTGTAAATCTCCGGATGAGGCGTTTCATTTAGCGATGCTATGGGATGGATTGAAAGTGAAATAAGATATGAACTAGACTAAGCACAGTAGATAAGTTGTATTGGGAGAGGTATCATTATCTACGCTACCTAGAGTAGATACACTCATCAAAGGGATCTCATTGCGGGGCACTTCACAAGGTGGCTGAGCCTAATGTGGTATAACTGTAGTACAGCTTTCGCTGTTTTAACCAATGATAATACACAATACAATCCACCAGTAGGAAGACTTGATGTGGCGGTGCATAAGGCCACCATTCATAGAATAGGAAGGTTTTCTCGGTAGTGATTTGACTTCAGCTTTCGAGAGTCAGGAGCAAAAGTAGAAAAATGAGCTTGCTATTCTATGAAGTAGGCAAACGATCTCTTGAATAATACGGGCATTCCTATCCCTGTTAACAGAAGGTCCTCTTAAATCCGCTTCAATCAGATCTATAGCCGGATGAAAGAATTTTAATGTCAAACATCCAAATGCTCAGATAAACAAAATTTTCGATTCACAAGTTTCTACCTTTTCTGACTTGACTTTTCTCATCCCGGACAGTTATAAAGTCCCTCGATGGTTGGTTTACATGGGCCTATTCTCTATAGTCATATAAATCAACACTGGTTACTAAGTTAAAAATGCTCTTAACTGTCGTTCGATGTCTCGCAATTTTCTGCTTGGGCTCTGTTCTTTATAATCTTTAGCTTTGGGAAAATAGTTTGTGGCTTAGGCAAATTTTGATTGTTTTCCATTCCCGTATATGGATTAAAGTCGGCCAGGGTTTAGGAATTCCGGCAAGGTTGAACTCAGAGATGAACCTAAGAGCGTTATACGCCTTATTTGCTAGTTCTTTAGCAACCTTTGAGAGTTGCCTGGCAGCACCTTACGTTTGGAATTGTGTACTAAGACATATGATATGTTCAAACAACACTCTAGGACCTGGACGTTAGGTAGTTTACTATATCCTGTCTTTCCAGTTTGAAGATCACGTTGCCCCTTCTCACACACTCCGAGGCACTTTTCCAGGAATCTTCGGCTAGACTACGACACGATAAAAATTTACCTATGTCTAGGTACATTCAACCATACGTGTAATGGTAATGCCCTCGTAGGAAAGGCCCTAGTTCAATTTCCTTCATACCCTACGTTATCGTTTGATGCCTAACCGTCTTGCATAGCTCTATGTCAAATTTCGCCGTGAATATCCGAAATACGATGCTCATCATTTAGGAGATATGTGGAAGATTCCATGACGAAGAGAAAACTTTGAACGCCGCGTGTTCTTTCGCGGAGCCGCCGAAGTAATCTAAGTCTTCCGTACAACCCCTGACTTCCTATCCTCCATTCTGTATTTGTTTGAGGAAATTTACCTATATCACCTCCTATAAGGGCTGCAGTCAGAGTTTGCGCCAATATAAACCATCTAATTGGCTAGCATGTCATTTAAGTCTCACTTAGACCAACACCGGCAAGAGTAAGAACCAATAACAGATCGTGTCTATATTGAAGTTGGCCCGAATATGTTCCTCCACCCTGCGTCGAAGATTCATTCCTGTGACTACCTACCTAGGTACTTACCACTTCCCCCGGGCTGTACAGTGACGTAGGATGGTATGGCTTCTGTCTCTTCTTTTATGATATCCAGTGGTTCAAATTACTTGCATATTGTCCCGCAATGTTGGTTGAGCATTGTTGATTTGGAATAGCAAGTGTTTTAGTGATAGGTTAGAGATACATAAGCCATCGGTAATCCCATCCCCGGTAAAAAGGGGCCGCTAGATTATTTTCTTTGCCCAAAATCCTGGAGATGTCTCAGTCTTTTTACCCGGTGCCGGCCTATCAGAAATGCGTTGCATATTAGCCCGAGAACATTAGCCTCTAAGCTTTCACAGCGTATAGGAACGATAGCATACGATGACTTTTCTGGAAACTCGATAAGTTGGGTACCACCCATGTTAATATTAATAGAACATTGATGCTTCGGCAGTTAATAAGCAAGTCATTCGTTTCCGCCATGTGTCTAAATCTATATATATCCAAACGTGCCCAACTAAGGGCTCTATCTAGTTCACACTCTGATCATCAGCCAACACAATCCGTAGTATCAAAGTTCTCTTACAATGTTTTGGACTACTCTCCTCGGCTTCGCCGCCTTCGCCGAAGCGGCCCCCCAGTTCGGCGGTGGTTTCGGTGGCACTACTATGCTACGATTCGGATGCCCGAACGTCGTTATCGACAGGTTGGACCCTCTCGTCAACCCTGGTGCAATACCCTCCTCGCACGTTCACCAAATTGTGGGAGGAAACGGCTTCAACGCTTCGATGACGACTGGCGATGTCTCCACGACTGCCGACTGCACCACTTGCCAGTTCAGTAAGTTTCTTACCGAGGGGAAATATATACAACACTTACTTACGTTCATTTAGGCGAGGACTTCAGTAACTACTGGACAGCCAACCTCTACTTCAAGGCTCGCAATGGCACGTATAAGCGAGTTCCCCAACTTGGTCATGCGTACGTACCCCTATGAGTTCGTTGATTTCTTGTCTGTCAGCCGCTCATGCTTCATTAGTCTGCAATTCAACGACCAGTTCAGCACACAGACACAAGGTGGTATTCTTGTGTACTACGTCTCGGCTCAGCCCGGTCAGATCACCGCCTTTAAGCCTGTTAGTATCACCTAGTCGCGAGTAACTTCTTGTAGCAATTGTTGTTAATTTCAATAGGGTTTCCGTATGCTCTCTGGTGACGCCATGGCGCGCTCTAGGCCCGACACCAAGTTGAAGAGGCAAAACTGCTTCCGTTGCTACACGGGACCTAACTACGGAGGTGACACTGGTGCTCCCTGCATGGACGACAAGTGAGTATTGTTATTCTCGCCTTTTAGTAATTGTTCTAGCTGATCATAATTACAGCGTCGACTCTGAGGCTCTCCCCAAAAAGGTGTGCGCAGGTGGTATCCGATCCAACATTCTTTTCCCCACGTAAGTTCCTTCGTATTCCTTGCATTTATTTAACTCGGGGGAAGACTAATAGTATTCGTAGTTGCTGGGATGGCAAGAACCTGGACAGCCCTAACCACCAGGACCACGTTGCCTACCCCACGTCCGGCCCGGCCAACTTCCTGAGCTTGGGAGGATCCTGCCCGTCAACTCACCCTATCCGGATTCCGCAGCTCATGTACGGTAAGTTATGCTCCTCCGTCCTAGTTTATGATTGCTTTAATAACTCTTTTACTACCAGAGGTTGTCTGGGACACCACTAAGTTCAACGATAAGAACGAGTGGCCCACCGACGGATCTCAGCCATTCTACCTCAGCACAGGCGACAACACCGGATACGGACAGCACGCTGACTACGTCTTCGGATGGAAGGGCAACGCTCTCCAGAAGGCTATGGACACCTCTGGCTGCATGGGTGCCCGCTGCGCAGACCTCAAGACCCAGGCCATCGACGCGGCAAGGCAGTGCAGCGTGAAGAAGGTTGTGTCTGAGGACGAAGACGGATGTAAGTTTTACCACCATCGAAGTTTATAGTTCGTTCCTCTGACTAGCAAATAGGGCTTACTGAGCTGCCTGGAATCAACATGCCCATGGTGTAAAGCGCCATCGATCCCGTACTTAACTCAGCATAGCATGTTAGAAGCATCAAGAGCGGTAAATTGGCTACGAAGTTTGGAACAGAATAGAGCGATAGTAATACAGATTGTTCAACTAACTTTATCGTATTCTTTTCCAATTTATGAGGATACCCAATTCAACCATCTGATGTATACTAAGCTCCATTTAGAATTGGGTTGTAAAATCCATCTACGTGATACCTGGCATGTTGAATATATTCATAGCTGGTCCGGAATAAAGGGGAATTCTGTTATGATATTAAGCTTACGTGAAGTTCTAGATTTGACTCTCGTCGTGCTGTATCTGTTGCTAGCTTAGCTCTATCTCAGCTATAGCGTATACAAATGCTCATAAGTTGTGGTGCAACTTTCTTCATTCCCTTCCCTTCAATTGAACTCTAAGGTCTATCCATATTGCTGGCAATGTCCTTCCACGAACAGACTTATGTAACAGACCTATGTTATGCCGAGAGTTGCGGTTTGATAGAGTAACCATGTCCCCTGTGATAACAAACACGGAAGCGCCCATAACCTTTATCTTCTCAACGTTGGGTATCTTAATGTCGTCGAAACGACGTTTATATATGGTGGTACATCTGCTCGCCGGTAGCCTAGATGTCCTTCTACATTTTGGGTATTAATAGTATATCGCCTTCCTTTCCCCGACGCTGGAGGAAGTAGGACTAGGTTTTGGTGTAAGGTCGGGGGTGATTTGCGTATGAAAATTCTTGCTTCGGTTATCGACTACTTCTGCTTGACCATCCAGAGGATCCAACCGCCGACGCCAAAAATACAGGTAAAGGCTAGGTTAAATATGTCAACTCAAGATATGGTATAATAGACCAAGCCGACACTTACCCACAAGAAACGTTTCAATCGCTCTATGGTCAACCTCCCTCTTCATGATGATGCTCATATTGCTCATTTCCCGGGTGATGAGCTGAGGCAGCTCTCGGGTAATAAGCCCGGTATCAATAGCGGGCATGATGAAAGACGAGAAAAGTAACTTAATTAAGAATTATAAGCTGATAGAATCGATAAATGCTTGAGATTTATAGATGAGTATGAGAATCGAAAATGCGAAGTGAAGCGCTGCTTAACTCTTTCAATTAGTACATCTGATCGACAACTGGGTTATTGTCAATTTAAGTAACCAGAAAAACTGAGATTACATAGAAACCCCTGGATCCTGGCGCCGAGGAAGTCATCGCGGCTGGGCTCATAATCAGTCGATTTTAGAGGCTTTCCTATTCCTGGTCATAGCATCAGGTGGATTCGAAACAATACCAAAGATACCCCCTAAGCGCACCAGACGTAGTTAGTGATAGCTTGGCCTGTTTGCTTACGCATAGCAGATTCGTCTATTCCATATAACGTCCCGTCAAGTATGTTAGGAAGGTTAGGCAAGGTATACAGAAAACTGCTATCGTATTGATCTACTGATAGGGTTGTGTATCCTAGTATTTAACTTTTATCGTCGTTTCCTTCATCCTCGTGTAGATCTATTGTCGTCAAGCGTCAAGAGGAGTGTGGGCTAAGTGGATCTATCGAATATCGATCGTGCCATATGGCGCGAGGAGAAAATATGACTGAAACAGATTTGCGACAGGGTTTAAAGAATACACTAGAATTAAACACTACAAGAAGAACCAACACCTACGCGTTTGCCATTGATTCTTTAAATGCAACGTAAATAGCAAAGTGAGCCTTGAGCCTTAAGCCTCAACATGTGGTCCTTATGTATTTAACATGGGCGGATGGCATTACTGAATCCCCCTTGTCTTGAGTACAATACATATTACAGCATCCCTGCTACCAAGCACTATGTATGTACCTATACAATAAATCATTTCAAATTTACAGGCCAAGAGGCCAAGTCTCTCCCTCATATTCTTACTCCCCAGCCCTTGGCGAAAGTCGAGAATTCAAAGGCCAAGAACAAACCTCTTCACTTCCGTGGCGTGCATCAGTTGCTCATAGCTCCTAATGCCGGATGAACCTGCGTAGTTCGTATCATGTCCTGGTCCTAGCGCTTGGCTGCTCTTTGCACAACTGCACGACGTTGAGTTCCTAATGCGACCATCCCTTATTCGATACGCGCGTTTCTAATTTGACTATTATTCTTCATTAGCCCAGTGATTACACCTAGTAACTACCTCCTAATAAAGACTGCAGTTATTGAAACTAAGTCATGTTTACATTTGATGCTGCTAAGGCTTTGAACTCAACTTCCCCAAGGATATTTGGCATAAAAGTGACTATTTAACTGTCATTTTCATACCTTCGCGCACCAAAAATATGAACAGCCCCCGTTCACCCCGCCATTTAGGCTCGTGTCCAGTAATAATTGCAGATCCCCCCTGTTAGACAGAAGGCATTCCGCCCTGCTATGTATGTCTACCTAAGTTGCAGTGGCTGGCATCGCCACAAATATAGTGATAAGCAACCTGGATTTAGTGAACGAGCCACTATCCGACCTTCGCCTCAGCATTGCGACAACAGGGATCTGGGGATGTGCAAGGCATTTAGCCCGGGAAGATTCTTAAAGAGATCTTCGTGAGTAGTATGCTAAAATAAGGTAAGCACCTACCTAAGGCAATGTGCTCTAAACGAAAACATTTGACAGGGATGGATTATCTTTTAATCACGGTATATAGCTTGACTTAGATCTTATGTGGCTGCGTCTTGCCTATCGCTTCTGTCAAGTGGAGCCAACTCCGCATTCTCGGCACGGGGTGTACCGTGACGGAGCTACGAGTTCGGACGCGGGCACGCCGGACTTACGTGCCTTTCTCCTGACCTAGCGACAATGCTCCTACCACGGACTAAGGAGAACTCGTTCAGAATTCTATATATGGAAAGCAACAAGCTATCTAAACATATCCGACGCATTGGTGTCTCCGGTGTATCCGATACGATCTACGATCTACGACCAGATGTAAAACTAGAGGATCAAAGCGCAGCAGTTTGAGTCTCATAATTGAGTCTCATGGCGGGATCTACCTAGGGTTAATTCTCGAATTTGTCATCCGTAGAGGAACATGTATTACGCAAATCGGGCAATGTTTAGAGAATCTACAACTGCTGATAAATCTATATAATAAATCACGGGCTTTTTCTCTTTTCCATAAATTCCGAAGCGGTCGAAGAAGAAGCTCGGGGTTCAATGAATAGCGAGCTCATACCGATGACAAATCGATTTCTTTTAACTTAGGTACTCAGAATATTATATGTAAAATACCTTCCAGACTCTCACATCCGTTATCAAGAATTGTTTTCAACATCAACTCATTATTCTTTCCAGTAACATCTCCATACCGACTTTCGATTTCGCTTACTATGGCCGTAACTATTCGCAATGTGGCACTTCTTGGTGTAATCATTAAGACTATACTATGTTGATTCATAGGTACTAAAAGTGTCACAGGCTACTGGTACTTTAGGGGCACACATTTGTGCTGCACTAACGCAGGCAGGCTTCGTGGTAACTGCCATTCAACGCAAGGGTTCGACCAACCCTGTTCCATCAGGGGTCAAGAGCATTAAAGTCGACCTATCCAACAAAGATGATTTGACGTCTGCTTTCAAAGGGCAGGACGCCGTAGTCAGGTCTGTCGTCATTAATTTTATACTGTGTCTCGTCTCTCGAGGCTCACTTCAGCTACTTGACTCTAACTCTAATTAGCGCCGTCCCAGATCCTACTCTCGCAACAGAGAGTATTATGATTGATGCTGCCATTGCGGCCGCTGTGAAACGGATTGTTCCATCAGAGTACAGCACCAACTTCGAGACCCCGCTATCACGACAGCTACCAATAGTTAAAGATAAGGCCCAAATCCGCGAGTACTTGGAATCTGCTATTGCGAATAACGGCACCTCCACAACCTGGTCCTCTGTGAATAATGGCCCATTCTTCGAGATCTGCCTAAAGCAAGGCGCGTTAGGTCCCAACATCAAAGAGAAAAAAGCCATCTTTCATAATGGCGGTAACCTCTTGGTCGGAACCTCAACACTCCCTGATATTGCTGCGACGGTAGTCAAGATTCTTGACCCTGCATACCTGGATGAAACTGCGAATAAGTCGGTTTACATCCATTCGGCCGCCGTTAGTGAGCGTCTTCTGACGAAGCTGGCATCTGAGGTTACAGGTATTGATTTCGGTGATGTGGAAAGCGGAAAGATCCTGGATCTTGATATAGATCTCATGGTCACCGAAGCCGAAGAGAAGCTAGCAAAGGGTGATAAATCCGGTTGGTCTAGTTTCTACTATCAGATGATGTACGCAAAGGGCTATGGCGGTGAAGATTTCGAAAAGTTGTCCTGGAACGAACGACTGGGGCTAAGGACAATGGATGAGGCAGATATAAAGGGGCTAATCCGGAGTACTTCTCAAGAACTCGGAGTTCCAGTAGGTTCGAATACTAACACCTAGTCTAGTACTTATTAGGCACGCAATATATATCATAGGTCTACGAGTTTGACATATACATGAATTCATTTTTGGTAATTTATGGCTACCATCATCTTTCAGTGTTTATGGAGCACTATTTACCAGTGGTTACGTGGTTTAAACCTTACCTAGGTACCTGCGATGACTCGGTTATTCAATTACTAAAGCATGATAATATAACCTTGGTTCTATTCACATGTTAGTTTACATATTGTGACAGATTCATATCAGAGGTTAAGGCGCGTATGGCGACTGCCCGTCTACGAGGTGATCGTCTACTATTATAATGTACCACCAGTGAGAGAAGCGCTACTAAGGGGCATCTTTTCAAACATGAGTGATGGCTAACATCAATTATTGAGCAGTTATCTATCTACCTGTCGGCTCCCAGATATTCGATGAGTTACCGCGAGCAACATGGCTAGATGTAAGATGATATAATTATTATGAAGTCCTTTAACCTAGGAAGCATTTATATACTGGGCACTTTCTATCTTCATACTCTGGTAGGTATTTTTCTTACATCCATCAACCTCCCACCCTAGACATACAAATAACTGATAGCAAAAAACCCCTAAGGTCAATACCAGTTGATACTTAGCTATGATGCTCCCAGAAAATAAATCTAGAGTTAGACGAAGAAGTCTGCGTCTTTAAATACTCCGGAAACCCCCCTAGCGATAAGCTAACATGAATTTCTATTTTAATCAAATAAACAAAACACTTCGCCGTCATCACTTCGTCACTGTGGCATCAACTTATAACCCGTTCGAATCATTTTTCATTCGTCTTCGACCCATAAGTTGTCATTCGGGACAAGATCACTTGTACCTATTTGACATTAGCTTTTAACTCATTTGATATGCCCAACATTAAGTGCTTATTGGACTTACAACTAAAAACATGCGTGAGAAACGTAGCGGAGATAATCTGCCAGCAGTCCATCTCTTGGGGGTGGGTCGGGCGGTTGCATGTACCGAGGAATGTGTTGTTGATATCCCTCATGTCGTAGTTGTTATTTCCAGTCGCGTATAAAGCTACGGATATCTGTTAGTTAATTCCTAGGAATCAGAGATTAAAAGGGGCATGGGTATACGTACTGACCGCTCCTGTCGATTGATTAAATAGAGGAACCGGATGGTCCGTCGAGTGGCCGACAGCATCGTCCTTATTATACATTTCAAAGCGGTCGATGACCCAGTCTCTCGGTGCTTTTGCACTACACCCATCGCACGCCCATCGACCCTTACTAGCATCGTTGTTACTGCTAGCCGATATAGATACCACATGACCCATATCGGAGCAACTAAGCGGTGCGTGGTCGTGGACTTGCATTTCCGTTGAGCTAAAAGTGACGCCCACGTCGGTAATATCGTTACTCTTTCCAATATAAATAGTGAAATCTGCAAGTGCAGGCGACGCAGCCGCGGCAGCAAGAAGGGTAGTTAGGAGGTATATCATTGTTGTTATCGTAAGCCAGACGTCGAAGTTTTGATATGTTGGTTGTAATTAATATTTCTTCTCCTTGGTAATTGCCGAGGATGTCCCCAGTCGGGCTAATGGTGGCCCTTAAGATCTATGATACCTGCATAGAGGAACCGGTATTATATCCGAGAGTGTGGTAATACCTTCTCATCTATAGACGGGCTGGTCGAAGCTTATATAGTAAGGGTAAATATATGACGCTTCGATCCGATAGCAGCACCTTTTGACCGGAGCATCGACAACTTTCAGGTAACAGCCTGCCAGGTGCATGATGAGAGTTAAAGTAAGTCTCAGCATAAGCCACATACGTAAGAATAAGTCTGAAAATCGAAATTCACGGTTGTAACAGCTCATTACATGACTGAATACTCAGTAAGATGTGGAATGTGGTTTAGACACACCAGTGAAAAGATCGTCCATAGTAGCACGATAGGGACAACTACATCGTCGATTGTAATTTTTACCATACGAACCAAGAAAGTGTTTTCTTCTAATCTAAGAGTTACGAAAATCTTATACCAGAATAGACAGACGAAAATAATGATCAACTAAATCAACATTGGCGAGTTCTGTATACGGTTATAGAACGACAATAATAAATAGCAAGGGAGGCATGCATGGTATAAATTACTTAAGGTTAGGAAAGTGAGACTTGATTTGGAATTTAAGCCATTATAAAATTTAACCAAGCATTTGGATTCAAGATGTCTGCATCATTAGCAAAGCATAACTCCCTTGAAAGTCAATGCATTATGTCAATGTAAGACATTAACAAACATCGAATGGCACTCCAGCTCTTTCGACATGCCTGGTTTAACTGAAGAGCCCATCGTAGGGAGCACATCAAATTTGCGGCAAGTTCTTATCCCTATCATGAGATGTAAATTCTTCGCCGGCCTTATTTCAAGGAGGCCTAGGTACTTGCGTATCCGGAACCTTTCTTTAACCTTTCAACAGAAACAAGGGTTAAATCAGTACTATGTAGGTCGCGTATATAGCTATATCAGATGTGTCTTGGATACGATGACATCAGCTTAAAGAAAATGCAAGTTTCAGGATCTACAGGCACTCTAACCACATAAAAGATTTCAGAACCCTTTCGGCCATTTGCTTAAAATTTAACAGCGTCACTGTTTTGAGAGGATAATAAGACCTCGGATACGGTACTTGAGGTATAGTGAATATCGTTATATTTAATTCATTTAGAGGAATATATGTGTGATCTTAAGCGCTGCAGTCTAAATATCTTCTCTAAAATTTGCAATGCCTAACACGTAAGGAACCAGCCAATTAAGTTTTAAATAGAATGATTCTTCTGGGAGAGCTAAACATATATCCATGCAATTTGAGACTTTCGTTTGTCACTACGTTATGCTATAGCTAGAGCATTCGTGAGACATTCCTGTACTTTAAGAGACAATAGAACATGCCATAATAAATATAGTAGAATTATCACAAATAATCGTTCAAATTTTATGCATTCTATGTTCATTAGCTCTAGCTATTAGCATCGACCGCCAACACTCTTTAGGCCTCATAATAGCAGCTACTGGGACTTCCAGCTGGTATAAATGATGAGATATTAATTGGTCCTCGTATTTTAGTTCCCCAAAGTCGCACCCGGCACCTCATAGTCCTTTAATTCGTTCGGAATATCTTCATACGTAATCTCCTCGTCTCTCTGTAACAGTTGGTCCAGAAGGTCGAAAATGTGTTCTGGCGCCTCTGGGCCCACGTAAAACTCGCGACCAGCAATGTCAAGATAAGTACCACTAGATGCTTCCATCTCTTCCTCTCCCGGGGGATTGTGTAATTCGTATTTCTTCAAATCGTGCGGGATGTCCTCATATTTGATGTTGTCCTGCTCTGCCAAACGATCAAAACGGTCGGTTATTTCTTGCGGAACGTCATAGTTGATACGAAACTTGTGATTGTCGATGGAAATAATATCTGGTTGCACTTCTTTCAGGACGCGGTCAGGCTTGACAACTGGTAGTTGAGACGCCATCTGGTTTAAATGGAAATTATATGAAGGCTGAGTATCTTGTCGATCGAATGTTATATTCATATGAAAACACACACTCGAGTAGCAAGTAGGCCGTGATGGAGGGTATATTTATATCTCGAGGTCCTCGCCCCCCTGGTACTTTTACGCGGCCCGTGCTGCTATTTTATTACTTGTTACAGTTTAGCGCAACTATATAATGTTTATATATGTTATTGGAATGCCTGCAACCATCCTACGTCATCGCTTTCGATTCCACTCAGCCACGTTTTGTGACGCACAACCACGTGTAGCAACAATCGAATACATGAGGTACCTAGCTATTAATATTTCGAAATCGATAACAAGCGGCTGAAGAACTACTTGCCGCTGTCTTGTATGGAAATTAAACAGTACAAGATCCAAATATAATCCAAGGTGCCTACACCTAAAAGCTGTTACAGCTGATAGACTAATACGTTGACTACGGAAATGGTTGATGGGCTCAAATACAAAGTTATCAAGGCTACCTTGACTCCAAACTTTTCCCATTTTATCAAAACATAATGACGATGTAAAGATATGAAAATATAAGAGGTGGCTACAGACATTTACTTTTACGAGTTGCTTTCACGTGCTAGTTACCTTCAAACATTAGATGAAGTATCGTTCTGATAATTAATGGCATTTAAGTAGGCTAAGCAGTTCCTCCAGCATACTGGTTTTTATCCAAACTTTGGGCGATTGAAAATGTAAATTGTAAAACTATATATGATTCGAAAGTATGTTATCTGTTATAAAATAGAGGTGGCAGGCTAGGTATGTGCATCTGTACGCATAAATATACGTCCCAGTTAATTGGTGTTCATAGTGATAGTCAAGTCGCCACAGTTAATACCAGACCACAGGAACCAATCTCCATGCTTGCTCTGCCAGCTCTTGGCCGCATTAATGGCGCAGAGACACTGCGAGACGTCTCCCACAACACAAAGCCTAGCTCCATACCCATTTTCCTTGCAAGTGCCTCCATCTTTGCAAAGTTCTTCGACGGCACTGGCAGGGGTTTGAGAACCCTTCCATCGGCCGGCATCATTGTTATGATGGCAATCGCACGCGTTGACGAGCAAACCGGGCATCATGGCGAGAACCGAAACGATTGCTGTAATTGACTTCATGTTGATGAATTGATGAGGTTCTTATTGAAGATGCTGTGGAGAGTTAGTATAAGTAGGTTACGTTAGGTACTTGGGATCGAGTTGATAACATACAGTTAACTTTGTGATGGTACGAGTGCTAGTGAGAGTTGATGTTGTTTGTGATTGATGAGTTTAATTGATGATGACTTGTTCTGGATGAATATTTGATATAAACTTGGGGAAGTAATACCCTTATATAGAATTTCATACTTTTACAAAGGCTTGATTGAAACTACAACGAAGACTCTGCCACCCACCTTCTGCGGTGCCAACTACTGCTTGACTTGTTACAACCTTACCTTTGCTATTTTCGTCAACAGTGAGGCGGTAAACATACAATACGGATTTCGATAATTGATCGATATCGGCGGAAAGGCGAGCTTCGCTGTCATCTCGGAGTAGACAAGCCAATATTCCTAGTATCAGACAGTAGTTAGCTTTTCTCAGCCTTGTATTGCATTGAGAACGGGATTGGAGAACCAGTACGATGGGATTATATTATGACATAATTATTGGGCTGAGCAGTTATGCTATGACGGTGAGAGCAATGTTACAAAATTTTATTTTTAATAGAATGTCGATCATTCAGCCTGATCCCCGTTTATAAAGTTGTCATAAACATCTTAGCTTATTAATTTTGAGCAGTCTATACTATTAAGAGAGACGCTTGGGCTCTCGTCGTATTCAGCATACCAGTTACCACACCCTATACTCATCCTAAGATCCTTGTTACTAATACGTGGAAACGTTCGAGAAGACCCACAAACACTCGTAACTTACGTTAGGCAAACTACCTACATACGTAAAGGGAAATAAATGGACTTTGTAGACAAACTATCGGACTAAGGCTTATTTGTCGCTGGGTTTAGCATAGAATCCTTCAAAATGAATTGATTCATGCGAAGAGCCAATTGAATTTTTTTTTAGTATTCTCCGTCCAGTGGATTTTCCAAGTGCGGCAAAGATGCTGTGCCGTAAGACTAAAACCTACTATGACAACATTATTAGTTGTTATAACACAATCTAACACGTAGAACCACAACTCGTAAGAAGTAGACCATAATAATACCCTAGGTTATCTGGGTTCTGTGCCTTCATTTACAATGTGATCTACATTCTCTACCGCATCCTTCGAGGCGGAGAGCTGAGAACCGGGGAACCTAGTGAAAAAAGAATATGCTTGGCAACTCAATGGAAGAAGTCTCGAGATAGACGGTGTAGTATTGTTGAGTTTCTAGACAGTAAACTCTGGAGGTCGAGAAGATATATAAAATAGGATATGAACCACGGAGTTTTGAGTGAAAAACCAGACACTCACACTCACACTCACTCACTCACTCACACTTCTGAATCAACTCAGAACCCATCTTGCCTATCAACTCAGCAACCTTTCTATCAAGCAACTTACACTAAGCTACCTCTTATCTAAGCTGTTTTCTGTCCCCTAAACTACACATCACAATGCATTTCTCCGCCTTTGTACTTGCCTTAACGATGGCCGCCGGGTCAGTCTCTGGAGTGACCATTCGTAACTTCAGGAACACGTCGTGCAAGGGAACCACCTACAAGCAATGCAGCGGCATCTTACCTTGGCAGTGCTGCTCTGGTGGCCCAACCAGCTCAGGGGTAGTCTCCTCGTCAGAATTCATGGGCATGCCCCCTACCGCTCTCGGATCCATCTGCAAAGCGAAAGGCGCTACTAATTGCGGTGAAGTCGCTCACTCTGGTTCCGGCTCGCGATTCTGTATCGGCGCGGCCAACTGCAGGGGATCTTTATGGATGGACTGCAACTATTGTAGCAAGCGCGATCTCGCGAGTGGAAACGGGATCCCCAAAGAGCTCCAAGGGCTCAGCGCGGAGAGTTCTGTTGAACCCGACACCGTTGCTTTTGACGATCACCAATTCAAATTCGACGATTCAGTTCCTGCAGACGTGAAGCAAAAGTTTAACGACTTGTTTGAAGCCGAGGCTAGTTACGCGGACATTCCCGAGGAGCTCAGGCAGTACGAACTTAAGGGTAGCGAGCGCAGGGGGCTTGATGACCTGGAGGAGTTGGAAGCCTCTGGGCAGTTTGAGTAATTTGAAGAATAAGGAGAGACGGGATATTAGTTAGAACTGCGTCCCTTAGCTGAGTACTCTAGACGACTCATGGAGAGGCTCGAGCTGGCAATTATCTGCGCTTTACCTGGACTTAGATTGGGGAAATGGGGGTATATAATTTGTGGCGGAATTCTACCGGAATGTATTGTATTAGTAGCAACAATAATATTTCACACATAGACTTATTTCGGGTTTAAAACATTCTTTATCATATCCGCAATCGCCAGATGGTGTTGGTGTTAACTAGAGTACATCTGTCCCCCTTTTTATATTTAGAAGGAGCTTACTATTAATTCTTCGTACCGCTGAAAGGTCGTAGGTATGGAGTGTTTAGCTGTATTAGTAGTCTAGTTTAAATGAGCTCATGTACTGTACAGTTCTTCGGCGAACAGCTGTTGTGTTCCCACTTCTTGCTCGCGACGCCAACTCGTATATTTAGTAAATGATATAATTATACATTATATCTAGAGATCCAATATCCTTTCCTGGCGTCTTGAAAATCCAATAGAGGTAGGCAATGCTACCTACCAACGAGTGTGTCTCCGGTGCTTGATTCCGACTATCCCCGTCGTAAGACTTATAGGTGTACTAACAAGTTGTGACCCTTACACAACAGATTCAAGTTGTCGGCTTACATTCAGAAAAAGCCGGAGGTTCTAGAAACGGAGTAGCTAGTCGCCATCCGTATACACCGCTCCATGCCTTGGGTTCTTTAAATGGTTCCATGTTCGTGCTTACACTCCCCACAACTGGCACCGCGTTACTCGAATGCGTCGTGTTGAACAGTCTCGTGTAGTAATCACAAGTTTGGGTGTTTGCAAAAACGGGCTGGTTGGTGATGCTCTTGACGAAGCCTAGGGGGTACGGAACACTCCCCCAAGATTGTGTCGTCTCTATAGTCATATATCTATCCCGTGTCTTGTTGCTGCTCCGGCTATGCGCATATGCAGTGCCGCTAGGTAAGGTCTTGTAAGCGTCACAAGGCGGATCAAATATCGACGGGTAAACATCCGCGCCGTAGCTCTCTGCTCCCTTAATGGCGAGATTGTTTTCTGCCGAAATCATGAAAGTTGCGGCCCAGCGGAATGGAGTATGACCACCGCCGAATATATCCAAGAACGGAAACTCGAGAGAAGCACGCTGTTAAGTAAAGACGTCGTTAACAGAATTCTCAACGAATGCCGAGAAGATAACTGCGCTTACTGAGAAGTCTGGTAAGGAAGCGTTATAAGCGGGCAGTTGGAGATCATGATCGTGCACTATCTGCGCCATCATTGGATACATCCCATCAGGAAACGAAGGTAGAAGCGTTCTGTACGCCTCCTCAAGAATTCCATACTCATTAGGGATAGCCCGACGCGCGATGTCAAGAGGTATGGGCACGATTAATGTAGTTCCGTTTAGATTCCCACTAACAAGTGTTGGGTATTGTTGAGCATGCTGATTTGGAGAGTCTTGAGATACACAGACCTCGTGTGAATGCGGGATTACGTATTGTGAAAAGGAGGCTCCTCTGGTGATATATAGGGCAAGGAGGTGAAATAGTGCAGTGTATGGCATCTTAGATATATAAATAGAGGTAGTGCAAAGACTGAGGAGGTTTAGGCACTCGTCTTGAGGTACACCTATAACGACGTTGAGGACGCGGCAATAGAGTTAACGAGTACTCAAAAAGACACTTTTGAATATGCTAGCAAGATATCTAATAGTTAGCAAAGCGAATAGCTCGATACAAACTCTTTTCAAAGCTGATCTAGCCTGGGTATCGTGTATCTACTATAAGAAAGATCATGGTGAGAATATACCAGATAGATGGGATGGTAATAGGTAATAAATGATGCAGCTCATGTCATTTCTGAAATCAGTAATCCTATATCACTTAGCGTCTCTTTTAATGACAATATTCGGAATGAAACGCCGATCCCTCTAGACTAGAAAATAATATTAGGTTAAGAGAATAAAGAATATTACCGATTCAGGGTTGCGGTTAGGAATTCCGACGTATCATTGTACGCGTGTACTGCTGGCCTCAAAATAGTAACATTAGGAACGACGGCAACGCATTTAATACACAATGGGTACCTAGGTAGCATAAAGCACGTCGACGGCCTAAAATTTTCAATTTAGCAAAGCCAAAACTTTGTAGAAACATGCCAAGCATTTTACCACGAATTTGTTTAAAGATGAGCGATTTTCCTCTGGTTACCTTAGGTACCTACCTGGGCAACCTAAGCTACATGTTTCATGACGCACCAGTGTCTCGTGGAACAAAAGTAAATTAATATTCGGCCCAACAGCCAATCATAAGGCGACTTATTGAAACGGAACATTCCCAATCCGGGGCGGGAACCGACATGCGGCGGACCCTGCCGTGGTGGAGGTAAGGTATCCGGCGGATCGGGACTAGTGGAGAGCGGATGAGCGACGTTCCGCACAAATGAGAAAGACTCTCCAAGTAACACGGCATAGATGAGTATTATGCAGGGTTTCTCGGTACAACAGCTATCCGTGATCTCGCAGTTAGATCTCACTGTTACTCTTTACCTAAATGTTAATACATGCGAATTGAGTCTATCGAACTGCGACAGATGCATATCAATCTCCGATATCCATTAAAGATAGGTCACCTACGTTGGCAGGCGTATACGGAGCGGCACTCGAATGACACATTCTCACTCAAAGACATCGAGATGACGAGCATTAGAGCGGCCAAATTATATACAGTTGCATCGTCGCCCCGAAAGCATCGTGATGAGAGGTGCAGCTGCTGCAGAGTCCCGAGAGACCAGTCGCAACGCTTAAGCCGGGAACTCGGTCAAATCTCCTCCCTCGACGCTAGCCTTTCCTTTCCACTGAAGCTTGCTAGGTACAAGTGGCTGCAGCACCTTAAGCCAGATAGTATCGTACAGACTCGGGCCACCATCGGCAGCCTTGCTGCCGGGCTCGAAACTGCCGTAGTTTTGGGAGTCCGTGCAGCAGGGACTGGCGGATCCCCAAAATGGGCCTGCCGCCCACGCTGTCCAGCCGATGTACTCCTCATTGTCCGCTAGGTAATTGACGAAGTCGGTCAGCATGTCGGCGCATCCCGTATTGTTGTGCCCGCCGAATTCGGTAACAAAGGCCTTAAGGTTGTGCTCCTATTGAAGGAATTAGCTGATAATTCGCCGCTGGCAATTTGCAGTATGCGACGAGTTTACTAACCTTCAGCCATTTCGTTACATCCGCCAAGTTGGTCGCTGGATCGCTAACGCATTCGCTGTGGGTACCGCTATAGTCTACGTCAAGGTACTCGTGGATATCGATCGCCGTGTTGTTAAGCGGATCGGTGAATTGGTGAATGATGGCGCTGTTCGGATCCGGGCCTTGAGTCCACGCGTGACCTCCCGTCCAGCTGTTACCAGGTAGGATGATCAAGTTATTCGCAATGGCGGCACGAATAGCATCTATGGCAGCCTGGTTATTCTTGACCACGAGGCTGGTCTCCATGTCATGCGGTTCGTTCATCAGCCCAAAGATGACCTTCTCGTTATCCGCAAAGCGGCTGGCTAACTCGCCCCAGAATTCTCCGAACTGCTCCGTCGTAGCGGCGGTAGAATCCGAGGTGTTTCCAATCACGCTGCCGCTGTAAGGCTGGGAGCTCGGGTCGTTATATCGCATGTAGTTGTGCGGATCTAAGATCGCATAGGCGCCCTTGGTGATTGTCACGTAATCGACTGCCTCCTTGAAGTAATCGAAATGGGTCTCGTTAAAAATCTTGCCGAGACCAGTCGCAACGGGGGCCATTCGCTCGAGCAAGAAGGCTATACGGAAGAGATTGAGGTGGTTCTCATCTACATGAACATCAATACCCGCCTTGTTGATGAATTGGTAGTCGACGCCAAATGTCCCCGGTAAGCCGGTACCCTTCTTGGCATCAGCGCTCCAGACACCAAATTCGCCACCAGACTCCGCGACACCGGCATAAAATATTGTTGCCGACGCCGTGGAGGCTAAACTAGCAAATAGAACCGAATACTTCATGTTGGGTAAGTTCTATGAACAATTTCTGAGTAGATAGGAGTTGAATGGGTCGCTCGCAAATGGGGACCAAGTACGTCTTATAAGTTAGACTGCGTACACGCAAGAAAATGATCGACCAGTAGTCCCTGGTATTAATTAATTGGCATCTCTAATGGGGGGTGGATGAGCGACGCCCGATGCCCATTCCTAGGGATAGAAACGATATAATTTGTACATCATCAGGCCGCGTCGGCGCAATCTCGTCTTGAGACCCGGAATTTCGGATCACATCTCGAATCAACCGTAGAAAATTACTACTAGAAGACTACGATCCAGCCAAACTAGGCGATAGATCCAGGCACAAGTATTGAACTGTTTTTTATAATCTATAATGGGTATCATTGTAGTGGTGATGAGATCAAATGCGGAGGTTGTGGCTCCGCCTATGGATTTTGAGGAGACAGACCTTAGTTCCGAAGCTGTTCTTGGCGATCAGATGATCGTCCTCTTGCATTTTATCACTTAATAGCATACATTTCGCTGTCGATCCGTCGAGGTAAAGAGAATCGCGAGCTTTTTAATGTTCGGGTTCGCCGCCCAACGTGACTGGAGTCTGCATCGCGAATATCCTAGCTCCAATATGGCCCGGATCATTAGAGCGCGCCACCGACGAGACTGACAATCCACATTGCAATCCTGACTTTTAACCCGACCCGCCTTTCGGTTTTCGCAAAGTCGTCCAATGTCACAGGACTTGCGTACTCTTGTAGCCACTTTTGCTCATCGCCTAACCTCTTCTTCAAGTCGCCGTCTTCCGTCACGATCAAAGCGCCGGCTTCAAGGTCGTGGGAATAGCTGCGTTTCGTATAATTGGAACTTCCAATGATGCTAATCGCTGGGTCCCGTTCATTCGGAAAGGTTATCCATAGCCCCTTAGCATGATATGTCCACCCACCTGGTTCATTGACAGTGCCTCTCCTCCATTCTTTGAGAACCACTGAAGAATCCTGCTTTCGCTCTTTGATCGTACGAAGGAACCTTCGGGCGAGCAGGGTATACGCATCAGGTAAAAGCCCAGATACTCCCTTTGACTTGTAAAATCCATTTGCGTATGGAGACGCCGTAATGACTACGTTACTTTGCGAAGCCGTCGAGAGCAGAAGATTCGTAAGCGACGGAGCTGGGTTAAAATACCCTGCCGTGAAAGTCCACGATGAACCAGCATACTCCGGAGCCGCGAGCGTTTTTAAGATATGCGTCATCACTGGAAGCTCAGTTGACGAATCTGGTTTCATAAGCTGTGATAGCTGGCCAAGCATATAAACTTTGGTGTTTCGCGATATAGGCGAACCCTGGTCTTGAGACTCGACGCTATCGAGGGATTCATTCCGGGCTATCAAACTACTTACAAGTGGTGTAGCTTTTGAGATAAACTCGGCAGGTTGATCCAGAGGGGATGGGGCGGTGTTAGTTGATGGCCAATTCAGTTCAAAACCTGCAGGATTATCATTCGTCGGCTCTACCAAAAAGCTGAGTGATGTGACGCCCTGATAAAGTTTCCAGAAATAGTTCGTCACTTCACTAGAAGAGAACAGGTGATACCGATCTTGGCGATTGGTGAAGTAGTCGTTCGAAAGATTCGCGCTGGATGATATTAGCTAGATGTCCCTTGTAAAATAAATAAAACAAAAAATTTACCCCGAGAGAATTATTTCGTCGTCAATTCCATATAGCTTCATGTGTTGTAGTCCCCACCCTTCATTGATGCGCTTTGGTATATGCTTCTTCCGGAAACCTGTCAGGTTCGGCGTATGGTACATTCGAATCTCAACGCGATCCGAGCCGAACTCTGTAACAAGAGGAGCGAGAAGAGAGGCGCAAGACGGATTAGGTGCTTCTCGAGTTCCACGAAGGGCGTCCGTAAGGATGCTTAATTTCAACTCGGGGTTCGCGCGAAGGGCATCTTGGAGCGTCGCAATCTCAATTCTAGTTAGCATTAATATTTACAACTATAGACCAGTCCAGGCATATACCAGTTCCTTCTCTGATTTCCCAATATAGAGAGTAGATAGAAATATTCTTTTCTTAGCGCTACGTATTCTGGCCTAGCAATGTCAACTTAGTCCTGTTCACTCCATTCCCGAGGCCGAGGGAATATCACCGACCTTAAGTGTCTCATAGAAATCACTAGGGGTTTTTATGATTTGTATCTGCGAACCGTCGATCTGGAATGACGGCGCGATCCTGTCCAACTCGTTTACGAATGGCGCCAACATTCCGGTAGAGCTGGAAGCGCTACCTGTCGGCATGGGACTCGAAGGTATGGAATATCGACGACACCATTGCTGGCTGTATTGGCTCGCGGGACGAGCAAGAGTAGGTCGCAGCTTTAAGCAGCATCGCGGAGCACCTCGAGCTATCATGGCAATTACCGAGAAAGAATCAAATAGTTCATAATAACGTATTCGTGAGCTAGAAGCTATAAGCTAGAAGCTATGTAGAAGCTAGAGTTGCGACCCGATTGAATTTTGCGCTCTAAAAGCTTCCAATTGCTCGACTAGTGTCTTATCGATAAACATCTCTATAAAATGACGTCGTTAGATTAGGTACTGAGATACCTCCAATAGAGATACAGCAGGTCGGTCCGATGAATATCCGCTGGACCAAGGCGGATTGGTTCCGCCCAATTGAATGGCGCCTTCGATGCGATGACCTCGAATTAAACGTCTCTTACATTTACGACAGCAACATTGAAGGTGGCTGAAGTCCCATTGAGCTTCGCCCACCATGTCGACCATCACAAGAACCCTGACCAACTTATGGCGAGTAGGAATAAAGGTCAGTTATTTAATCCGAGCTTTGTTGACTAATGCTAACATTAATTGCGACCAGGACTACTTTCACCAGCTCCAAGTGCGTTAACCCTCGATATCATTGAGCTATTCATTCGAAACTAACGACCGCTTCTCCTGAAATAGAACATCGGTACGGCTTAGCCAAAATATGAAGACGGAGAACAAACACTAACGCGACGCAGGCGACACGAAAGCCGGTACCTTAATCGGCGTTGACCGTCTTGGTAATAAATATTTCGAGAACAACGAAGAACTGCCTCGTACGTCGTTATAACCTAGGATCGATCAATAAGGGAGACTAACAAAGTGCAGTACGAACCAGATGGGTGGACTACAAGAGCTCCGACTTCGACACGTATGTATTCCCTAAGAATCAGGTTCCCGGGCTATTCTCTAATACCGGAGTTCAGGGCCCAGATTGAGCCAGGCTGGCACGCCTGGATGGCCTACACCGTCGACAAACCACCTTCACAAGACCCGCTGCTTGCATACAAGAGGCGAGTGTGGGAGGATACCGATGCGAAGACTATTCTCAACTATACTGCAACACGAGGAGCCTACAAGCCGTATAGCACGTGCGTTACTACAACCCTGTATCCGAGCGTCTACTAACATCCTCGTAGATCAAAGTCGAAGATTACGATGTGGGAGCCTACCGCCGCCGAGAGGAAGTAAACTTAAGAAACAAGCCGTGTACATAGTCATAATGGCTAGGGAAAGCCAAGATCAAAGCAATGACAGCTATATTCCCACCAGTACCATCGCCTACATTTATACCGTGCTTCTATCCAATAGGGGAATGTGGCGAATGATTTATTGGTCATTTTCTCTACTCGTCTCGATGAAGTCAGCATTAGATTAAACCCGGTGATAAATCTGGGAGTTCCATAGGAACGGATTTCGATAATACTAACACTAGCGAGAAGAGGTTTATTCTGAAATGGTCTTAAGAGGTAATATGCGACAGCAAAAACTCACGTTTTGATTCATGGCAATAATAGCTCGCCGTATGCAGACGTACACTTGAGAGTTAAAATGGTATAAAATCCGAGACATAATATTTCAACTACCTCGACCTCTTAAAGCAGTTTATGTCTATGGACAATATAAATATAGAACTTCGAAGTTTATACTTCAAGTCTATATTTTCGGTAGCATTCATCGTTTAATAATCATTGGCTGATGCACCTAGTGGTTCCCTCCCTTCTCCCCGTGGAAGAATTCCTTTTTATTTACAGTCCTCTCGAGCACTGATCATTAGCAAATTAGCTCTTCTGCTAACATCTTAGATAGCTCTTCTGTATTCTATCTGGGAACTTTGCTTATTCTACACTATCAGTTACTGAAATATAGAATTAAAAACCTTTGACATCTCCGTACCTACGTCTCGGTAGGGTTCCAATTTCCCCCCGAGAAGCAAGTCCTCAAGAGTGGCTTTGCTGTAACCCTCGACTTCCCATAAATTACTAACCCCTTTCACGATTATCAGTCAACAATGCTAGTACCTACGCAGGTTTATCCCTCCTACAAGATGTACCAAAACTTTTTAGCCGGAGTGAACAAGGCAGAGGAGGAAAGCCGCCTATCACCGAGAGATGGTCCGCTTGGCCAACGAGGTTTCTACAAAGCTTCTCGGGGGGGGACATTTCTATGGAAGAGAAGGCTAGGAAATTGACCGACTTCGTAGACAAGGGAGACCCCGCAATCCTCATCAATCGACGATCCGCCCGTGCGCTTGTAGCTGATATCGCCTACAAGAATGAACAGCGCCGCAATTCTATCTCGATTTAAGACTAGGCTATTCTATAGAGATTCATTAACAACTCTAGGAGCTGCTATGACTTCGTCATCATCCTACCATATCCTCATTCGAGATGTACAAATAGCTAGTTACGAAATACCTACCTAACCTAAACGATAGCTATTAATACATAATTGACGCACCACGTATTACGACTCTCTTGGATTAAAGTAGCAAATGTTTATAATTAGGTAATTATATGTTGAAAAGTAGGTTTATATCGACGTTGTTAAAATAAAGTAGTATGAGTGGATCTTTTATCTTATCTTTACTTCGTATAACGCTATGTCTTGGCAGGGGTATTACAGGGTAAGGGTCAAGCTAACTGATCTTTACTGCTTTTACACGCCCGTCGGGTCTTTATAAAAAGTCGAGTTGAAATTACGAAGATATAACCCACACCAGCCATTACTGAATAGTTCATACTAACGCCTACCATTTTTTAAACTTAAGAAGGAAAAGTTAAGTACAGTTGAAAGTGGTTAAAGTGAGAAGAATGTAAACGAGATAATTAACATAGAATCTTTTCCTAAACACGATTTCTGCTAGTTATATTGTAAAAGTCAGTGGATGATATTAAGCACATAAATATAAACCTTTAGATCACGCGAGAGAAATGCTACCAAGGTTTAAAGGGACGGTTGGTTCTTGATAAGCCACGGGAGTAATGCCGGAATGAACTGGTCTCGCATGTAAGGTTTCTAAGCGAAATTCAACTAAAGGAAATGTAGAATTTATCATGTACTTACCTTAGTACCTACCAGGTACCTACCTTATGTATATTAGACAGGTACACTGCACGCTTCCTCTGTGAGGGAATCACCAACCCCGCCGGCGGCAGATGCACCACACCGCCCTCTACGCATAATAAAATTATTTTCATCCCTTCGAAATTCTAAATTCTCTCCTCTCTCATCAACAACACTCTACGCACCTCTGATCTGCCATCACTTACGACCACCACAACCACGATCACCATTACCACGACCACGACCACCATTACCACGACCACGACCACCATCATCATCATAATCACTATGGCAGAATCGAATGTGAATATACCCTCTCGTTCAGGGCAGTCCAGCGCTAACGTGCGTGACACCCTACAGGCATATTCGAACTCTTCGAAGACCGACCGATCCCTGGACGAGATTACCGCATCTCGAAAGGAAGGTCAGATCTCTGTAATGCAGAAGAACGAGATCGAAGTTGCTGGCGTAGATGGCGTCGTCGTGCAGAAGAAGCGTACCGCCCAAGAGCTGGATAACCCCGCGGCGAGCGGTTTTTCCGGACGCTTGGTGATAGCAAGGGACAACGAAGTGAAGATGCACTATAAACGCGGTCGGCTCGTCGACATGACCGACCTCAACCCCAACCCGGCCATGAACTTCGCCATAACTGGACACGACTACGTGAAGGCCAGGATTGGGGAAGAGAAAGTCTTCGAAGAGCAGCTGGTGCCCTTCTGGAAGCACCTGAACGGTGGTCATATTCCGCCGACTCAGGTCAGCTTCAATCGCATTCGCGACGGTGCCCGCTTCCAGAGGAAGAACACACGAGCTATAGGCCAGGAGGTGGACGGAGAGCCGGAATAGGAGGGGGAAGAGGAGGAGGAGCAGGAGCAGCAGGAGCAGCCCAAGGCTCTTACTGGTCCCCCCGGCGGAAGAGAAGAAGAACAAGAGGAGAAGCCAGAGTCAGCGAAGGCGTGCGCGCCGGGCTGCTCGAGCTGCCGCTTTGGGCCGCGTGCAGGACGCGGAAATGGGGAATGCTCCGGCTCCGGAGAGCGAGGGCGGTAATGGTCGCGCAGGCCAGAACGCCCCCTCTCAGCAGGATTTCACCTTCCAACCTCCCGCTGGTGCCCCGTCTTTCCTTCCCGCGGTCCTCTGTGGAAACTGCAAGAAGCCGGACCACACCCTGAGCCGGTGTCCCGGCCCCGTAGACGAGGACGGCTTCGTTTCCGGTTGTATGCTTCACAACACAAAAGAGCACAACTATGACGAATGCCCTATGCTATATAATTTGACCATTGGCGTTCATTTTGGACTCCTGGTCGAGTGTCGCTCAGGTCTCCCGCCTATCCGCTCTCAGGAGTTTAACTGGGTGCACCTAGCAACGCACTTCCAGGACAAACGTCTGGAGGCGTACCCGCTGACGCGATCCTTCAGCTTAAAGCTTTCGGAGGAGGCTATCGCCTCCTACGACTTTAGCGAAGACGCATCAGTCTTTCAACTGGGGTCGGATCCTCTCACCCGTTCCTTCGACGCCTTGATCGAGAACCACGAGCGACTCCAGAAGACCAAGTCTCCAGCCGAGCCGCTCGAGGTTGAGGAGGACGCGCCTATTGTGAATTACAACGATAGGTATAATAATGCCGAAATCGACTTTGGGGACTTCGATAAGAATGACTACACCAAGTACTAGCCTGGCTAGTAGAGGGGGCTAAAAGCCTTATCTTGTGCTGTGCCATATGCCGTGTGCCGTGTGGACAATTTTGCTTCCGCGCCGCCTATGGTACGGAAGATGTGGTATTGTTGGGTCGGGAGATTGGTTGCTTTGCTTTGCTGTAATTAATAATGATGAATTGAAAGTCAAGACAGCCCCCACGTCACCATACAATATTCCCAACGGTCTCTTCTAAGTATAAAATTGTAGAAGATCCAGCACACGTCTGTCCGAAGCTGTAGTTACGTGGTTCGTATTCCCAATATGGTGATAGTAATACCCCAACCCGACATTCCCGTAGGCGGCATGGTGATTGTTAACCTGGTCTGCGTGATGGGTAATAAAGTTATCAAACGTCATCGTCTCGTTATGAATGTATTCCACTTAGGCAGTAAGAGTACGAAGAAATGATCTCGTAAATTGACACTACCTCGTCAAGCACCACTTGTAGCTACCACGTAGTTGTTGGATAAATTCAACTCCTATACAGCAACTACAAACACACAACTGCTAACAGACTCATCCACACGACTCCTTGTATCCCGCAGCTCATAATCGAGCCTACGCGAACGCTCCCTTCCTCAAGTACAACTTCGTTCATTGAAGAGTAACCATCATCGTTGGGATCAACTTCCGGTAGTTTCGTAGCGTTTACGCGCATACAAAATAGACCTTTCGTCGAGTTTATCCCGTTTGGGCTGCTATCCGGCGACGGTGCTTCTAGGAGAATGATATAAAGCCGGTCAGCGTTTTGTAGGGATGTTTGGCTATTCGTACCCTTTACCGGCTCGGAAATATTACGATAAAAAGCTTGGCCAGTAATTGGTAGTACTACTGCTGGTGCCGTTATTATAAAAGGACATGCCCCTGCTGAACTGTTCAAAGTGAAGTGATGCCTCTCGAGTGTACCCGAATGCGCTTTGACACGCAGGTAGTGCAGACCATAACTTCACCTCACGATTGTAACAACGTCTATCTGCGAGTGATTCCGTAGATGCCAGTATCGTGTCTACGCAGGCTTGCCCCAGTACAGGCACGCAGCTCGAATTTTGCGCCGAGTGCTCCGTGTACAGGTTCGTCACGTTCACGGGGAGGTCTACCCAATCGCCTAGCAAAACACAGGGGTCTCAACACACCACCGAGCGCCGTTGAGATGTTTCCCTCGATCGACCATGTGAAATCATACCTTTCACTAGCAACATGAGGGTCAACAATTAGTCCACCAGGCCAATGTATGGGTTGCGACTCAGCATTGGGGCTACGACGTCGCTCACGTCGATACCTACGAACCTCGGATTAGTTACTATACACAAGTCGTAGGACTCTTCTCTGCGAAGGGGGGAAATTATACATCAGGTCCGTTGTGCATTCCGGAGGACCGAATCTTCAGACAAAAAGCTCCAGGTATTTCAGAAAGGGTTGTATTACACAGAACGTGTTAACGTGGGATTTTGGTTGGCGTTCAGTAACGCTCCTCTTATCTCCGGGTCAACTGTATCCTGCGCAGACGAGAATGGAGAAAAGTAGCTTACTGGCCCGTACATCGCTGCGTTTGTGCTGAGCACGGGAACTGATACGACTACTGTACTTCTATATATTTAGATGCTAGCCTCGCCAATGAGTAACTTGATCGTGGCAAAAGGAGGATTTGATTTCAAAGAGATTATCAGTAGCAATAAAACAAATAACTGTTGGGTGCTGGGAAAGGCTACGTTTATTCTAGCTTGTTGTTCCATTTTCCTAGAGATCGTGGTTCTAGCAGTCGGTATAGAATAACGGTTGGATATTGCGGCGCAGTTGTATAGAGAACTTAGAAGACAATCCCTGTTGGCGCTCATACCAGCCTCCTCTAGCTGTCGTCAGACCAAGCCCAAACGTCCACGCTTTCGTATTCGTCTCGAAAAAGAATAAAACATCAACTGGCCTCCTGACAAAATGCAGACATAGATATCGCGCTTCACTTCCTAGGTGAGAACTGCAGGTTCAAAGGTTTCAGGTAAGTGGTGAACGTATCTTTCGCCTCCTTATCGAACACCTCCCCCGTCTCACCAGCCGCAAAGGCGATATCAAAGCGCTGCGCGAGAATAGAGACGGCGATCCGCAAGGTCATCAAGGCCAGATTCTTACCAGAGCAGCCGTACGTCCCTACAATGAACTCTGTTAACCAACCAGGGCAACTCGGATCTCTAAGCATCGTCTAGAGTCTACTTACCGTGGCTGAAAGGCATGTAGGGCGCCTTGCCGGTTCCCATCTCAGCGCTCCGCTCTCCGAACCGTTCTGGTATAAAGTCCGCGCTCTGCTTCCAGTAGCGCGGATCCGTCTGGATCAGCTGTATGGGCACGATGACGGATACGTTTCCCGGAACGAACTGCTCGTCGATTAGAATGCCCTCCGGTGGCGTCCGTCGGTATCCTCCGGTAAGCAGGGCGGGCTTTAGACGCTGGGTCTCGTCGATAAAGTTGTCCAGGTAGGTGATCGATCTCGCCTTTTCGTACGTCCAGTCCGCCGGGGTCGAGATGACGTCGTCGATCCGAGCCTGTAGCTTCTTCAAGACGCGAGGGAACTTGGCCAAGTAGAACAGAGCGCTCGCTAGCACCGCAGCGCTCGTCTCGCTTCCCGCGATTATAAGCAATCTGGCGTCGTCGAGAAGCGATTCTTTCGTCGGCGAAGCAGAAACGTCTTTTTCGACAACCGCTTTTAGCAGCCACGTCATGATATCTTGGGGATATTTCTCGAGGTCGATACCCTGGTGGCGTATTAGGACCGGCGGCAATCGTTATTGGATGGCTTACCTCTCGCTTCTTTTCGACTTGAGATTGGCAATAACTGAAAAGGGGGCGATACGATTTCGACGCGCCCGGGATGCGCCCGACGATATTTAACAGCCAGGGGATATGGCTCAAGACGCCTAGGATGTGCATATGGTCGCGGATGCTTTGAATCGCAGGATGGTTTGTCCCGCTAGAGACGCAGCCGAAGTCTTTCCCGAATCCCACTTCGCCCATGACGTCGAAAGTGAGATACATCGACCAGGCCGTCGCATCTAGTACTCTTTTATTCGAAACTTGATCGGCAAGTTTGGTAACCAACGTTGTAATCCGAGGCTCGTAGGTTTGCAATGCTGCGATTCGTAGCTTAGCCACCTCGATAGTTATTCAAAAGCAGGTGGCGCGTCGGATACCTTTGATAGAGAATCCTTTATCCTAAGCCTTATGTCTTCTCTTATGGTCGCCGGGGTCTTGCGAGCCGTGGATGGATGCCTTTCTGGAGTCGGCGTTGATACCTATGTAACAAGTTGGCTTGTGACAGTTTGTATTCGGACCGTATATAATCGGGATCGCCGAATCTCGAACGATGCACAGCTCCCGGGGTCCTATAGCGGTGCTCTTAGCTTGGTGCTTAATATTTTGGAAGACTGTCATCACCTGTACGGATAAAGTCGCCGTACCGCTCGTGCATCTTGGCAACGTCGCTGTGGTACTTGGCTTCTTTCGCAACCCTCAGCACGGAGAAGAATCGGGAGATCTTGAGGTCGAAGGGCCCGGGAAACCTTCTCAGACGATGAAAGAATAGTCTGTAGATAACCATGCTCGAAAAGAGGCCTACGTTGAATGTACTTGCTAAGATGCATAACCCAGCTAGGGCGCCTAGAAAGGAAGACCCTAGAAACACGGAAACGGAAAGGATGCCGAGCATGAGAAACAGCATAGCTGCGATAAGAGTATACATAAATCGTTCCGCGTCTCCCAGCCGAGAGAGGGCAAGGTGAAAAAGCACGCCTAGAGGCACCCCAAGGGCGGCGACTGGAGATAGCCTACCCTGATCCCACAGGCCGAGGCCGTACGAAGAGATAGCGTGTAAGTGATCCATGGCGAACTGTTAAGACGGTTGACTCGGGAGCATAATATATTGGGAACGTATAAACCATATATACCTTACATACCTAAGGAAACCGGAACGGAGCTGTCGTCATTTCGATGCAGCCATCGTATAACTTTCTCGCCACGTTCCGCCTTAGCTGGGAATAAATACGTGTGTTACCCTTATATACCAGTATCTACGATAACACTAGTATAACATATAACATAGAGCAGCGGTCTGCAGCGCTATCTCAAGGTGTGTCTATTGGCTACTTTGGCAAGGATGCTAAGCATATGCGCGATCCTATCATTACTTTTTATCAATAAGGACAAAATTTGTCGACATAGCAGGTAGCTTGTCAGTTATCAGTTTGCCGTCCGTCACACCCCACGACTGATTTCCAAATGGCACATCCGCAATACGCCTTCCGGGAGCTGGTAGCGCGATCGAGACCGGTCCGCTGATGTCGCTATACGCTCCGTTTACTACGCTTATCATGAATTGGGTCTCTCGTATCCAATAGCTTATGTCAAGCAGCTCCTGATTATCGATGCGAATATTACCGTCGGGCTGACCACCAAGCAAGAAATCTCTCACGGGGGTAGTAGTAACCGCCGCCGCCATCTGCGAGTGCGCGTCGAATAATTCCTGGCTGGTAGGCCACGTCCAGGCGAAGATGCCGGCGGCACCCCTGTTGAATGCTAGCGCGTTCATGACGAAGGCTTCGGCAGGTGTCGGATCGCGGGCCCAGTAGTCCTCGCCGTGGAAGGCTTGCGGGTTGTGGAACTTGGGTAGAGGCCACCGGCCCAGCCAGCGTTCGTATTGGATCAGGCCGTCGAGACGACGCGAGACGTCCTGCGGGTTACCTGCGCAGTTATCACACCCACAGTCCCCCAGGGTTGCATTACATTCTGTACCCCACTTGGAGAAGGTACTATTGATTGCGATGGGATATGGATCTTGCATTAGAATATCACCGGCCGAATACTCTCCAAAGTAGTAGTCTTGGCAGTTGAGGGTCACTGCTACTGGGTGATACGGGTCTAAACCGTGAATGAGCTCCTGGGCTGCAGGCGTAACGTCGAAGGGAACTTGCCAGCCGTCGGGTCTGGTAGATGTTAGTATAAGCCAATGAAACTGTCAACTGCTGATCGACAGAGGGGGACCTACTCGTCGGCCGTCCAGTAAGCGAACAGAGAGCTGTGGTGCTTGATAGTGTTCACCCGCTGTGTAACCTCCGTCAGGTTTTTGTATGAACCACGTAGGTCGAACATGAAGCGAGCGGCGGATGCGTCCATGCTGTCGTACACCGGGTTGGTATCAGCAAATCCCGCCAATGATATGATAGCATTGAGACCTTTTCCACCGCTGGAGTATTCGCGAACGAACCCGTCGCTCTCAGCCGTACTGTTAGATCCGTTATACAACCCGTAGAACCCGTACGGTAGAAGAGGCACGAAGACGTCGCCCGTCTGCGCGTTGCGGAATGATAGACCGCCGTTCAGGTTGTCGATCTTGGTCGCGCTCCCTCCCGGGGCGATATCTGGCAGGTACCGGAACGAGCTATTCGCCGTATAGTTGCGGCCACCAAGCCGCGACGTCCCGACCAGGACGACTTCGTATGGTGTTAATCGCGGTTCGAGGGCAGAGAGGTCGAAATCGAAACCTGAACCAGTCGCATTAATCGGCACGACACCCTCGACTAGCGGTGCATCACCCTCGCCGCTTTTAGACGCCAGGCTGATCGAGAAGTGCAGATCCGTAAACGGTTCCGTCACCGACTTTTCGTCGGTCGTCGAATTCTCCCACGGCTCGCCAAACCAAGGCGACAGCTCGGCCTTGACGACGAAGGAGCCCTTATCCTCGCCAGCTAGGTAGATGCTATGACGTGGCTTGAATTGCACGTATAGATTTGGCGATCCGTCCGTGTTGATAAGAGCTGGCTCTGTCGTGTGACCGCCCGGCTCGAAAGACGGATATCCGGGTTCGTACACCTTTCCGCACCATCGCGGCCATCCTGGATGTTCTCCGGTTTCATTTTCAGACTGAGCGCGTGCTATTCCTGCGGCAAGGACTACACCGCTAAGAAACACAGGTGGTCTCATTGCCGCTGATATCCGTTGATGACATAGGACTTGGGCGTATAACACGATCCTAAACGAGAGTGATGGAAGTCAACCTCCTAGAACTTGCACTTGTTGCCTGCTGAAGTTGATACTCGTATAGATATGCAAAGAGCAATCTCGTCGCCAGCATTTACATCGCTAGAAACCAGGTTAGCAAGGTAAAAACAGTTACAGGGAGGTCAGGTCTGTAAAAAGCCAAGTCCAATTGATTGCGACGTTCCACATTGAGCTGCCTGTTTAAGCATCCCCAAGGGAGATTTCCTGCCCCGCATATAGATTATCAATAACCATGACGATAAGTAGATCATCATCTAAAGGTAACCCTGTCAGTAAGTTCAGATAAGTATAAGTGGAATTAAGAAATGTAACGATATAATTTAGTGCAACGATATGTTGTGGCATGCCTCTATTATACGTCATTCTTCGTGATAGTTTCAACGACTGCTTGAAAGTCCTAATGGATTATAGGTAGTCATGAGTATTATGCACTAAAGAATGGTAACTATTCCTTATATACCTATATATATATATATATATGCGTCTTTCAGTCAAAATCACAATGCAGCAACAAGGCCAAGCGTCGCCAGCGCGACAACCGCCCATATCTTGACCCCCGTTAACGTACTCTGCTCGGCATACCTCTTGGGCCCGTCGCTCGTCGACTTAGGAGCCGCGGTCGCGCTCGCCTCGGCGGCGCTTTTAGTCGAGAAGTAGACATCAAACGGGTCCATCGCCGCGGTCGTCCAACTCGGGGGCGCAGGGCTGGCCGTCACGGCAGCAGATACTTCAGAATCGGGTAGCTCGTCGTCGTACATACGAACGATACACCAGTTGCTCGCGAAAGCGATGTCCTTGGCGATGTTCTCGGGCACGTCGCGCTCGTAGACGAAGCGCATGCAAGACTCGACGTCGCCGGGTGGCCCGATATGGACGTCTTCTGTGACGTACGGTGGCGGCGTCGCGGCGGCGGTACCGGAGCCCGTAGCGTAGGCGTAGTAGACCGTCTGAGTAGTAGAGGTTGTACTCTCGGGCAGCTCGCAGAACTGTATCTCGCAGCCCGTGTTGCCCGGTATGCGCATCAGGGGGCGGTTCGCCATGTCGCAGCATTCCTTCAGAGACACCACCCCGTAATGCATGTCCGGCGGCGGATCCGCAGTGCTCTTGAACCCGAAAGTCACGCCGCAGGCGTAGGAGGTTATGTTGCGCAGGGCGTTGTGCGTATTGCACGTGCTGTCGCTCTGGCTGCCTACGATACCTGCCATCGTGAGAGCCTACTCTATTCTACGTCGCTTCAAAGGTATAAGACGCTGTACGTATATTCGTAGCGTTTACTGCCTCTGAACAGTTGGGTTTTGCTGGATAAAGAGGGACCAGTGCTAATTTGCGATTCTGACGAGATGATTATATAAAGAAAGTAAGCGACAACTAATTGCAGTCTATTATAACGAAGGTGAGAGTCGAAACTCTGGTCGGACAGCTGGAAGAGTGAAGACGAAAGGTCAAGTTCGGATTTTAAATCAAGGCTGCCTAAATCTAATAATCCATATCCATGTCGATGTTAGCATGTCGATGTTAGCGACGGCTTGGCGTCGGTGGAGCGTTTGCCTTCATGTTATCAATCTTATAACGGCTTCATTTTGTTTCTTTATCTCTGATGGAGATGCAAAAGCGGGATGATGATGACTGAGAGTACCTTCAAAATACTAAAATGTGTAAATGATCGTCGCGGTTAAGCTTTACCAGGACGCGAATTATTCGCGGGTACTTTGTACTTCATATCATTTCGGCAGGCGGTCAACTTAGACTTATCTTATCGGTAGCTACTAAGTGGGGCACTACATTGCAATTGAAGTTTTCGAAGAAGAAAAAAAAGTCGAGAGCTAGTGCTTCAATTGGACATCAGCCTACAAATACACCCAAAAATAATATAAAGGAAACGTGCATTTCACAATGGCAGGTCCAACTTCAAAAAAGCGAAACCACCAGGATTCAAATACCAAATACAAATCTCAGAGACCGAATAAGAAGCAAAGAAAGGTCCTCAAGTATCACAGCGATTCGGAAGAAGAGGGCGCCAACGCCGAGTTCCGACCCGTAAACCTCCTCGATTCGGACAATGAAGACTTCGAGGATGTCGCCGTAGATGACATCCCATCCGGCTCAGACTCGGACTCGAAGTTAGGCTCGGATTCAGACTCAGATAACGATGCGGTGCTCAAATCCAAGTCTCTCGCGAAACAACGGAATAAACTAGCAAAGAACCTCCCTAGAGATGAAGCTCGCGACAAGAGTCCCGAAGCCGAATTAGAAGATGACGACGACGACGACGAGAATGACGAGAACGAAGATGAAGTAGAAGAAGAGGGTTTGGACGGAGACGACGATTCGAGGCCTCAATTCAAAAAATCAAAATCAAAACGCAATGATCCCGATGCCTTCGCGACATCCATGTCCAAGATCCTATCTACAAAGCTATCTACCACAAGACGTGCGGATCCGGTCCTTTCGCGCAGCGCCGAGGCCCACCAAGCGGCCAAGGACGCTGTCGACAATGCGCTAGAGGCCAAGGCACGGCGGCATCTACGGGAACAGAAGAGATTGGCGCAGGAGAAGGGGCGCGTAAAGGACGTACTAGTCGGCGCTGTCGACGAGGAGGGCCGACCCGAGACTTCCACCCAGGAGATCCAGCAGACGGAGAAGCGCTTGAAGAAGGTGGCGCACCGCGGCGTTGTCATGTTATTCCGCGCCGTCAGGGAGGCGCAGGAGCGGGCCGCCGAAGCCGAGAGGGATACGCGGAAGGATGGCATCGTGGGAGTTCAGAGGCGCCAGGAGAAGGTTAACGAGATGAGCCGGCAAGGCTTCCTAGATTTGATCGCCGGAGGTGGCGGGAAGTTGAAGAAGGATGCGCTGGAAGAAGCCTAAGCTTTGCTCGATACGCGCGTATCCGGATTTGGAATGGCATTTTATAGGATGATACCAAAAGTACTTTATGAACATGACCTCGTTAAGAGTTGGGCTTTGTCCTATCTCCAAGCCGGTTATAGCTATCCTGCTGCGAGTATAGTACATCGTATCGTATGGCTCGCTAGTTTTATCCTGGCTGCCAGTTGCAATGCCACCACCACACCGGTGCGCTACGCCTTACCTGTCGTCATATTGGTACAGTTCGGTGGTTCTTGATATGTCCATCCCTTGCCTTTAACTTTTCCGGGTCATATCTCTTATTACTTTGAGCCGAAATCGCTCGCTTGCAGATTCCTCGTCATGGAGGGCAGCTTGACCTTTAGCCCATCTAATTCCTTAGTCATAACAACCTGACAGCCTAGCCGGCTCGTCTCGGTCAGGCCGAACGCCAGATCCAGCATGTCGTTTTCGTCATCTTCGGGCTCGGGCATCTTCTCGTAGTATTCGTCGTCCATGACGATAACGTGGCACGTCGAACACGCGCACGAGCCACCGCACGCTCCCTCCATCTCTAGGTCGTGCGCTTGCGCAATGTCTAGCAGGTTGTCTCCCTTGGACACTGCGATCTTGTGCTCATTTCCTTCCTTGTCGATAAACGTCACGTAGAGTCTGGCCGTAGATTAGCGTATGGTATTAGGCTCTCGTAAAAAAAAAAGTCTTACTCCTCGCCTGGCTTAGGCGGATGTATATGTCCATGCTGGCGCAGAGGAGATGTGCTAAAATGTCGGAGTATGGGAGCGCTGGCTCGGGTATGGCATATCAACGGCGTCTTAGATCTTATCCTGCTATATGTAGAGAGAGCAGGCCGTCTGAATTGCGATAGGGACTGGGAGGAAGAGAATTGAAGCTTAGGTATGCTTCGAACGAGAGCTCGAGGAGTCGCCATCGTGTCGAGACGAGGTCCGAGGGGTGCGACTAGAACTCGGGGATTTCGGGGATGAGATGGGACGAAGAGAATTTAAGCTGCAAATATTGGAATAAGGGTAGATCTTGCCGATAGGCGAAGACCTGGTTAAATAATTGCCTTTACCAAAATGAGGCTCTTATTGTAGCATTACTCCGTCTAGCGGGGGAACCAACGAGCATATAAATCGGAGGTTGCTTGCATCTAACAAGAGAAAAAACTACGGTACTTGACGATGTTCAGCAATGCGATGCGACGGCATTCCAACGAATGAGAGGAAGGCGAATTGAATTAGCTCCGATAAAATCTTGGAGGCGACCCGAGTACAAGGGACAAGCTTAGCGGCCGGCGACCGATCGTTGGAGAATCTCTTTACGTTAAATCCGAGATGCTCTTTTTTTTTCGTTTCGATTAAGGCTTATCTTATCGATAGATAAGAGATAAGATACGGTTCAAAAATCCATAGAATTTGTAGCACACAAATTTATTGGGTTACGAGATACTACGAGGTACATAGGTATCGTACCACGCATGCATAATCCCACTTTGCAAGCTTGGCTAAGCTCGCATTGGTTCCCCAGCTTACCTAATCCCGGCTAGACAACTCAGTCCCTCCACCCCACGATAATCTGTGTATCTTTCACTCGTACAAAGATACTCGCAGTATAATCGAAAAAAGCTCCATGCCGCTTGAAATGTCTACACCTAGGGAAGGAGTAAACCCCCTGCGCCCCTATTATATACCACCATCTATAGGGGAGCAGGCCGGGAGCCTCCCGTCGCAACCAAACCCTTTCTCCCAAGGAAATGCGACAGCTTCGACACCAAACAAATACGCGTCCAGAGCTCGCGATATCTTCCCCGATATAGACTATAAGGATCACCTCGACGACATATCACCATCTACTATACAGTCGGTCAAGAGTCTAGTAGACGAGCTGCTATGGAAGTATACGTCGGTAATAATGGCCCAGCCCTTCGAGGTGGCCAAGACGATCCTGCAAGTGAGGAGTCAAGACGACCTCGGAGGGTTAAATACCCAAGCGGCACCTAAGCCTGCCCCGAGGCCTGCCAGCCCGGTTCTCTCGAGCCCGATCCTTTCCAGTCCGAACGTTATCGCCCCCGACCGCTCGGTATGGGACGAGGTATAGCAACGAATTTACTATGGCCGTCGTCTAGCTCTTAGTGTGGCGATACTGACATAATTGCAGGAAGGCGACTCTGACTCCGATCCCGAAGGCTCCTCATATTTTACGACTAATACGCCATATACGCCTACGCCGCCGCCAAAGTCTAAGAGGAGGGACTCGTCACCCGCGGGACCCGCCAAGTCGCCTACGAGACCCGTAACCCTCCCTCATCATCTCGCTCTAAAGCGGCCCGACTCGATACTTGATGTGCTGTCGCAATTATGGTCCAAGGAGTCGATGTGGGGGGTCTGGAAAGGAACAAACGCCACGTTTCTCTACACGGTGCTGCAGTCGCTATTTGAGAATTGGTCGCGCAGCCTTCTAAGCGCGCTGCTGAACGTTCCCGATCTGGGACTAAAAGACGACGTCGACAGGCTAGTCGATGTTGCATCGCCGTACCCCTGGGCTTCGTTGTGCGTCGCCGCAGCCGCGGCCGTCTCGACGGGCCTCATATTAGCACCTCTCGATCTCGTCCGGACGAGATTGATCGTCACATCCACCGGACGTACCCCGCGGCGGACCCTGTCAACTCTACGCTCGCTACCTTCGTGGCTGTGCCCGTCGTCCCTATTAGCACCCACCATCCTTAACTCTCTCGTCCACCCGCTCCTCACATCATCCACGCCCCTCGTCCTACGAACCCAATTCCTAATCGACCGCGAGCAGTCCCCTATGACTTTCTCCGTGGCCAAGTTCTGCACCTCGTGTGCGTCCTTATTCGTGAAGCTACCGTTAGAAACGGTCCTCCGCCGCGGTCAAGTGGCGGTGCTGTCGGAACACACGTATCTCGATGCTCTAGATCAAACAGATCAGCTGGAGACGATCGTACCGCTAGGACGATACAACGGAGTGTTCGGTACGATGTATACGATTGCTACCGAAGAGGGCTCGAGAGCCGTGTACGCGGTACCGACCAAGACTCCGGGCCGTGGTAGAAAAGCGAAGCAGTCTAAGACCACCGCGGAGGTAGTGTACAAGAGGGGCCAAGGGTTAGATGGGCTCTGGAGGGGGTGGAAGGTCAGTTGGTGGGGGCTTGTAGGACTGTGGACGGCCGGAGTGGCAGGAGGTGGCGGAGAGGGAGAATTCTAAACAAATAGCCAAACCGACTCAACCTCCAAAGCATACGATGCTACATCGGCAACAAAAAATAGGGAGGAGCGGAGCTGAGGTATCCAGCTTGGCATCCAAGGCTATTCCCAACCCCGCATGATTTTATGTTCGAAGAGAAAAGATGTAAAGCAAAAGCGCCTCATGAGATACGGCATGATTCCCCCATATACGTAACGTAACGTAACGAACTTGATTATATCGGTAGCGCATGGTCGTGTAAATAGACATTCTACGATTGTGAAAACATAATATTATCTACTCTCAACTTTGAGACGCTCTTTAATTAGTTGTGATCAAGCACTCTCAACTATGCACCGTATCCCGATCTTCCAGAAGTACCTGTTATACGATATGATGGTTATATACTTATACGAAGCATATTATATTATTATACAAGTATTGAAATCATCTGTGGAGTCAAATCATATCAGTTTACCCCTATTCCTTAATACAGAATATTCATCATTTATCATCTATCACGTTTTTCAAGATTAGATACCCACCCAATCGGCTTGGCTGTAGAATATCCACGGTAACTAATTTGCACCCTGTTCATAACATTGGTCGCGTTTCAGAAACGAACAAAAAGAAACTTGGGGCTTTTTCTAGAATTTACCCCCCTATCCTTTTCGATCTGGCGTCGTAATATGAAACCAGCCGGGAACACTGCCGTTTACGGTCATCCGAAACGGAGATGTGGATCGTCTGAGATCGACGCAGGGGCTCGGAGTGGATACCCGATGATTTCCAGCCTCTGCTTCCCTCTGCTTCTCATCCCGAAGTTGATCCCCCGCTGATTTGCGATGAGCGGTGCGAACCTCGATGTAGCTCTTTCGCAGCAACGGCAACTCGAACCGGGTTTTCCCGATCCGCCATCTTGGTTATGCATGATCAAAGCTTTACGCTTCACACGACGGCCACGTATGTCATGGTATACAATAGATTGTCCATTAGGCATGCTGAGAGAGGTTGCTTTTCGATTGTGATGAGACACCAAGTTCTATAAAATCGGCTTTAAGAGTTGCATCGCATCGCATCAGCATTTCCAAGAATCGCCATATCAGAATACCAACTCACCAGCTGATACACCAGCTGATGGTTTCCAACAGCCATATGCAAAAGCGCGGCTCGTCAAATCAATTTCCATAAATGAGACCAGGCTTGCCGCCGCGGCTCAACTAGGTGTCACGCCATCGTGGACCCAAGAGGCGGCTACCGATGGTGTGGTCGGGCCAAGAGCACATCTCCCCTGACCGTTTAATTTAATTACGGCCTGAGCCGCGTTGGAGACGTTCCCACCAGCAAAAGTCCAACGCCATCATACAAGTTTGGTTTTCATTTTAGGTATACAATCTACTATGGCTGACGCTGATTTAAAAATAAAATTAGCAGCCGTTCACCAATCACTAAGTAGCCCGTCCTGTATTGCTATCAGTACAATGTTGTAATCCTCCTAAACAGTCAGATCTCTGTCGCTAACCCAAACGTCGCATTAACTGCCAAGGCATAACATGGCGTTGGTTGGTGTAGGTCCTAGGTACAAGACCGAAAAGACGGTATGTGACTGCGTGCCATCCCGGCTTGTTCTCCAACTTCGGACGACGTGGGTCACGAAGGTAGGGGCCCCATCGTAAGAAATCACAAGGGGGTCATATGCCCATTCAAATTGTCGAGGCCTCAGCGTGTCGAATCCTGCAGCTCGATTCCTTCGGCACCTTAAGGGGGACCCTGGTATTGGTGGATCTTGAGGACTGCAATTATACATATGATCTTAGACATGGATACCACGACACGAGTTGCCCTCGAGGCTCTATATAACATGAGTCGAGATACCATCTTCTCGACCTTTTCTTTTACCATCACCATCGGTTTGCGAAGTTGATTCTTTTAGCCATTCATTATTGTCTATCTTTTGCCAGTCATTCTTTTCTACTCCCGGTGAGAATAGCTATCTTGATCGATACATTTTAAACTATCGTAACAGAACTTATTGTCTCTACCTTTCGCTCGCTCGCTCGCTACGCTATATTGCATCAACTATCGCAACCAGCAAAAATGGGTATCTCAAGAATCTCTCCCGTTGTCGCGGCCCTCGTGTCGGCTGCTGCCGTCGCCGCTCATGGCCACGTCGATCACATCGTCGTCGACGGACTCTTCTACCAGGGCTACGACCCAACCAGCTTCCCTTACCAGCAGAACCCTCCCACCGTCGTCGGCTGGACTACCTCTCAGACCGATAATGGTTTCGTCGAGCCCAACAGCTTCGGCAGCCCCGACATCATCTGCCACAAGTCGGCCACTCCGGCGGGAGGCCATGCTCAGGTCAAGGCTGGCGACAGCATCAGCATCAGCTGGAACACCTGGCCCGAGTCGCACAAGGGTCCCATGATCGACTACCTAGCGGCCTGCGACGGCTCTTGCGAGAGCGTCGCCAAGGAGTCTCTCGAATTCTTCAAGATCGACGAGGTTGGCCTCATCGACGACTCGGCGCAGAACGGTTTCTGGGGCTCTGACGAGCTGATCAAGAACAACAACACCTGGCTTGTCCAGATCCCTTCCAACATCAAGCCTGGCAACTACGTCCTCCGCCACGAAACCATTGCGCTCCACTCGGCAGGCCAAGCAAACGGCGCTCAGGCCTACCCGCAATGCTTCAACCTCGAGATCACCGGTGACGGCACCGAAGTCCCTGCTGGTGTCTTGGGTACCAAGCTGTACTCTGCCGCGGACCCCGGTATCGTCGTCAACATCTACACCACCGGTCTCACCTACACCATTCCCGGACCTCCCCTAATTGCCGGTGCTTCCGCCTCCGTCGCTCAGTCCTCGTCCGCCATCACCGCGACCGGAACCGCCACCGTCGGAAACGGCGGTGCCGCCAACCCTACCAGCCCCCCCGCTGCCCCGACGACTGCTGCCCAGACCTCCGCCGCGCAGACCACTGCCGCTCCCAGCTCGCGGAAAACTTCCACCGCTGTCGTCCCCACTCCCACCACCCTTGCCACGTCAACCCGCGTAGCACCTCCCACCACCCCTACCTCCACCGCCGTTGCTATCCCCACTGCGGCCCCGACCGGTGCCGTTGGCGCGCAGAGCCTGTACGGCCAGTGCGGCGGCAGCAACTATGCCGGCCCTACTGCTTGCGCCGAGGGTGCTTGCAAGTCCTACAACCCGTACTACTTCCAGTGTGTCGCCTCAGCTTAAGCTCTTGAGCCTATGGGTTGGGTGGCTGGGACGATGACGAGATAATGTTTGTATGGCATGTGTATACATATAAGCAGCTTGGTTCGGATTGGGCGGTTATATTCTTGTATTTACGATTACGATTTTTGAATTCGAATACCTTTTTGAAATGCATTTCTGTTTGTCTTCCTGTGAATTTGTCCAATATTGTTCAGTATGTGCCTGTCTCTGAATAGGTGCACCGTGGGTAAATACTATATAAATTATCAGAGTTGCTTTACCCGTGTATGCTCGCTCATTTTATATTTCTGCCCAATTATTCAGGGGATGTCGATATCCATTAGTTCTACCGGCGCCCGCAAAGCCTAGCAACATAGGTGTCTTCAGACGACCAATCAGGCTTCGATTATGCTCTATTTGTTGCCTATTCTAGAACGCTGCAGGGTTGTGGTAGATGTAACACGGCGTTGTCATACCCTTGTAATACCCTTGCGTCTAGATTATAACATAACGTCTGTACTACACCAGCTCCCCTATAATTCTAGCTCCATATATTTTAAAGGAGGCACTCCAGACATCTTGAACGCCATAGACCCGTCCTCTATGGCTACCAACCGAGCTTATAACCACAAAATCACTAATTGATAGTTGTCTCAAATGGATCGATCTTGCCTACCGTATCCTAATATACAGACCATTGTTTAGAATCGCCTAGGCTAACTGAGGGATATACTATACCAATACGTGTGCTGCCCTGTAGAATCACGCCCGTTGTAATGTAAATATTGCTGTATTAAAATTGGCCCTTTATTATCAAGGCATTGATATTGATGCCGCGTTTTACATGATAGAAGCGACAAGTCCTCTATTCTCCTAGCTATACTTTTCTTATGTCGGATTGGTTTGTTTACTCCCATACCTCATTTGTTTAGATCCAGTCATTGTAAGGGTTGTTAGGAAATACCCAATAAAACCCACGAGCCAGTATTAAAAATGCAGGTACTGTACAAGTGAATAGAAGGCATCCTAAGTGAATAACGACTACAATAAGAAATAGCTCTAGGCTAGCCACTAAGGAAAGAGAGAGTACAGATGTAAGGAACCCTGAGGGAGCAAGCAAAACCGAGAGAAAAGTTTTCAACTCGATTACTCATGATGGTAGATAAACTTAAGCCCTTTCTGGAAATATAAATGTTTTCATCGTCATGTCAACCACTAAGAAGACACTAGGTAGACAGTTTAAGTACAGCATGCGCATGTTGATTGACCACAACTCAAACATACAACTCATTATTCTCAAAGCCATGCACCTGGCGTGCACTCGACGAACAAAACTATTTTAACATATCCAATCACAACACCCATCCACGTCAGTATTCTAACCCGCTAACCAATAATGCTGTATCCTATCTACCTTTTAGGAGAGCTAGTTTTAAGCAAACAACGTTTTCTTACAACGAGGGCCTTTATGGTGTAGCTGGTGCAGCTGGCGTGTCCGAGCCTGCCACTGATTTCACCGACCTCGAAAGAGGATATAAACATCCTTCCTTCGAGTTCATCTCAACTTCTCCAATACGAATTCTATTCATCACTCGCCAAGATACATTCCAAAGCATACAATCCTTTCTTCGACTTTTGGTATCTCCTCTGATTTACAGAACGGTTATAAATTATACAAGAGACTTAATAGGACACTTTCGTCTCTTCTCAACTCGTTAATATCTTGTTATACAATCGTTCTCGGTTTCATACGACGGTTTAGCGATCCATATCCGTAAGTCAGAAGATCTATAAGACGACGATGAGCCTAGTTAACTAACCTACGGGTTCTAGGAACCAGTACACCGACTACGCCAGGTAGTGTCCCTTCCAAACAGTCCCGAGCCCTGCCTTAGCAAAGAAACCTGGGGCCTTTGAGAATGTCTTTCCCCGTAGACCAACAGTTGGAATTTGACTTTGCCTGCTTTGCTCCCGAAACGACGGAAGCTCAAAACATGTCTTCTGTCTCTACCGCCGCCTCGGACATTGAGGAACTCCAGAAGCGTAACAAAGAGCTGGAGCAGGCTAACGCCGAATTGATTAAACTGCTTAAGGGTTTTAAGAATGAGATGAATGATGTGAAGGGAGGTGTCGAATCGGCTCAGCAAGAACTTCAGTCGGTACGCACGCATAACGCCCGGCTACAAGGCGAGCTTTCCAGTCTTACCAAGCGACGCCGTACAGCTCTCAGAACCAAAAACAGTGATCTAGAGCTTTCCCAGGCCGCCAAGATTGCGGAGCTCGAGGAGGCGTTGGCGCAGGCCAACCTCCGGGGATTCTCGGTGTCACGATCAGACACGAGCAGCGCGTCCGGCGCAGAAGATTTTTCATCCTTCTACAGAGATTCCAGCACGTCGAGCAACTCGAGACAGGGCAGCGTCGAAAGCTCCAGGCCCAGAAAGAGGCGTAGCCCAGGAGTAGAAAGCTGGGACAATTCCCAGGATGTGCTCCAGTTTGGCACGGCGCCGGGTAATCAACAAAATGCTTTGTTTGTCCAAGCACTCCAAGGAGGTCAGAATCAGCAAAGCGTCCCGATGGCTTCGATGGCCCAATTTGGCGGACTCGCGGAACAACAGTCGATGTCGGGTTACCCGCAACTCTACAGCAATGAACAGATGGGGGGACAGCATAACCAGCTGTCTTGGGGAACTGGGTATTATTCAAACCCTCAGCCTCGACAGATAAATGGTATGCCTTCATGCCCGAAGTTCCCCGCGCCATATCAAGCCTCGCAATGGAGTTTCTAAGTCGCAGGAGCCTCCAGATTTCTAGTACCAAGACGTCCACCGGGTCGGATTATTGGTATTAGTGGTATTATCCATTGGATATGTTTTCTGGCGAATCATAGCGAAGGGACATTACTTAATTATATTCTTACTAGTCAGGGATTTAGATTGGATGCCCAGTATAGTATATTGTAATAAATAAGAGAGATAGGAAATGATAATAATAATAAAACTACTATATAACTGCCACTACCAGATCGCTTAGTCGACTATGCAATAAAGCATGTATATTCAAGTACCCGAATGATAAGTGGGTATCTAAATTTCGTACTGATCAGGAGCAATAACCAAACATTACCTACTCAATCAACATCATCCCCTTCTCGTTCGCCTAACCTATGAATATGCTCTTACCGATGAATCAAAAGATAATTTCCTGAGAACCTTTTTCAGATCCATGGGCCTTTCGATGGATGGAGAGGACATAGGTTTTGGCGATAAAGACTTTGAGGAGGAGCTCCGCTCTTCTCTGCTCAGATTTGCGGATTATCTCTTAGATAATTTCTTCTTACCTCGTACTACTCTACATCCTTTTCGGTTATGAACATCTACTAACGCATGTATAGTAAAGGCATCCGCTAAAAAGACGCCCCAGCCATCTCCTGCTTATCATTCAGCCGTCGAGAAGGCACAGGGAGGGCCGCAGCAATTCCCAGGGACACCAGATCGGGTGTCAAGTCTTCGTGGTGCCTGTCTTATTCGTGATCGTCATCGTTGTGTGATATCTCGTATGTTTGATCAGCAAGAAGCCGTTCAGCGCTTCGAGAGAAGCGGGAATGCTGCCAGCGATGATGATGGAAATTTACTCAAATTAGACGCGGGATTCCAAAGGCTGGAAGTTGCCCACATCCTTCCACATTCCCTAACAAAAGTGGACTCGAGTTCTCAGTTGGTCCGTCTTTGTAGTCTTAAAGTGATTTCCCCTAGCTAACTCGCGCAGAGTGCTTCCAAACAAGCGGCGCTTGCCATCTTTAATATGTTTGACAGCGGTGTTGGACACCTGATTGAAGGCACCGATATCGACTAGCTACGCAACGCCCTTACTCTTACATCCGATCTTCATGACTTCTTTGGAAGTTTTCAGATATACTTCGAACCTACGGAACAGCCCCATACCTACCGAGTCGATTCCTTTTTGCCGCCTTGGCTACTACGAGGTCTCCTTCCCGTGACTCGAACACTCTATCTTACGCCTACTAGGACGATTGACCCTCCTTCGTCGCGGCTTTTAGCAATTCATCGAGCGAATAGCCGGCAGTGCTTGCTAGTTGTAGATGATGATATAACGATGAAAGGTTCGAAGGTACTAGGTAATTATTTTACTCGGTCACAGTTTCTAAAGAAAATGGTGTACAAGAATATAGCATTGACAACGAAAGCTATCTCTGATACTCAATAATAATAAATATTCAAGAGTATATTCATACTAAAATACTGTCATAAGACCAACAAGTACGCATCGCTAATGTTTATCCTTAATATATCCCAACATCTCACATAGATGAACCCTATACCCAACCCATGATATGCCTAAACACTACAGCACAAGCACATTGAACCCAAACTGCTTGCAAAACTTCACACAACAGGCCAGACAAGCGTGCCCTCTAATAGCAACATGCGCCCCGACCGGCTTGGCCAAAACAAAAACTCTCAGCCGGTCTTCAGCCGCAGTCGGGATCACCGCCACAGCACCGGATGGTCCCTCTGTACCTTTCACATGTGTCAGTATCTCGCTCAGACCTTGCCGCGCCACCTGCTCAACGTCTGCCCTGCGCGCCCAGTCCCTCAGCCAGGGCAGCGCGTCTTCGGGGGTGCACAGATACACGTCTGGGGATACGGCGGCCGCGTTACCGTCATCGCCTAGAGCGTTTGTCATGACGACGTTTACTGATGCATGTTCGTCATGAGGGCATGACTCGATTCGCTCTGCAGAGGCTAGGGTTTTCAGTACGCCCGTCGGATCAAGAGCAGCGAAGGTGATTTTGTTGCCTTCGTATTCGAAGGACCTAAGCAGGCAGCATTCTAGGACTTGGTTGTCCAGAGGGTGAAGCTGCAGATTGAATCCGTACTGTGTCTGCTTGACTCCTGGTGCGTTGGACGGCGTGAGTCTGGGCGGGATAACCGGTGCGCTTCGGGTTGTCAAGGCCGGCGTAACGCGTGAGTTCATGGCTACGATGCTGCGGTACAATCTGTAGCCGTGCTGATTGAAAATCTTGCCTCGGCACCAGTGAAGTCGTAGGTAACTCTCGTCGTTTACAGGTAACTTCCAGTCAAGCGTAATCGCCGGCCATACGACCTGTCCGGAACCGCAAGATATAATCGCGTTCCGCCGCTCGATTTCCGGTCGTCCCTCTGGCTCTCCGGCTAGCTTCCTGCACACGCGATGCCATTCCGTTACGTCGCAGCATGCCGTCTGCGCTCGGGAGATGCGACAGATGGCCGAGACGACCGTGCTTGGTGCAAGCTCGGCGTTCTGCCAGATAAACGGGTCTGGCCGGACCATGAGCCCCTTGGAGTTCCGGAATAATGACAGTGCTAGGATCGTCGCGACGATGTGCGCTATCTGCTCGACGAACATAGTCGTGGGACCGGGCTGGCCGAGGGGGAATTGCGAACGGAAGCCTGCTAGCCAGTCCTTGCGTTCGTCCTCGTGCTTCGCCTGTTCTAAGAAGGCGGCCGCCTCCTTATGTCCCCAGAGTGGCAACCCCATCTGCCTGCTTCGTAGGTCTTGCATGTGCTTTCCTTCGCAGCCGCCGACGAGTTGTAGGATACCGTTGATGTCGGCGCGTTCCGGGAACGGTTCGAAGCGACCCGAGCTGATCTTCAACACTTCGCTTGCCAAGATTCCCTCTTTATCTTCTTCCTGCGATTGTTCCCAGAGCTTAGACTTTGCCCCGGCGATGTCCGTGGTCGTGTCGCATGGCGATCCCCAGCGACTACGAGGCACGCACCCCTCGGTGCACATTGTCAGGCCTTTTCGTGCCGTGGAGAGCGCGTAGGGGATGACTTCTACGGCTGCCTCGTTGGCCTGACCCTGGTCTAGTTTGAGGGCGTTTAGCATGAGGCGGAAGTACGTGTGCATCGGAACGAGACCGCCGTAGTGCTCCGCACCGCCTTGGTGGAAATTCCAATCTTCCCAGTGTGACTCCGAGTAGATGGCTCTGATTCTGATGGGTTCTGGACCGTCTTTCTGCGTTGGAGGCACGAGTTTTATTCCAATATTCGTCTCGCCCTGTATGAGCTTTTCATATTGTGGCGATTGGCCTTCCCCTATGTAGACCATGGGTTCTTTGCGCAGCCACCAGCGCAGAAAGGCTACGATCCAAGGCACGCAACGTCCTGCTTGGATTGTTATTGCCTTCAGCTTGCCATCACTAAGACCCCCAGCTTTGTGAAGTATCAATAACTCGGCTAGTTTGGCCACAGTATTCGTGTCAGGGGTCTTGGCTAGGCGGCCTATAAATGCGGCACCGTGGTGTCGTTTACGAAGCTCGTGAGATAATATTATCTCGTAGTCTACGATATGGCTAGTAAAGTTGGAGAGGTTACATCTTGCCTCGACGGTGTTGAGTAGCGGATATAGCTGCTCGGCTGTAGGACATCGTATCTCTCCAAACTTGAGATGACGTCCCATCAGATTTACTAGCACCTGCGCGCACTCGGACGGATTAAACGCAGTCACTAGAGTGCAAAGAAGGGCGAGGAATCTCTGGCCGCCCGGTTTACTTCCAAGGTAGTGTGCTATGCCTTGGCTTGGGAAGCCGATAGTAACACATAGGGGAAGAATAGTGGTGGATGTATAATTTGCAAGGGCTTTCTCCTTAACATCCTCGCACGTCTCGTCGCAGATCCCCAGCAAGTCGCCGAGTTTATCGCAGGCCGAGGTTATACCCGAATAGTCCTCGCTGAGGAGGAACATGAAGTTTGTATTCTCCCAGGTATTGTTTACGTCTGCCATAGCTTCATTGGCGACGTATGGTAGATTATGACTTGATATTCAGACTTGATCAATATATTAATCCCGTATCGTAGATACTGAATGAAGAACTGTATTGATGAAATCGGTGGGTTTACTTTTAGGATGAGCCGAGAAGCGCGTCTGAACTTATATAGTAGACATTCTGCTGCTCCCTGACTACCATGTTCTTACAGGACTGACCTGTTATACAGCGTATATTGTCTGTTTACGAGTCAAGTTGCGGATTGTTTACAAGTCAACATATGGCAGTATCACATTCACCTCTCCATACGAGATGATGGTAGTTCGCAATAGCTACATAACTCACCTTTACGACATGATTGTAGCGGACTAATTAGTGTGAGTGAGGAAAATATTGAGATGGGGCAGAGGTCAGCAAGAGTTGTTGACTGAAGCTATAAGTATCATCCCTCCAGCAGATACGGACTCGACGGAAAAGGACGAAAAGAGCTATGACGAGGGACTGCTGTCAGGTACAATACGAAGCATCTTATCAAGAATGTGTATAAGTCAGGGTTAATCATGCGTGAGCTCACTTAGTAAATCAAGTCACTTAATCAAGTCACCCACAGCTCATACAAGGTTGCACAAATACTCGACTGGTTATTCACGTTTATTAGGTATCTTAAGGAGTAACACAACTAGGCCACGTAAGCGACCAAGGCAACACCTCCTTGCACCTTACAAGGTATGACTGGACAAACAGGTCACCATCAAACCAAATTGAAAAGACTCATGCAGAAGCGAAAATTTAAAACAAGTAGCTGTGCCTAGCTAAGCAAGGTATCGGTCCTCCATCCCGACTCCTTTCCGTTGAAACTGAGTGCCTGTGGTATACCGGACCAAGACCTAAAACGCAACGCCTATCTAATGCAATAGTGTGTGTAGTCGGGCTTTTTATACCCCTAGTATCCTCTAATGGTACACGAGGAAAGAGGAATCTTCGTCTGCGACTCAAACCGCAACAACGCCTCTATATCTGATAACGCACAGGCTCCCTCTATGCTGATGACGAATATAGCACAAATAAATGCTTTCCGATACGCCGTAGGGAAATTTTGTGGCCAATGTGCTGGTGTTAAAAGTATCGGCCCAACCGAATCTGATATCAAAAGGATACATCTCATACGTAAGCAATCGTCTGGAGCAATCGTCTGGTCAAGTTCAGTCCGAGTCTTCCATGTCCAGCGCGTTTCGCTCCGCTTCGAAACTCTCGGCCGTGACGCTCAATCGCTCCCTTTCGCGTTGCCTCTCTTTCTTAGCGTCCTCGTCGTCATCCGCATTAGTAAGATCTAAGAACATCTTGTCTACGTCTTTATCGTCTTCCTGTTGACCCTGGCCAATATTTTGTCTGCTAGAAAATGCGTGATCGTGGCTATGACTCCACACTTCGGACCCGAAGAGCTGTTCGGCCCGCTTACGCCCGGTCTCGGTACGGCGTAGATATTCAAGGGCCTTGTCCACGCCGTCCTCCGTCTGCAGGTTGAAGCCATCATCTTGCCCGTGTTGTAGACGTTCCTCTAGCGTCAGAGACGAATCCGGTGCGATTAGCTGAGGACCAGGACCGCTGCTGGCGGATAGGAAGAAGTCCGGATGCAAACTGGCGGCGCTGTTCACGTCTATACCGTCAGGTCGAAGCGACGATCCCGGCCGGCTAGACGACACCGAGTTGGACCGCTGCTGCGGATGCGCGTTGGCCGGAGTGGACGGCTGCGAATTCCGAGAAAAGTAGGCACCGGAAGCAAAAGAGTGCGAGGACGGACTAGTTGCGTTCGGGGGGGCAAGGCTACTGCCTGACGCTGCTGCGGCCTTGGCAGCAGCCTCGGCGTTCATGGCCTTGCGCTTTAGACTGTTTGCCTTGCTCTTCATATTCTCTGGGAGGTCATCGGGATCGTCAACACCATACTGCGCTAGCATCTTCTGCAACTTTGTAGGTCGTGGTTTACGCGTGCTCTTGGAAACGTCCAGCACAGGAGGCGGCTCAGGTGCCACCGGGTTCCATTTATGTAGTTCCTGTCGGAAGAAGTTGGTTTCGAAGGACAGGAGAATCTCGGCACCCTCGATTTTTCGCAAGTAAAATCTTTGGGTACCGGCTTCGGCTGCGGTCGCGAGCACTGGATTGCAGAAGGCTGCTATGTGGTCTCGGAACTTCTGCGCGTTGTCGATTATCTTTTTCAGCACCTCCTCTTCTTCGGGCTGGAAAGGTAGGTTGGGAATCTCTTCCTGCCAAGCGAGAAGATCCTCGAGCTTAGGCCGCGCGGCATCCCGAGGAATTTTCACTCGCCAATCGCAGATAGGACAGGTGTACTTGTCATCCTCCTTAACCTTCCCTCGGGCGATCTTCAGACACTTTCCGTGGTACCATTCGTGACATAGTTCGCATTCGATCATCATGCCAGCCTCGATACGGCGGCAGATGCAAAACACTTCTACTAGAGCTGGGTCGTTCACGTCCCATGCGGTCCGTATAATCTTACCCTCGCCTCTCTCCTCGCTAGCTGCTCTGGAAGCAGGTTCGGCCGGTAGCCGAGGGGTATCGTTTCGAATGTCGAAACATGCCAGGTTGCGTTCTAGCACGTAGTCCATGTGCGACTTCAGAATGTGCAGTGGCGCGTTGGTCTTCCCGAAAAGCTTCTTCCCCTTTCGCATCCAATCCTCGTGACGCCTCTGCTCCTTTTCGAGATCGAGGGTCCCGGTCGGCTTCGAGTTGAGATCTTCGAGCTTCTTCATGATTTCAACCACCTCTGCGTACTTCGGCCTCTTCTTATAGTCGGGATCCTTCGAACGCTCCGTGAGATCGATGATCTGACGATGAGCTTCCCGCTGCTTGTGCAGGATTTGGTCGACGGCGGCTAAAGTCTCTGCCGTCACGGGGAGGGTATTTACTTGGACCTGGTTCGAGAGGGCCTCTAGCTGCGGATAATGGACCACCTCCGCGTTGATGAGCTCTTTTGCTTTGGTTTCCCATTGCGTACCCGCCTGGTACTTTTCGCCAAAATACCTCATGTTATCATTGTATAAGGGGATTTCCAATCGGGTACCTTCTTCGAGCAGCTCCCTGACATCTTTCAGCGTCAAGAACATTCCTCTATTGGACTTGGCCTTGGCGTTCCACTTCGTCTGCTCCAAGATCTCGGACAGCTTGTCGAGCTCCGGCATGTCGACATTAAACGCGCGTCCCTCCTCTATCAGCTCCTCGATAGACTCTTGTCCGCAACCGCGTTCCAAGAATTGTTCGGCGTTCTTCTGGAAGTTTCTGATGGCGTTGGCACGTTCTTGCAGCTGCTGGATCTCGGGGCAGTCGAAACCAATGTGTTCCGCATCGTCGATCAGGCGGTAGATGTTTTCGACTCGGCGGAGTTCGCGTTCTCTCTGCTCCTGGGATGAACTGCCGATGGACTTTCGTAATCCGCTCTGCCAGACCTTGTCATTTTTACGGCGATTCTGCTGTTTTCGCACCGTATAATTAGTCGCCTCTTCGACCCATTCGTTACAGCGGTCAACGAATTCCCTGAGTGCTGGCAAGGAGGGGAGGTCGTACGGTATTCGTTCACCCTCACTGAGAAGGGCTCGCAGCGTTTTTAGCGCTGGCTTCCCTCCTTCGTCGAGAAGTTTCTCGTACTTCTCCTCCCACGCTTCCGGCATGTTAGCCTTGTCTGCCACCTTTCGGTACGTCTCGTCGAGTTCCTCGTTTGTCTTGCGAAAATATAGCTTGTGGTGGTCACCTGCGTAACGCTCGGGTTCGGGGGTATCGCAACAGGCGTGCTGCCCGGCGTGCTGAATGCATAGGACTTTGCCGGATTGGAGGCACTTGAATCTTGACAGGTAAGCATAACACTTGCAGTAAGCACATTGGTACTCCTCCTCGGGAACGTCTTCGGTAGACACCTCGAAAGCTAGGGAACAATGTCCGTCGGATTCTTCTACCAGCGCGCAAGACCCGTGGCCATCTTCTTGGTGCTTTGCGATGAATTCCTTTCGCTGGTCGAGTTCTCGCTTGTGAATCCTCTCGAGGGCCGGCGCGAGCCACCTCGCAGTCTGGATTGTCAATCCTAAACTCGTACCTTCTGCTGCCGTCCATAACAGCTCGTCGTGTGAGAAGCACGGCTGTCTCCGGAACTGCTGTAACCGCTCCACGCCGGCGAGGCCGTATGGCTCCCAATCGAACGGCGCAAAATTGACAGCCTCGTTAAAGTTAAACCCGTGATTGAAGCCGGCATGGTAAGCTTGAGGAAACGTGAGGACGAGCTGGCCCGCCCGCTGGTCGAGAGCGTAAACGCGGACGCCCGCCTTCTGAAGCTGCTCGGGCGTAAGAAGCGTGACGAGCTGAAACAAGAGGTCCGGCTGCGTTTCGAAAAGTTCCGGTACTGCCTCCTTCATGGCATTCTCAAACTTCTCGGTGTCCTCGGCCGGAATACCATACCAGGTCTTGGTCGCTCCGAAGTGCTGGTAATTAATCGAGTAGGCAAAGTGGTCCTCGTTGTGCCAACAAAACGTCGAGAATATCATGCCGACGTAGACCCACGGAACAGTCATGCCTGAGATGTCAGATTTGATATGGCGGAAGAGACTCTCCGAGTGCAGAGGCATGACGGTCAAATTCCAAGGGTCAGTAGAGTAGGGATCGCACGGGTTGCGCTCGGCCGTGGGGAAGCCAGAGCCGTGGGTCGTGCAATGAATGTCCGCGCCGTATTCCACCTCGACCGTTTCCTCGGTGCTGGTGACGAGCCTCCAGAATTCCTTTTCCACGTCGTCTTCCGTTACCGGTCTTGAGCATTTGAGTACGGGGTCGTAGGGCATACGGTTCTCGAAGTATGCTTGCTTGAAATCCGCAGCCTTCTCTTGGAATTGCTTGAGCGAGTATAATCCACCTTCTTCGAACCCGAATTGGCCGTCGCCGACGAGACATCGATGACAGTTCCACTCGGTATCCGGTTTATGCTTTATAGGGGGGTCCAAACAAGCACCGTGATATCCATGGTCGCAGGATTCGCACACGGCTATGTGGCCCGCCTCGTCACCTTTGCCACACACCTCGCATTTCTATACGGTCAACAAAAATACTACGCACTACGAAAGTAGACTATAGAATTCTTACCTCGCTAGGACTTGACGATTCGTCCCGAGAGACTGGTATTCTGGGAGCCGAAGGTCGGAATACTGACATATGCGAACCAGCTACGGTAGGGACGTTTTCTAGAGGCCGACCTGCATTAGTTTCACAAGCGATCGAACCAATCATCGACTTCAAAGGACCAGAACAGCCATTGTAAGGTCTCCGCCCCTGTTGTGCATTGCTGCACGGCAAGGCGCATAATTGAGACCCTGCACAATTGCGGCCCCACTAATGGAGAACACACCACAAAGGAAACGATACGACACTGACGACGAAGGTAAACGCAACAGTGATATCATGATGAAAATAGAGGGTGAGTTGAAACTCATGAAGTGAACGAAAAGCATGTAATAAAAGGATTCGAATAGTAGGTGAACTAAGGACAATGAGGGGTTACTACGAAAATACGTACCTTTCTTGAGCCTTTTACTCCTTCTACTACCATTCTCCGAATCGTCCCTATCGGTACCGTTGTCCTTTTTCGCTGAATCTAAGCTGTCGGAGCTAAGTTGGCGCTTTAGGGCCGTGGCGGGGCCGAGTCCGGACGGTCGAAAATCTGGGGTGTTTTTAGCAGATAGATGTGGGCTTCCATGATGCTTCGGGGGCGGAGTGAAGCCTTTGGGATCTGTTGGAGTAGGTCGGTTGACGCTCGTAAACCCGCTGTTCACCGCCGTAAACCCACCAGAGTTGATAGCGGTAAACCCGCCGGACGAAGGTTGCGAAGTAACGGCCGGCGCATCCGCCATAATAGTATCGCGATCAGCTTCTTGCTTCGGGACATTCAGACTCTGTTGGAGGATGTCGCTCGCGTGTCGAGCAGGCGATTCTGCTCGTAGACTGGACGGCGTATTCATAGCCGACCTCTTTATCGGACTGGGTGCCGGGCTAGGGGTTAATGGCCCGCCATATTCATACTCCAACTGTTGATAGACTCCCGGTTTTGCTTGGCGTAGATAATTCTCGTACGGAGTAAGCCATCGATCGTATGAGTTCTTGAGAGACGTCGATAGTGACGACATTATTTTCCCGCTGTAACCCAGATCTCTGCCAATTTCCGCCCATTTCTTGGTCTTGCAGACTTTTTCAAACCCCCCACGAGATTCGACGGCTTTCTTAAGCTTGTATAGGTCGAGGGGCTTCTTATCCACGTATGGCAATCGATTCAGGTTGGTTCCTTGCTGCTTATGGTATTTTGCAAGGGCATCCAGATATGTTAGATTCGCTCGCGTACCTAGCATCTACATGTTAATGACAAAGGCCACGGAATCATTTGTAGTATCTTGCTGCGGATAACTCACGGCCGTCGACCGAATTCAATTCCTGCTTTCGTGTCCTAAAGTGGAATTTCTGTAGGCTATCAGTACGAATGGAGACGCTATCGAGATGCGTAGACTCTATAAGATGGAAAACCACCGCAATACGCTCTCATTGTACCGATTGGGATATTTATAGACTCACCTCGGTATCAATCGCGAAATCGGGGTTCCACGAGTCGGGAGGGATGACCTTGCAGATACCGTACTGGCGGGCTTCGGGAGTTATCTTGCGAACGTACTCGAACGGATCTTTCCATTCTTCTTCAGTCGGTCGGTAGGTTGGTGCTTCCTCGAGGCCGTACAACCTATTCTGCTTAGATGACTCCCGGCCGGCCGTCGGCTGACCCCTTCTCTCGACCGATGTAAGGTCTAGCGGGGCACTACGCATCGAGCTGAGAGGGACTGGGGGGTTGGTTGGGTGATAGCCGTTCGAGTTGACCTGGGTCTTGGATTTCGCGCCATTGGATGACGAGGTATGGCCTGCGGAATTGGCGGCGCCGACTGCAGGCGAAGCTCTCGAGCTAGCATTTGCACTATTAACGCCTCCAACGCCGCCGTTATGGCTGACGGAGGGGGTGGAAACCATGATTCACGGCGTACAATAACGCTGGAAGGTTGATTCAGACGGTGTTCCCAACAGTCCTAGAGTGAGTAATAGTAGGCTACGTATGCCGACCACCGCCAAGTGGTGCGAAGTGTGAGGCTGTCACAAGAAGGGTGAGCTGTACGTGCATCGCATGAATGTCCTACCGTGGTCGTGATGGAGCCACCGCTGAAGATAGCAGGAGGTGGTTAGCGTCGAAGGGGCGAAATGCTGCTCGACCAGATATCGTCGTTCGGATCGTGTGGGGTGTCGGTACCGTGTTGACGTAGTGGAAAACCGCGATACGTGCTCAAGAAGCGAGGTGAGTATGGGACCTGGTCAGAATACACAACCAAGGGATCCTAATTTGATCAACGACAAATCAGGTAAAACAGTGCTGCCGATCCGGTGTCCTGGTCCGTATCGCACTTCAACCGCCACGGCGCAACCTCGAATATTCCCAATTGCTAAATTAGTGAAATCATTAGCGGCCAAATATAAAAGCCGAACAGATATGACACTCAATGAGCTGATGAGTGAGAAGGTTCGTTTTCTGATAAGTGTAAATTAGAGGGGGATGGTTAAGTCGAGGAAGGTTGCATATTAGATTGAGAAGAGGGAAGTTTAGTTTTGAGATGTCAAGTATGGAGATATGGGTGGAAGGTATGAACAATAGTCGTGTAAGTAGAACGGAAAATGTACTAGCAGATTGGATGGAGCGGAATGGGTAAGTTAGGTCTGTTTGGTACGGTGGAACCATGGGGTGGTCAGGTTACTCAAAAGCCTCTTAACCTCCGTTTAAAACAGAGGCGAGAGAAACGGGACGGGGGGTCACGCAGGCGCGGCTTGAATAGTGTACGTAAATTGGGATTGGAAAAGCAGAAAGAAGAGGTAGAGGTGGATATGATGTGGGTGGATGCGACTCGTAGCTGTCGTCGGGATTTTACGCCCAGACCCATTTAAAGAACAAAGTGGATCCAAGCCACCATATCTGTATGTATGTACCTACAGGTACGTTAGGTTAGGTACTTTTGTGCAGGGTGCCGATAGACTTCATTCTGTACGCATTGAAATTCCCATCTAATACGGTTCCGCATCAGGTATCTAACACCGCAGCGTGCTGGACTTGCGTACTTGTACCGGCATATAGCTATATTATAGTGTTGCATGTGAGGTACATATACCTAACAGCAGACTTTTGAATGTTCCATCCAACATCGCCTTTAAGCTTTAATTCTCATTTCCATTTCCATTTCCCTCCCTCTTCGCATAAATTAGTGGACCAACCCATGTGACCATTGTAACCCGAGCATGTATATAACCTGTTGCGCACTTTCACTCGCTTTGATAACGAAGGGTCGATAGTATGAACTTTATAGGTTAGGTTATGTAGGCTTGAATATTAGCGCTTGTCCCGGAGAGGCGGAAGTTCTGTCATCCACTTTGCTCAATATAGCTTATGCGCAAGAAATGAATGCGGGCTGACACTCTTGAAGTCAAAGAGAGACGAGGTAGATGGTACGATGCGCAAACTTTATACGACCAAGTTACTGAACACTAACTACGAACATGCGGTCACGCTATGAATTATACAGAATTATACAGCTACATATAAATCTATATTAGTGCGGCAGCCCATTTGTATAGATCAAGTAGGTACCTAAGGTGTATTCCGGACCCTAGGCCTAGACAATCTAAGATTGTCGGTGTATCATCTCAGGATCGTGAGATCTATAATCGAGCGTAGAAATCGGAAACAGACCGGAATCAAATTGTCGGGGATCACTTCGACCCCAGCAAACCAAAAGATCAGCGGTATATTACCCGCTCGAAGTCAAAGCAAGATGAATAGAGCAGCAAAATTATATAAGATCGCAGCCGACGGTTAAAAAGTAAAAGTCGGTCCTAGTGTGGAAGGTAAATAATATCGAATGCATGTCATCTGCTTCCCCATGAACTGGAACGAGGCTGCACGGATTACGCCGAAGCTATTAAGAATACGTAAATTTATATGATAGGTAATACCAAGGTTGATCAATTATGTACCTACCTACGCGTGTATTCGGTGGCTTTATTCTGTGGCTGTTTGTTCTCTTACATAATTTCCTCACGTATTATTCGTCTTGCTAAACCTACCTATTTTGCATTAATGATCTGACAAATGCCCGTTGTGCGGGGATTCTAAGCACTAGTCGTAGCCGAGATATTCTGCGGTCCGAAAGGTCGAAATCAACAGCTTGGATTCGCTGTTGGAGAATTGGTCGGCGAGGTTGGTCAACATGCGCCAGTTTAAAAGAAAAGAAAGAACAGGAAAAATTGAATTGATATTCGCAGACAAACTTGCAAGGATCAGGGCCAATGAGTCGTCTAACTAACCAATAGTATAGGAGTGACGTTTGAAAATATGGACCTAGATCCCTGCCCTGCATGACGGGAATACCACGCGAGCACTTACAGATGGGAAAGGTCCAGCGTAGCCGAGTAACGAACAGTTTTGGGTCTCGTCGACCATAAAAAGGGTAAAAAGGGGGTCTGCTTTTTGCGGGGGATAGCACATCAATATTCGTTCGAGGTATTTTCGCGTCGTAGACGCTGGGGTTTATTATACCAAGGGTTCGAATAGAAACGATGAAATTTCATCCCCAGTTACAAGTACTCAAATTTGGTTATGTTCAGGTGGTTAGAATAAACAAACACAAAGTATTCGTTCCCGGTCTCTTCTAATGACACCCAACACCTCGCTATAAAAACCGGGGGATCTACAAAGGTCTATAGCTCAAAAGGGATCGCAATTATATATTAGACTCAGCTCGCGTCTTTCGCTTTCTAGGTTTCTTAAGCAGCTTCTCAATCTCCTTAGTCCCTCTTATTCTCAAGCTCATCTCCTTCATGAGATCAGCCCACACTACTTCGCCTTTGCACCTTGGACAGCGTCCAGATATAGGTATGATGTTCTCGCCGGCCTCTTTTCCAAGTATGTGTCTGCTCCAGCATGATATATGCCCGGTGCCCTCACAATCGGTATTTGAGCATGTTGCGTAGAGGCCCTTGCCCGGATCAAGGTGTTCTTGACAGACTATGCAGTCACCTTCCCTCTCGAAGTCATAAATAGACTGTGTCTTCATTACATAGGTCCTCATCGGAGCGTAGTCGAGTGGTAGAGCATGGATACCCCAAAGCTGCTCTAACTCATCCTCAGTGTCAGAGCTCTCACCATTTCTCTGACTGGCTCTCGTCGGGTTGAAATCAGTTAACACCCGAACTGTATCCCGAAGAGGCTCATCTACCGTATCACACCATTTATTCCAAGCTTTGTGAACCTCAGGTACGAAGAAGTGTAAATTCAGAGGCCATCTTGAGAAACTAGGAACGCGTAGGAGAAGATGTAGGTTGGATAGAATAGATGATAGGGTATGCCGTGGACGCCTAGGACGGCCATTCCGTTTCCTGCCCGCCGCAGTGGATATACGAGATGTAGATGGAATATGTAGTGAAACGTGGGGATTGGTAAGAGCCCATCTAGGGGACGGTCAGCTTGCACATGGAAAACGTGATGACCCTCTAACTCGGATTGCATACTCAAATTTCAAGGCAGCTACCATTCCAGGGAAGCCTGATACGAGACCGACCATCTCCCACGGTCTTAGCTTGCTCCTCGATGTGCGTGCGGCGCCACCTTTCACCTCACCGTTGTGTTGCTTAAGCCGCCGTGGCGGATTAGGCGTCGAACCAATATATAATGAGGCGTTGCGGATGGTCGAACGTAATATATAGACGGTATATAATGGAGGGATGGGTTTCGCTAAGGTAGACATTTCTGTTCGGTTTGGCGCGTCTTAATGAGGCTTCGAATTTCTAGTGGTGAGATAAGACAAACACTCGTAGCAAGGTACTAGGTTAGTTCTATATCTATCACACGTAGCTCATTCGGTAGATGATTTTGAGGTGCCTGCTGATTTTGCTTCCGCCACAGATTTCGACGGGTACCTTATACTACGAATATTTTAAAGAAATGGTAATAAATATTCATTATTTACATTGTACAGTCCCGAAGACGTCACAGACTGAGGGATAAGGTTTAAACTAGTGGGGTGTGGGGTTAACGTTTAACGAACTGGGCTAGCTGCACGACCTCAACCAACCGATTCAACATGTACGATTAGGTACCTAGTTACATGATATACATGACAATGGCTATGGGCTTCAGCATAACCATCTTCCTCCTAAAGAGCAATACAGAGTAATATTTATAGATGTACAATTTAATCTTAGGTACCTTGCGAGAGATGGTATCGCCAATATTACTAACCACGCAGCAATTTTAAAAGCCGCCAGGTATTATTCATTACACCTACTTTTACAATAGACCCTGCTTCTGCAAATCGTAGTAGACCTTCTCCGGCATGACATTGCCTTCGGCATCTTCCATCTGCACCACGCTCCCGTCATCCACCTTGTCCTTGCGCTTTTCCTTTTGTATCTTCTCCCATAACCTTAACGCCTCATCGATTCCTATAATGTCTCGGAAGAGGCTCGTGTTCGTGATTCCTAAACATTTCAGGCCATATATATGACGCGCCTCGTTGAAGTGCTTGTCGAAAGCTCTCCTCCCCATATACACAAAGTTACCACAGATCTCACAGGGAAACTCGACGCCGAGACCGTGAAGTTTGTACAGCCAAAATGGAATAGGCTTGCCATCCCAAGCGAGTGGCAGCTTAAGCGGGTTGTAAATTTTATCCTCGTCATCGTTGTCCTCCCCATCCTCGGCGTCTTTAGGATTCGACGTAGTTGCTGTAGCGCTGAACAAATTCTCTAGCTCCTGCTGCCTTTCACGCTCCGTCATACCTTGCTTTCGCTCGACATTCACTTTTGTGTCGCTTCGTTCGGTACTCATCGCACTGGCCAGGCGCTTTACTCGGAATTCCCTTTCCGCGATGGCGCGCTCTTTTAGTCGTTGCGCCAATGTATTTCCATTGTTGGTATCGTGAGGCTCGCTTCCATCCTCTTCAAACCCGCCTTGTAATCTCTGCGCGCGCTCCGCCGCTGCTCTGACATGTTTCTTGCCCGAAAGGTGCCCCTTATATACGTTTTCGTTCTTGAATCCTCTCTCGCAGTCGCTGCACCACACGGCTTCGGCTGCGGATGCCTGCGCCGCAGCGCTGCTAGGCTTTCCGTTCTCATCCTCCTTCCAGTCCGCAATTTCATCCTGCTCCCAAGCAGAATCAAATTCTTTATCGAAGTCGGTAATCACCTTGTCGATATTTTCCAATGGCCTCGTCTTCCTCATGAAAGCCTCGAGATCCAGAGCGAGCTGGTTAACGTATTTGAAGTATTGTTCAGTCAGCTTCTCGGATCTCTTTAGCCCGCCGGCACCAGGCGCGAAGTTGTCAAACGAGTCCAAGTATTGGAGATAGCTTAATCTCTTGGCGTTGGGAAGGTTGAGGTACATCTCGTGGCAGATATGTAGATCAAAGAAACGGCCAAATGCTTCCTCGCCGGTGAACAGAGTATCTACGATGCTAGGCTCAGAATCGGCATCGGGTCCTTTTTTAGGTCGGTACGCGCGCTCAAGATTCTCGACAGGTTCGTTGGGATACTTGGTATGGAACCTCTTGATATCGGCTAGCTGCTTATAGAATTCCTCCATCGGATCACCGCTGCCGATCTGTTGGATCTCGCGCGATCTTGTTCCGTCCACATCGCGGTAGATGGTCAGGAGTCTGGTAGATTGCGACGATATACGGTCAAGAAATTGTGCTATTTGATGGTCTCGCGCCAGACGGTCTCGTATCTGAAGCATATAGTTAGCAAAATATTACTCACGTGTAAATCTATGGGGTACTAACATGTTTAGGCTCATCGCCAATTCGATCCGCGACGCCCTGCTCGAGGCGTTCCAGGTCCTCGTGCAAGAACCTTTGCTCTTCTAACAGCATCTTAACTCGGCTAAAGCTATTGCAAGCTTTGTAGTGATTGAATTGATGCTATAAGAGGAAGATTGCTGGGAGCTAAAAGGAAGATGGGAATTTCAACATGGGAAAAGAATGATAACGAGGCTGATCGAAAATCGGTAGAGCTTCCATTGAAGTTGAATTTGTTAAAGGCCAATTAGATCGCGTTCCCCAAGTTCACGTCGCCACAGCACTAAAGATTAGGTACTTTGTACATTCAGATAGCGCATTCAAGTGGGTCAACCGCCTCTAGCTATTGCATATTTTAGTACGTTTTTAGCCACAGATTATACAGGAATTCGCTAACTAGGTAGCTGTTAACGGTGTGTTTAAGGCTCCATAAAATTCTTGATAACATCAAACTCAATTTCCTCAACTGCGAATTGATCAGCTTGTGTTTGCGTTTCCTTACATCAAAATCCACGCGACCAGATCAATTCCACATACCATATACCATACATAACATTCACCATGGCGGAAGGAGGTGGTATCGATCGTCGCGCCGACGAGAAGATGGAATTTTCCACTTCGAAAGAGGTCACAGTGCACCCAACCTTTGAGTCCATGTCATTGAAGGGTAAGGCTATCCATCTAATTATATATCGCCAATTCTTCTCTTCGGGGAAATATTAACAATCGTTCTATCTATACAGAGAATCTCCTTCGTGGTATCTACGCGTATGGTTATGAGTCTCCCTCTGCTGTCCAGTCTCGAGCTATTGTCCAAATCTGTAAGGGGCGCGACACCATTGCTCAGGCGCAATCTGGTACCGGAAAGACTGCTACCTTTTCCATTTCTATGCTTCAAGTGATCGATACTGCGATCCGCGAGACCCAAGCCCTCGTCCTCTCCCCGACCCGGGAACTCGCCACTCAGATCCAGTCTGTTGTGATGGCCCTAGGCGATTACATGAATGTTCAATGTCACGCTTGCATTGGTGGAACAAACGTCGGGGAAGATATCCGAAAACTCGACTACGGTCAGCATATTGTCTCTGGTACCCCTGGTCGCGTGGCAGACATGATTCGCCGCCGTCATCTGCGAACCCGCCAGATCAAGATGCTCGTGCTCGACGAGGCAGATGAGTTGCTCAACCAAGGCTTTCGCGAGCAGATCTACGACGTTTATAGATACCTGCCCCCTGCGACCCAAGTTGTTGTCGTCTCAGCTACGCTCCCTTACGATGTCCTAGACATGACGACCAAGTTTATGACCGACCCTGTCCGTATTCTGGTTAAGCGTGACGAGTTGACGCTTGAAGGCCTCAAGCAGTATTTCATTGCTGTCGAGAAGGAAGACTGGAAGTTCGACACGCTATGCGATCTTTACGACACCCTCACTATTACCCAAGCCGTCATCTTCTGCAACACCCGACGAAAGGTAGATTGGCTGACCGACAAGATGCGCGAGGCCAACTTTACCGTCAGTAGCATGCATGGAGACATGCCTCAGAAGGAACGCGACAGTATTATGCAAGACTTTAGACAGGGCAACAGCAGAGTTTTAATATCGACAGATGTTTGGGCTCGCGGTATCGACGTCCAGCAGGTTAGCTTAGTGATCAACTATGATTTGCCCAGCAACCGAGAGAACTACATCCATCGTATCGGTCGAAGCGGTCGTTTTGGCAGGAAGGGTGTCGCAATCAACTTCGTCACGAGCGAAGATGTCCGAATCCTCAGAGATATCGAGCGTGAGTATCACTCTACCAAATATTGTGCATTGCTAACGGGCGACTAGTGTATTACTCAACTCAAATCGATGAGATGCCGATGAACGTGGCGGATCTCATTACTTAATTGCTCTACAATGAGTGGCTCCGCTCGGAACTGACGTAGTCATAGCAGAGTAATTGAACGAGGTTAAGGGAGTGTCTTGGTCGTGGGAGGAAATGGGCATGTTGTCTAGAAGTAAGCATTTTGAGTCGATATCATCACCGTACGCCTGAACTGACCCATATACATAGCGCCGTATTTCGGTCATTGTACCGTTCGCTGAATCCGATACTTTACCGACTGAGCTATTACTCGAGTTAGGAGGCCTATCGATCCTCTACAGATACGTGCGTATGAAACTTGAATTTAGAGTGCCTAATAACCAAATGAAATAGACTTCTGCAAGGAAATATCAACGACGGTGCATAGTATGACCCGGGACAAACCTAACGTTGGCTACTAACCTGCGCCTGACCTCGTTTAGGTTAGGTTCGTAATGATCATATGAAGCTCGTTTGTAGTGCATGCTCGCTCGATTATTTCGATCATAATCACAATTATCCAATACATCTGACGAGACTTGAATCATCAAGGATGAAGTCTATAGTTCTACTCATCTGATCCCTAAGTATACAAGTCTCGAGATAACATCATAGGCCTATTGTATGTTAAGCGTGTCCATAAGTCTAAAGCGGTTATCTAGATAGGTACCTAAGCAGAGCATGCTAGGAATAAATAAATAAAATTAAATCCCTTTCAGAGTCAATAGCAAGCAAAGTCAATCATTAGTTACTTAACTGCTAATACAGGAGGAAGCAGACATTAATAGTATTTAAATCAATCTGGATGTTCCCATGGAAACCGTTTGATCTTCCACGCCTATAATGACTGTAAAGAGCCCTCACTGCCTTATCTCCCGACCTCGAGTATGTAGACACCCATACCTCGTGTCAATAACAGATACGCCCACGCTTAAAGATAGCCCTAAGGAAACAAGCTCATATAAGACAGGAGAAGAACAGCTAGGTCTGCTCCAACCGAAGCTCCATCACAGCCAGGGCACTTCCGAGCGGCTTCGTGACTTTGACAAGTTTTAATTTGGGGTCGGCCATCTTGAATAGCTCTTTCCAGTCGCCGAGGTTACGCTCTACGCTATTGAAAAGAGCCATCATCGCAATATCAAGGGTCCTAAGGAAACAATATTAGCTTAGCGGCTTATGCTGGGCAAGGCACCGTACCTAGTTTTGCGTTCTTCAAGCGTGCTCAGCGTGCCGCTATGTATCGCGATATTATCCATAACCACGATTCTGGCATCAGGCTTACTTCTTGCACCACATAACTGCGCTTGCAAGATACGCACTGCATCTTGGTCTGAGTAGTGGTGCAATATGCGCCTCAAGAGGTAGACATCTCCCGAAATGGTCTGCGGCTTGAAGAAGTCGTACGCCATGAACTTCAGGCGGTCTCCTAACTCCTCTACGTCGACCTCCTCGGCGAGGGCGGTGTTTGAATCCTGTACGACAAAGTTCAGCGTAGGGCTGTAGGACGCGATTGCTTTCGAGCAGTGTCCGCTGCCCCCGCCCACGTCGACGACGGTTGAGCCAGGCGGAAGCGCATCCCAATCATACCCAGACACCAGGTGATCCACACTGAGCTGCCGCCGCTTGGCCATACCCGCCATCGCACGCGCGTACCGGTCCGCTTTCATAGAGGTCTCGGTATTCATACGCTGCTGCGCGAGGAAACCGGTCGTGGGTTGTTCAATACCAGCGCATGCGAGGTCAAGTGCCGTCTGTTGTTGAGCACTACTCATCACACCTTGAACGATGGCAGGAGCAGCGATATCGTTACTACTACCACCAGCCGTACCAGTAGACCATCTTCGGCTCATAGCCCGAGTCTCGGTGAAGAAAGCGCTAGACCGAAGAGACTCCTGGGTCAGCCATTCGACGGCAGCACCGGTATCCTCGTCGAGCAGAACACGGGAGTTGCGGTTATGCGCGACGATACGGGTACCTGGTTCGCGGAAAATATGGTACGTCATGAGAAGCTGTAATACCCTCGTGCACTGCGAGGTATCAACACCGGCCGCCCGGGCTAGGTCCTCGTATGTTATGGGCGTGCCGTCCGCAGGAACAAAAGATGCTAACCGGAAGTGGCAAACATACTGCAGTGCTGCGTGAACACGGTGACCTTGCGCGATGCCCATTACATCTATTAGAGGTTAGCTATACTGCTCCCTATGCGAGAATACCATCCGTCAACGAGTCCGCGATTTGTTGGGACATACTAAGAAATGTTAGCCAGGTAATTCCATAGACAATGAGGGAATATAATCATGGGCGTAAAAGAAATTCTCTATAATTCCCCTTCATGATACTAACCATTCAATAGGACCAGTTACCAGATGGTTCAACTTATCGCAGGCTTCGAGGAGTTTCGACCTCGCGATGCTGAGGCTTTTATCGCCATGATAATCAGTGTAAGCATGACGCGGCAGGCTGGTCTCGAGAATCTCAGCTTGCGTCTTGATGATATCCGCAAGAGCGGTAACTGTCATTTGGTCACCCATCAGAACTGATCTTAACCTAGAAAAATAACAATACTCTATATTTTTACCCGCTCTGTGATTGTTGAGTTTCTGAATACCGGAGCCCCAAAGTTTGGGAAGCAGGTCGGATGTCTACCCAGGACGCATGAAGGTACAGTCTAGACTTATAAAAGCCGCACGGGGTATAAGCATGTCGCACAGGTTCGTTATCTGAACCCCTTGGCCGCCACCCGGTGTCTCGGGATGCGGAGTTAATATTGGAGATATGTCCATTGGTAAATAGAGTACGGGGTTCCCACGGGGTTCCCACGGGGAGTTTGGGGGTCCATGGGGCACCCCTCGGCCAAGGGAAGTAGATGATCGCCTAGAAGTTTATAAATGAGGAGAACAAAAGCCGGTTACGCGGGACCGTTCTGCTGAGTACAGTCAACCGTATTCCCAACTACCCGCACCGCCTTGGCATCCCTTTACGTGCGCAACTACTGTGCATACGAGGGTATGACAGGTAGCTTGGCAGTCAGATCGAGGTCTCGGATATCTTTCGTGCTTGATATTACAAAATCTTGGATATTATGCATAAATTAAATATTAATTAGCCTTGGCATCGTCTATTCGAGGTTCTCGCTATCGGTGCTGTATATACGGGTATAACGGCGTACTCATCTCACAGCATTAATCCCGAAGTTTTTGGTGTTCTTCCTCAGCTCATCCGCAACAAACAGCCCCCTTTGAGATACTGTAATGTTGTATTCGTTAAAGATCAAGTTCAAAAAGGACAGAGATTAACGTAGGATACGGAGACGCGAATTATGACTGGAAAATTCCGTTCTTCTTTCATGCGTCTTTATTCGTTTCTCGTGGTCTTGATTTAGATTATGAAAGAGACAATTGTTGGCTATTGAAACAATGGAAGAGGATAGATCCTTAGAACAATGCTATTAATCAATATTTAGACACCAACCAATCCGATTTAGTTGATACCTGAATTCTAATATACCTCCCACTGATAGAAAAGACTATTAACTCTAGAGATATGGCTGCATCCAACATAAAGATGCCATCCTTTGGCATGACGACGACCGAGAAAGTTAAGAATAAGGATCATGTAAATTCGCTTCTTCAGCATTGTCGCGCTTTGCTTCACAGCTACCGGAATAATCCATCCGAATTTGACCTCGACGATGCTTTCACTGTGGTACAAGATGCCTTGCTCATCGCCAGCGACCCAGATGCCTGTGAGTCCCCTCCTCTTGCGACCTGTTACCTTTACAAGGGCCATGCTCTATGGATTATGAAGAGATATCAAGAGGCTCAAGATGCGTATCGCCTCGCATCAAAAACACTTGGCACTAGCCCTGCCGATCGTAAAGCTTCAGAGAAAGCTGTCTCCTATGTTGTGGAAATAGACGAGAAAGTTCGAGAGGATAAACGTAAAGGTGGCCTATGGACAGAGACCTACGATTTGGACTTTCTGCACGTTGATAGCCGGATCCAACCTCGTTATAAATGCCGCAGTGAGAAACTAATCAATACCGGTTTACACCATGCCTGCCCCCCTATTCAAGACTTGGGCGCAAAGAGGGTCACTCACATTGAAATACCCGAGTTTCTTCACACGCCCACTCCTGCAAGCCCTGCTAAGTGCAATGTACATCGGACTGAAGAACCAGGATCTTCTACTCATGGGGGCAAAACGCTCAGAAGCATGCGGGGACGATATATAGATTCAAATAGTCTTTGTGTACAATGATAAATATAGACATGGAGTTATGTAAAAATAAAAGAATTCGTTTTAGACCATTTGCTATAGATTATGATTTGTATCGACATAGACGTTAGTTGTAGTTTATAGTGATAGTCAACTTCGACACCGGAAACGTTTGTTATTTCTTAGAACTAAGTATCCGTAATAATATTTGTTACTTGGGTATTCATATTTATAAAATCACCAAGTCGTGTAATTAACTACTTGGAAGGTACGCTCGTTTCTCTTTTCCTATCCCTAACATGTAACCGTCATCGCAAGACTTGCCAATTCGATAATCCCATGAACCATGCACAAATTGTCTCTCATATCTCATTAACGTTTTGCATTAGATCATTACACAACTGAGGTGCTGCGTACGTGTCCACGGAAGCCGTAGTGCCAGTCGAAGACAACATTGAAGAATAGGAAGAAGCTGGGTTATAGATCAGTACCGATTCAAAGGCATAAATTATATGGGATACGTACAAGGCAATGAAGCTAAATGCCTCGACAGTATGAGCGAGCTCGCCAGCATAGTCGGATGACCAATCCTCAGCCGTAAAGACAACTGCGACTAGCCAGAGGTACGAGAATATGACGTTGAATATAAGAATAGAACCCGGATATGAGCCGATAATGAAGGAGACCAAGAAGAAGACAACGGTAAGAACAGACTATTGAGTTATTCAAGTTAGCTGGTTTGAACTCAGAACTAGAAGATTCCTGGGACTTACGATGACTTCTTCGTAAATGATACGACGGGGAACATAGTTGTTTAGAGAGATGAAGTAGGAGAGAATTCCCATGACAATAACGGCCGAAATCCATATTAATGCATTGCTAATGAGGAAGAAGGGAGGGAGCCCAAAGTGTGATCCGCTAGTTCGAGCCATTGCGAATGAATACCTAGCTATGTTGTGGGATTAAACTGGATTGGCAGAAGTAGTATTGCTGTTCTATCGTAGAGAGGTGCCAAGTACGTTTCCAAGAGGATCTAGAGATTGACAAGAGATTTAGCGGTAAAGGGATAAGAGCAGCAGCGAGGCCTTAATATATAAATTCTCCTCGGATCGGATCACGGCTCTCAGGCTTGCGTCTTTGATATTTAGGTTATACATATGCCTTACACGTCAACCGCCGACTCCATTTCTTGAATTTGAGGCCTGCAGTGGGTTTGTTAAGGACCTATTAAAGACCTAGAACAGCTGACTTGACCGCAAGTTCCTGGGCGCTAACGCGCCGTAGATCTAGCCGCTAGGAGTTTGAAGCTTTGACAGGGCCAATGCCGACGAATGAGGCTGAGGATTTGGACGATATTACGTCACGACAGCATGATTAACGAAGCAACTTATAGGTAGGGCTGCGCTGGTCGAACAGCTCTGTCCCAGCCTGCTGCATTTCTGCTCGTTGACTTGTCAATTGACCAGGAAACGCCTTGAATCCCTGCTTCGAGGTTGGATGTTAGGCAACGCGTAAATGGCAAGAAAAGACGTGACGGCTACGAATAGGACTACAAAAACTTGTAGAGGAGTGATGAAATTACGGATGTCTACTGGTACAAGACTATATCGTAGTAGCAGCTCTCAATACACTTATTAGAGAACAAGAGCCTCCCATATCTTTTCACCTACCTATGTACCAAGGACGAAGCTGCCAAGGCACCTGTTCCTATGCTTTGTTTGGGCACAGATGGAGGCTGGGGTGTTTGGAAGATGCAAGTCGCACTGTGAGGGGTATCGAGCGTCAAACGGTCGAATCGTCGTTCTTTAGCTTCATCCAGCACGACTCTTTGTTATGTTTGGCTGAGATGTTTAATCGTTCGAGGATAATATGATACTATGTCCTCAAGTTCCAATCCTGAAATATGCCCCATATACTTTGAAATAACTAATAAGTATTTCGTGTGAGTATTTGATATCATTCTCAGCTATACAAAATCAGGGGGCAGGTAAAGACCTGTTTGTCCTTCATTTGGCTGTGCTGAACTATCACACAGCAGCCAGAGCAAGCCGAGCAATCCAATTGTTATGAAACTTGGTAATGAGAATACCTTCAGGCGTACTACTTGGCCACAGGTCTCAAGAGCCGTTCAATACCCGAACGATTATTATGACATTCATAGCTGCAAGGAGGTAAATTGGAAAGCCTCGGATAAGATGGCTATTGAGAGCTCGAGATCAGTTTCCGCAAGGTGACGCAATGGCTTTATCCTAGACTCGTTCCAATCTAGTATTTCTAACATAGCTGGTAAGACTGTCCTTTCTTCTGGATCATCTCGAGTCCTCACAATGGATGAGAACTGTACGGGCTCTTTCAAATTTCACATCTCGCGTCGTCTTTCAGCTACTTTGAGGTTGCCGAGGCTATAGTGACGTGCCGTCTACTCCCGTATACTCGGAGGAGATAGTTGTAGCGCATTCAATTAAAAGACCTTAAGCCGTAAGGTCGTCGCCGTAATTCAACACCAACCAGACAACCGGAATTAAGTGGGGACCGGAAATGCTGACAAATTAAACACCGGAGGCGTAAACCTGTTGATAACTTCGATAACTTATGAATAGAGACCTTCCATCGTAAACCTCTCAAACAAGTACCTTCAAAATGTCAGCCAACACTACACCGTTAAATTCTATACATTTCTGCAACTTGTGCAACAAACCCATCGCCACAGGTCAGCCGACTTCTCCTTTAACTCCGGCCGGAATGTGGTATTGATTATATCCCCTATTAGAATCAGCTTATAAGCGGCACATCGCCTATTGCCGCAGGGCTCAAAATCGCCCTAGGAAACGACCTCGCTCTTGTAAAGAATGTCATTCTGCAAAGGCGAAGTGTAGTTTCGAGACCGAGTGTTCGCGCTGCAAGGCCAAAGGTCTGCGTTGTGTCTACGAGGCCTCTTTTACTCCTTCGCGTAGCACTGGCGCTGGTGTTGGCGCTGGCGCTGGTGCTGGCACTACAAACGGCACCAGCAATACCGTATCTGAATCGACAGACAACTATGATAATGCAGAATGCAATTCGCTCACATATCGCTTCGGCGCTTCGACGAGCCTCGAGCTACCTAATACGTCGCCTCGGTCCTTGATCGAGCTTCGTACCGACCCAGTTGCCTGGCATAGCGCCAAATTCATCTTGGAAACCATGCGAGGGCTGCCCCTCATGATGGTTGATAAAGAGAGTTTCTCGTGGTATAGTCACGGCTATTGGTTTCAATCCGAGCTTCCTCGCGACATCGCCAAATGCTCAGCGCTAGTGAACTTGTATAACAGACACCAGGAACCTATAAAACAATCCGTATGGTCGTTGATAAATGAAGAAAATCGGCAACTTCTCCGCATCCTACCAACGTGCTCGTTTAACGATCTCATCTCGTCGATGCACGCGCAGATTATATACATGATCATGTTCGCCCTAGATAACAATAGCACACCAGAAGTTCCCGAGATCCGTTTACAGATGCTCATGACCTTTGACGTAGGTTATAGCTCCTATGTATGAAGTATATACTAACTCAAACAGCTTTATGGGAAAAGGAGCAAAGAAATCGATTCGATGATATGGTTCCCCGCCAGCGACTTCGACAATCCTAACGTGGCTTGGGAAGAGTGGGTTTACACCGAGTCGCGGCGAAGGTATGTTTAGCTAACCTCCTCGGATGGGATCCGATATCTTCTAACTATTATTTAGATGTGCCGTCACTTGGTTCCTCCTGAGTCGCGTGATAGACCTCAAGTTTGGGGTTATGTGCCCCAGCATCAGCAATTACCGCGCGCTCCCTCTTCCCTCTCCGGACTCGCTCTGGAGTGCCAGGACACGAGCTCAGTGGGAAAATGCCCGCACAATTCATATTGAGCGGAATAAGTCGTCGCTACGGACCTTTGGGGACCTAATAGATGCTCGATTAAGTCCCCACAACTCAGACCGCGGGCAGGAGCTGAACAGATGGTATGCAAACTGCGATAAGCTGGGGCTTCTCTTAACGTTAGCCACTGCCATGGTGTAAATGGGTTCAATGATTATGAAATAACGATTATTACAAGTAGGTAGTTATATACTTTCAGTAGTCTATCTTATCAACACTCCCTAATTATAGGAGTCTACCGTTTTAATATGGTTAATATTCATCAAGTTTCAAAGTAACATTCATATTACTCTTAAGGAACTAGGTCCACTCATGCCAGTTCGGATCAAGACTAGAGAGAAGAATACTCTCGTACTCGAACTGTGGCCCCTCAGCATCGAGTATGAAACCCATCTCGCATCTATCAAACTTGACTTTTCTCGACTTGTCGTCATAGAAGGCGTCGAACCGCGGGGAAAGCGCATCTTTCAGATTGGCAACATTACCGGCCGGGTGAAGTGCCTTCCATGGATAGATACAGGTCTCTGCCTTACACGACTTCAATACAAAGAGTAAAGAGTCCAGTCTGGCAACAACCTTGTCGAGGGGCGCTCCAGCTATGGTCTCTGGGGCATCCTCATCTGGGTGTAGGAGATTGGTCATTTGGCCTGGATCTGTTGTCAGGTCGTGTAGCTCTCGCTCGTTATTACACCACACCTGGTAATGGAGGTTATACGTCTTGCTAATGACACGAAGAGCTTTATAAGTGTTATTCGTGTGTAGTCTCGGATATGAATCAAGCACCTGCCCCTCATTTGAGGCGAATCCCCAGTGTTCTATTGAAGCATGCTCATGCCGCGTCTCTTCAGCTTCTACGAGACCTTCTCCAGTAAGCGGAATAGCGAGTCCGTCGAAGTCGTCTCTCATAGGAGCGCCTGCTATTTCTAAAAAGGTAGGCGCTAAATCTGTATGTGCAGTTACAATATCGCTACTCACATTTTTCCGGACTCCAGGTCCTCGAATGATAAGCGGAATATTGATATCTTCTTCGAAGCTGCACTGCTTTGCGGGTTGCATCCGATGCTGACCAACGTGATAACCATTATCTGTAGAGTAGACTATGTACGTACTGTCTAGGATTTTGAGCTCGTCCAGACGTCGAACAAGCGAATCCACAATTTCGTCGACGCTTTGGAGGGCTCGCAGTCTCTGGAGATAGAAGTGGTCGTTATAGTAGATTGTTTCCTGGCTCTGCTTCGGTAGCTTCCGGATCCAACTGGCGCCTGATGGTTTATCCGGGTTGAAATTCTTCGTCCGCGGGACTTTGGTGCCTTGGAATAGGTTGGCATGCCTCTCAGCTGGCACCGGCGGTGAAAACTCGACCTTCTCTAAGTCGCCATGGCCACCGTCTTTGAAATTAGGAGCCCATATATTTGCGTGAGGACTGACTGGAGCAACACCAAGGAAGAAAGGTTTCCCGGTTTCAAATGCTTCATCCAATAGCCCTAGTGCCTTTGCTGCAAGAACATCGACGCTATGTTGCCCTTCAAAGCTCACTGGCGCATCTCGGTTTCTCTGATATGTGCTATTCATATACCAGTATGTGAATGGATCCAATAGAAAGTCCTTTTAATAATTAGCACATAGCCCAACTATCACGATCAAGGCCTGAACTTACAGAAGCAGTCCAGCCAGCAGCATGAGGCGAATGATAATTATCAACCGAGTGTGCATTAAAAAGCTTTCCCGTATAGTATGTTCCATAGCCCGACTCCTGAAGCCAAACTGGAAGATAGTTATCGTTCAAACCTTGGCTAATGAATTTAGGGTATCCGCCTAATACTGGTTAACATGATTCCGGACTCCGGGATAAGTTTTCATACCGTATGGCGGAACTACATTGGTAACATTGGTGTTATGGGCATTTTTACCAGTGAATATAGTCGTGCGAGAAGGGCAGCAGAGCGCAGTCGTGCAAAAGTGTCTCTTGTAGAAAGTGCCATGCTCAATTAGATGTTTTTTTAAGAATGGCATATACTCAATCGAGTTCAAATGTAAGTCTTGGTCATCGGTGAGGATGAATACAATATTAGGTTGTGATTGTGGTTGTTGTCCAGTCCAGCCATCTGTAAGGGTTATTGGTTTTTGATTGGCTGGTCCAAAAGTTGCCGTTCCATAAGCCAAATATGAAAAGAGGAGAGAAGATAATATTCTCATAGTTAGTATCCAAGCTTTCTAGACCGAAACTAGAATTACTCGAGAGTGATGTACGTTAGGTGTTCTTCAAGTAGCATCCAACGAGTTGATCTGAAACTTGATCATCATATGTTCTCATCAGCTCTTGGAGTATTATAGTTGTGTTAAGTACAAGAGTTAGTGTATGTTGATCCTCTTTCGGACCTCAGTATTAACGAATGAGGAAAGATATGTAGTTGTATGCGGCATAGAAAGTCAGCTATTTACCTCTCTGCCGGAGCTTGCCTCTTTACCCCGCATTTTCATATACCGATGATGACAGCAAATATGTGGCATACTGCTAGCTAGATACTTAGGATACAGGTGATTTGAAACTCTCTTAATATTATATTGATGGGCAGTCGCTTGTTATGAGTAACGGGGTGACAATCTCACTTACTACTAAGGTCTAAAAGTCAGATCCGTTAGTACTTGTTCGGGAATGCTGCCAATACTCGATAGTCGTGTATGATATTGAACGACTTAACTCTCTTAAAACGGCACAGCTTCGGCTCTATAAAGGATAATGTAATATCTGATGTATCCCCGAGTTAAGTTAGCTGAGTGGTAACGTAGGTAGTAATGAGAATATTGGGGTACATATATGAATCCGGGGTAGCTCTTATCGAAACTCCCATGTTCAAGATTACCCAGGTACTCAGATCCCAGTCTTACATCGAGGGCTTCTGACTACTCCCAGATTCGACAATGGCTACTGTTATCCCAGTACAGGTATCTGAAAAGTCAATCTTAGCCGACGATGCCGAACTTGGACCCAGTGAAGAGAGGATAGCAGACGCAGTTCCTCAGTTGGGCAGACCGGAAGTTACGAAGAAGTTCTGGTTTCAGAAGGCGAAACAGAACAGCCTCGACGATATTGCAACTCAGGTATATCAATAACACAGCCTTAAATAACCGCGTGTACTGATGAGAACAGCCAAGCGTCTACGACTACCCCGATGTGGCACTTCAGTATAAGCCTCGTGATGATTGGTAATAGGACCTTTCGGTTGAATATAAGTACTTGTTGACAAGATGTAGGGAAAACTTACATCGGTTTGATACGAGAGCACGATGGACATGGAGAGAGGAAAATAAAGTCGTCCGGAAGATAGACTGGCGCATCATGACCTGGACAGCAATAATGTTTACGGCCATGGAATTGGATAGAGCTAACCTGGCGCAATCCCTAACCGACAACTTCCTGGATGATCTCAACATGAGCACAAACGGTATGTAACCTTGTTCTGGTGCATGCGCTTATAGTTCCAGGACTAATGCTGAAAAAGACTATAACTTGGGAAATACCCTGTACGCGCTGTTTTTCTTAGCTGGAGAATTCCCTGCACAACTCCTAGCGAAATGGCTTGGACCTGATCGATGGGTACCATCCCAAATTGTGCTCTTTTCGGTCGTGTCTGCATCTCAGTTCGCCCTTAATAGCCGCGCATCTTTTCTTACGTGCCGCGCTCTATTGGCTCTACTACAAGGAGGTTTTATCCCGGAGGTATGTCACCGCCCATCTGAGAGCTACGTACTTCAACTAAAAAACATTGGCGAGTAGTGTGTGCTTTACCTCTCGTACTTTTACAAACACCACGAGCTTACTATTCGTCTGGGCTTCTTTTGGAGCGGCATGTTCATAGCAGATATCCTCGCCGCTATAATTGCGTTTGGGTTACTTCATATGCGGGGCGTGGAGGGTCGTTCAGGTTGGCGATGGCTTTTCTTGATCGAGGTGAGATTGAATGATGCTAACCTAAAGCATGATCTAATACTAATATGTGGTAAGGGACTCATGACTGGGACTGTTGGACTCTTATCTTATGTCATGATGCCGCCAGGTCCTACCCAAACGTCAAGTTGGTCACGAGGAAAAGACGGCTGGTTTACACCACGGTATGAAATAGACACCCACTACCTCCTACGGAAGATTTGAAGGATATTAACATCTATTAGCGACGAAATCATCATGGTAAATCGAATTATAAGAGACGACCCAAGCAAAGGTACAATGCATAATCGACAACCCATCACTCCGAAATTACTATGGAAGAGCTTGACAGATGTTGACCTCTGGTAAGAAGCTATAGCCTGTAGGATATGGTATGTTACTGATGTGAATTAGGCCACTCTATGGCCTTGGACTTACCTTCAACATCCCAACATTCTCGCCGCAACAATATCTCAGCCTTTCCTTACGAGGTCTCGGCTTCGACACATTCCAGACTAATCTCCTATCAATCCCATACTTGGTCTTAAAGAGTATGAACGCCATTTCAGCCCCTTTAAAGAAACCTTATTAAGATATCTTAGTCTTCAACATGATGGCGTTAGCTACACTCGCAGAATACACAGGACAGCTTGCCGCATGCGCATCAATCTTCCAGTTCTGGTGTCTACCTTTCTTAATATACTTACGCGTCGTAGATACGACTAGAGTGTCGAAATGGCTAACATGGGCCATGATTTCACTATTGCTAGCAGCACCCCTTGGTATATAACCCCTGACCCCCTAACCCCTTTTAATACAATAGTTAGAACGTACTTACCCTCTGTAGGTCATCCAGTGCAAGTCGGATGGGTATCCCGAAACTCAAACACCGTCCGATCGAGGACTTTGGGAGTCGCCTTATACAACATGTTCCTTCAAGCAGGAGTAATCATTTCTTCAAACATCTACCGAGAAGACGACGCACCACTATACAGTAGAGGAAATAGCATATTAATCGGTATCTTGTGTCTAAATTTGGTGCTCTATGTTCTAGCAAAGGCATATTATATCTGGAGGAACCGCGTGAGGGAGCGCAGATGGAATGCTATGACTCCCGAGGAAAAGCTGGTCTACCTTGCCGATCACCAAGACGTCGGGAACAAGAGGCTAGACTTTAGGTTGGCCTCATAAGCATCATGCATGGCAACATGGCAGATCTACGTTAGATATAAATGAGATGCGTCCCCCGTACATAATCGGGGGTTTTGATGGTGAAAATCAAACGCTTGCAACATAGCCTTCGCAAATGCAAGGGCTGCCAACACTGTCATAACATGCATGATCTGGTGACTCGCACCGAATATGTCGAATACTCGAGGGTACCACCGTTCCGGAAACTGCATATCTGTTAATGATCAATCATCTCTCAGTATAAACTATTACTGACCTTGGCGGCGTATACTACTACACCCGTACCGTTGAACAATGTCGTAGCCGCTATCCAATTAAGCCCAACCCGACGGTTCTGTTCATCGAACCCGTGTTTCAATAGCCCAATTAAGTTCGGAGCGACGACCGCGCAAAACCCAAACGTAGCAAAGAGTACAGCACGCGCACGTCCCGTTTGCGCTCCACCTATCGACGGGTGGAACGTCGCATACGAACAGAGTCCAGCGAGGATAGTGTTAAAGGTCCAATAGGCGATCTTACTTCCCAAGTCGCAAGGCATGCTATAATAAATAAGAGCTACATTTGCTCCCCATATCAGTAGTATGATGCCTTGATAATCCAACTTGACGCCAAGGGAGCACGCGGCTTCGCTATGGCACACAAAAGTGTGAAACCTAAGCTTCAGTTAGATGCTTTATCCTCACATGTTCTTCGCAAGTAGACTAACATAGTCGAGAGCGTAAAGCAGACACCGACCCCCAGAAAGTATATACTGCAGACTAGGATATCGGCCGTAGTCGCCACTTTGTAGCGTGGCGGGATCTCAGTCCTAAAGACATATAGGGGTAAAGCTAGGAAAATAATCGCGCCGACTACGTGAGTGAAGATATTAACTATCATCTGTCAGTAAGAGCACTAATTTCTACTAGGCTAATCGCCAGACCTGTCTCATTGTGTAGATAAAACCAGCTACCCAGGCACGACCATAGCGAAGCGCACTCCGGTCGATATCCAGTCCGTAGGTGCTCACAACCGCGTCTGATTTCATAGCGAGTAAGCACTAAACCCCTGTAATTCCAACGCGGGCCACTTACTGTTTCCAAGGAGCTGCATAGTCGAATCAGCAACGTAACTTCAATTTCATATTGCGTATGCGCTGAAAACTTACGGAGATGCTCCCATTCTAGAAGTCGTGATGGATTTTCATTTTGTTGCTTGATAATTGCGGGTGGGTGGTGTTTCTGTATAGAAGTCTCATCCCGATGGGGCCTTCGAGCTCCGTAGTTCTTTGGAAGGGCATCAAAACCTGTAGTATTCTGAATTGCCATTCCCGCACTTCATACACTGTATTAGATCAAGAAAAAGACTCTAAAATTATGAACATCAGTATTGGGACGTGTCCAAGTTAATTGAAACAGAAGAGAATAGAAAGGCTTAGATGGGGAGGCTGTAACAGACAGACATCGGCAATGCAACCCCTGACACGAACCCCTGTTGTCACTAAAAAGGCCTCTTCATCTACAAAAGTGAAATATCGCTAGACGAGCTAACAGCAGCATTCAGTAGGCCAGCTACCCTCCAGTAGGACATAAAAAATCGAGGACAAAGGTACTATAACAATAAAAAGCGATATAAAGTGAAAACACCAGATACTATTTCTGCCGCTCAACAGCGACGCTCAAGCAACAGCCAACAAGATCCCACCAAATGTCCAGATCCCGTTTCTTATTACACACCGCCGGAAAACCTGGAATATTTCCCAAACGCATATATCGTGGCGACCCCTCTGTTGCTTCGATACATCGAAGGATCTGAAGGCTAGTAGGTAGGTATGTATCTAGACCCTAGTCGGTCCACTTATCCAATAGTCCTACGCTATTCACAGCAGATTTTATACTCGTATTTGCTCTCAGCTTATTAGTTTCGAGCACACCTGTCCCAGCCTGCAAGATTGAAATCATCAACATGGATGGTGATATCCAGCAGAGCATACTGATGTTCAAAGACCGACCACTCTTCACTGTAGCCGTCAAGCCGAATTCTCTATACAATTCCTACCTTGGTATGTGTCTCGTAGTGGTCATTAACACATTAACATACAAGTTATGGTCTAAGGTACCAAATGAAACAAGTCTCTACAAGTCATACAACACAGACAAAGGCCAGTAGTAAATAGTCCGTATATTTAATACACGTAGCTGTGCTCATATCGCTTCCGGGGGTATCTGTAGTCTAAGCCAAAATTCCGCCTTGCTTTCTGTCCCGGCCAATGACCCTATCGCAACCCATATGCTATAATGCTAGAAAACTTCCCCTTTTCAAGCCCAAACGCCGGCTAGCCCGATCCAAGAAAACAACCTCACAAGGCTCGTCCGCTAATCCCTTCAACCCAAAAACACTTTCGACCAATCCGTCTCTAATCATGTCGTCTGCACTCGTTTCCCTTTATGAATCGTCGACCCATACGCACCAGCGCCGCCCGGGGATCTTCGACTTCGCTGCGCCGAGCTGGACGGCGTAAATAAGCCATAAAGTCGGTTCCTATTTGGTGCACTTTTGCTTACGATGGGGCTTAGAGGCCGCCCTTGCTCTGAATCGTCACCATCGTTACCGCTTTGGCCTTCCAGATCCCCCGAAAGAGAGGCTACGCGACCCTCCTCAGCTGCGTGCTCTTTCAAAACTTCCGAAACGCCCCCCTGACGCTCGATCTCCTGCCAGATATCTTGGTCTCGCGGGTAGTAAATTCGTTGAAACGCTGTAAGGCCAAGTTCAAACGCGACTACGGCAGCTATCGTAGCACCGGCCGCCGCCCACCAACCCAGCTTGTTCCCGAACTCGTGCACAAAAGAGCCGTGCACGACGTACGGGCCAAATTTTACGGGGTGGATTGCTCCAATAAGTAAATTCCAGAGAAACCAACCTACGATTGAAAGGGCAAACCCGACAAACGTGATCACTGTTTTATGATGGCATTCCAATATCCTAAATTTCAATCCGTTAGAAAAAAGAAAGAGGGAAAATTAGCCGAGTATCTAGGTTAGAAACTTACAGAATCTTGATATTGATTAATACCACGGCGATGGTAAATGCTAACTGTCCGAGCGGGAAGAGCGAATTATTCTCCGTGAACAGAATATCCTTGAAGTAGCCCCAGACCATCATATAAATGACGACCGTGTCTACCGCGCCCGTGAACATCCATTCCACGTACTTCTTGAGGTTGAACGCCTCGCTCCGCTGACCGAACGAATAGAGCTCGGGGATGGCGAGTAGGGTCTCCGCCTTGAGATCTTTCTCGAACATACCGAGCAGGATGACAGGTAGAGATGTAAAGAGTGCGTTAAACACAGTCAAACTCCACGACTCGTAGATCGACGTGCCCGTATAGCCGTTCCAATGTTGATACTGGGCTTGAATGATGTAGAATACCAGCTCTTTCCAGAACGTTGCAAGGATGTATTTTGCAGTGCGCAAATACATCCATCGGCCGTGGACGAGAAGAAGTCGTTGAAGGAATCTAAATTGGGCGATAGAATAATCAGCAACGCGGGCGGCCTGGAGACCTTCACGGCCAGATATGCCTATTCCTACGTGGGATTCTTGGATCATGGCGATGTCGTTCGATCCGTCACCGATGGCCAATGTCAACGAGGACGGTACCGTTTCCCGGATGCATCGTACCAACCCTGCTTTTTGAGACGGTGAAGCTCGGCAGCAGATGACAGAATCCATACGAACGGCGAGATCGTAAAACATTATTTTCAAAGCTTCGCCCTTTTCGATCTCACCCAAGGTGTGCCCGTCGACGACCAAGACGGAATGGGCTATCATGCCACGAGTGACATCGACCAATATCGACTCTATCTTTTCCTTCAATTTGCGCAACACCTCCGACTCTTCCGACTCGTCCGCGGGGGCCTCGAGGATGTAGATTTCAGAGAACGGCTTGGCCAACCTTGCGGAATGCGCAATATTGATCGCCGTTTCGCGTTTGTCCCCAGTCAGCATCCAAACCTTGATGTTTGCCCTACGAAGCTTTTCGATCGTCTCGGGGACCCCCTGTTGGAGTTTGTCTTCAATAGCAGAAGCACCGGCAAGACTGAAATCTTTCTCGATAAGCTCTGCCGCTTTCTCGATGAGTGGTTGCCTATTCACCAGACTCGTAGTGGCGGCTCTATAATTATCCTTCCACTCTTCATACTCCTCGTCGCCGATGTAGCGATAAGCAAAAAGGAGGGTTCTCAAGCCTTCCGAGGCAAATTCGCCAATGTGCTGGAAGCACCGCTCAAATATAGCACCGTCATCGGCGGCTATAATCTCGTCTACGACTCCATCGTAAGCCTCGATATCCCCCGTAACCAATACGGGTGAGAGAGCTATAGACTGCCGGGGAGCACCGGCATCCATATCGTATATTGGTGCGTCCTCTAAATCCAACGTCTCGCGCCTCGTCAGCCAGGTGTCGAGGTCATCCGAAACGGCCGAGCGGCGATGCGCTTCGGCAGATTTACGCCGACTGCCTTTTCGGAAGACACTATTGCGCTTGTTTATGCTCAGGCTATTTCTAGGGCTATACGTCCCGCTTAGACGACTCATAGCCCTCTCAACTTCTACGCTTTTCCGCTTGCTAGCTCTCCGTTCCACAGTGGACGCCATCTGCTTAGCCAGGAGCGCATTTCGTAAAAGGGGTATGATGACATTATCGGCGCCTTTACAAAACACGCAAATTTTATTGTCTGGCATGCGTATGATGATTGACATTCGCTTCCGTTTACTGCTGAACTCGATCACGTCCAGTACCTCATACGTCTCGGTGAGAAGTTCTCCTTCGGGGCTTTGAAGTTGAAGCTTGATAGACTGCGTTAGTCGATCGATGAGGAGGTACCCTAGATCGCGAGCTGCCTGCACCAAAGCGAGTTCGTCCGGGGACGCAGCTTGGAAAGCGATCTCGCCGTCCTCTTTGACTTCCGGCAAGCAAGTATGACATAGTGCCACGCAGAGGAGAAAATGCCGGACCTTCTTTGAAAAAGTCGTATTCGGGTTTCGTCGAATATAATCGATCAAGGCTTCCGTCTTAGGTATAGGCGGAGAATGTCTCGACTGAGCTTTTGACGCCCAGGCGGGCTGATCCTGGTTGCTAATCAGCGGAGTCTCGATACGTTCATCCCTGTCGGGTATCGCGTTCGTATCCGTTTCGCCATCGATGCGCCGGTTTGGACTCTTGACATTCATCTTGGATATCTTCGCTTGGTATTCTAGCTGATCTCGTTTGATATCCATGTCGTGCAGCCAAGCCGTCCCTGCAACGCTAAGTTTCCGGAATCGCATCTTGTTCTCCGTTAAAGTCCCAGTTTTATCGGAGAATATATAGTTGACTTGGCCCAGGTTTTCTAAGATGGTGGTCGTATTGACAACCATAGGCGTGTCGGTTTCGGGATCGTACATCTCCACATCACCTAGTAGGAAAAATTGCCCGACTTTGATAATCTCGAGACTTACATACAGGGACAGCGGGATGAGGGTATTGAAGGCGATAATGAAGCCGAACCAGATTTGCTCGAAAGGCACACCGGCACCGTGAAGATACGAAGCATTTCTCTCGTAGGCATTCCGCCACGCATAATAGCCACCCATACAACCAATAGTAAGGGCCAGGACGACCAAAACGAGAAGAAATACAATCCTATTAAGTAAAGCTTGCATCTTGGGAGCTTTGGCGCGGACGTCTTTGTTCGCATTCATACGTATCTTGCATTCCTCGCCCGTGTTTATAACCAACCCGATCAACTCGTCGGTATTCCGCAGAATCGAACCTCGATATACGACGTCGTTCATAGTGAGCGGCCGAGTCTCGCCGTTGAGAGTAGCACGGCCCTCAAATTTATAAAGGTCGGCATTAGGATCCTCGGATACGATTTCGGCCTCACAATTCTTCAACTTTGCAATCGTGTCGCAATGCTTAGCGAGCAAAGAAGAGGCCTGCTTGCTCTTGAGGTTCGTCTCGCCGTCAAGCGCCATCGTTTCAATATACGCCACTCCGTTATGGCCGGTCGCGTGAAGAATGATAATGTCCGCAGGTACGCTATCGTCTCTCCGCAGCCGAACGATGTCGCCCACTCGAATATCCTGCCATTGGATGGTCGCCCACGGAGATCCCCCCCGGTTCTCACCCATGTCTTGCAGCTCTGTCATCCCCTCTTCTTCTTCCCGCTCCTTACTACGGTTTTTCTTGATCAAGCCTGCCAACCAGTTCTTACTCGACGTATTTTCGACCGTACCGTCAGGGTCGAGAACCCACGCAGGGGCTAGGTTCTCCGTCTTATCCAATACGTACCTTCTATAGTCATCATAGCCTTCCTTCGCCATACTAATAGAGACGAAAACGAGTAAGGGTATGAGAGTAGTGAACGAACCCGTCGTGCTCAGACCTGGTATCAGCTGCAGTATAGCAATAACCAAGAAGTAAAAATTAGCTAACTTGCTGAATTGGAAGTACAGCTGTTTTGGCATGAAAGACCACTTGGTATACCGACTAGAGCGTATGAAATTCGAGACGTAGTGGTTACTACGCCGTTCGTCAATCAGCGGCACCTTGCGGACAGCGCCGCCGCTAATCGGTATACGACGACCATCGCGGCTCTTTGGGAGAGGCTTCTGACGCAGAAGCCCTTCGATAATCCATTTCTGATAGCGATCATTAAAGAACGCTTCAAACCTAGCTCGCGGTCCCCGCGCTCGTTTTCGTTGTCTGTTGATCCATGCGCCATAGTAATTCAGC